AAAAAAAAAAAAAAAAAAAAAAAAAAGGTTCCACGGACACAATCTTGTCCAACCAAGACGCCAAGACTCTCTTGGTTCCTTGGCCCGAAATGGCCTCGGCCCGCCCGCCCCACATGCACATGGTCAATCTCAACCGACAACGACAACGTCGGCGCGGTTGGCCTCGGTGAGCCATCAGCCGTCGTCAACCAAAGTCGGCTCGTGTCGCTCGCATTGCCCAACCCGACGCGCCCATGCTGTCCTCGATATGGAAGCCCGCGGCGCCGCTGCGCAGCACCAAAACCCGTGCGCTCATCTACTTTGTCTGCGGGAACCCCGGCCTCATCGGCTTCTACGCCGACTTCCTCGGCGCCCTGCGCAACCTCCTCGACACGTCGCAGTCCACCACGGCCTACGACTTGTACGGCCGCAACCTCCTCGGCTTCTGCGACCGCGAACACGAGCCCTTCTCCCGGGACAACCCTCCGTGGGATGTCCAGGGCCAAGTGGACGGCATCTACCAAGACGTCGCCGCGCGCCGCGCCGGCGACAAGCCCTACGACTTTGTCGTCCTCATGGGCCACTCCATCGGCGCCTACATCAGCGTCGACATCTTCCACAGACACATCCGGGACCCCAGCCGCGCGCCGCACCTCCGTCTCCGCCATGGGCTCCTCCTCTTCCCCACCATTGCGTCGCTTGCGCAGTCCCGGAGCGGCGCGCGCTTCAACTACGTGCGCAGCCTGCCCACCATGGAGGCGCACCTGGCCACCTATGCCAAGGCCCTGCTGGGCCTCTTCCCGCGCCGCACGCTGCGCTGGATCGTCCAAAACGTCGTGGGCTTCTCGCCGCGCGCCGCCGACGTGACCGCCGAGTGGCTCAAGAGCCGCGACGGCGTGCTGCAGGCGCTGCACATGGGCAAGTCGGAGCTCGACACCATCTTCGAGGACCCCTGGGACGACGAGCTGTGGGAGGTGTCTGCCTCGGCGCCCGCCCTGCCGGCCCCGAGATTCTTCATCTTCTACGGCCGAGAGGACCACTGGGTCGCGAACCACGTCAGGGACGACTTTATCGAGAGGCGGCGCAGGGCTGGCGAGAAGGCCTGCCGGACGAGCATCACGGTTGACGAGGGCAACATCCCGCACGCCTTTTGCACCAAGGAGCGTGAGTGGTCCTTTGTTGACTTGCTTCACGGCCCGGGACGTGTTGCGCTAATGGTGTGATTCTTTTTTTTTCCCTTGCAGATACCAGTTGGACCATTGCGAGAAAGGTGCATAGGTGGGTTGAAGAGATTGACCGAGCTGATGGGCTGGCGGGAGGGGCAGACTGCTTCGAATGAGCGCGTCTTCCACAGGGCTTGAATCGGTGGTGCCGTCGACGTGGACCAAGGTCAGAATTTCTGCGTCCTTGTACATGCACTGTAGGCGAGGAGGGCTGTCAGCCATGTCTCGCGTTTGCGGCGCGTTGTCTTCTCGCCTTGTGCCTAAGAATGCGCGGATTTGCGTGGAGCAGCTGAGGCAGGCTGTGAATGTCGGGGCACCAGGCAACAAGGGAGCTTGTTCGGGCGTGCTTCTGACTTGCCCAGTGAGCACGATAGAACCGTCCGCGGTGAGCAGCGCGGCAACGAGGAAGCTCCAAGCCGAAGCCGGGAGTGTCATAGACGCAAGTCTCTAATATAGGGCGGCTATCTGGTTTCGACACTGTAGACTTGACTCGCTCGCTGCCGAGGCATGTCTTGGAGCGAAGCGTCAGCCATCCACGCTTTCTTCGTTAATAGGCATTGAGTTCGGTCCGTGCGTTGCAGCACCGCTACGTTGTTCGTATCCTCTCGGCTGCTTTGGGAAGTCCCTCGATGGAGAGGGGGGGTGCAGAAGAGCAGAGAAGACAAGCTTTGCGTGCGGATGATGTCGGGAGGTACGTGGGATGCTGAGGATGGGAAAGAGTCGAATTACGACTTGGCAGGGGCTAGTTTCTCATGGGCTCGATGAGCCTGATAATGTCATGGAATCATGGCCAAGTTTAGTAGCGCCCCATGTGCGTCTAGATGATGGAGACGACGGAGATGATGGGGGTGGTTCCTTCGTGGAGAAAGCTGCCGAGCTAAGGGCATTCTTTGCCAGGCCGGGCTTGTCCTAGGACGTCGCGAATCAGGTCAGGACGGCAGGCGGGGCTGGGGAGGTGTCCGAAAATGGTCAAGCCGTGCCCGAAAGACGAAGGAAGTCGTTGAAAGCAAGTTGCCAACCGACCGGCCGCGAGGTGTTGCACGGAGCTACGCCGGGCGGTCGTGTGGCTGGCGCTCAAGTGACGCATCGGTGCGGTGACGGGCCACGGCCGACATGGAGTGAAAGGGTTTGCTGTCGCCGCCACAGGAAAGCCAGGCCGGTGGTGGTGGTGGTGGTGGTGGTGAAGCACCGACATTCTTAACATTCTTCTCGATGCAAATGGCCGCCGTGGCGTCGACTTCCGTGGGGTCAAGTGGGCCAATCCGACCAATCCGGCTTGCAGCCCCGATCGTCGGGCCCGACTATGTTCCGCGTACGCCCCTCGAGCCCCTCCCACCCCGACGACGCCTGTGGCCTCGCCTCGTTGGTCGACATTTGAACTTTCCCCGAGCCATCACGGCAGATTGACACGCCGCCCGAAAGCAGGTACCCGACGTCCCATGGCTTTGGCGTGGCAGTTCATTTCTGGATCTTTCTCGGCTCTCACGTCACGTCACGGGCCTGGGGCAGGGGAACGAACAAGGGGCAGGCACCCGGGCTCTGCGTCGAAAGCCAGCCACGCAACTCATCTGCACGTCGTGCTAGCCGATTGTCTACGGAAAGCCCATTTTCACTTTTTCTTCCTTTCCTTTCCTTTCTTTTCTCCCCCTAGCCTGCTTCATCAGGCTACCCATTCCCGATCCAGCGAGGCGAAAATCACTGCACCCGAAAACGAAAGAAAGAAATGTCGACAATGGCTTAGGGCCCGGGCACCAAGTCACGATGGATGAGCCCGATGTACTGCTAAAATAACAGGCCGACCGACAAGTTACCATTTCCGTCAATTCCAGGACGCAGCTATCCGGAGTCAATTGATAACTGCCAGCTGACATGTAACTTTGGGGACCCGACGCCACACGACCAGGTCACCTTATTCCTCCCTGCTCCCCCACACCAGAAGTGTGGGCCCTACTAATACAAAAAAAAACCCTTTACTCCGTACAGTGCTCGACATGCAAGTCGTACGGTATGTGTCGATGTGTCCTGTGGCAGAAGGGAAGGAAAAAAAAAAAGACTAACCAAAGTTCAGGGCGCTCGTTCCTGCACAACCAAGGCAAGGGGGCGTGGATCAAAACAGGCCGTGAGTGGTTGTCACGCAGCGCCGGTCCCGTTATCTCGACCTCATCTTGTGAATCATGGTTCATGTCACAGACTCGGCGTGGGGTCGTGACACGATTTGAGACCCGCCTTCTCAACCATGATTCATCGTTGTGCTCGGGAGCTCCGATGACCATGGCATGATTGCTACATGCGTCTTGTGGTCGTTTGCGTGGCGAGGTCCAGTTGCCTGCTCTCCACTCCAGCGACGGCGTGCGAGCCGATGGAAAATCACGGCTTCAAGTATCGCGATGAGCCCTGGCGCTGATCAGGGTTGGCACTGGTAGCGCCGTGGGGGATAACAAGAAAAAGTTCAGCCTACCGCTGGTTTCGGCACCTGAGCGGGCGGCAATGGGGGCTCGCATCGACTCGTTGCCGTCCGGGGGCGCCAATGACTGCCGGGTGCGCGCCCGGGAAATTTCGACGTGGTCAAACCGGGCTGCGGCCCAACTGCCTCCGCTGCCTCTTTCGGAGCGGCCGGGGTTAGAGTTGGACGTCTGAGCACGACGTCCCGCGTCTATGGGTAGACGTCTCTCTGCGCTCACGGCACTGTTTTTCTAGCGGTACGATGCTGCAACCGGTCTGAATACATTCTGGCGACTTTCCAGTCATGTTGATCACCGTCACGAATGTATTCGACTCAAGGCACTGAGTTTCAGGGGTCGTTGATGTTAAAGATGATTGGGCTGATTTTATTACTAGAGAGAGCACACGCATCCACAAGTGCTCTCAGCAAAATTACATCTCCTCTCCTCACGTCAGTCCCGTGTTGTGTCAAATAGGCAATCCTCTCGACCCGGTCAGGCTGAGAAAAGAGGTCCAGTCCAATCTCGATGCTGCCACGGATGTTCTCATAGACGAAGCTCCTTACAGAGCCAGGGCACCAATGGCGAGCATGACAAGACCGCCAATAGGGGCGAGACCAGCAGCACCAGCAGTCACGGGAGCGGACTCGGCTGGAGGAGCAGCGCCCGTGCCGTTGCTGGCTGGAGCTGGCGGAGCCTCCATACCGGTAGGCTCAGCAACGGCAGGCTCAGTACCGGCAGGCTCAGCACCGGCAGGCTCAGCACCGGCAGAGCAGTCGGCAGACTCAGTCTCGGCTGGCTGGGCCATGTCAGTAGGCTGGGCCATTTCCGAAGGCTTGGCCATGCCCGTAGACTCAGCCATGTCAGTGGCCTGAGCCTGAGTCCCGGAGGCCATGCCGGTAGAAGCAGCGCCACCAGAGCTTCCAGCCTTGTCGCAGAGCGCCTTCGCAGCCGGAAGGACCTTGTCTAGACAGCAGGCCATGTCAGTCGCCGCAGAGTCCGCGTTGTGGTGTACGAGGCCGGGGTGCTTGGAAACGGAACGGCAAAACTTACTCAGGGCAACTTCGGTGCCGCACTTTTCAAGAACGCAAGAGCTGGCAGCACCCTGGACTTTGGTGAAGTTTTCCTCCTTGCAGACGCAAGCGTAGTCGGTCGTGGCGCATTTGGTCTGGCTCTTGACGGCATCGTTGAGGCACGGCAAAGCACAAGAAGGGACTTCGGACTGGGCCGAGGCCACGGCGGCCATGGCGATAGCGGCGACAGCGGTGAACTTCATGTTGACAATTATTAAAGAGGACTTCTCGTGGAGATTGGCAATGCGTAAAAACGACGAGTGAAACTGGAGTGCTCAGCGAATGGATGTATGAGGCAAGGGGAACATGGGACCGAGCCGGGGGACGGGGCTGTCTGCTTTTAAGTAGGTCAACGACGTACGCAGTTCAAGGTCGACAACTGATGGGAGAGAGAGGACGCGGCACAATACCAAAGTTTGCCATGCCGTCCGCTAAGGCACCCCGATTATTGAGACAAAGGTGCTCTCCACCAGCAGAGATGGATATCTCCCCACACATCTCCATAGTCGATACTACTACCGTGATCCAAACGAGATCTTGGTTTCCGCTCTGGGAACAGCCGGCAATGAACAAGCCGTAACAAGTCGCGGCACTATACAATCAGAACCTGGCGTGAGGTCCCACACTATCGTGGTTGGAGATGTCCTCCTCACACAGTCTTCCCACACAGTCTGCGTCTCCGCCGCTACCGGCACACCCTTGCCCCAACTAGCGGCCGACCCAGGGAAGCCGCAGCGGTCGAGAGGCATTCATTCGAAGTGAAGGCAACGGACTTGCCAGACGCGTCATAGTGCCACGGCTTGTGACGATGGTGCTTCTTTTTTTTTTTTTTGGGTTGGTACGACCAGACTAGACTAGACGAGACGATATTTGATGCGCTTGGGATCAGGGTTGTAGGTGCGATTTCTGGTCCGAAATCGCAGAGCACAGCAAAGGCCTGGGCGTTCTTTCCCTCGTCAGATAGCTCGTGCCGACTGAACTGGTAGTTTCCCTTTTTGCCGTACAGCTGCGTTCATTTGGCAGGCGCGAGCGTTGCTCTTGGCTTGCCGTTTCCTGAGTGACAACTTTTCCAGGACGACGTGCCCAGGTGCAGGTCTGGCTCCTGGTCTCGACTTTTCATCGGGCGCTCAAACCTCCCGACATGACTTGCGGAAGTTGATAGTATTGTCGACCACACGGAGAGGGGGAGGGGGGAGGGGGCCCGACTTCGTTCCGGGACGTCCGCCAACCTCTTGGACCATCCTAAAGCGTCCTCACTACACCGCGCCCGGTTCAAACATACTACTGTAATACATCGGCTACGGACTCTGTGGGTGCTTCAGCGAAAAGGCGCCGCACCTCGAATAGAGATTGTCGGCATTGCTCAACCGTGGAACGGGGCCTTCTGGCCGCAAGGCACGTGTCACACCGTTCCGAAATGATGCTAGAAGACGCACGACGTCAGTTTGCGATGGATTCAAATGCAGAGAATCAGGTTTGACTCAGGACCTGTCCACATTGCTAGCTAAACATGGCCAGACAATGCTGCCGCCCATGAGTTGCATTCCAGGCACACATGTAGTCGGGTTGCAATGCACTAGTACGATTGGTCGCTGAACTCGAATGACTTTGGAACTTGGACACGTCTGCAAGCATCGTCAACCGTTACCCTTGGTTGAGGCGCAGGTCTGCAAGCCCACCGCCGGCGGTGGTCGCACAAAGCAGGTCTTGTTTATTTCCGGCGTCCTCCAGAAAACACCAGGACCACCACGACACTTGTCCCGGCGTGTCATGCGTCCGAGACAATCGTCCAGTGCCTCCCTTGGTTGCCCTTGCCCTCGATGTGGATGTGTGCAGGGCCGGTGTCCGACCAAACCAAACCCCAAACCCCAAACTCCGCCCAGGTCCAGAAAAACAAATGACAGAGGTCCAAACGAGTACATAGCTTGGCGAGGAAAAGTACAGAAGTGAAGTGCCCCCCCGGGAAAGTGAAAAAGATGCTAGATACCCAGCCTCCATTCCACAGACTGTCCTCCTCGTAACCCCAACGCCTTGCCTCTCATGATCAGCCCTCCACTCACACGGAATAAGGCAGGTCGTCCAAGGCCTCTCCTCAGGCCTCCATCTTTTGCGTCGACAAAGTACAGCTGTGAATCCTTTGCGTAGTCAATCACCGTGGGATAACTTGACACAACCTCAGCCGTGACGGGGGCACTAGAGGCGCCAACGAACAAAGAAAAAAGAAAAACATGGTCAGCGCGCCCACCACAGAAGCATACCCAGTCAGACAGAAACGCAGCAGGGAAGCAGCGGAAGCAGGCGAAGCAGGAGAGGAGCCACCAACGCGGTGCAAACCAGAGCGCCAACCACGAAGCCGTACACAGTGGCATCAGCCTCGGTGGGACGGGAGCCGCCGAGGACCCAGAAGGGCGCGTCGTCGTCGTCGGTCTCGCACCCGCGGCGGCAGCTTTCCTTGACCGACTCCGTCAGCAGGGCGTTGACGCCGTCCCACACCTCGCACCGGAGCAGGCGCCCGGCGCCCTGGGAGTGCGGGCCGCGGGGGACGGAGCGGCACGCCAGCCAGCCGAGGAGCGTCTGCGGCGGCCACGGCACCGGCGCCGGCGCGCATCTCGGGGTGGTTGTCGCCGTCGGCCGTGGTGTCCTCGGCCATGGCGGGCGGTGGGCGTGGTTTGGCCCGGGGACAGAGGAGGAGCAGGAGGGGGAGGAGAGGGACGTCGCGAGGCGTATCGCGTGCGGATTGTCGGGTCGATGCTGTCGTCGTCGTGGGCTCTGTCGTGGAGTCTGCGCCCTCGACACGCCTCGACACGTGAAGTTCCGGCATTGGACAAATTGGGAAGGCACTGGCCGGCGTCGAAATGCCCGATTCCTCGACGCCGGCGCGGCGTGGGGAAAAGGCCCCTCACTGCCGCCCCACGCCGGGCTGCCAAAGTTCTTGGGCGGTGGGGCGCGGGCGAGCGGGGACGACCACGGCTCGAATCAAGATGCGAGCTTGTGCTCCGCTCCGCACCGCATGCGTCTCTCGACTCGCTCTGAATGCAATGGCCTCGTCTGAGATACGTCTTGCCCCGTTGGCATCGACTCTGTATAAATACGCGGTCCCCCGACGAGATGGAGTTTTTGACAATTTGATCCCCGTCCCCAAGCGAAGCAAGCCACATACTCCCGAGTCCCGACCGAGTCGACCCCTCCCGCGTCCGCAACCGGTTGAGCAAAACAGCCTCAGCTCAGCAGCACGCACACCATGGCGAGCAAGACGTTCAACGTCGGAATCATCGGCTACGGGTGAGTTCGACGCCGGCCTCTTCCGACTCCCGAGCCGCCCGGGCGCGTCGGCCAAGCTGACACCGAAGCTCCCGGCAGCACGTCGGCCAAGGTCTTCCACGTGCCCTTCATCGCGACGACGCCGCAGCTCAGGCTTCACAGCGTGGTGCAGCGGAGCCCGAGGGCGGGCAGCTCGGCGCGCGAGGACCACCCCGAGGCCCAGCAGCACACCGACGCCGCGCAGCTCCTGGCCGACCCGGACGTGGACGTGGTGGTGGTGACGACGCCGCCCGACAGCCACTTCGCGCTGACCAAGGCGGCGCTCGAGGCGGGCAAGCACGTCCTGACGGAGAAGCCGTTCGTGCCCACGGCCGCCGAGGCCGACGAGCCCATGGCGCTCGCCGCCCGCCACCGCCGCCTGCTCTGCGTGTACCAGAACCGCCGCTGGGACACGGACTTCCTGCTGGTCCGGCACCTCGTCGCCAGCGGCGCGCTGGGCCGCGTCGTCGAGCTCGACTCGCACTTTGACCGGTACCGCGCGGCGCCGCCCGCCCCCGCGAGCTGGAAGGCCGGGCTGGGCATCCCCTCGGGCGGCAGCGCCCTGTTCGACCTGGGCACCCACCTCGTCGACCAGGCCTACGTGCTGTTCGGCATGCCGAGCGCCGTCCACGGCCGCCTGCTGAGCCAGCGCGCCGCCCGGCCCGACCTGTTCAACCCCGACGCCGTCGCCGCCGAGCTGGCCTACCCGGACGGCAAGCTCGTCCGCGTCCGCATCAGCGCCCTCAGCGCCGAGACGACCCAGCCGCGCTTCTGGCTCCGCGCCACCGGCGGCAGCTTCCGCAAGCGAGGCCTCGACCCCCAGGAGGACCAGCTCAAGGCCGGCATGGACCCCGCGTCCGCCGCGCTCGGCCGCGAGGACCCCGGCAACATGCGCCTCGTGCTCGCCCGCCCCGACGGCACCCTGGCCGAGGAAAAGGTGCCCGAGCTGGAGCCCGAGACGTACAGGGCCTTTTATGCCGCCTTTGCGAGGGCCCTCGAGGCCGGCGACGACGCCCTCGTCCCCGTCAAGGCGTCCGAGGCGAGGGACGTGCTGCGCATCCTCGAGGCCGTGGTGGAGAGCGCCAGGACGGGCAGGGACGTTGTGTTTTCCTGAAGCGCGCCCTCGTGACCGTGACGTCGGCAGACGCCCTCTCCGTGGGACACACGAGTGGCGGCGTCGCAAGCCTTCATTGTCCGCGGACCAGACGGACACATGCCTGGTGCTCTCTCATTGTAGTCTAGTATATAGTGGTAGTATCCTGTCAGTACATCCGTGCACGCTGGTGCCGTCTTCCTTTTTACATAGCCCAAGGCTGTTGTTTACCCCTTGCTTGATTCTGGACGCCCGAAACATTGCAAAAAGTCCATCCAATCCCGTCCCGTCCCGTTCCGAAGGGGAGAAAAACCAAAATCTACAGTCAAAACGCCGCAACGGCCAAAGCCGCCAGCCCCACGGCTGTCATGAGTGAACCCAACTCCCGGCCAGGAGCACCCGAGCTCTTGATGAGAATGCCCTTGGTGTAGAGACGAGGCGCGTACGGTTCAGGCTTCGTCTCATTGAGCGTGCCGTTCCAGCAGTAGTTGGTGTAGCACTGGGTGCACTTGTCGGGCACCGTCGCCCTGGTGCGCTCGAAGCTGCGGGCGAGCATGGCGCAGCCGACGCACGCGGCCCAGTCGGGGTCCCGCGTGCTGTTGAGCTGCGTGGCCACTGCCCAGCCATTCTGGACGATGGCGTCTCGCTCGTCCGACCTGATGGCCATCTGGAAGGTGGATATGTTGGACTCGTACAGGTAGGGATAGTTGGGGATGTAGACGATGAGCGGGGAGGGCTTGGTGAGGTTGGATGATTGGCAGCCGAAGAAGGCGGGCCTCGAATTGAGGCCGAGGTTGATGAAGGTGTTCTTGCCCGGCACGGCGGGGAATCCTGTCCCGTTGGCAACCGAGGATTGCAGCGAGCGCTCGTACGTGGCGATGGCTGATGCGCCGTCCGGCCAGCTGCTGTCTGTGTCGGCCGAGGAATCGATCGAGAACACCACATCGACGTTTCTCTCGTGGAACAGGTGCGGGTGGTAGGGGATGTTTTGCAGATCCTCTCCGCCGTCGACGAGCGTCAGGCGGGTATTACGAGCACTGGGGTTGTTGGCCGTGTTCCAGCCCTTGAAGGGGTTGGGAGTCCAGTCTGCAATGTCATTGTCGCTGTCGCCTAGGGAGTTCAGAAGGGACGTCAAAACATTGACGACAAACTTGGGAATGTCCTCGGGGACATATCTGCTGTCTCCGTCCTTGATGTACAGCACAATCTGGTTGAACAGGCTGCTCGAGGTGCCCATGACAAAGCCGGCATTGTCAAAGCCCACGACACACGATTCGTTGTCTGGGATCGAGCCGTTGGTGAAGTTGGAGCCGACATATTGGAGGGGGACGAATCCTTGCAGAGACGGGTCGAAAGAGCCAAACTCCCAGGGGGTGAACTCGAATATGGTTGAGTTTGATGCGATGATCTTCTGGCCCGGGGCGCGACCATCGGCAATGATGAATGGAAGTGGAGTCTTGCCGGACGAGAAGCCGGGGTCGTCTGCGATGGAGGAGTACGTGAAGCCCGGCCCGCCGTTGGTTGCGTTGACGAGCTGATACGAAAGCATGCGACCCCAGTAATCAGTAATTGACGTATCGAAGCCTGCCTTGGCCTTGGCCTTGACATCGTCAATGATCTCGCTGTAGTACTGCAAGAGGCTGTACAGCTGGGGACCTGTAGGTCGGACAGGATTAGCATGCTGCCCCCTCGTACATTGTCATGCCACGCGGCCTCGTCGTACCTTTGAGGATAGAATCGTCAAACTGCCAGATTTGCGGCGCGTTGACGGCGTCCTGGACCGAAGTAAAGTTGTTTGAGTACATGCTGCCCACCAGCCAGCTACCGCCGGACAGGCCAGAGATGTACGTGGCACTCTGAAGCAGGCCGCCCAGGTTACCCTTGGTCTGGCTGCCAGTCGAGCGGCTATCCCAGGCCGCGACAGCCCCGGCGCCGTTCAACATGGCGCGGTAACCGCCGCCGGAGACGGCCAAACCGATGTTTGGCAGCGCGGTCGGGTCGGTGGCCGCATCCTTGAGGTAGGCTTCGCTGTCGAAATTGGGGATGGCTATGCGCCTCAGGAGGTCGCGGATCGGGGCGACGGTTTCGTTTCGGCGCCTGGGAAGCCACTCTCTCTCCTGCGGCGACAAGCTGCTGCCGTCTCGCACCCGGGGACGGCTCCTGGGACAGTCGAGGGGAGACGGCGTGTAGCCCTTTGGCGACTGGCTGGTGGCCCGTCGGACGAGGTGTGTTTCGCGGATGACGTCGGCCGAGTCAGCAGGATCATGTTGGCGAGGGAGATCTGGGTGAGAAGGGCGACGGGTCAGCGGTGGGTTGGCCACGAGGTTGGCCACGGGTTGGCCGCAACAAGGTCAAGGTCACGGTTGTTGTGGCGGAATCCCTCAGTCCAAGCAAGCGTTGACGGTTCGTGGCATCAAGAAACCTACATTCCGGGCCGGGAAGCCGTTGAGGATGAACGACGGCTGCGGCAAGTTGGGAAGGAGCCAGCGCCGTTGCCGCGGCCAGCAGGATCGACAGGTGCCTTCCAATGGCCATGTGTCCCCGCTTTGGCTGCGCCGATTGCGTCGTCAATTGAACAGAACAGCCGAGGAGATGGAGAAGATGCTTGCAAACAAAATCGGAAAAAAAAAAAAAACCAGTGAGGAAAAGCTGGAGTGGGAATGGGACAGCGGAAGAAGCGGACGGACACGGCGACCGTAGCAACACCCCGGAGCAAATAACAGGCGAGGTTACGGAGTACTGGCTACAGGTCAACTGGCACCATAATACAATTACGTCTGGAATCAAGTTTACTACTCATGCGCGCCGCTGCGCATTGAGCGCTTGCACCAGGTTGAGCTCTAGTGTCTTGGCTGTTTGGTCTTGGCACTGCTACACTGCGAGGTTTGACAATCACCAGTGACCACCGGGCGGACATTGCCGGCTGGGACGGGGCTGCCAAGGTCTGTGAAAACAAAAAAAAGGGCCAAGAGTACATGCGCCAGCCCAGCAGCGTGCGCACTTCGTACTTATTAAGTATGCACCTCATCGTGGCGATGCAACGCACGCACACGCTCGTAACGCGCCTTGCACTTGTCACGTACATAATAACTACAGACGTAATACGGGGACGCCGTCCGTCTCAGCCATGAGTTCTGACATGACAGTACTACTACGACGTTGCGGAGCTGGCATGTTGGATGTTGGGGGCCAACAAGCACCAGAGTCGTGTGCCAGGCAAGTACGTACTCCAGCGTCCGTACGGACCACCACACAATCAATCATGCACACAACTCAACAACTACGACTCGGTGCATACGTACCGAGGACATGTACCACCGAGTGAGTCCGTCTGGAAACAATTTCTTGTCGGCTCCGACCCCCTGTCGCACTACGGAGTACATGGCACTGACTGAGTGCTGGCCCGTTGCGCAGCATAGCTCAGCATCGCTCGCTTCTTTCTGCTCGGCTTTCCTCGTCATCGCAAACGCGGAGCCGGACCGGTGCATCAACGTCCAAGACGAGTATCAGTCTGCGCCGGTGAGCAAAGTCGACACGCCATGCCAGACGTCACCACCGCCCACAATATTTACCCGGGTGTTCATCAAATCACCATGGCGGAAACACCCCCCGGCACCTCTGCTTCGCGCATCCTCTGATTCCCTAGTCAGAAAACTCATCGCTCGGCGGCTCCCTGCCAAACGGATGATTGAATTTTAACAACCCATTCAGCCCGCCCACCCACGGATCGTCATCCTCTGTGCGGATGACACATGGCACGCCGCCGTGCCACTCTTCCCCCGGCCCGGCTCTGCCGACAAATTCGCCTTCGACACGAATCTCCGAACCCGGCAAGACGCCCGCGCATCGTTTCCCATCAATGTTGAGATCCAGCTCGCGGCCTCGATTTTTTGAGCTCATTCGCAGCGTGACTTTGGTATCGAGCGGAAGCACCAGTGATCTGAAGCTCAGACTACAGGGGGATATGGGCGTGATGAGGAGTGACTTAACCAGTGGATGAACGATAGGCCCGCCGGCACTGAGGCTGTATGCCGTTGAGCCAGTCGGCGTGCTGATGAGAATACCATCTGCAATGGTTTCTGTCAAGAAGTGACCATTTTGGTATATATCGATGATGGCCAGGTGCGGGTGAGATCCTCTGTGGACGGATATCTCGTTGATGGCACGGAGAGATGGCGACGGCTCCTGCGTTCCCGCGATGCTGGATTCGTACTCGCTGGCCAGTGTATCAGACACCCTGTGGTTGATGTTGTCCCCCGAGCGATCAAAAATATCGGCCTTGAGACGGTGTCGCAGCAAAATCTTGGATGCCCGGCCAACGCCCTGACGCTTGCCGCGCAGCCTCTCCCACCCCACACCAGCGGCCAGGCTTCTCGCCGTCACGAAGCGTTCGTTTCTCCCGTTGTCTATGGGCACGGCAGCATCCTGTACCGAGGCCACATCGCTCCCACTCATATACATTTCCCTCCATGCCTTCTTGTGCTCGTCGAAATCCCATTCCCCGAGGAAGCCCAGCGTGCCCATGCTAAAGGACAAGATTGGCGGCACAGAACCGTGGAGCTTGAACAGGCTTGCTGCTCGCAGGACCGTTCCGTCGCCGCCAAAAGTGGCAATGACATCGATTTTGCCCGCAACATCGGACCGACTGTCGGAGACGTAGATGGGGAACGCGAGGTGGTCGCGAATCACGGCCGCAATGCGCGGCTCCACGACGAGATTGACATCTGGGTAGTCGGTGCGGATGTGTTTGGCAAACTTGATGACAGACTCAGTCACATCAGGTGCGTAGAGCTTCTGCACAAGGAGTAGGTTGCGAGGTGGCCGCGGCCAGTGGAGCGACAGCAACGACGAGCCGGGTTTCGTGCTCTGAAGGTAGCGTGGAATCGTGCGGTCGGGAAGCTCATTGACGCTGTGGACTTGCGCGCAGGGCAGAGGAAGGACCGTCGAAAAGTTGCAGCGTGCGCTACGTGACGGTACTGTCGACGTTATTCCCCTTGATGGTGGTGGTGGTAGTGATGCTGATGCTGATGCTGATGCTGGCCTCGGGGCTCTGGCGCTTCCACCGAGACCGGGCTGGCGAGTGGAGGCGAGAAGCTCCTGCAGCAGCTTGCGCCTAGACATATTCGCCTATCATTGTCTCTTGTGAAGGCGACGGAGTAGAGGCAGGATCGGGATCGGGGACTAGAGCTGGGGACGTGGCCGGCCGCGGTTTGCCAGGCTCCCAGCTTGAACACACCAGGGCTTTTTTGTCCTCCAGTTGAAAAGATTATGCGTCGCGGTGGCGGGATGCAGAAGCTAGCCGGCGGTCTGATAACTGCCTACTCCGTACGGAGTAGACTGGTGGAGACTTACCGCTTGCCTAATCTTGTCAAGCAACGGCAAGAAGGTTGGGGACCGTTCAGGCGTGCCGACCACTGTAGAATCTCGACGATATCCTGCCTCCGACATGCACCTTTGGCCACGAATCTGCCTGCATGCTTACGGTCTGCCTGCTTTCGACTGAAATGGCAGCTATGAATGATAATCATTACATGTCATGGTCGGACTGCCCATACCCCGCTGGCAGTTGGCTGATGGAGTGCGGCGCTAGAAGCTCTGCAACTGTCGAGCCCTGATTGGACGCCTGCCAACGCTCGAGGTCAGCTGAGGCTTTGCAGGGCACGCGGCCGCCATCCCCAGGCGGCTCATGGCCAAAGAGGCGCTGGACTCTGGGCTCTCTGGGCACGTCACATGTGCGCGCCGCCTAACAATAGAAACACTGACATCGAGGCACCAAACACCAAAAATCTCCGTTCCCCAACATCGGCCACCCTTCGTGTCTTTACGTCATCAGCACCATGACTCGGTGACCTTTTTTTGCTTCGCTTGGACCAGATCTCAGACTCCCCCCCCCCCGCGTTTTTCCTCACAGCATTTTCACAACACCCGTCGACGAGCGTAAAGCAATTTGGGCATTCTGCAAGGTATGGGCTTGAGCTGAGTGTTGCTTGTAGAGCTAGCAAATTCCCCGGCTTCAATCTGACGCTCTCCTAACCATCGTCTGCATCAGCTCCTCCGTGGATCGCAGCTCACTGATCCTCGTCACAGTGTTCTCCATTCTTGCCTGCCTACGTATCCGGGCATTCCGCCCAGATCGCCCTTGTGCCCGGTCACTATCCACGCCTTTGCATCTGACAATTCCTTCCATTTATTGGCGCACGGCCACTCACCTTGACAGGCCGCTATGCCCGAGTTCACAGAGAACAATGGGTCAGAGAGCAATGTTCCGTGTCCAGAGCTCACTGCAGGCTTCAAGTCTGATGTGAAAATATCCTCCGATTCACCACGGTTTGTCCATCCCTCGGGGAAAAGCGGCCATGGCCGTGGTATGCAACTGCTACGTGGTATTGCATTCACCGCGTACTTCACAATTTGTTGCTTTGTGTTAGTGCTTTCATCTCATCCGTATTGCCGTGAGTGTGAGGGCTCCGGAGTCGAGGCACGGACCAAACTCGTCTGACCTAATTTTTGGCTGGATAGAATCCTCGTTACTCAATTTCTCGGCGCTCCCCTGTACTTGATCAACCGCGAGTGGTTTTACGCCTATATGGCCATGACAAAGCAGTCCTTTGCACTTACCATCACTGTCATGACCCATCTCTGGGGGCCTGCTACCATTCGCATTAGCGGTGACGAGTCTGTATCTGGACAAATCTTGGCCACTCCCGGCGGCGGCGTTGAATTCCATTTTCCAGAACGCATCGTCATGGTTGCAAATCACCAGGTCAGTCTACAAGTGGTGACGCATCGCCAGGGGAGATTGCTGGCAGGTAGGAGCTGACCGGAGACGCTGCGTAGATCTACACAGATTGGCTGTACTTGTGGTGGATCAGCTATGCGAATCGGCCAGGGATGCATGGTCACATTTACATCATTCTCAAAGAGTCTCTGAAATACATACCCTTTATAGGAACTGGCATGATGTTCTACGGATTCATCTTTTTGTCGAGAAAGATGGCGACGGATCAACCGAGGCTAGCTTATCGACTGAATAAGCTCAAGCAGAAGAAGGTCGACCCGCTGGGCAAGACTTACTTGGACCCCATGTGGCTGCTTCTGTTCCCAGAAGGCACTAATCTCTCCAGAAATGGCCGGAAAAAGTCGTTTCAGTGGGCGGAAAAGAATGGTCTCAAGGATCCAGATCATGTCATGTTGCCCCGAAGCACAGGCATTTTTTTCTGTCTGAATGAGCTCAAGGATACGGTGGACTATGTGTACGATTGCACTGTGGCGTACGAAGGAATCCCGTAAGTTTCAGCCACCGCCGTCAACAAGAGGAACGGCGAGGCGAATCCCACGCAGTTACTGACAACCGTCGTGCCTGGTAGTCGGGGTAAATATGGAGAGGAGATCTTCGGGTTGGCGAGCACCTACTTCGAGGGCCGGCCCCCCAAGTCGGTAAATCTGTACTGGCGGCGATTCCGAATTGCCGACATTCCCCTCCACGACCAGCGGCAGTTTGACATCTGGCTCCGTGATCAGTGGTACAACAAGGATGCGTTGATGGAAGAGTTTCTCCACAGGGGTCGTTTCCCGGCCTTGACTGGAGCCAAGGCCGAGTATGTTGAGACCGAAGTCAGGACCAGATACCCTTGGGAGATCTTGCAAATCTTCACCGTCGTGGGGATTGCTGGCTTGATGTGGCATAACCTGTGGAAAGTCCTGTCAACAATCTCAGCCAAAGCGGGCATCGTACTGTGATGGCTGTGAGTGAGATGGGCGTGCAGAGAGCCATTGTCGATGGAGTGGCAGGGGAAGCTGCATAGTTGTGAAGTGCGAGGGGGCGCACAGTCCAGGGCGGTCTAATGTTGGATACAATACCAGAGTCAGGATTCAGTTTCACGGGGCGGGCACGGACAAAGAGGGAGACACGGTGACAACTTTACCAGCGTACAGCGAGCAGGTTGAAATTGTGTGGATTTTCTCCTGGGAGGTCGAATGGCGTTTATCAATAGACTCAGCGATTACGGTACAATGAGGAATGCAAGATGAGATGTGCACATTGGGAAGTCTCTGCAGTGTGGTGCCTCGGCAGTTGGTTTCGATTCTGGCTCGCAGACATCTTGATAAGACGTCTTCCGTCTTCCGGATGAGCAAGAAGGGGGTGCTTTGGCCTGTATTTGATACGCCTGGCCGGCTAATAATCATGATTTCGTGAAATATACGACGGGAGAATAAATGTTCAGCCTATCGGGCGTGCATTTACGGATGATACGTCAAAATTGTCGAGGCGATTGGACGGAGCAGTTTGCGGCCCTGGCGAGACTCCCCGTTGAAATACTGCACACATATGGGCTTCAATTCCACTCTGCTCTGTGGGCCGTTGGACACAATACCGGATGTGTCCGGCAGCACCCATGCAACCTTTGCCCGTTGCTTTTCACCCCTTAATTCTCGCTGGACTGGCCGAAGCCCCAAGTTGAACGGCTCGGCTGTGATGCTCGTCAAAGTATGCGATATTGCCTGTCCTCTCGACAATTCCACCAGGGAGAGTTTTCCTTTCCATACTCAGCTAGGGCAGGCCTTCATTGCTCGAGACTCGAGACTGGTAGTTAAAGCATTCGAATTTGCGCTCGTGCCCGCGCACCCCGGTCGTTTGTTTGAACGCATGTCGTAAACTGAAGGGGAGGAGTCCTGTCGTGGATGCCGGTGACGTGTTGAGCCTGAATCGCAACGACGTCGTGGAACTACAGAGAAGCACCAAGCACCACTTCCGACATGCAACATGTTCGTGGCTCGACAAATGTATCTCTTGGGGTGTGATCATGGGCTGCCGAGTGATCCCGGCCGCGAGTCACGATGAGTGGTGGCACATATTTGGTATCTTGGCATGGAAGTCGCATACGACCGGTACGGCATGGCTGGGTGATGACGCTCGAAAATGAAGCCGCGGAACAGACACGCGATACGAGCACGCAGTCGAGGTAAGCTTGGCTTTTGCCCTTTGCCGCCACGCCGCCAGCTCTGGACTCGGCTGTGCCTCTTATCGTTTGGCCACACGAGTCTAGCCCGCAAACTTGGGCCACTATTGCTTGACACACAGTTTGCCGGTGACTTTTTCGCTCAATGTTCGGGACGGGTAAACTTGGCGCACGGGGGCAGGATGTGGCACGTTTTTATAAAGCAAAATCTCACTGGGAGCGATTGGATTCTGAACCGGCGTTGATGACCTGGGCTGTCTCGACATGGATCCCTGGACCTGCTTTACTGACGGGTAGCAAGCAGTCTGACGCGGCATTGATAAATGTCAGGCTACCAACTCGATAGCATCCTGGGCCAAGGTATCATCTATCGACTTGCCGTCCAAGCATATGAAGTAGCATCCTGAGCCAAGGTATCATCTATCGACTTGCTTGCCAAGTATATGAAGCAGCCCTGGTGTTCTGTTTACCCGTGGATTGGACCTCGGCATCTGTCGTCGCGAAACGCCCCTTTATCGGCTACCAAGTTGGCCGAGCACAGCCGCCAAGTGCCCTCAAAGCGCCTCCAGTGAAGAGGAGGTGGTGGGTGAGTGGCGGGACGAGCCTTGAGAGCTTGAGCTGGCGTTCGACACAACTGCCGCTTTTCGTCACTCCTTCACCAAATGTGGCTGGCTGTTTCCTCGACTGAACAAAGACGACTGCGTCTCTTGACTCGACAATCTGCCGGAGATCCGGGCGAGGCGAAAAGGGGAGACGAGGTTGTAGCCAGGGACGTGGGTGGGAGCTCCACGTCTCGAAGGAGTACGAAGTATGTGCCTCGAACTGGTGGCGGAGTGGTGCGCTCAAGCAGATCCATGCATTGATGATTGATGCCAAGCCGCGACGCATTGGAGATCCGTCGTTACAATTTGACTCGGCTTTCCTATTCGGCCATCTCTTGGCCGACGGAACGGAGACAACCCGGGTCCCGACCCTAATGCGACGGAGCGAGGAAACATGCAGAGCCAGGGTTGACTGGAACAACATGTTCCGTCCATCACGCCAACCGCTCCTGCCTTGTTAGACTGAGGTGCGCATAGGCAGGAGGAGTTGAGATGGCCAACACTTGAGCTTACGCAGGGTGCACATTCTCCTCCGTCCGCTGCTTCGGCCTGGCATGATTCAAACCCAGTCAACACGTCCATACTGGCAGGTCGCAGGGTTGACGCCGCACCCGACTTGGACGCCTCATCACTTACCTGCAGGTGACAGACAGCACCTGTGTTGTTGTCATGACTGACTCACGGGCCATAGTCCATGGAGCCGGGGGAGGGGATGGGGGGGGCTGCGAGTCTGCGACAAGGTCGACTGGTGAGGTTTTCCTTCCCTTGCCAGCCACGACTAATTACTAGTGGTACTACCTACGTCGGTGCCTAGGTAGTTACCTAGGTACGGAGTAGTTAGTTATATTTCGGTCTCATCCTTACCAAAACCGCCAACAAGTCCGGCGTATTTCAGCATTTCCATACTCCCCGACCCGCTTCCCCGCAACATGCCAGCCCGCTAGTTTCTTGGCAGAAAGAGTAGGACCTCGTTCGATTCTCGATTCTCGAGCCACCTTCAGTGCACGGGGCGGAAAGGTACAAGCAGCGACGGAACCGCCGCTGACAAGTTCGCAAGGTCCAGCTGTTTCAATGTTTGGACAGCCAACAAGCTTCACACCCCCATTGGCTCCAGGTCCATAATTCAGGAGGGGGAGAAAGTCCTTTGACCAGATATGGCACCTCAGAGCTATTTAGGTGTTTTCTTTCATATTAAGGAGGTCCATGTTGCTTGCCTATTGCCGGAAGTCGTCGTTGCCATCTTTTGCCGTTCGCCCCCGCTCAAAATCCAAGCGGCTTCCAACCGAGTACAAAGCGGCGCCCTTTGACGTTGGAACCAGCGTCTTCATATAATTGCCTGTCTATTATCTCTCTTTGCTTTATTACTATCTATTTATTTATTTTGGTATCTCGCCAACGAGCACAACAACGGCGATGATTCACGGTCCCGCTGCGGGGCGCTCAACCACCTTTGCACCAGAGGGCACTGAGAAGAAAATGGGGGACGACAAGCTCGAGAGCCAAATTGGAGAGGCCAGTGATGCCGAGAGCGATTTTGGGTATACAAAAGAGGAGCAGAGGAAAATCATCCGCAGAATTGACCTTCGGCTGGTCCTCACCGTTGGTGCCATGTATTGCGTCAGTCTCATGGACCGAACAAACATGAGTGCCGCCAACATTGCTGGCATGAGTGTTGAGCTCAATCTGATTGACAATCGATATGTGAGTTGAGCAAAAAAGAAAAAAAAATCCACCGAAAAATAGCAGAAAGGAAGAATCAACCATAGACGACTGACGCTTCTCAGAACATTGCGAATCTTGCTTTTTTCGTGACATATATTATTTTCCAGCCTCCATCCACTATCCTCGTGCGAGCAATTGGACCGCGAGCCCACCTTGCAACAATAACACTTCTTTGGGGAGCAGTCGTGATTGGAATGGGTTTCGTCAAGGATTTCCCACAACTCGCAGCCCTCAGGGCCGTGCTTGGTCTCTTTGAGGCAGGCTTCTTCCCAAGCTGCGTTTACTTGCTCAGCACTTGGTATACTCGATGTACGTATTCCGAAATATTTGTACCTCGCACACAAGTGGCGACAAGAATACTGTCACTGACCATGACTACAGATGAGGTTGGAAAAAGATACTCGGTTTTCTATGTCGTTGGGAGTGTAGCATCTGCCTTCTCTGGCATTTTGGCTTACGGCGTAAGTACATGCATTTTGAGACACCAACTTTCGAGTTATCGATAGCGACTAACATTGTGTCTTTTCAAAGCTTATGCAACTCAATGGACGGGAGGGCCTCACGGGTTGGCGTTGGATTTTCATCATCGAAGGCGCCCTTACTTGTTGCCTGGCAGTTGCCAGTTACTGGCTTCTGGTCGACTTCCCCGACTCCATCCGCAAGTCTTGGAGCTTCCTCAATTTACGCGAGCGGGAGTGGATCGTAAGTCGTGTCCAACGTGACAGAGGTGATGCTAAAGTTGCGCCATTCAACCTAGTCAAGTTAATTCGAGGTGGTGCGGACTGGAAGATTTGGGCCTATGCCATGATCTTTTTCAATTCTACCACAATGAGCTATGCTCTTGCTTATACTCTACCCATCATCCTTGTTTCTAATTTGGGGTTCTCGGTGGGCGCTGCTCAGTGCCTCGTTGCCCCCCCCTATGCTTTTGCCGGCATTGTCATGTTTACTATGGGCTGGCTTGGAGACAAGTATCGTGTTCGGGGGCCCATCATTGTTGGCAATATGCTACTGTGCATTATTGGACTGCCAATCATGGGCTGGCACTCCAGGGCTGCCGTGCGATACTTTGGTGTTTTCCTAGTTACGGCCGGCGCGAATAGCAACATTCCTGCCGTGATGTCTTTCCAAGCCAACAATGTGCGTGGCCAGTGGAAGCGAGCCTTTTGCAGTGCCACGCTCGTTGGCTTTGGCGGCATTGGCGGCATTTGCGGCAGTCTTGTGTTCCGAGAGCAGGACAAACTTACTGGTTACAAACCTGGCATATACACATGCATCGCATGTGCGCTACTCAATATCATTTTGGTTGGCGCGTGTGACTTGGAGTTTTTCCGACAGAATAAAAAGGCTGAGAGGGGCGAGAAGTTGCTGGAGAGTGAAGAGAATGTAAGCCTGCGCTCTGCCCGTCTTATGCGCTCCGATGGTGCCATGGAAGCATAAGGATCTAACAGTACGTGATGACAGGAAACCTCGGCGAGTGATTTCCGATATACCTATTAAGCGTGGATGAGAATGTATCTGCGACTTGTCCATGACTGGTACGCGGCCTGCTATGTGACCTGGAGCCTCCTTGTTTTGTAATACATGTTGATAGCGATGACAATGGAAATACAATCGTCACGAGTGACTCGTGTGCTACCCGCCATGCAAACGGATGAATCGATTGTGCGGACCCCAAGGACACAGCGGTCAATCATTGACTAAATCGGCTTGTCATTGTTGGCGGAGGGGTATAAATACCCGGGGAAGAAGATGCCCAGTTCAATTCGAAGTCCATCGACGCACGGGTGCAAACCGCCCGCAACATGAGCAGTCTCATCCTTCTTTTCGTGCCTTTAGGTGTCTTAGTCTTCTGGCTGGTGGCCTTTGCCTGCATGAAGCGCAGTGCGTCAGCGGGAGATGGAGATGGGGACGAGGGCGCAGACTCGGCCGAGCGCCAGTTCGTGGCCGAGAATGGCTTCAGCAGCATGGCGAACTCGATGGCGGCCGCCACCGAAGCTGAATCGTCCCTAGAACCAGAACCAGGACCAGGACCAGAAGCGCCACAAGCGTCGTCGGAAAGCCCGCGGACCACCTCCCTTGATGTTGCGGGAATCCGGATCCGACAAACCATGGAGAGCATATTCACCGTAGGGGGCCCGAGACCTACTGCTCTGCACGTACATCCTTCATCCGATTTGTCGTCGTCGTCGTCGTCGTCGTCGTCGTCATCGTCATCGTCATCGTCTCCTTCGTCGTCCTCACGAAAGTGGGGGTCGTTGTCAACACTCGGGAACCATATTGAAGGAATATTCCGTCCAGGGACCAGCTCCCCCCCTGATCTCGAAGGAGCCTCCTCCCAGGGCGGAAGAGCTTACCAAGAGTCAAACATCATTTTCAACTTGTCGCTTTGAGCAGGAAAGGGAAGATACGGCGTGCGCTGTAGGTGGCGTTCAACCGTACTCGAGTTGGCAGGAGGCTATGAATTGGGGCAAACGTGGTGATGGTCACGACTTACTTGAGTATGAAGGTGAGGGATGTCGGACCTCATCTTACCATTTACCTGTGAGAAGGTGTCCTGACGATTGGGCAGGACATGCCCAGGGTCGGTCGAATTAAGCTCATCATGAGACCCTAAACGTGGCGGATGCCGCCAAACCATTGGCTGGAGTCTGGAGTTGGACCGCCTCCTATTACACACATATTGATACGGTCCTGCTCCTCGCTTAACCATTCCTGGAATGAGAGCATCCATGGCCTAAAACAACAATCAATTTGCGCTAAGTCCGCCTGGTTTGCTTGTCTTGGCCTTGGATCTAAAGCCAATGACGGCCGGCATCCGGCATCCGGGTGCGGAAAATGCCGGCAGCTTTGTTAGGTTTCCAGGGACACAGGGTACGTTGCACGGAGCAAGATGGAATTAGACGACACTTGTTCATCTTCTCTATTTTACATCCTCCCTCATCCTCACCTTCTCGCCGCCGAGGCCTGACCCGTCGCACGGTAGTTGAGACTGATTGCGGCTATTGTAATCTGTGGGAGCTGCCCGACTCGCTTGAAGAAGAACTCGCCGTCCAAGATGCGACATAGCGTCACGATGCAGATGGCCGTGACACTGGCCGTGTTGGCACTTGGCCCTGCTGCCCTCGCCGACGATGTTCTCTACAGCAGTCGCCTCTCGAGGCGCGGCCTGCTCCAGAACGGCAACTACAATCTCAGTAAGATCTCGGAACCACCCGATATCTCGACAACATGGATGCGTGACGCCGCATGGTTCGACTGACTCTGCGCTGGCAGCCATATTCCACGTCAATGACGTCCACGCACATCTGGACCAGTACTCCGGAAACGGCGCAGAGTGTAAAGACGGCACCAGAGGCTGCGTCGGGGGCTACGCCCGCATCAAGACCAAGGTCGATGAGCTGCGCGGCGAGAACCCCGACCATCTGTTGCTCGACGCCGGCGATGAATTCCAAGGCACCCCGTTCTACACCTTCTATGGTTGGGTCAAGATTGCCGAGATCCTCAACGACCTCAAGGTCGATGCCATTACCCTTGGCAACCACGAATGGGATGGAGGCGACGACAATCTCGGCAACTTCTTGGGGAACTTGACTTTCCCCGTCGTCTCCTGCAACGTCCAGAGCACTGTCAAAAGCTTGAACGAGACCATCAAGAACTACCACATCTTCGAAAAGTACGATGTTGCTGTCATTGGCGCCACGACCGAGACAACGCCCAACATTGCCAACGTCGGCAAGGGAACCACCTTTCTCGACCCGATTCCAGAGGTTCAAAGGGCCATCTACGAGATCCGCAACACGACCAAGGTCAAGCGTATCATCGCCCTCACTCATCTAGGCTACGAAGTCGACCAGAAGCTGGCACGGCAGACCGAGGGCCTCTCGCTCATCATCGGCGGCCACAGCCACACGCTCCTGGGAGACATGGACAAGGCCGAGGGCAAATATCCCACCATCATCAAGGACAAGAGCGGCAACGAGGTCTTTGTCGTCACCTCGTACCGATGGGGCGAGTACCTGGGCGCGATTGAAGTGACCTTTGACGAGAGCGGCAGAGCCCTGTCCTATCACGGATCACCCATCCACATGGACAACACCACGGCCCTGGACAAGGGCCTCGACAGAAAAATCACCGCCTGGAGGGGCCCCTTTGAGAAGTTCGCCGCCCAAGTCATTGGCAGCACAAGCCACGTCCTGGACCAGACGACGTGCCAAAAGCGCGATTGTCTGCTGGGCCAAGTCGTGGCGGATGCCATGTTGGAATACCGCCTGAGCCAGACGACCAACGGCGCTGGCGACAAGCCCGATTTCGCCATCATCAATGCCGGCGGCGTTCGAGCGACCATTGGCCAGGGCAACATCACCCGCGGACAAGTCATCACTGCCTTCCCGTTTAGCAACGCCGTCACGCAGCTGAAGTACTCTGGGGCCGATCTGCGCAAGACTCTCGAGGGCTGCGTGTCCCGCGTCAACCAGTTTAATCAAAGGAAGACGTCGTCCTGGTTCCAGGTCTCTAGCAACATCGTCATCGAGTACAACGAGAGCAGAGACGTTGGATCTCGGTTGGTCAACGTCATCATTGGCGGAAAGGCGCTCGACGACAAGGCCGAGTACAACGTTGTTACGGTCGACTTCGTCGCCGGCGGCGGCGACAACCTCTTGAAACCTGGTGCCGAGCTCGTGACTCTCGAGACTCTCGACCAGGTGCTCGTCGCGTACATCAGGGAGCACACTCCGCTTCGGAACGCTCTGCAGAAGCGTGTCGTCCAACGGCGCTGCGAGAGAGGGCACGGGAGAGGAGAGTGAGCTCGCGGGTGCCTACTTGCGTAGTCTGTCGTGCGGTCTGGCCCTTCTGGCGGCCCGCGTCTTGTAAGCAGACGCGCATTTGGTGACGGGGTTTGATGGTGCAATTTTTCATCGAGACCCACTGCCATGTCTTCCTTCCTTCCTTCCTTCCTTCCTTCCTTCCTTCACTCATTCACGTCCTTTTGCTGCAAGTCGCAAACACGATCCAGCAGAATTCATTTCATGACTAGCCTAGCCATCTGGCAAACGCCCAAATAGATGAATAAAAATCACCAGCACCACGCTCTCAGAATCTCTTCACCTCGCACATCTCAGACGGGCAGCTGCCGAGGCCGGTGCCGCGAGCCAGTACTTTGGCTGCACCACTCCCAAGAGCTCCTCGTCGCTCTCGAGGACCCGGCATGAAGTTTGTTGGGTAGTCAGTTATCGGCGCAAATTAGATCAAAAGAAAGAAATCACGACGTGGCTGACTCGTCTGTAGACCGGCTCAGCCATGCCCGTCCCTCGTCCATCGCCCGAGACTCGACGGCCCTCTCAGGCGGCCATGCTACATGTTTTATTGTGCGAGCTTAGCGAATCCCAACTTGCCGCCGCCACGAAGGCTCTGGAGTCGGGCATCTGAGTGCGTACGTAGCCAGCCTGGAGGGAGGAGGGGCCGGTCCCAACCTGCGTCACTGTCCAACTTTAAACAGGCAATGATTGGGTTATCTGACGACACGTCCCTGGCAGCTGAGGCACTGCAAAAGTAAATGCACAAGACATATGTTGCTGCGTAAGGGTTGACTGGTTTTGCGGTGGTGGTTGGGATGCCAGGAGAACAAGGTGCCGCACAAAGCGTAACGTCTAGGGACGTGCCGTTTGGGTGGCAGAGCATCGAGGAGTGAAGATCGCACACAATGGTGCCGGGACACGCGCCAACAGCATCTAGTTGCTTGACGGAGGCGTTTCTGGAGGAGCCTGGAAATCTGGCCCCTTGGATAGGCGCACGAACTGGCGCTGCCGGCACACGCGGCCAGCGAAGCATGCTTGGCTGCATGAGTAGGTGGTGGCCTTGCCTTCAAGTTTCAAGATTGCTGTCTGTCTTTCTCTGCAAAGTGTGCGTCGAGAAAGAGCACGTCTGCCTCTAGTTGGAAGGCAACAAACAGCATTGGGAAAATGCCAAGCGGCCAAGTGTCCCATTAACATACTTTCGACAAATTTGCCTTGCTGCAACAAGTCGATTGAGTGCCTACATGAGCGAGTGTTTGTGCTCAGCCATCGTTCAGGAAGTCGGAGACGCAACCAAGGCCATGGAAAAGTTACACACATGCAGAGAAATGGTACTAACCTCGAATGATTTGGACGAACGACCTACCCAGCTAATGACACCGAGCTGTGATCCTCCAAGTCGCTAGTTTCTTGAGCTTTGGAATAAGCGCCGCCACCTTTGGTGCCAAGCACGCACAAGCTTGAAATTGTGTCCGCCTAGGTACGGCCCTTAACTCAGACGATTGCCGGACAACTGAAAAGGTTTAGCGGAGAACTTAAAAAGGACAACAGGCGGAATAAAAGTGTACGCTAGCGAGGTTAAAACGCCAAGAAGGGTTCTGATGTTGACTGCTACATGCGTGTATGTGTCTATATATACATCTCTCTCTCTCTCCCTCCACATGCATCATAATGTGCGATTCCTTCAATGAGTCCCCTGGTCTCGTTCGACTTGGTCTCGGAGGAGCTGAGACAGCAGCATTCACTTCAGTTCTTCGAACCAGGGCGAATTCAACATGCGTGCGACCTTGTTTCTCGCTGCCGTGGCCTGCGACATGGCCAGCTCTCATCCGCCAAGAAGACTCGGAATTTCATCTACGTCGTCCCTGATGGATTCGGACCTGCGTCACAAACCCTCACTCGTGATTACTTGACCATGGGTAAGGGGGCTGAGGGGACGGGGAAACCCAACTCGACGAGGATTGGAGTCGACAACATGGTAGGTGTAAACCCCCCTGAAACCTTGTGCGAGGAGAAGCACAGTTATACAGAGATACTCATCCTCAGCGAAGATGATTGGCAGCGTGCGAACCCGGTCGTTTGATAACCTCATCACGGATTCAGCAGCCGCGGCTACCGCCTTTTCAAGCGGCCACAAGACGTACAATCGAGGTGAGCCCGGTCAAGTGAATCCGCACGACGACTTGATTCACAAGGGAGAGGAAAATGGGGGAGCGCAGTGTCGTTGACTTTTTGCAGCGATCGGAGTCGATCCCTACGTAAGACCCGTGGCATCGGTCCTCGAAGCAGCGCACCTGAACGGCTTCAAGACGGGCCTCGTGGCCACGGCGCGCGTCACCGACGCCACGCCGGCGAGCTACTGCGCTCACGTCCCCGACAGGAAGCTCGAGGACGAGATTGCCAGCCAGCAGATCGGGTACTCGCACCCCCTGGGACCCGTCGTCGACGTCATCATGGGCGGCGGACGTCGCCATTACCTGCCCAGGAGACTGGGCGGGAAGCGCACCGGCTACGACCTCATCACGTGGGCCAAGGCCCTGGGCTACAGCTACGCCGCCAACAGGCACGAGCTGGCAGAGTACACGAATGACCTGGGAAAGGGGATATTCCCCGTGCCGTTCCTGGGCCTCTTCGCCGAGAGCCACATGGCGTACGACATCGACCGCGACCCGGACAAGGAGCCGTCCCTCCTGGAAATGACCGAGGCCGCGGTCCGGTCCCTGGCCGCGGCCACGGCCAAGACGGAAAAGGGCTACTTCATCATGATTGAGGCCTCGCAAATCGACGACGCCGCCCACGCCAACGACATTGCCGCCCACGTCAACGACGCCGTCATGTACAACAGGGTCATGGACTTCCTGCGCAAGTACGTCGCCAAACACCCCAACACGCAGCTCCTCTCGGCGGCCGACCACGAATGCGGCGGCCTGACCCTCACGAGCGGCTACGACCCTTCTGCGCTGGCCGGGGCGAAACGCTCGACGGCGTTCCTCCAGCGCGCTTTCCACAATTCCACGGAGCCGGACAGAGCGACTTACCTGCGGAAGAGCATCCTTCCTCAGTACGGGCTTCGGAACACCTCCGACGCCGCCGTCGACAAGTACATGGACGTTTACCGCCGCGAGGGTGAGTCCGGCCTCGGAAGGGCCATGGCGCGCGATCTCGCCGCACAAGTGGGCGTCAAGTGGTCGACGACTGGCCACTCAGCCGTAGACGTCAACCTGTACGGCCTCGCCGTCGGCAAGGCGTACGCGCGGATGAAGACGCAGGTGGGCGGGCACGTCGACAATACCGAACTGCCAAGGTACATTGCGAAGACGCTCGGCCTGGACCTAGACAATGCCACGGGGGTCCTGAGGGACAGCTGGGTCAGGTACGAGGGAGGGCCGAACTGTCTGGGTGAAGGCGACGCCGCGGCCTGCAAAAGGCCCTTGTGAGCGCCACTGGATGTCTTGGGCGTGACGAGAAGGGGAGATTTGTACACGTGGCGGATGGGCGTGATGGTGTCGTGATACCGATGCTGCTGCCGTGATGTGGAGCTTTGTGCCGGGGACCGTGGAAGGATTTGACCACCTGGGAGCGCGACACGTTGGCTGAGCATGGCTGTGGATGGAAATGTGTGTTCTTGTGTTTAGTCAGATGTGGACGGACATGGCGCGAGACGTTGGCTGAGCATGGCTGTGGATGGAAATGTGTGTTCTTGTGTTTGATCGGATGTGGACGGACATGGCGCGAGATGTGCCTTGCTCCGTGCTGGTCTGGATTGTTTGTCATAATGTCTGGAATCGACGCGGCATCATGTCAATGACTGGCTGGTAGGTTTAGACGAGCTTGCGAAAGTTAATGACACCTGTGCTTTCATTATTCTCTACACGGCCTCGATCAATATATATACGCTCCAGCACGACGGATTTGTACAGCGTCGAATGCCATCGTCCATCCCTCATTGCAGTTTAATTGTCCGTTACCGAGAGGCAGAATCCCCATGCCGACCAAGTCTAGTCCTTCCGGCGCTAAATGCTGGCATCAAGATGAAATAATTAGACAACGGTTCGAAATCTATCCAGCCAAGAATACATGATTTTTGTGGTTCTAATCCTCCTCTTTCTTGACATCGTCGTCGTGCTCGTCCTTGGTGCCATGGCCGTCAGGGGTAAAGCGACCATTTCTAAAAAGCCGCCGCAGCTCGCAGTTTTTGGCATTCCTACCACTGGCCCTACACTCGCCGCATTGTCGGCCGTGCGTGACGAAGAGCACGTGCAACGGGTACTTTTCTTCATCGGGGACGACCGCATCCAGATGGGCCTGCGTTTCTTCTCTGCCCGCAGCGGCCGGCCGCCAACCAAGCAGGCCGGCGATGCGGTGGACGTGGGTATCGACTGCGAAGCTCGGGCGTTGCAGGCAGAACAGCAACACGCAGCTCGCCGTCTTGGGTCCCACCCCCTGGAAGGAGATCATCTCCCTCATGGCATCCTCGTCCGAGGCCTCGAACAAGTGGTCGAGCGAGTAGACGCCGTACTTCTCCCTCGTCTGCTGCAGAATGCTGATGATGACCTTGCTCTTGGTGGCGGCCAGGCCGCCGGTTTGGATCGACATCTCTAGCCTCGCCTGGCCGCCGTTGGCAATTTCTTCCCACTTGTCGCTGCCTCCGTATTCCTCGTCCATGGACAGCTTGGCGCGGGTGCTGTTCTTGTTGCTCGTGTTCTGTGACAGTATCGTGCGCACCAGGGCGTCCAGGACCGAGGGCGAGTCTCCGCAGCCGGCGGCGTTGACGGGCGCCACGACCTCCACCGGGCGAAGGCGCTCGCCGTGCAGTCTGGCCAGGACCTTGTGAGCGGCCCTGCACTCCTCTGCGGTCGGGCGTGCAAAGTCTGGGTAGGGGGACTGCTTCGAAAAGGCGGAGAAGGACTTGAGTTTGCGCTCCTTGAGCATGTCCGCCTTGGCCGTCTCCGTCTTGACGCCTGGACTCCGGGCGCCGAGGGTGGGGAGATGCCTGGCCGGAGGAGACACGGGCTCTGTCTTGACTTTCTTGATGCCGGGCCTGTCGGGTGACTTTGGTGAAGCACCGCGCTTCACGGGGCGCGAGGCAATCTGTTCATCGCCAGAGGCCACCTTGGATTCCACCGCAGGTACGTTCTTCACGTTCCTGGCACTTCGCCGGAGAGGCGCCACAGCCGAGGCGGCCATGGGCAGGCATGAGCTTGACAAACGGGGCATCCAAGCTCGGACGAGCCGGGTATGGGCAGTATTTCCGCAGACGGAGTCGAGGGTCAAGATAATACTGCGCCGTGGACGACAGACCACAGCGATGCCGGCGATGCCAAGGAAAGGGAAGCCGAAGGAAGCCGTCTGTGACTGATGGATGGAGGATGGCAGGTGGAACGTTGATGAACCGGGCCACCAGGCAGGCGCGACCGGATTCTGTCGGTGCATGGGTGAGACCAGAGACGGAACCACGACGACCCGGTGGGCCTCATCCATCGTCTTTGATCTACGTATCATCTAACCGTCCTCTTCCCCCAGCAATCTCGACTCATCACCGGCTCCGAGGAGACTCTTTGAGCACCGACCCCGGCCCAAACTCGCCTCGATCGGACTGCTTACTGTCTGGCCATCCAATGTCGACTCCGCAGGCCCTTCCGCAGACATCACGTAGGAGGTCATGCGACGCCGCAACAAAATTGAACAAATCATGTCCTCATGTCCACCAGTGCGGACAATGCCGACATCCTGCGACCGATTACTGCTCCGATGCAAATGACGCCACGTCCTGCATTCGTGCACGTGCATCGAGCGTGCTGATGGCGGGAATATGACCTGATGCCAATACTATGCAGGTAGATTTCTATCTATGTTGCGCCTGGGGCGCTCCTTGCGGCCTTGTCCTCTCCCATCCCATCAGCCTACCTCTGGAGGAAAGCCGAGTCGCGGATAACATTTCGACATGCACGCATTGAAGCTAGAATCGACCATATTGGCGGCTGTGGCAGTGTCGCTGGCTTGTGCGGCAGACTCCGGGACGAGCTCTTTCGACTACATCGTCGTGGGCGCGGGTACCGCTGGAAACGTGGTGGCAAACAGGTTGTCCCAAGATCCTAAAATCTCGGTAGCCGTCATCGATCCTGGTGCCGATTGGCGAGGCAACCCGAACGTCACAAACCCGATGGCATGGTTGGATAACATAGGAAGTTTGACCGACTGGGCCTATCCGACGGTCCCACAGGTCAATGCCAGCAATCGTGTGATTGCATTCGCCGCAGGAAAAGGCATAGGAGGCTCGAGTTTGATCAACGGTAGGTTTGAACGGAGTCGTCGTCCCAGCTTCAGTCATCTTGCGTGCTTTGCTGAGATGGAATGCTAGGTATGGCATATATCCGTGGGGACAAGGCACAGTTTGATGCCTGGGGGCGTCTCGGAAATCCTGGTTGGAATTGGGACACCATGTTGAGGTACTACAAAAAGGTCGAAAAGATCTTCCCACCGACACCAGCGCAAATGAGGGTCGGGGCGTCGATTGAACCGCAGTATCACGGAACCAGTGGCGAACTTCACGTAGCCTTTGGCCCGATGCTTGAAAACGGCACCCTGCACGACACGCTCAGAAGCTCATGGGCAGTCATGGAAGAGGGTGTGAACCAAGATCTCAACAGCGGAACCACCAAGGGATTCAGCGTTTGGCCGCAAACTCTGGACCCAGAGGAGAACAAACGATGGGATTCTGCTACTGCATTCTACTGGCCCATTCAAAGTCGCCGAAACCTCAAACACCTCAATGGTACTGTTTCCAAATTGCTTTGGAAGACTACTAATGGCCCCTCGGGAGCCGAGGTCGCTGGTGTGGAATATTTCGATCCTGACGGGCGAAGGAGGACGGCCAAAGCCAGGAAAGAAGTCATCATCTCAGCGGGAGCACTACGGACACCTCTTATTCTGGAGCGTTCCGGCATCGGCAACCCTCGTCTGCTCAATCAGAAGGGCGTCAAAGTAGTGGTGGATTTACCAGCAGTCGGAGAGAACCTGATGGACCAACCACTAAGCTCTCTCTTCTACAACACCAGTGCGAACATCAAAGGCTACACCTCGTACGCTACATTCGTTACTGCGGCAGATATTTACGGTACCAACGTTGACAAGGTTGCAAAAGACACCAAGGCGAAGCTTGGCCAATGGGCTCGGCAACTAGCGCAATCCAGCCTGGGTGGCTTAAACGCCTCCGCCCTCGAGCACATCTTCGAGATCCAGCACGAGGTCATCTTTGAGAAGCATGCCACACTGGCTGAGATTATTTCCGGGACACTGGGAGGCAAGATCGGCAGTACATACTGGGACCTGATGCCCTTTGGTCGAGGCAGCGTGCACATGAGCTCCGTCGACAACTTGAATGCCCCGGTCATTGACCCCATGTATTTCTCTCTCGACTTTGACCTTGCCACCCAGGTCGAGACGGGCAAAATAGCCGCCGAGTTTTGGACCACATCACCGGCGCAGACAGTCATCACAGGGCAATTCGCTCCCGACGCCACGGTATTGCCACCGAGGGCCACGGATGAGCAGTGGAAGAAGTACGTGCAAGATTCCAGTAGTTCCGTTTCTCACATGATCGGAACTGCGCCGATGATGGCCAGAGAGCTTGGCGGCGTCGTAGACCCTGAGCTGAAGGTGTATGGGACGAAAAATGTAAGAGTTGTGGACGCGTCCGTGTTACCGATGCAGTTTAGTGGACACCCGACAGCAACGATTTACGCCGTTGCAGACAGGGCATCTGATGTCATTCTCGGACGGCTCAACTGATGTTGCACGCGCTCTTGAGTCTTTTGCGCAGCCGAATCGGAGCACCGGCGAATAAACATGTATGGAGCTGATTGCAATCGCCACCACGTAGCCTCGAGAGAGAATAAAGGGAGGAAAAGAAAAGAAAAGATCCAATCAATGTCCCCGGTGCCCCCGTCTATAAACTGCTCGGCATACAACATCACACAGCCAACGAGCCAGTCGAAATCTTCGACGCCCCCGAGCATGCTGTCAGCAACGCTCCCAATCCATGCTGTCCACCACCATCCACGCCCACTCGTCATCCACAGCCATGCCAACGTCGCCGGCTCTCTCCAAGTCGCCGTCAACCTCTTCCTTGGCCACGGCATAGGCCCTTTCCAGTCCCTCAAGCATCTGGGAAACAATCCAGTCCAAAGGAATCGCGCCAGAGGACGGCGTCTCCTTGCCCTCCGACGCAACCTTCCACGTATTGCGCAACTTTTTGGCCTTCCAGAGCGCCTCGCAGACGTCTCCGCCTCCAAATATGCCCCTCAACGGGGTGTCCTCCTCCTCGAGCGCCTTGAGCACCCAGTAGTGGTATGCGTGCGCTGGCTCGGTACCGGCTGACCGCGCGCCGGCCCGGCCCGGACGGGCCTTGTCCACAGAGACGCCGAAGACCAGGAGCGCAAACACAAGGGCCTTCTCGACCCACGCGTAGAATTCACAGAAATCAACCTTGAAGTTGGCCACGGCGTCGGCAAAAGTAAAGTCGTAGCCCTCGGGGTCCATGGCGCGCCTGTAAGCGTTTCCGAGGTCGATGGATTTCCACCTCACCCGCCGGCAGGCCTGTTGAAAGCGATGGAAGGCCGCGAGGCGGGAGAGGGAGCCAGCCCTTGCTGCTGCCGACGACGACAACGACGTCGTCGAAGACGCGGCGAAGCCCGACGCCGCCGGCGGCGGCAACGACCTGGCCCTCGCGTCGTGCCGGTCGGCATCGTGTGTCCGGGGAGCCGGGGAGACTGGCGCCCACACGGAGGTCTGCAGACCGCGCTCCATGGCGGCCGGGCGGGTTCTCCGAGAGACTTGCTATGACGAGGGAGGGGGAGGACGCGGTGTCGGATGTCGGACGTGGCCATGGGGTTGGGGGGTCGAGATCAGCGCGGAAGTTTCTTTGCGAGGCTAGATCCGGGCGAGGCGTCTCGTCCACGTACATGTCCGGCCGGGCACAGCGAGCAGGAGTGAGTTCTGGGCGTCTTCACGACGTGCTGGGGCGAGACGGGGGGAGACGCAGCCGGCTTTCCATTGTTCTCGGCCAGTTCGGGGCATGTGAAGGAGGCCTTCATTCCATGCCGCGTCACGAAAAGGAAGAAAGAAAGATGTTGCCAGAGGCTACTCGTCCACGCGTGTCGACGCGTCCTCCATGATCTTGGGAGTTGTGACTTGTGAGTTGTGACATGGGTGGAACTCGGGACGAATAGGAAAGCACGACGCTCGCGCCTGCCTCCACTGCCCCCTTGGCTGCTGCCAAGAATCACGGCCTCGGAAAGGCGGCTTTGCTGCTCAATGGCTTCGCAAATCCAGCAGTGCGTAGGCCTTGTCAACCCGGACTCCGCAGTCCCAGGTCACACATTCAGGATCCCCCGGGTGGTGACAATGGCCGAGTACAAAGACATCGAGAATCTCCGCCGAGACAGGTCGCCGGCACAAATCACACATCACCACGTCTCGTTTCACAGAAAGGATGAAAAGCGCACCAAAACCAGGCGTCATAAGCACACTAGCACCGGATCATCTGTACAAGCTCGGCTGTAGTACTCTGCGTTCCACTCATGCGGCCAAACCAAAAAGAAAGAAGAAAAAAAAGCTCGCTACCCTACCAAAATCAGATTGTCCCAACTCCAACCCAGAAAACAAAATTCAACCACTCTATGCTTGCGTACATCGTTTTAATTTCGTAACACTAGAACCGCACCCTTGGAATCGACCTTTGCCGACGACTATTCACATGCCCTGATTTTCTTCGTTGCCTTGGCCGTGCCGATATGGGTGTTGTGCACCTAGTGTTTGTCATCAGCACCTCGTCTCGCTGGGGTCCAGTCTTGAGTCTTGAAGCAGCAGGCAATCATACCTTTGTAGCAAAGCGCAAGCTAGTCAACGTTTCCTTCAGATGCGTCTCCAACGGCGATACCATGACAAACATGAGCGTCTTGCTGTTCCCGCCCAAGCTGTACTGCAATAGATGCGTGAGCTTGGAGTTTCTGTACGGAACATGGCCAGATCCCCTGCCGAGCGCCTCGATCACGTCCCCGAGGCAGCTCAAGCTCTTGTTGATGTTCTGTGTCTCCTTCATTCGATCGCCCTCCGCTTGCGAGTGCTTCAGGCGTTCAGATCCAGCCAAATCAACAAGATTCAAGGTGCCTTCGCAACGTTCACCGGTGGCCATGTTCTCACCGACGAGCTTCAGGATGAAGACGCTGTGAGATCGTGAAGATCGTTCGTTTGCTCTAGTGGCTGCCACTGATCGGTTCTTTTCGGCCTCGTCAAGAATACGCTCCACGCTAGACGCAGAGTTCAGCTGGACTGTCTTGCAGTTGATAATGTTTGTTTGCTTGCGGGCCTCGTCGTGCCGTATTTCTAGTCTTTTCGACCTTCCCTCGGAAGACCGTTCATTCGGTGTGAGCAAGTCGTTGATTTCCTCATTGTAGACTTCCACAAATGAACCCTCCATTGTGTATTCCCAAGACTTCTCCCTGAGTTTCGTCATGGTGTCGTAAATCATGTGTGTAGCTCTGGGAATCATGCCATCCTTGGAAGACATGGTGTATGTCTTTCCAGACCCCGTTTGACCATAGCAGAAGATGCAAACGTTATACCCATCCAGGGCGCTTTGGACGAGCTGAGAGATCTCTCCAAATATCTCTTCGTTTTGAACGCTGGGAGCAAACACACGATCAAACTCGAAAGGGTAGTTCTTTCTCGATACAATGCCAAGGCTGCTCTTCTCCTCGGGTCCCGCCAGGACAATTTCTGCCGATGTCTTCTCGTCGGGGAACGAAATGCCAGCTTCTTCGGAGCCATCATCGGCAGTCGCAGGTCGAACTCGGCACATGACCCGGATGTTGCCCTTGAGCTCCTGGTATTTGTTGAAAAGAATTCTTCGCTCAGTCTCCTCCTTGATGAGCTTTAGACGGGCTTCCTCCGCCGCCGCCAGGGCCTCTTGCAGTCTCGCCTCCATACTGGCAAACGAGTCTGATTGTGCCTTGCTATCCGATTCGAGGAATTCGACCTGGGAACGAAGCGAGTTGATCTTGGCTTCAAGCGTAGTGTTTGCCGCAGACAGCTCCGTAATGTTGATCTGGAGGCTACGCTTGAGTGACTTCTCACGCTCCAGGTCATCCCTCAGACTGTCGCATTCAAACCGAGCGTCTCGAATTTCTCGGTCTTTTCGCTGCAGCTCGAGACTCAAGTCTTGTTGTTCATTTCCCATGCGCGCTCTAAGGTCCTGGACCTCCCGATTCCTCTTTTGGCGCTCGTCTTCCAATTCCTGCTGATAGTGTCGATTTAGTCCATCAATTCTTGCCTGATGTTCCTTTTCTCCTTCGTCCTTGAGTCGATCCAATTCTTTGCTGAGATCCTCAACAACCTTCCTGTGCTGTCTTGAGAGGTCGTCAACGGTTTCTCGATGCCGCCTGTCAAGGTCTTCCAGATCTCGGCTTTGCTGCCACTGCAGCTTCTCCAGCTCGTACTTTGCCAGCCTGTTCTCGTCTCTAGCCACGTCAATGTCTGCTTTCAGGGCTTCGTTTCGTGCCTCCAGTTTCTGCCGATGCTCCTCAAGCTCCGAGACTACAGCCTACTTAGCACGACAGCTCTCGAGACAAAAGAAGACCTGATTGGTGGCTCACCTCTGGTCTTGGCAAGAGTAAGGGCATCTTCGTGACCCTTTCGCTCCACAAGCGTTGTGTTTACCATGTCTTTCAGCTCCTTGAACTGAGATTCCATGCTATCAACTCTGCCGTCAACGTCCCAAGCTGCAAATGCGGCCAAGTTAGATTCTTTTCTGAGAAACTTGTGCGGAGAAGGGGATTTGGTTGGGGAAATCTTCAATGACGATATGCAAGTTTCCACCTTGGCAATTTGCTTCATCATTTGCGTTTTGCTCGGTGACTTGGGAGGGACTGCCTAAGCCTCCGATGAAACTGAGCGAGCTTCTTTTGGCTCCACCCTCTTTGCTCTGATGGTGATGTTGGGGGCGCGGGTAGAAGTCGAAGAAGTCGAAGAGGAGGAGGACGAGGAGGAGGAAGAGCAAGAAGTCGTTCTGGATCCATTTCCAGATGCCACTCGACATCCATTGGAGGTGGCATTGTCATGTATGCTCAAGCCCTTGAACCTTGCCGTAAGAGAACTTTCTCTGCTGCGGGAGAATGCTGGGGTTGACTTCATGTGTCTGAGCCTCGTGTTTTGGAGGTTGTCGTCACGGTTCGGGCTCAAAATCGTACCATTAGTGGACGTCGTCTCCTCGAAATGCTCTTCTGGCCGGTGACCGTGTGCCGTCCTTGGCCTGGCGGCTTGGCTCTTTGATCTGGCATGGCTAGATCGGAAGGCTGATGGATTCAGTCGATCAGATTGATTTCGAGAAGGGCCAAAGCTCTTCGCAAAGCTGGTCAGTGGAGTCGGCGCCGCGGTGTTTGCAGTCTGTCGCGTCGGCCGCTTAAGCTGCGTCGAGGTGTCAGACTTGCGAGCAATGAGGTACGTGACGGCAAGCCCAGAGACAATTGCATCGTCCAGAACTAGCACGGTCGGTCCTAGAAGCCTACCTGTGGCAAAGTTTGTCCCTTGAGCGCCAATTTACTAGCGGTAGAGGCAGCGACAGAATTCGACGCCGGATACTCGACAGCCCGGTCGGCCAAAGGCTTGCGTTTCGGCTCGGGTTGTTGTGCTGCAGTAGCGTGTCGTCGATTAACCTCCAAAGCTCATCACTCGTGCAACGGCCATGCCGGGATCTTACCCGGCTGTGGAATCTCTCGTTTCATGAGAGGCTTGACTCCGGGCGGAGCTGGTATTGCTGTCTGCGTGCGAGCATTGTGTTGTGACTCGCTCAGTTCGGCGAGTCCTGCGTAAACGGCCGGGCCTGGCAGACGGCTCATCTTGGATACCCGCAGAGGCTGCAACCGGAGTCAGATCACCATCGTGGTCAGTTGCGTGGGAAGCGGACACGGCGGTTACGCCCGGGCATGCACCAACCTGAACGTCTGAAGTCTCCATGATGAACGTCGTACGTCTCACGGAACGGAAATTTCCCCTTCACACAGCAGCAAGACCCAGACGTCGAGACAAACAACAAAGTGGGCGAGGGAGAGGAGCCGTGCGCCCTCGATTTGTAGACGCTGTCGATTCGTCGCAAAGAAAGCGCCGGCGAGTCGTTCGTCCGAGGAGTGTTCAGATGGGGATGAGTACGATCATCGACAAGAAATGAAGTGCCGAAGCGCTCCTGTGTTTCGAAACACTATTATGTAGTTATTTCGGATTGACTGACACACACGAGGTCCCCGCCGGCTGGCATTGCACTAGTGCTAGGAGCAACCGATGGAGTGAGTGCAAGCTGAGCGCGCGTCGGGCCCGTAGATAATCAGTGTGTGGCGTTGTTTATCGGTGTTGCGGGGGCAACCGCGCTGGGGCCGCCGCACGTAGCCGGCTCAGCCTCCCTCAGCCACAGCTCCGACGAGACCGCAACTGACTGTTACGCCGCCTACAACGCACATGGCCATTCATGATCCGCGTGATTTGGCACGCTAGGCATCGTTCTGTTTAGCCCTTGGATAAATGGATTTTTCTCGAAACATGGGATGCAGACTGACGGCGTGTCTAGAATGCCTAGGCTGCACAGACTCTGTTGTGATAGGAGTCAAACCACGGAGTATTTATTCAGCTCGAACTGTTCCCCAATGCCGCTAGACTACAATCGGGGCGCGGTGGGCCACGCCACAAGCCACGAGCCGCGAGCCACGAACCATGAACCACGAACCGGAACTCCGCCCTGTATGTGGTACGGAGTACGGAGCACGGAGTAAGCTTAACCCATCAGTTTTAGCTGACAGTCTACTCCGTACTCCGTACAGAACGACGGACCGAGCGGCGAGCGGCGAATCCTGCCCGTACACACACGGCGACACATCCCAACATTTGCAAGGCATAACTATATTTTTGCTCCCTCTTCTCCTTCTGGATAGCAGCCGGCACTTCGGGGCCGCTCAACGGGCTCTCGGGATTCCTCTCCTCGTCAACCTTGCCAGTCCCTGGCCGCATCCATCACGACTCGTCAGCTTCCCGAGGCCGCTCCGTCAAGACTGGCCAGAACGACTCTGGTCAACGCCAGAGACGGCGGCGTGTCGATCGATACTCACTACCCCCACGGTCCACGGCGTCACTTGGCCCGCGCCGACAAAGCGCCACCAAGATGGAGAAGTTCAGCCAGTTCCGGGATCGAGGTAGAAGCCAGAGCCCCGCCGATGCGAAGCGCTTCTTCGCATCGCCCTCGCCCCGTCCGTCCCGTCGCGTGAGCCGTCTCGTCGCTGACCAGTGTTTGTCTGTTTGCCACCAGCAACCGGCATCTCGCCGTTTCTCCCGGCAACGACGCCCCTGTCGCCCGTCTCGCTCGCCATGCACGCCGTGCTCTTCGTCTTCCGGCTGCCCTTCTTCGCCGCCTACGCCGCCAGCTACTTCGTGCTCTTCCACCACCTGCCGCTGCCCGTTGTCGCGCGCAAGATGGCCCTCTGGGGGCTCATGGCCATCCCGGGCATCTGGTGGGTGGACCTGCAGCTGGACGGCGTCAAGCGCGGAACGCTGTCGGGCCAGCCTCTCCACCGCTTCCCTCACCCGGGCTCCATCATCGCCGCCAACTTCACCAGCCCCATCGACGCCGTGTACCTCGCCGCCATCTTCGATCCCATCTTCACCGTGTCCTACCCTGGCGAGAGGCGCGTCCGGCGCGTCAGCCTGCTCGGCGCGATCATGCAGGCCCTGAGCCCGGTCAGGACGACCCCTCCGCCCGACGTGAAGCTGGTCCGTCTCGAGCACTTGGTGGACGCCCATCCCGACCGCGTCATCGCCGTGTTCCCAGAGTGCGGCACCAGCAACGGCAAGGCCATCCTGCCCCTGAGCCCCTCCTTGCTCGACGCCCCTTTTGACGTCGCCATTTTCCCCGTCAGCCTCCGCTATACTCCTCCGGATGTCACGACGCCCCTGCCGGGACTGTGGTTCCGGTTCCTGTGGAACCTGCTCTCGCGGCCCACGATATGTATTCGGGTCCGCATCGCAGAGAGCCAGATGAACACCGCTGCGGCCAGGCACGGCACTGCTCGGGACTCCGACCGCACCGACGAGCTGCGGCTCAGAAAAGACGGCTCTTCGGACCCTGCGGTTGAAGAGAAGAGGGTTCTGGATCGCGTTGGAGAAGCCCTCGCCAGGTTGAGCAGAGTCAAGCGTGTTGGCTTGACCATGAAGGACAAGGAGGCGTTTGTCACAGTCTACAACGGCAAAAAAAAGTCATGAGACGCCGTGGACAGAAGGTGCTCTCGAACTTTGATGATGCTGCTTTTTGAGGGGGCGTGACGTGCGAGAATGAGAGTCGATAGTTTATTGCCTCTCCAACTGGGACATTTGGCGTTGCATTGCACGGAGCTTGGAATTGAAAATTGCTCATTCGCGCTGTGTTACCTAATATAGGGAGGTCCCTTGATCTCCTTTGCTCCCTTGCACATCTGTGGTGTGGCGGTCAAAACTTTTGAAAATACCGACTGATTTGAATTTTTTCAACACCTGGTATTACCCGGCCTGATGACCATTGTTTTTGCTACAGTAGCTACAATTTTCTTCGCTGCCTTGGAAAGCACTCCCTCTTACCCGAGGTGACCAGACCAGACCGCCCCTGCAAGCGCCGTGAAGCAGTAAATCCAACATAAATACGATGCTCCGTCTCAAGTACCCAACCAGTCCACAGTTTGAGCCCGACTCCTCAGTGAATTGACCCGTCTGTGACGCATCCCGAGCTTGCATCGCTGACCAGAGCTGCGTACTTCTTCAAAGTACCCTTGGTGTACCTGGGAGCGGGTGCCTTCCATGCCTTTCGCCGAGCCTCCATGACGGCCTCGGGGACGTTGAGATCAATCACCTGTTTCTCAGCATCAATGACGATCTCGTCGCCGTTCTCGACGAGCGCGATGGGGCCGCCGACAATGGCTTCGGGGACGATGTGGCCAATGATGAAGCCGTGAGAACCGCCAGAGTAGCGACCGTCGGTCAAGAGGGCAACATCCTTGCCGAGCCCGGCGCCCATGATGGCGGACGAGGGCTTCAGCATTTCGGGCATACCAGGACCACCCTTGGGGCCGTCGTAGCGGATAATGACGACGGACTTTTCGCCCTTTTTGATTTCGCCCCTTTCCAGGCTGGCAATCATGTCGCTTTCCGAGTCGTAGACCTTGGCCTTGCCTGTGAACTGCAGACCTTCCTTTCCCGTAATCTTGCCCACGCAGCCGCCAGGCGCAAGGGATCCGCGGAGGATCTGGATGTGGCCGGTGGCCTTGACGGGGTTGCCCAGAGGGCGGATGACCTGCTGGTCCGAGGGGAAGTCGGCAACGTTTTCCACGTTCTGTTTCATGGTCTTCCCCGTGACGGTGATGCCGGAGCCGTCGAGAAGGCCCTCCTTCAAGAGGAACTTGAGCAGAGCTGGGGTACCGCCGATCTTGTGAACGTCCTCCATTACATATTTACCAGACGGTTTCAGATCAGCCAACAGAGGAACCCGGTTAGAGACGCTCTGGAAGTCATCAATTGTCAGCTTGATGCCCACGGAGTCGGCGATGGCAATAAGGTGGAGCACGGCGTTGGTACTTCCGCCGAGAACGGAAACGACCGTCATGGCATTCTCAAACGCCTGGCGGGTCATGATGTCGCGAGGTCGGATATCCTCCTTCAAAAGGTTCTTGATGGCCTCGCCGACGCTCTGGCACTCGGCGATTTTACTGGGGTCCTCGGCTGGATTGCTGCTGCTACCAGGCAGGGTGAGACCGACCGTCTCGAGGGCCGTGGCCATGGTGTTGGCCGTGTACATGCCACCGCAGGCGCCGCTGCCCGGGCAGGCGTGGCGGATGATGTCGAAGCGCTGCTCTTCGGTGATCTGGCCCGTAATGTACTGACCGTATGCCTGGAAAGCCGACACGATATCGAGAGACTCGCCAGACTGGCCACAGCCGGGTTTTATAGTACCGCCATAGACCATGATGCTGGGGCGGTTTACACGTCCAAAAGCGATGGCGACGCCAGGCATGTTCTTGTCGCAGCCAGGCAAGCTGATGTTGGCGTCGTACCATTGACCGTTCATGACCGTCTCTATACTGTCGGCGATGATTTCTCGGCTTTGGAGAGAGTATCGCATGCCGGCTGTGCCCATTGAGATGCCATCACTGACGCCAATGGTGTTGAATCGGTACGGAATCAGTCCAGCTTTGGCAACAGACTCCTTGACGACCTTGGACAGGTCCATGAGGTGCATGTTGCAAGGGTTGCCCTCGTACCAGACGGACGAAATGCCAACCTGGGCTTTGTTCATATCATCTTCTGAGAGGCCAGTGGCGTACAACATGGCCTGTGATGCACCTTGCGACTTGGGTTGTGTAATGGATGATGAGACTTTGTTGAGCTTGTCGTCCGCATGGCGAGACAGTGTGGTGCACAGGAAGCGTCTACGTGATTTGCATCTTGTGTCAGCGATGGAGAGTTCCAGCCATTCGAGTAGTAGAGTAGGATATTGAATCGTCGAGTGTACCCATGGCTCTTTGAAGGCGCAAAGCCAGCTCTCGCCAGCGAGGCCAGGCTGCCGACAGGCCTCTGCCGCATCGCGGACAGCATTTCTTGCTAGTCTGGTGGTGACGAAGGCAGGAAGCAATTGGACGAAAAGAATTGATACCAGCTTCAGTTGTATACTGCCAGTGACAACCAGAGCTGCCAGTTGGATGCAGCAACGTTTGTTATGACATGGAGTCGAGGAGGTAATCAAAAAGAGATCCGGGCCAGCGGTGTCGGCGCGAACACTGTGAAGTTCGTTTTTATTCGCTTGTCCCTGTGACTCAGGTATCCACTATAGGTAATTGGCGTGGTGTCATTGGCTGACGCTCGTGGTTGCTGTCTCCTAGTTGGGCTGGGGCTATAGGGGAGGTATCTCATATTCGTAGACTACTTAATTAGCACGGTGGAAGATGTGGAAGATATTGGGGCATAAGTTAGTTAGCACACTAGAAAGCAGCTTGGCATCAAGGCCTTTTCATCCATCCTGTACAAGACAGGACAGGGCATGGAAGAGGATGGTGGCTACGGAGTACCTACCTGATGATATCTCTGCGTGAACGTCTACTGCATATTGCTTCTCACAAGCTAATTTGTCACCACCTTGGAATGAAGCAGCCTGGCACGGGGAGCAGGTTCAATTTTGGCAACGGCATGACATGAAATATTTGAATGCCATGTCATGTGTCCATAAATGCTTTGTGTGACGAGCGTCAACCAAACTATCCAGACCGCATGTGAGGCTGATATGCCGACATCGGCGACTGTGCAAATTACCGCATAAATCATAAATTCTGTCCTCCGATGCGCAGCAGCGCCGATAGCTTGGCTTGAAAAGTCTGCCACCCCGTAGCCATCGATTGAGCTCGTGATTTCGACTTGAGTGATGCATGGCTCCGAGACGAGAACGCGGTTGAGCTCAAAAGGGCGGCCAGACCGCACCTTGCCACAGGCCCCAATTAACCGTCCGTCTTCTTTGCGTCCCCCTCTTTCTTGTTCGTTCTTTTCGTCAAGACTTCGTCAATGACCCCCAGCGCCAAGGCCTCTTCAACACTTAGATATTTGTCTCTCTCCATCATATCATTGACCTCTTCTAGCGAGTACTTGTCGGTGCCCTTTGCCTTGTTCAAATGATGCTGCATGATCTTATTTGACTGTTCCCGAATGCGCTGTATTTGGTTGGCGTATATCAAAATATCCGATGCTTGGCCTCGCGTCCCGCCCAGCGGCTGATGAATCATAATCGAGCTGTGTGGCAATGCGAATCGTTTCCCTGCTTCGCCGCCGGCCAAGAGAATCGCCGCCATCGAGGCAGCGCCACCAACACAAACAGTCGATACGGGAGATTTGATATAGGTCATAGTGTCGTAGATGGCCATTCCTGGAGTGGCTGTCAGAACTCTCATCTCCGAGCTCCCTTACCGAGGAAGCGTACCTGACGTCACTGAGCCTCCTGGGGAGTTTATGTACATGGTGATGGGCTTCTCGGGCGTATCGGATTCGAGCCATAGGAGCTGAGCAACGACCGACGCAGACATGTAATCGTTGATTTCGCCATTTAGGCAGACAATGCGTTCCTAAACATGTTAATTCGCCGCATGTGTCCGCGCCCATCGACAGTCCGAACCTGCAAAAGCTTGGAGAAGATGTCCCCTGCGGTCCGTCAGTATTATCCCTTTTCGAGTTTGCGAATGCAAATTGTACAACGTTCGACAAACATGTTTTCCTGCCTGCCGCCTGTTCACGTCAGCCACGAGTTTCTGACGAGCGACCGGCTTTCCGATATCAGCAATCGCTCACCGATGTCTCTTCAATATATGGCATTGGGATGTAGTCCATCGTCGGCTGGGACCCAGCCCTACTAGAGAAGCCAAAGGATCGCTTTCCGTGATGCGATTGTCTTGCGAGCCCGCAAATGGCCGCCAGAGCGCGTGGTCGCAACATGGTGACGTTGGCCTGCGATTGTGTTGTGTTGTTGTCGTTGCTGAGCTCGGTGCCGAGCGCCGCACACGTTCCTGTAGGCCGTGGGGGCGTGAGCTCTGGCATTGGGCGCCTGACTCTGCCAGCTCTCCACCGAAAATCCCCATGCGGCCAGCATCGTCTTGGCCCAGACGTCGCAAGTTTCTCAATCCCGGTGTCCAAGGAGTGCAGCCTCTCCGAGGTCTACCACCGTGGCCCCAAAAACCACCTGCCATGATAGTAAGAATACCGTTCCGGGCCAAGCCATTGCGCTCTGCTTGCTGTGATGGCCAGGCGCAGAGATGGGCATCATACTACGAGTCTTCCCTCACGAAAGACGCATTGAAGCAGAAGGTCGAATCGGGCCTTGCCGGCGGCAACGGCGACGCGAATATGTCTCTAGATACGGAGAAAAAGACCATATCAACGGCCACGGGCGATTTGCCAATCTCTCCCCTCTTCGACCCCGACTGGATGAAGGCGCGCCGACGGTCAAGAAAGCAAAATCCAAGCAGGCCCATGGGTAGATTCCGGAAGAAGTTGGCCAACAATCCGTATAGTAAACAGGCCACACCCTATGACACTTTCTGCTTTGTCTATATCTAATGACTTGAAAGCTCAAGCGCTCGCAACTCCTATTCGCCGATGCCCCAATACCGCGATATGCCTACCGAGGTACTTCCTGCAAGACTTCGAACTCGTCAAGCACCCGAAGGACGACTCCCCGTGGTGGGCGCCAGGTCCTCTGGCCTTTGAAAACCTGATAGACGAAAGCCAACCTCGAAAAGATGAACCGCGGGACGCAGGCTTGGATGTAGAAAAGTCACAGACAAAAACATCAGGTCCCGATGCTCACGCCCCCACCACCAATTCAAGCAGACGTACAGGACGAAGTCCGATTACTAGCTATGCCTTGGCTCGAAAATCAGTCATAGACAGGATCGGAGGCCCAAGTCAAAGGCATGCGGCCCAACTCCTAGCTACGCGCACCGGTTTGGCCTTGGCACCGAACATCAAAAGCCCAGTCTGGAGGCAAGACATGGGCGACGTTCTTTTGCGAATGATGCGACGCCAGGCAGTTGATGCCCTAGTCTTTCAATCGGGGATGGAGGGGTCAAGGCGGGAAAAAGTGCTCCAGCCTTGCGAGGAGTGGGATCAAGTCAAAGAGGTCAAGCCTAGCGGATGTGTGCTGTGGTTACCCAGTAAAGAGGAGTCGTGTCCTCGGTACGCGACGCTCGACATCGACGGGGCCAAGTATGGATGCAAACTTGTGGTGCATGATTTGCACAGGCTCTTTGGAGAGGCTGAACTCGAAAGACTGACAGGTGCGTCGAAGCTATTTCAAGAGAGCGAGATTGTGGTTCTGAAGCAGCGGAAGTCGCTTATGAAGCTCCATCTTTTGCTGTGGCGATTGCAAGGGTATTTGGCACAACCGACCGCCTTGTGATCCAAACCCTTGCGATGACAAATGCAAAGATGTATGCGGAATCCTATAGACTGTATTATAATCTGGCTAAATTTGACAGCTGCGCTTGGTACGGCGGCTGAGGCCCCAAGAACGATGATGTTTGACCACTCGGAGATGATGCTGATGATGCACCGTGGTCTGCGGCCATGGACGGAGATCCGCAAGGCCGCGGGCGCCGAGTCTCACGAGCAATTAGTTGGCGTATCTGTAGAGACACCAAAATGCATCATTCGGAGGAGTTCATGATATATCAGTTGCTCTTTGTTGGCTGGTCCAACCCCTCGTCTCGACATCCCGGGGCAGCGATTCGCATCTATTGTGGATGAGGCTCTGCCGGCTACGTCAAACTGCCGATGCAGCGTGCACCGAATTGCCAGCTCACTCGTCAGCTCGACCATCCTGGACATTGCCATGAACCAACCCCCAACGCTGCCTCGGAGCCTCGTCGCAGTACAGTACCAAGCAAAGAGGTCCGGGGCGAGCGAGCGATTCGAGCGAGGAACACATCTGCAATCGTCTCCGGCGGAACAAGCAAGCTCCTTGCCAAGATTTGACGCGCAGATGCAGTCCGGACACGGCGCAGAGCTTATCCAACAGGAGAGGAAGCCATACAAAAACGGAAAACCAGCGACTCCCATCTTCCTGATTCACGATGGCGGTGGAACTACATTCGCATACCACTGCTTGGACTCGATCAACAGGTACATCTACGGCATTGGCAACCCATACTTTGACAACCCCGAGGCGTTTGAGGGAAATCTCGCACATCTTGGACAAGTGTATGTCGCATGGATCCGAAGGGCAGTGACAAGGCCAGACTTCCCCGTCCGGAGAGCAGGGAATGGGCGTGTCCAGATCTACTTGGGCGGATGGAGTCTGGGCGGCCTGCTGGGCTTTGAAGTCGCCAGGCGCCTCGTCGACGACGACGACATCAAAGTTGTGGGTATTCTCATGATTGACACCATATACCCCGGTGGCTTCAGGTGGACTGCAACGACCGATCCTGCCAGCCAAGTGCCGGAGACGGGCCTTGCAAGGACCGAGATGCTGTCGAGGAGGTGCATGGTGCAGGCGAGGCGTATGGTTGGCGGGTGGAAGATGCCCGTCTGGGATGGAGACGATGCGGATACGCGGCCGAAGAGCGTGCTCGTGAGAGCCAAAGGGTGCCTGCCGACGGCGGCGGGTGGACTTGGAGTTCATGAACTGGATATATACCGTGGAGATGAGAAGCTGGGATGGGGCAAGTATGACAGGAACATGTTTGCTCAGGTGTTTGCCGTCGACGGGCACCATTTCGACCTGTTTAGCTTCGGCAGGGTCGCGGAGACGACCAGGGTTGTGACACGGGCATTGGAGCGACTGGACAAGGAGCTTGTCTGTAAGGGATGGCGGCCGTGGTAGTGCTATGGGTGTGCTGTTTCCGTCGACGAAGGATCTGTTGTCAAGTTACAGAGTTGTAGGTGTTGGATCGATTGGACCTTGGAAAGTTGGCGAGGAGTCGAGCCCAATGGCATGTCTCGAGTATAAACGACGTCGGGCGTGGTGATCCATCCCGGCCGAGGTATTTCCCAGCATTGTGATGCGTGTGAAGGTACCTACGACTCGGTAATGCTACCTGAAGGCGCATGGCCCGATAAAGTGCCGCCCAAGCACATGGCACATTTCCAACCCTAAGGACCCAGGAGTCAGGACCCGGGGCCCACGAAGCCTGAGCACGCAGGAACGTGCGTCCCACCCCCCACCTCATGCCCCTCCATGGGCTTAAGAAACGTCAAGTCGTGGCCCCGCGACCGCGATACGCCCGTCGTTTTAGCTCATACATCAATCTACCCCTCGCCGTCGTTTTACTTCACCATCTCTTATTTCTGCCTTTTTTTCTTTTCTTTTTTCCTTGTTTACAACACCCTCCTATACACAATCACTTCATTGCTTGTTTTGTGGAATCACTCCATCGAGATGGAATACGATACAAAGACCCGTACGAACCCGTCCATTCGACCTCGACTAGAGCCTGACTGACTGACCCTCACAATCGCAGCCAAATCCGTCACCAGCGACCCTACATCGTTTGCCCACGACTCTGTGCGGAACCGCTGGCCGGTCATCCTGGTACGCAGCTTCCACCCAGTGCGACTGCAATAGGAGAAATTGCTAACACCCCCACGTATGCAGACGGGAGCTGTTGACGACGTTCACCGCACGGTCGCCGAGACTGACGACGCCGAGAAGCAGGCCGAGGGCAAGAAAATTATCGAGCAACTCGGCAACCTTAAATACGAAGTTTTGCACGACAGAAAGCTCACGTGCGTCTTGCAACCAATTTGACATTCTGCCGCATGGAGAATCTGGACTGATGATTGCCACCTGCTATAGTCCCATCGTCGACGATGGCTACCCTGAGGAGATTGCTCGCTACAACAAGGAGATTGAGCAGCTGGGCAACCCTACATGGTTGCACGTCCCTTGGCTCTTCTCCGAATGCTACATGTACAGGTGCGCGGAAACCGCCCCTGCTCTGCTAATCCAGTCGTCTCGACGCTAATCCCGCCCCCGACAGACGCATTAGCACCTTCTTCAGTGTCACCAAGCACTGGAAGAACTACGACATCTTCGCCCGCCAGAAGATGGACACTTTCCGCACTTCTCGGAACGCTGTTGTTGAGCTAGCTTCCCGATACAAGGAGTTTGTCACTGAGCTTCGCGGCAACACGGATGCCACCCACAATGAGGATGCCGAGAAGCTGCTCTTTACCGAAATGTTTGAGATTTGCCTCTGGGGTAACGCCACCGACCTGTCACTGCTCACCAACCTCACCTACGAGGACATCCAGAAGCTCCAGGGAAGCCAGGCTCGTAAGGCGGCAGAGAAGAACATTTTGATCAACGACCTCCCCGATGCTTACGCCATTCTCAAAAAGGCCCGCGATGATGGCAAAAAGGAGCGCCGTGTTGATTTTGTTCTCGACAACTCCGGGTTCGAGCTGTACGTTGACCTCGTCTTGGCCGGCTTCCTCCTCACCTCCGGCTTGGCTACCCAGATTGTTCTTCGTCCCAAGTCAATTCCCTGGTTTGTCTCTGACGTCCTGCCCGGCGACTTCCCACTGCTGCTCAACGCGATTTCCAACCCCAAGAAGTTCTTCGAGGCCCAGTCCGACGAGGAGAAGCTTCAAGACAAAACCCCGGCCCCATTGGCTGACAAGGAGGCCGAGGACCTCCTGTATGTCTTTCAGGAGTGGGCCAACCTCCACGCCGAGGGCCAGCTCATTTTGCGCCCCAACCGCTACTGGACCGCCGGTGGCAGCTTTTGGCGTCTGCCTGCGGAGGCTCCTGAGCTTCACGAGGACTTGAAGGGTGCTGAGCTCACCATCTTCAAGGGCGACCTGAACTACCGGAAGCTCACTGGTGATGTATGTTTCAACGCTTGAGCCACCGGCCCCCTCCGCATGATTCATCTCACGCTTGGCAGAAGCTAATGGGAACTTGCAGGCTCAATGGGACCCGACCACTCCGTGGACCACGGCCCTCGGCCCCATGGGCCCTGGATCCGGCGTCAACGTCCTTTCTCTGCGAACCTGCAAGGCTGACGTTGTTGTCGGCCTTCCGGCTGGCAAAGACCAGGAGTTGAGGGCCACAGAAGGCGGCGGCAGCGACACCGGTGCCAGGCGATGGGCCTGGCATGGAAAGTGGGCCGTTGTCTGCCTCTCAAAAGGCTCATAGAGGCCCAACTTGTACTCTGGATATTGATGTGCAGAGTCGAACTGTTTCTCATAAAACGATAGACTATAGAATGATGGATCTACAACCAGGATAGACTAAAATCAAAGGAGACTTGCGGAGCATTTGCTTGCCCAGCTGAAGAGGGACGCAACACACAACACGCCCTGCCCTCGTGTCGCTCGTCCGTGTTCCGCGGCACACATGCGTGCCAGTCCACCCCGGGAACTCGACACAGCCCTGAACCTAGACTCCCCCGTACGAGGGGGGCCCAGTGTAGGAGGGAGGATCCTCATACGACGGCGCCCTGGTGACGGTGACGAATGTCGTGGGCGCAGCGGTCTGTCGAGACGTCGTCTCCGTAGCACCTGCGCCAGACTCGGACTCGTAGCAAGGCCACGACGCGTCCGCGCAGCCTGACGAGCTGCCCGGGCCGCCGGACGACGCCGGGGATCCCCATGTAGCGGTTGACGGCGTTGACAGTGTTTCCGTCGAGCCCGCGCCAGATGGGCCGTGGGGCGTCGCTGCCCGCGTGCCGCCGTAGGCAGGGGGGAGCAGCACGCTCGACGGAAAGACCGCCGAGGGCCGGCACGAGCCGCACGCGGACGGTGGACCCGGACTTGGAGACGCCCCCGAGTAGCCGGGGGCGGGGATGCCGGCGGAGCAGCAGGACGCGGCGGCTGTCGCGGAGACGGTCGCCGCGGCCAGGGCCAGGGCCAGGGCCGGGAATACCAGGGCACTAGGAGGCAAGAGAAGAAGTCAGCGTGGGGGCTGCCGTTGTCGCCGTCGCCGTCGATGCGAGGGGGGGGGGGTGCCGAACGTACCCGACGCCCCGGGTGAGCAGCTTGCCAACGGGCCTCATCACGTCGAGGGTCAGGCTTGGCGAGGGGGGACGGAGCTAAGCCAGACGAGCTGTAACTTATTTGTTGAATGTCTTGGGCACTCGACGACCTGTATCTCAGATGCCTGCGGCCGTGGCATTTATACGTGTCTCGCTGCTGCCGAGCAGTGCCGCCGCGCACCGGGCGTCGGAGACGCAGGGCCACGGGGTCCTGCCCCTGTCCCGATCGGTCTGGACTGAGGAGGTGAGGTACAGAGTACGTTGATGCGTCTATCCGAAGGTCATTTCGGCCCGGGGCCCGGACGAGCGACGCCCGCACCGTCCAACAGCCGTTGTTCCGGCCCCAGGGGACACAGGGGGCCTCCTTGCTGCGGGACGCCGGCCACGAGGGCAGGTTGCGACGCCCATCGCGGCCAGCGGCTTCTGGTGGTGCTGTCCTTTGACCTTTGACCTTTGACCTTTGATCATGGCCAGGACTTGAAATCACCGCATGCCGGGCGGCACGGACTCGGGGATCACGGCAGACACACAGTACAGCACAGCAGGTGGCACGCGCGCGCGATGGGCTTGGGGCTCGCACACGTCGACGCGGGCAGCTCGGTCTTTTCGGCGTCGCCAACGATGCAGGAACAAAGGGGGCGCTGGCGCCGCGGCAGACAAACGAGAGGAAGAGAGGCGACGACACGATGCGCAACGTGGGCAAGGGGTGTCACGGACATGCTGGCGGCGCTGGATCCGGGAAGCGTGGGCCCGTCGCCGTCGCCGTTACCGTCACCGTCACCGCCCCCACGAAACGGTCACGACAAAAGGCAGCAGCTGTCCGACAAGGGGGTTGGAAGACATTGGACGTGGTGTTTTAGCAAAAAGACTATGGAGTAACGAAGCGAGCCGGCAAAGCCCCCATCGGCGCCATCGCACACCGCCAGATGCCGTGTGACCGTGACCGTGACCGCCGCCCGACGCTGCCGCCCGGTGTTCAGGGACGCAGGGTTTAGATGGCAGCCCTGAGGAGTTTGAAGACGTCGTCGCGTCCGCCCTTGAACCGAGCCTCGGCCGTCTTCCAGTTGACCACGTTCCAGATGTTGTCGAGGTACGCCGCCTTGCCGTTCAGGTACTGCCGGACGGGACGGAGACGAGACGTTAGCACACAGCACTGGCGGAAGAGAGGAGCCCCGTCCATGGCAAGTAGTTACCTGGAGGTAGTAGGCGTGCTCCCACATGTCGACCCCGAGAATGGGCACCTCCCCTCCCACGACGGGGTCCTGGTCCTTGGTGGTGACGATGCGCAAGCTGGCGCCGTCCTTGACGAGCCAGCCCCAGCCGCTGCCCTGCAGGCCCAACAGCGCCTTTGTGAAGGCGGCCTTGAACTCGTCGAGGCCGCCCCAGGTCTTGGCCACGGCGGCCACCAGGGTTGCTGCGCTCTGGGGGCTGGCCTCGGCCGAGCCGGCAGGGGCCAGGTTCTCCCAGAAGAGGGTGTGGTTGATGTGCCCGCCGCCGTTGAACTTGATGTCTTTCTGGAGGGCAATCTGGCCGGCGATGTCCTGGGAGGACTTGGCGGCCTCGTAGGCATTGACAGCGTTGTTCAGGTTCGTCACGTACGTCTGGTGGTGTTTGCCGTGGTGCAGTTCCATGATCTGCGCCGAGATGCTGGGCTCCAATGCCTAGGTGCCATGGGAGGACGGTTAGGCACACGGTTGTCGGGACATGGATGGGCTGGAGGAGAAGGCACGTACGTTGTAGGCATAGGGCAGCTCGGGGAGGCTGTAGATCCTGACAGACATGGCTGGCGCCTGGCGGTCGGGACGTGTGGTTTGGATGTTGGTGTTCGAGGAGACGTCGTCGAGGAGACGTCGTCGGACGGGGACAGTGTAGGCGAGAGACAGCGTCAACCGCGGACGGCGGAATCGCCAGCGGCAATCCTAATAAATGGAGAATGAAAGGTAGAGCGGAGGGCGGCACAAGGGGCATCAAGCAGCCTTGGGGGCCCGTGATATCTCAACCTTGCTTGGTCGAGCGGCTGGGTGCCATCGACCGAGCGGCCTGCTGTCGCGCGTGCCCTTCACCATTTGCAACCTTGATCTGTCAGTGCCCAGTGTCAGTGCCAGCGATGCCATCTGGTGACGAGAGGCGCTTTGTGGTCAATCGGGAGCATTTCCGCGCAAACTTGCTCATGACGATTCCGGACGTGGGTCCAGTTTGGCTGGGCTGACTGGCGTCGTCGCGCCTTCATGCACCCGGATGGCCACACGTCGCGAGGCTTTCCCCAGCCGACCTGAGCAGGAATGAGCACGGAGCGTGTCGAGCCCGGCTCTGCAACCATGTATTTCAACCCAGGTTTTCCACGGTCGTCGTCGGCCGTGTCGTTGCCGCCGCGAGTTGGTGGGAGACCAAGAACGAACAAACATGTGTGGTCCGGAAGTCACGAACCGACCCCGAGGAGGAGCGCTGGCCGCCCTCACTGCGCCGAGAAATGACGGACACGATAGCCCATCAAGTCGTTTTGCCCGAGGAGATTTGGCCTTCCACACGCCCGGACAGCCTGCCAGTACCGAAGCCACCCATGCGAGACTCTCACCAGGCCAAGGGTGGCGTCTGGCGGATGCGGACAAAGTCCGCGTCGTCATCCAGTACGTATTCCTGTTCCCGTTCTTTGGACTCCCAGAGTCGATTGCCGAGAAGAAGGCGAGGTCGAAATCGAAAGGCCTGTCTGGTCTAATCAAGTATGCAAAGCTCGAGCGGCGACATGACCAAGAGCGCTCACGAGTGCGGTCTCTTTCGGCAGTTTGTGTTTCCGATGTATACGCGGCTGTCGAACAATCACGTCGAAATCCCGCTTGGCTGTCCGCTTTCGTTGCAAGTGGGAAATGGCGGCATCATAGGGAGACGAGTGTCGGTGTCGTCGAGGTCAGGCCTGGGGCCGGAGGTGCTGATTGCCGAGGGCATTGTGGGATTCAACTTCCTGGAGCAGCCGTGCCTGTAGCAGCCGCGCTAAGGGCGCCGTTTCAGAGATTCTCCATCAGCGACGTTGAAGTGCCATGTCAAGACGGTATGCGGGGAAAGTGGACGATGATGAGCAGAGCCCGTCTCCGGGGTTGGCGACGCGCAATGGGCTGCATTTGACGAGCGAATATATTGGCAGACACTGCTGTCTTTGCTTCGGGCACACTTCATGACCAGCGACAGGTGCGCTGCTGCTACTGCTGCTGCTCCCTCCCAAATACCCTCTTCGTACGTGACCGTCTCTTCTTCACACCGGCCGGCCGCGGCTCGTCCTCCTTGATTCCCATGAAGTGAAGGGCACCAATCATGCTCTTGAGACTGGGGAGCGGGCAGGTTGTCGACATGTCAATCAAGTCAGAGCGCTCGTCGCTCGTGATGGACCGCAAGCTGAAGATGTCTGCCAGCATGGGCAGAATGCTAAGCTGGCTCGGCAAGCGAGGCAAACCTCCTTGTGGCCCGGGCCCTGGCGATACTGACATGTCGATGCGAGGAATTGCGTCTGTCTGGTCCCCTTTGTGCACCGTGGCAGATGTATCTCCTCCGTCTCGTATCTTGTCGACATCGAGACGAACGACGTACTTGACCTGGCCGCTGCTGGCGGGACGTGCCATGGTGTTGACCCTTGTCTTGAAGAGAGGCTATCCTTGTACGGGACGGGGTGTAAAGACGTGGCTTGGTGTTGAGACATTGTGTATTCTCCGTGCCTATTTCGGTATAATGGTCTAGTAATCGACATGTTCGAGTTTCCGGACAGCTGGCAATCCAGCACAGTCATTGGAAGTGCGTCCGAACCAAAATGTGCTTCATCCTTCCGAGGCATGCATATGAATACTCCCATAGCCCTATCCCTGCTCATGCCCATGCCCACGCCACGCAATGCATTCAGAGCAAGTAAAAGGAAAAACCCCGCGAGCTTTTGCCACACGCGCTTCCCGTAGCAGGTCAAACCAAGAAGCAACGCCTACGTGTCAATCCAAGCTCGTTTCGTCCCAGTCGACCCATCGCCGAATCACGTCGTCTACCTTTCGAATTCCCTCCCTCGTGGCCTTGACCTCGAACCACTCTCGATGCTCCCTCCCGCAAGCACGGCAGGTTGATGCGTTCGCGCGCAACCCCATGCCCGCCAACTCGATGTGGACCAAACGCTCGACACGACGACAATGAGGCGTCATCCGAGGCGTGCGGCTCACTCCGGGCCTCTCGTTCGAGGCACCCACGTACGGGTAATAGCGTAGCATTTCAATGTCGTACCCGCACTGTCGCTGCCACTGATTCATCCTCCGCTGCACATTGGCTGCACGTCCTATTTTGAGCAGCATGGTACTCTTGTCGCCTTTGTCGCTCGGGTCTGCAAAAGTAGACACAATGTCGCTTGGTCGGCGTGAACGCGCCGGCGACGGCGGCGACGGCGCCAGCAGTGACCGAGCGGCTTCGACTGGCGGCGGTGCTTGTTTCGACGCGGGCGTCAGCCAAAACATGTATATGTAGCCGGCTTCGTCGGAATCGGCGTGCGGCTTGGCAAGTTCGGCCATGAGTGCTGACGCTGTCGTCATGTCCAGTGAGTCTGGAACCAGGTCCCTGAACCGTGCAGTCTGTGAAGCGGCAGACCGACCAGATCGATAGGACGCCTTGCTGGGCGAGGCATTGGGCGTCGCAATTCGCCCGTGGCCGCCTGGTTTACCATCTTGGCAGTGTCTGCCTGGCAGGTTTGGCATCGAGGCTGAGGGGGCCGGCTTGTGGACAGGTTCCAGCTGCGGCCGTGGTTTCGGCCGCGCGGGCTCGCTCACTTCCTCCAGTGGAAGATGGAAGCAGAAGCAGAGCTGCAGCTTCGGCCGTGTCCTTGGCCTCGGTGCTTTGACTGGCGTCCTTGGCGGCGTCCCACGGTCCTCCTTGCTTTGCTTTTGCCTACTCCTCTTCTTTTCTTCGAGATGCACGACTCCCAGCCGGTCCGCGAGCGTATCTAGGCTCGAGCGTTCCTCTAGGATAGGCTTCGTGACTCTGTTTGGCCCGGGGCTAGACCTTGCACTGTGAATGGCTTGTTCTTTGTGTTGCCAGCAATAGAGGGCCTCATCGCTCAGATCTACTCTGGGCCCTCGATTTCTTGGGGCCAGCGAAATACCGGGAGACCGGCTGATGGGCCGTCTGCACGGCCTTCCATTCGAGGTTATACCACGACATGTTGACGTTGGGTTTCTGGAGTCGGCTCGGTCGAGAAGCGATTCGGGCGTGTTGGCAACGAATGGCATGATGTTGAGCCATTGGCTGTGAGTTGAGGCGATGTAAAGTCGAAGGGACAGTCGTGACGCCAGCAAAAGCCCTCGAGCGGTGGATCAGTCCAGGCCGCAGCGACGAGGCCGCCGAAAAGGGCCTCAATTCACATTTCTGCGAATGGTTGGTTGGTGGGTGGTTGGTTGGCTTTGTTGGGCTGTACGTGAAAGCCCGAAGCGCTTTGAGGTGGCTGGGGACTGTTCATGCTTAGGTAATGTGACCGGACTCGCGCACAGTGGCGCCTTCCTCCCAAAAGAGGAAAAACAGAGAGAAAGTGGGGCTCTCACCGGCGCTAGCGGGCCGCTCACCGGGTACAATCGGTAGACCGGCGCCGCCAAATCCCCACTCGGTGCCGAATCCACCAGACTGTGCAGTGAATTCGCAGTCACACCACGTCAACACTATGCAGCCTGGCGCGCTACATATCAAGTCGTCCGATGCTGCTCAGAATAATTTTCCGGCTGCTCTAGAACGTTTCGAGGAGAGCACCACAGGGACACTCGGCGCGAGACGAGGTTCCGGAAACGTACATCTCCCATGAAGGATCCATGCCACCGGCGCCGTGGGCGTCATATCGATGAGACTCTTGCCACGTGAAGCTTCGTCCGCCAGCTATCCGGTGCCCCTGTTACAGCCATACACCGCCTTCTTTCCTGCTTCCCACTGCCCGGACGCATCTCCAACCGCCACCATCATACATGCCGGTGCAGCAAGCGAGGGACGTGTCCACTGTCCACGGCGAAACCAGAATACGACTGCGTAGTCTCACTCCGGAACAAAGCAGAGCAATGTGCAACGTTTGTCAATTTGTCCACCTTTCTCTTTACAGCCAGCCCCTGTCGAGATAAGAACCAACAACAAGGCAGTCGACCATCACAGCTTCGTACTCCGAGCCGGACGACGGTGACAAATGCACGCGCATCAAGTCGCTCCGCCGTAGGCGAAAATACATGGCTCTCGGGCGTCGGCGCAGTCCACGGTCTCCAGGCAGTCGTGCTCGTCACGCAGGCAGGACGCTTGGGACCTGACTGTTCCACAATCCAGGTCGTCCTCGGCGAAGCCTGGCGCGGAGCCGTCGACCCAACGACGGAGTCGAGTCGACGGGGCCAAAGTCGACAAGGCCGGATAGATAAAGTGGAAGTAAGACGGGCGGCCAGCATGCTGCATTTCGATCGAGCGCGCTGTTTCTCGCCGTGAGCTCGTTCACGCCATCTTCTACTTGCCCAGTGTGTTCCAAATGGCCTCGCTGGCCTTCGTAGAACGGACCGCCGAGTATCCCGTTAAATTCTACGACACAAATGCTGCTGTCTACGTTGAATCACGTCATCGTCATTGCATATCTCTGTCCGTCCGGACCGAAACAAGAGCCGAGCGAGGGCGACTCTGAGCCATGGATAGCAGAGGAAGCCAGGGACCCTGCATTGAGGGGAAAATTGGGAGTGCTGCTGCTGCTGCGCGTATTACCCGCGTTGGAGACGGATCGAATAGTATAGGCAGAGAGTTCCACAAGGGATTCATGTTCTTCATATCACGAGAATCTTTCGTGGCTTCACTGGGGAAACACATTAGATCTATGACCTTGCTGCATGCATACTTGCGAAAACTGGTCGGCGGTATGTTGAGGGTGAGGATATCCTAATTCCTCCTCAGCAATCGGACCATGGGGTATCATCGGTATAAAAGAGCAGTGGAAGCAAGCATATGAACTTCGGTGTATAATAGAGCTTGAGCCCCAAAAATGCTATATACGACGTCGTTACAACTGTAATTACCTGAATTGGTATCATTCGACATGACAACATCAATCAGAAAAGACCGTCCCATATAAACTATCCCGCATGTTGTCACTAGAATCCCACGCCAGCGTCTTAAGAAGTGTTAGCCAGGGACCACATTGAGGCGAGATCGGTGTTGCATTAATTCATTCAAAACATCGCAACTAAGCAGGGTCGGTGGAAGAGGCGGGCGCGGCTTTCTCCACGTCGCGTTCGTGAACATCAGAGAGCTTGTATTCAACGGCTCGCTTGGCTTCAATGTCGCCATGCTCAGCGCGATCGACAAACTTGGTCACAACCTTGGTCTTCCACGCAGGAGTTCCCAGATACTTAATGCCGTTGGGGTCTTCAAACATAGCCTCAGTTTCTTCCAGGGTCTTGCCAGCAGTCTCGGGGAAGATAAAGAGGACGTGGAAGAATGCCACCGTGTTGAAGATGGCGAAGATCAGATACGTCTTCCACTTGATACTGGCAAGAGCAGGAGGAACGAAGAGGCCAAGAGCAGTGTTGAAAGCCCAATTTCCTGAAGTTGACATAGCGACGCCTTTGCCGCGGAGTCGCAAGGGGTACAGCTCCGGCGGATAGATCCAAGAGACGGGGCCCCAAGTCGGGGCAAAGGACGCGACAAAGAGATAGGTGCAGGCAATGAGGCCTTTGGCAGGAGCACCTGTGAGTCGCATAGACTGGGCTGCAACACCGTTGATTCCACCGGGAACAACCTCGGCGTAGTTGGCAAGAATACCAGCATTGGCGTACATCCAGGTCGCCATGAGGACAGAGCCGACCAAAAGTGTTGGGCGACGACCCCAACGATCGACCCATAAGAGAGCTGGGATGGTCATGAAAACGTTTATAATGTAGCTGATGGATGAGGCGAGAAGATTGGCATTGCCCTCGTATCCAGCCATGGTAAAAACATTGGCAATATAGTACACTGTGGGGGCAAGTTAATCTCGGGTCTCTTACAACCTGCGGCGCAAAAATGACGTATACTCACTCATGACGTTCATGCCAGTCAGCTGCGACCAAATCTGGGTGAAAAGACCAATAAGGGTTCGGTTAACCATATCGGGCTTGAAGAGATCGAAGTAGGTGACGTTGGAATGGCGACGCTCGAACTCGCACATGTCTTTGATATCCTGGAGTTCCATGGCAACAAAAGGGTGGTCAGGATCACCCTTTCCGTGCACCAGAGCCAAGACAGAGCGGCAGTCCTCCCAGCGGTCCTTACGGGCCAGCCAACGTGGAGATTCGGGTAGAATCATCATCATGAAGAAGAGGAAGACGGCAGGAATCATCTGAAGGCCCCAGGGAATCCGGAAAGACTCGGCTTTCCAGCCGATGAAGTTCTGCTCACCGATATATGAGGTCCCATATGAAATGTAGTACATGATAAGGATGCCCCATGTAATAGCCCATTGCTGCATGCCGATGAAGCGACCACGCTTAGAGGGAGGCGATATCTCGGCAATATAGACGGGAACTTGAGCTGACTCGATGCCCACACAGAGACCATTAATGATGCGGCCGACAATGAGCATACCAATGTTTTGAGCAGCGCAGGAGATGGTCGAGCCAATCAACCTGTAGTGGTGGAAAGCAACTTGGTCAGCTCAACTGAGACTCCATCTGTCTCAGGATGAAACCGGTCATACTGTGGCTGGGTCCCAAGCAGCTACCGTAACGGCAAAGAGTGTTCGGAGCTTCTTCGACTTACCAAATAATGCATCCGACCATGATGGAGTATTTGCGGCCAAGACGATCTGAGAGAGGGCCGGAGATGAGGGCTCCCAACCACGAACCAGCAGCCATAGAGGCTGTGATACCTCCCTGGACCAATTCATGAGGACCCGAACACTTCTCGTTGGTGTATGGAGGACCATGGGGGCCTTGGTTGAAGTAGCATAGGTAAGACTGCTCCCCGAGCTGGGCGGACAAAGACGAAATGTCGAAACCGAAAAGGCCACCGCCAACAACCGACACAGCGGCGATGACGTAAATGTTGCCAATAACCATGTTGACCCCAAGCGTCTCCCCGCTTATAGGCGATGTCAAGTGCGCTCGAGAAGCCAGGCCAAAGTCCAGGTGACGTTTCTCTTATTGGCGGAGTGGGCAGGAAATCCATCCACCGAAGCAAGTGAGCGGCTGGGACGGCGCTTATATATACCATGGCCATGTTTAAGCACTCCCCAGCGCCCGAACACCGACGGTCTTTGTTACTTACTGCTGGTAAAGCTGTTCGTAACTGCGTGAGCCTTGGAGACACCCGCGACACCGCTAACGCCATCATTGGAAAAGTACTCCAGCATCGGGATGCGCCACACGACCCACCCCCTTCCCCCAGGCCGGCCGGTTGGTACTTCTGAGCAGTGCTGTCAGCATCCCGGCTCATGGCTGATGAAGCGGTTGGTTTGTGTGGGCAGTCACGAGTGGTCAAAAGACCCCTCATGTGTGCGTGTGCTGTGAAATTGCCAGTGGCGTTTTGGCTAGCTCGATTTGCAACTAACAGCTCCTCAGCGCCGGAACCCCAAGTCGCAAACTTCAGTGTGGTTGGCCCGCGTATGGCGGCGACTCGGGCACTAGCAAGGCTTGGCCGAGGGCGAACAGGACATCGGGATCGTCGCCCATATGCGGCAGGGCGGCGGGACGGCGGGGCGACCAAGTTGCCCGAGTGATGGCGCCGAGCAATTGGCCGCCGTCTTCGTGATGTGGTGATGCCCTGGTCTGGCAGACGGTTTTGGCATCTGCTTTCGTCGGCAATTTGCTGCCGGCTGCTCTCCCATGCTGTTTCGTTTGCAGAGGATGCAGCCTCTGGGGTCGGCGGATGGATGGTGCATGTTCATGGCCGACGCACCTTGGTCACGAACCAGAGAGACGGGAAATGGTCTGGAGCTTTCAGGCAACCAGTGGCCCAACGTCTGTTCGGTCGTTCTTGGCCGACCTGTCGAGATACAACCCAGGCGCTCCCATGACCTGGGGGAAAGACGGCAGGGTTTGTGCACCCAGCAGTCGGTAGTGTCGCACACCTGATGAAAACCAGGTGCTTGGGAATGGAGTGCACCATTTCCACAATGCGGAGCTGCAAACAGAGTAGTAGATTGTGAGGTGCGTGAGTTCCATATTCCGGGGAGGCTGGATACTGTGGACGCGAATATAGACCATCATCTGCCCGTTGAACTTTGCGCACCGAGTACAAAGGGCAGTCAATAACTCGGCCGAAGCTGTCATTGTGCCTCCTACAAATCCGACTTTGGCCAAGCCCAGCTAGTACCCAGCATCGAGCGACACATGTCTCTCTCCACTTCCCCAGTCACTTTGCATTGGCGCCAAGGATACGGTTTACTTGGCTGGATCGCGGAGATTGAGCCACGGACGACGTCAGCCGATATCAGGAGCCCAACGTGAAGTAGGGAGCACGACAGGAGTCATGACGAAGCGGATGATCCTGGCGACCTGGATGACAGCATAATATTGAAACGCAATTTGCTGGCTTGTTAACCCTTGCTGGAGAGAGGCGCTTAGCTGATCTTGTAGGCCCTAAAAACCAGAGGTGGCCCAGCACTCCGTACGACCGAAAAAAAAAATGGTTTTGTACCGCAAGTATTTCCGGGTGAAGGTCACCCGAAGCCTAAAATAGCCGGGTTGGGCGGGTCGCACTGACTTGGTGCCATTTCTCGCCCAAGCTCGTGAACCTTTAGAGTCGTTTATACGCCGCCTGTCAGCTTTTTCTGAAGAAAAAGCCAAGTTGACACGAGGGTGGAGACTATGGGGGCTGCAAATGGGAGCGAGGGCGTAGAGACGGAGGGCGGGGGCATGGCTGATGACGGGACAAGTCCATGACCGACCGATCTGGTGTGGCGCCGTCGATGAGCTGGTTGGCTGGATGTGAATCTTGTGCATTGTAGAAAGAAGGAGAAGAGAAGCTGAATGAGGATAAGAGATGGGACGGCTTGGACAGAACACAGGTCGACTGGCGAAAAAGATGACAAAGAAAGTGGAGTGGTCCGGAGTCCGGACCCTGAAGCGGCAAAGCCATTCAAGCTGGGGCAGGGAAAGAGCGTCTCTTGAATTCGGAAGAAGACTGAATGCTTTGCGGTGCAAACAGGTAGTGAGTATCCAGGCAAGGTAAGTATGGAGTACGCGGAGTACGCCCTTGAAACTTGGCTGCGCTAGTTCGCATCATCCTGCTCAGTACGGCGCATCCGGCATGGAAACTGTCACGCGCGTCTTCGAGATCCATCAGTCGCCTCGACAGCCTGCTACGCCAGCTTCCAATGGTGAGAGCGTAGCCCAACAAGCAGCGCCTTGACGTCGACCCCCCTCAACCGCCTTGCTGACTTCTCCACAGAAGGTCCGATCATCCGATGCGACTCCAAAGCCACAGCATCCACGGAGAAGCAAAGGACTCAGGCAGCAGCGGAACGGGCGCCATCTGCGCTGCAAAGCACATGGCAAAGGACCCCTACACGAGCATCCCAGTCCGGTTCCCCTTCCACTGGAAAAGAGGCCGAACGGCTGGCCCACCAGTGACCACAGACCTGACATTGCCCTGTTCTCCGAGAGCGCCCTCTTTCCATTTCCTTCACCAAGACGCAAACATTTTCCACGAGCATCTCGCCTTGTCGTATGACTCTGATGCTGCTGATTCTCGGGCCCCATCATTTTCGGACCAAAACGAGTTCCATTTTCGTCTTTGGCACCACCCACGCCTTGCTGCCAGCCACGCAAGCCTCGGGCAAGCCTTGTTGCTCTCGAATCTCAACAGCCATGCTCCGTACTCCTCCGTACAGCAAGGAGCGCCACCGCGTCCTTTCAAAATCACGTCAAGGACGGCGCGGGTTAAAGGGCGCCGCGATGTCGACCGAGGTACCGACGCCCAAGCTGCCCGTGGCTTCTGGCTTTCTCTGGAAGGCTTCTAGGGAAAACCACGTAATAGTGGTGCCATTGTTGGACGAACACCTCATCTCCTCCGTACAAAACGACAAGTTCCAACTTCCCTGATTCTTCTGCCCCACATTGAAACAGGCCAGGCCGGTCCACGAGTCTACGACAGGGGCTGCCTGCAAGACTCAAGAGGAGCCGAGTCCACCCCCGTGCAACGTGGTATCGCATACACGTAGTGCCGCTAGTGCGTGTCGTAACTTTTACCTCTAAGTCTAGGTAGATTTATCTGGTTGTGCACGGAGCACGGAGTACTCCGTACGGAGCGATGACCCCGCGAACCCACATGCCACGTGAGCACAAATCACCGAGTTTGATCTACTGCTTCATGCATGATACAGCCCTTTGGTCGCTTCCCGACGGCCTCCTGTGTAATAAAAACTACTGTTCGCCGAATGCATATTTGTAGATGAAGTTACGGCGTGTAATCTGCATTGGCTTCCTTAACGTGACTCGATAGCTGACTCAACGTGTCGCGTTGCAAGCGTGAAGTGAGAATGGAATACAACTGGCACAGGCAGGACTGGCATTACGAGCTCAAGGTTCATAGAGAATCAACATCTGCGGCCATGCCACTGGAATCAGTAATATATTGCATCATGTCCTATCGAATCTGCCGTTCAAGAACAAGGGTGGTGTTGGTGCCAAGAATGCCGAGCCACGTGGCCCCCCGCAGCTCCCTTCTTAGTTCTCTCATTTGGACTCCTTGGGCCTGCGAGGATCGTTGCAAGTAAAGCCCTTGTGTTTGTTCATGTTCTCACAGTGCCACTTGTCCAGCTTGTCCCGCTTGCTTTCGCCGTCGACGGTGATGCGGATGTCGGCAACCTCAAAGTTGTCACAGCCACCGGCGGCTGCGCTGCACTGGAACCATCCAATGTCCTTGACGCCCTTCTTGACGGTGCCCGTGACGTTCCTCCACCTGACGTTGCTCATCTTGAACTTGGACGAGTTGCAGTCCTTGCCGGCCCAGCCAGAGTAGTTCTCGCACTGCCAGGCAAAGAAGGGCTGCTGGCGCAACTTCTCGACCTTGACGTCCGTGATGTTGATGTTGTCGGCGCGGCCGAGGCCGCCGCCGCCGCCGTTGGGCGGGTATCCGCGGGACACGCCAGCCCACGTCTTGAGGTACGACACGTGGGCCGTGTCGATGAAGGTGAGGTTGCGGGCGTAAAAGTCGGAGATGTAGTCGTACTTGCCGTCGTACTGGCCCACGGAGCCCATGGCCAGTCCCTGGCCGCCCTTGAAGACGCTGTCATGGACGTAGATGTGGCTCGAGTTGCGCTTGAGGGCAATGGCGTCGTCGCCGTTCTGGACGAACCACCGCCGGAAAATGATGTGGTCCGAGTTGATGGTGTCGCAGCCGTCCGTGTTGAGCGTGCTCCACTGGCTGTTGGAGGTGCTGTTGACGTAGATGTCGGTGAGCTCGATGCCGCGTGAGTTGGTGATGGCCATGGTCCACATCTGGCTCTGGACGAAGCGCATGTTGCGGATGACCGAGTTGCTCAGCCGTCGCAGGTTGATGTTGCAGGGCCGCCCGGGCAGGTTTCCCTCGGACCTGGCCCAGTCGTACCAAACCTGGCCGTTGCCGTCGAGCGTGCCGTGGCCGTAGCCGTCCCAGATGACGCGGTCGCCGCCAAAGTACCACACGGTCGTCTGGTTCTGGAAGCCGATGGGCATGGCCACGGAGCGCCAGTAGTCGATGTCGGGGCTCCAGAGCAGGCGGCCCATCTGGATGATCTTGACATCGTTCAGGTACATCGTGGTCATGTTGGACATGATGTTGTACACGCAGTCAGGCAGATAGACGATGCTTTTGGTGCGGCATTTGCCGTTGAGGGCCTTCATGATCCGGGGGGCGTCGTCCTTGAGTTCCTTCTTGTTGGCCCGGATGATGCACATCTTGCGTTTTTCGAGTTTGGCCATCCGGACCACTTCTCGGTTCATTGCCATGTCCTTGAGGAACGAATTCGTAAGCAGCTCCGAGTGACCCGGCTCGTCGAATGGGGCACCGTAGATTGCGAGAGCGCATCTGGCCGCGGCTAGAACCGTGAAAAGCAGCATTTTCGTGAATAGTTCCCAGGGGTCCTGCGATTTGCTGCTAGATGGATGAGGCTCGTTGTCGTAACGCAGGGCGGGAGGGTGTTTTCTTTTTTTTTATTTCCTTTTTCCGGGAAAAAACCAAAACAAAAACACAAAAATTAAACACAATAGAAATAATTATATACTATATTCGCTCCCAAGGCTAAAGGCTGATTTTTTTCGGCCCTGGCTTGGTGTTTTGAGTTTTTGTACCTGCGCCACTGCAAGCCCACCGTCAACTTTGGGCCAAGTATGGGAATCAGCGAGCTTCAAGGCGGAAGTTGGTCTCGAAGAAGAAGAAACGCGGCAGAGGCCACCCAGCTCGTTTTGAAGATGCAAGCAAGCATGCTTCCACTCCTAAGCCCGTTGGCACTCGGTCCATATATGCCACAGGGTCCAGACTGTATCCGAGTTCGTTGCTTTGTCCATCATGACATGCGGGGAGATGAATCAACGAGTGGCCACAGCCATTGCTCGCGGGAGAGCACCTCGGAGGAGAAGGGGGGTGGTCAAAACGCAAAAGCCGACATGGACGCTGTGTCTCATGGCAAAAGTACATGAGCAACTGAGCGAGGCTTGTTTAGTTCGTGTAGGCAAGTGGACGGACTAGGTCGCCAGGACGCTTAGTGATGTCACGCTGCGGTGTGCATGTTGGGGAAGAAGGAAGCCAAGCGGACGGACGACGTGACCGGAAAATGCAAGCCCTTAGGCCGCGGCCACGCCAGATCAACCGGTCTGATTCCCAGTGGCGCCGACTGGCATATTCTTCCGTCACGGAAGGCGACATGTCGGTACAGGGCAAGTGCGGGAACAATCTGGCCGGCCAGGATGAATGCGGCAACTGAGCCGGAAAGCCTTCATGTCGTGTCGAGCTAACGACGCTTCTGAGACAAAGAAGGGCCGCCCATCTGCAGTTGTCCTAGTAACACGTACTAGTGATTCCGTCGTATGGGCAGGCTTGACGATTGAGAGAGGCCGTCCACGAGGGGGGAGCTGGACGAGGGGCAAAAGGGAGAGAGGGCAGAGAGAGGGCAGAGAGAGGAAGAGAGGGAAGGTGAGAGAGACAGAGACAGTGTACATGCACCCTCCAGAGCAGACCCGAAAGGGACGAGCATGTAACTTATCCCAGGCATCCAGCGACTTCAAACTCCCAGCTCCCAGCCTCAGCACTCCTGTCCCGCGCGCCCCTTGACCACAAAGTTCAAGCCATTGATGGAACTCGGGGGCGGGGAAGCAACAACAAGCTCGCCTCGATGTGGGCTGATGGCTATTTTGACCCCGTCTCACACCGGCCCAGTCACGCGCACGCGAACGATTCCGCTCACTTGATTTCCCTGTCCCCCAGTTTTCTCCGCGTCCGGGCTCGGGCTCGGGCTCGGATTGTCGGGCTCGGATTGTCGGGCTTGCCGGCACCGGGACGGCGCGGTTGCTCGCTGCACCCAGACCCAGCGTCTCTGTCCCAAGACACCGCGTCAAAACGTGGAGTCGTCAAAGCAGGGCAACCGCATCGCGGCCTCGTTTCGTATTGGAAAATAGCATACAACCACCCAGTCAGTCCGCCGGCTACGACGTGCCGCATCGTGCAACCAGCGTCCAGGAATCGGCGCCCCCTGCCGCAACACCACCACCACCACTGCCACTGCTATGACTGCGATGAAGAAGAGAGAAAAAATACATAATTAGGGGTATAGGTCAATCACACACACACAAGCCCATCACAATGCCCAGCGGCAAATGCTCCTCAGTGCTATCATTGTCCACCCTTTTTAACCCTCGAATCCCTTTCCACCCCATCATCGGCAACCGAGCTCGCCAATGAGTGACGACGGATCCTTGTCCGCCAAACAAAACAAAAGACGCCGCTATACATAGCGCACTTCGTCAAACAGCCCTGCCCGCGTCTGCCACAGGCTGGCCAGTTCAAGCAAGAAGCTCTGGAAGATAATGGCATTGGTCAGCACGTGAGACACGGATGCTGTCACCGACTTTTCCTCCGATGTTTGGGCGTCCACGTCTTCAGCGGCATTTGCCGAAGCCACCGATCCCGCGCCATCGCTGTGCCCTTGTCGTACCAAGGCTTCCGCCTCGTCGACGTGGTCATCTCTCGGCTTCTTCGTCAGATCAAGCGGAATAGGCTCCAGCTTTTCATTCGGCAACCCTACACGCCTGGACAAGATACTCTGGTCAATGGCGGCAAAGGCCGCCGCTTGGCTTTCGGCTATCTTGTCTCGCTCCTCAGGCCGTGGACCGATATCCGGTCTCGCACCGCTACCGGGCGAGAAGCCCCGAGTTCCGCTCTCGCTGGGGTCATTGTAATTCATGGCAAAGTCTTTTGGGGGCACACGGACGGCTTTTGGGGTCATAAACTCCGGTCCTGGGGGTTGACTGCCCGGCGTCGATGCCCCGGAGCTCCTGCTCTGCTCCTTGCGTCCCTTGGGGCTTGCTGATCTGCTTGGCGTTCCCAGTTCAGAAAGCAGACGCTGCGCGAATCCTTCTATGGCCGAAGGTCGTGGGGGAGACCCAGTACGCAGAGTCTCGTCCAGACTAGCATGCTCTGGTGTACCCGACCGAGTCGGAGACGCCTTGCGCGCAGGTGGGGGAGGGTTATCCAGCATGGACTCAGCCGTTTGAAACGCGTCGCGCCTCTGTTCCAGAAGCTCGTCAAACCTCGGTATAGTCTGCTTATACTTGGCGACTTGGTCGCAGAGACGCTTCAACACATTCAGGACACGGGGCAGGGAGGCTTCCTCCCACTGGGGGGCCGTTCTGCATCGCTCCATGTCCTTCATACGCCGAGCCTCGTCCAGAGAGTTGCTCAATGCGCTGTCCATGGCCTGCGGCGGCGGCTCGGCTGCAGCCTCACTTGCTACAGATGTTTCGTACCCACGCTCCAGCTCTTCGTCGCCGTCTTCGTAGACGTAGGCACTGGGGCTGCGAGCCAGCCAGCCCTCGATGCTCATGTATCCGCAGATACCAAGATCAACAATCGTCTCGGTCAGTGACAAATTTGTTTCCACAGAGTTGACGAAGAAGGTCTCCAAAAGATCCAGCATGATATTCAGAAGCGGGTCGTCCGGGCGAAGAGTGTGTTCCTTGACGTCCCGCGGTGCCCCAGGCAGGCTGTCTGGCACATCCGGTAATTGATGCTGATTTGTTGACACTTTGGGCGCGAGCAACCTGAGTGAGCAGGGATGACTCTCCAGTCGAGTCGACGTGTCTCTGAGAATGCCGGCGTACATTTCGTCAAGGTCAGCTCTGCCGCCTATGGAGCCGGCAAGGTAGACGAGATGGTTGACCTCTTGCTCGTGAGCACCGACAGTCCGGTGCTTGGTATGACTGGGGAGGACGTCTGTTCTCAAGAGTGTAAACACGGCGTAGCGATGATGCCTCTTCAAGATGGCAGACACGAGTTGCAGAGTGACGTGGATGGTCTGTTGGTTTCGTGATCGCAGGCAGGACAGGATCAGGTCGACAAGGTTGAAAAGAAGAGGCGTTGCCGGCTCCTCTGCCTTCTCTGACATCATTTTTGTCAAGTCCATTGACTTCCTCTTGCGAGCAGCACTGACCAATGACGGCGCAGGCTTCTTATTAGGCGGCGTCGAATCCGGCAGAGCCAGCAAATAGTGAAGGATGAGGTGTATCATATCGGGATGATCTAGGGATTCGAGGATCCGACGCAGATAGGTCAGCACGGCAACAGATGAGCCTCCGTCAATATCGGAAGACTCGAGTAGAGACGGGTAACTGGGAGTCTGGTTAGCGAAACATGTCAGATATACCCGTGGGACTCGGGCGTCAGAAAGGCCAAAAAAAGTCACCCCAAACATACAGCAGTTGCTGGAGAAAAATGACCTGGAAATGCTCGAGCAAAGTCGACTTGACCTCGACTGACCGGCAATGATTCAGGACATCTTGCCAAAACAACAAGTGGGAGAGAAAAGTCTCCAGATGCGACTGAAACTCTGGCGAGCAAGAACTGATTATCTCGTAGTTGGATGTAGGGTGCTCGTAGTCGGACAAGGCCAGAGTTGGCGGCAAATCATGAGGCAGGTGATCAATGACCAGCTTGCGACTCAGCTGACTGTACAACGCCCCAAGTCCAGTTGCCATGAGCGTAGACAAGTCACTCTCCACTATCCACTGCTCCAGAGTGGCCGAACTCGACGCAGCCTCGATGATGTACAACAACCCCGTTCGAGCAAAGTCTCCCACTTTCCCCTCGTGGTGGATATAGTCCATGAGGATGTAGAAGAGTGGGAAGTCGACCCGCTGCGTCCGACCAGCAAATCGCTCCCGCTCATCAAGATGCTGACGAGTGTTCTGGTCGGCCGAAAGCTGGGGCGTCTTGAACCAAGCAGGCAGTATGGCGGGGTCGAGACGAATCTTGGTGGTGATGTTGAAGGCCAGCTCAACAACGCGGGATTCGGTATCTAAGCCGAGTCGAACGCTATTGACGCCGGTAATGCGCACGAGCAAATTGGTCAGGCTGCTGGAAAAGGTCGGGTTTTCAACAAAGGCCTCTTCCTCGCTCTCGATGAGGGTCGCAAAGAAAAGGACAGCTTCCTTGATGATCCATTCGTTGTAGGAGGAAGTGGCGATCTTGCCGATGGGAACGTAGATTTGCTTGATGGATGCATACTGAATACAAGGATGAGGAAGGGGACGTCGGCTCTCGTCGCTGAGGATATTGGTGAGCTCTTGGAGGCGGATTTCGAGCGTCTCGGCGGCCTCGCTATCGCGGGAGAGGTTGGACGACGTGCGCCATGTTGACTGGACAATGGTCAGTTCTGATGCACCGGCACGGGGCACGGCAAACTGGAGCTCGGGCGGCAGATGGGACTTCTCGCATCCTCACCAGCAGGCTTGCGTATTCCTTTTCAAACCGATGCAGTCGCTTCGCCGGGTCCTTTGCCTGGTCTTTTCTCGGGCTTCCTGCGGCCAGGGGACTCAATAAACGCGACCACTAGTACGCATGGAAACGCAAGCTTGGGTCAGCTTTCGAGTATCCTCCCGGCTTGTTTAAGCAACAGATTGGCGTTGCCTTGCGCTTGCGTTGCCTTGCGTTGCCTTGCCTTGCCTTGGCCGAAGGGGAGAGACAACGTCGGGGGCGGTGCTTACAAAGTCCATGGCGACGCCGACATGATGCCCGGGAGAAGAGGCCAACAAGGAGAGCAAAACGCTCGGAAAGGCCTTGCGCGGTATGTACCGCAGGTTGCGGCGATGTGCAGGGTCGAGGTCGGAGAGGCCAACTGGTTGCACATGTGATGCTCCAAGAAGTCGTCCGGTGCCCGCGACGCGAGGGAACAGACGGAGTATTGAAGAGACTTGTTTGTTGGACGGAGCACTGAGCAGTGAGGTCAAGCAAGAGTCAAGACGCCGACGCTGACAGTGCACCCACTTTCAATGTCGGCAGCATGGAAATTCGGCGAGGCGTCAACTGGCCAACTGGTCAACGGGTCAACGGGTCAAGTCAACCGCTTTGCTTGCCCATCAAAATGTCGGCAGCTGGGGGGCGGTTTAATTTTAGTTGCTCAAGCCCGTGAGTATGACACAACGCTTACTTAACCAAGGCGGCCAAGCACAAGCAGTACGGAGTACAAGTACGTACTAACTAGTACCAAGTGCCCGGCCCAGGCACCGCTGCCGAATTGGCCGGGGCCAATTATTATTCAGTGCTGGCCGTCGCCTGATCCATGACCTGGGAGGTGCCTCGGCACTGGGGTTCCGAGGTGCCAACCCACGGGCTCAAGCTCAAGCTCAAGCTCAAGCTCTAGCTCTAGCTTCATTCTGCACGAACTCACTTGGCCTCTGTGTTTCGAGTTCAAAGACGCATCGACGCCAGCATTCATGCTCCGCGTGGCCTGGAATAGCGCCCGGAAGCCTGTCCCAAACACACACGCGCGCGCACACACACACACACACAAAAACATCGTCTACAGCTTTCACTCCATGGGTACAAACGTGCAGTCACCGTTTACGCACTGTGCAGCAGAGGAACCAAAACACATGTATTTACGCTCTCAACTAGACCGCTTATTGTTTCGTTCCAACCCAATGGCTGGGGTTGCAGAGGCCTGACAACTCCCACAACGTCCTCCATCATCTGGGGCTCGCTGGGTCACCAAGACTGACGCTACCGCTGCTGGCGCTGCTACCGCTTGTGCCGTTGCGTCCCGCACCTGGGCCCGGCCTGCGAAGACGAATTGGTGGCGACTTGACGGAGCCTTCGTCGCTAGGTTCCGTAAACCCACTCAAGTCACTCAGCATGCTAGAGCTGCGGCCCCTAGACCTGGCTCCGCGAGGCTCGAATGGCGGAGCGGTGGGAGGAGGCTGCCACCCTGGAGCGCTGGAATGCGTCGACGCCGCGGCTACGGGAGGAACCGCGTCGCTGAAAGAGCTTGGCCATATTCCCGGGGGGTAGTGTGGTGTCACGGCAGGATTTGGGTTCCACGTTTGCGGCTGCGAAAACGCTCTGTGCCCAACCTCGCCGGCGCCGCTTGTAGCACCGTCGTCCCCGGCCATGCTGTTCGAGGAGCTCAAGTATTCGTGCAAGACGCGTATCTGCCCCCGCAAGAGTTGGTACAGCCTGCCCTTGGCCGAGTTGTTTTCGTGCACCATGTTGAGGCGTTCATTGTAGTTGTTCTCAATCGAGTTTGCATTGCTCAACCAGAATGTCCGTTGTTGGTTTCGACGCTCGGCCTCGCCAAGGCCACGATTGTTTGCATCCGTGATGTTGTCCAGCTCCGTCTCTACCTTGGCAATGCGTGTAGCTATCTTGTTTCGTCGCGTGTTCAAGCTAGACATTTCAAGCTCCCTGGTCTTGACCTCTCCATCCAGGGCAGATTTGTGCTTATTAAATTCCTTCTGCTCGACGTCAAATGTCTTTTTCTCGGCGCCATACATTCTTTCCGTCTTCTTCTTACGTTCCAGGAGCTCTGGCGCCGCGTCGAAGTTCTTGAGTTCCTCGGCCAAGGACGCCGTGTCGCGTTCTGCCTGGGCCTTTTGAGTCTCCTGTTGGCGAATCTTTTGCCTGTGCTTTTCATCGCTGCTGCCCGCCGAGGAAAGCTGGTTGTCGACAAGTTCATTTTCCTTTCTCACGGCGTTGACCTTGGTTTTCAAATCCTTGCGCAAGGTCCTGAGACGAGACTTTTCTTCGGCGAGCCTCGCCTCCGAGGCTGCAATCGACGTTCGCAAAATGGTTGCCGGGGAGTCTGGTCGAAGAGGCTGCTGGCTTGGAGGAAACACTGGCGATATTGGTTCGTCTTCTCGTAGAGTTTCCTTGACGGTGCGAATACTTGTGGAAAAGATGACGGCCCCAGTTTCCACATCGACGAACTGGCAGACATATTTCGACGCCGGTCGAAGCCCATATATGTCGCCGGTCCAGCGAGTGCGCTTGCCCTCTTTCCCATCTTTACCGTCCTTGTTTTCATCATCTTCCTCCGCCTCATCAACCGGAAATATGCGGCTAGGCTGCCAAAACGCGTTGTTAATCCTTACGTAAAATGGTTTGGATGAATCCACCCCGGGCGGCCGCGTTGCCTTGACGTGCCCGTTGGACTTCATCGGTTCCTGCGGTATGTCTGTTTTAAAATCGGAAAAATAACTCGTGTTAAAGCATACTTCGTCACTGCCAATGTACGATATCCATATTTGCCTGTCCTTCTTCTCAAATGTTGTGCCTTCGTTCGTGTGGATATTCACAATCCCGTCTGGCCGGACTGACCTTGAAAGCTCCATTTCCTTCATCACCACAATTTTGGTGCTAGCAACGGCGGCCCAGAGCGGCTGCTGCAAACGGACTTGGGCGTTCTGTTTCCGCCGTTTCTTTGTGGTGGTCGGGTTCGTCGCCGTGGGCTGAGGCACACTAGCCTCGGCATCTGTTCCTGCCAAGCCGGCGTCGTTGGAGTCGACCAACGACTGAGGGCAGCTCTGGCCGCCACCAAGCGACCCAGAGGAATTGCCCAGGGACGACGGCTTTCCAGCTTCAGGGTCGCCCGAGCCGCATGCCGCATTGTACTTCTCGCGCTTCAAATACCACTCGCGCACATATCGAACGATGCCCTGCGTGAGAATGTGCATGGCCAATATACTTTGAATCCATCCGTGAGTGCTTCTCTTATCATACACCACAGGCTTGGGTTCGAATGACTGGGTCAGCAGTGCAGGCAGGGGTGAATTTTGTGGAAGGTGTCGGGCCAACTTTGCCCAGTGGGCCCTGGTGGCACGAATAATTTGATGAAGCAATATCCAGGTAAAACATGTGGTGACGCCTCTCGAGGTTCCATCTTTCGCGTTGGTTCCGCCGCCAAGAGTTATTGCAATGACTGGTTTTGCGAATTCAAGGATGCCGTCTTGTATGGGCTGCCACAAAAACACCCATATCAGAAAGAAGAGGAAATCGATGCACAATAGCGTGACGAAATTCAGGGTATGGGAGTGGCTGTCAAGAATTTCGGCCAAATTGATGTTCATGCCAGTTCTCGTGGTAACAGGAGGCACAAAGGTGACCAAGGCGAAAAAGGCGTAGATGAAAGACAGGGACAGGTGCGGGACGTGCATGAGGATAATCAGAATGGCCAGAGTGTCCTGCATCGGTAGAGACTTGACAACGGTGACGGTCATTTCAAGAGGGCCAGGATCCTTGTGGACGTCGACATGATTCATGGCACTGAGGTCGATCTGACGATGGCCTGGTTCGATCAGGGAGTCGCCGTTGGCGCCGGCCTGAGATTGGCACGAGTCGGATGAGGTCTCTGAGTAGGTGCCTAGCGAGTCTCTCCTCGTAAAGTCAGCGGAGCAGGCGTCGGTGGCGGCATCAGAGTTGTTCTTGGACGAGGATCCATGGGGATGGGCGGCATGCAACGGGAGGAGAGGCGGCGACGGGGACGGCCCTGCGTGGCCTGCGCTGTTGTCGGGCGGTCTCGCAGAGCCGTCGAGTTGGCCATGACTCTTCCTACCAGGGTTGCGTTTTGCAGGGCTCACAAGGCCATTGTCGTGCTTCGAATCGCGGTGGCCTGAAGAGGCGCCTTGTTGTCGCTTGCCCGGGCCGGACGCTCGAGGCATGCGAAAGCTTCTTGGAGTTGGTCCTGCGCGTGACGTGCAGCCAAGGAACCTTGGTTAAAGGGCACGGCGGGCAGACACAGACAGACGCGGTAGGAAGGGAAGGGCTTAAAGGAATTTGACCGTCGCGGCCGGATTGCGATGAGCGGATATGGCGGAGACGAAGGGTATCCTGCGGCAGGGCAAGGGCAGGTTCGGCGGCTTCGACTTGGAGTCGTGGTCGAGCAAAAAGGTCGACTCAAATGCGTGCGCAAGGACGTGGGCGAGCTTAATTATCGGGTGCGCAAGCCAGCGGGGATACGAAGCCAGCAGAAAGAAAAAAAAAAAAAAAAAAAAAAAAAAAAAAAAAAAAAAAAAAAAGCCCAGACAGGCCCCGGAAACGAGCGGGAAAGTAGTCAACGTAGAATTCGTGTATCGGGGGAAAGGAAGTAGTAGAAGGCAAGGTGATGAAGGCGATGATGATGATGTCTTTGGCAGAAGTGGGATTTTTCGACCCGGCAGTGAAGGAAGAGTCAAGCCGTGAGTGGCCTGGTGTGGAAAAAGGGCTGGGGTCTGGGCCAGTCACTGCATCCCGGAGTTCAAGGAACAGGGAGCCTAGAGTGCTCGGTGGCGGCTCAAGGACATTGAAGACTGGTGGTTCAGTGGGTGGATGAGACCTGCGATTCGTTGTGGACAGTTAAGTTGGTATAATCACTCAAGTACTCCGTAGGTACTTAAGTAGGAACCTGCCTAAGTTCCCAGGGAAGTACTTACCCGGGAACGGTACTTAAGTTAAGTAGGTACTTGGTACTTAGGTAGGGGTACCCAGGGTCCCGGGGCTGGCGGGCCAGTTGTCATGACGGTCGACAGTTGACCTGCAGCAGTTGTGAGTTGGTGAACCACCAATTGACATGTGCAGTAAAGCAGGACGATCCACCCGCGGCCCAGCCCAGCCCACCAACGTTAGTTGGTGCAGCGTCACTGCTGGTGCTGGGTCAACGCCGCAATGCCGCAACACCGCAACGCCGCAACGCCTCAACGCCGGTCTGCAGTGCAGGTCTGGAGGTCTGGATTCCCTTGCTAAGGCACTACGACTGGACCACGTGGCAAGATTAAGAGTCCCAGTGCCTTCGATTATTACTTGCCGAGCACTCCGTACGGAGGAACTCGAGTCATATTACGGGCTCCTCATTGCGGCAATGACGCCGGCTCCGTCCGGTCTGGTCTGTCGATATAACCTCATGTAAAGTAGGTACCTACCTACCTAGGTACTCAAGAAGGTACCTGGGTACTTGAGTACCTAGCAGTGATCGACTGGCCAGACCGACTCTGCGCCCTCACTCACAAGTGGGCAGCATGTCCGCGCGCCGCTGAAGACAATATGGCGTCAGGTCAATATTGTTCGCCGATGCACTTGGAGGTACATGTCGTGTCCGTCTCAACAGGTCAATACCGCCGCCTAACCCGTCCTTGATATGTGATATGATGTGGTCGAGTGGGCCGGCGGATGAGTGCTGTGATGCGCTAGCTGGCACGCTCAATGCGCACCAGCATGCAGCCAGACTGTTGCTGGCATCGACGCAGCCTTGCCGCTCTGCAGCTGCTTCTCACACACCTTCCCTCGTCCCTCGTCCCCCACGCTTCGCTCCACGTAAAGGTCATCATCACCTACCAACTCCCTTGATACGCATCACGACATGGCACAGCCTAATCCTCAGCTGAGGAGGCAAGTAATTGCCATTTACAAAGGTGCTCGCTTGCTCTACCAGCCCGCTCATGGCCGGATCGCGGCGCAATGGACCTGGACCTGACCCGTCCACGGCTACCCGACTACGGCCACAACCTCGCACGTCTACACGCGCCATCATCATGAGCATCGGATATATCAAGTGCGTGGCTGACTGGTCGGTGTCTCTAGAGTTGTTGTATCTAGGCAGGGAATACCCCCTGGGCTACCGGTATTTCAAACCCCGCCTACATAAAGCATTCATGTCTCGCGCCGCCGAGCGCAACGAGGACAAGATTCGCGCCGGGATTGCGCAAGCCGAATACGTGAAAAGAGGTGCGCTCCATCCGGCCGTTTCTCCGCGCCGTAAGTTGCAGCTAACTTCTAGACGCATAGAAATAGAGGCATTGTGAGCTCTGTCCTCCTTTCCGTCCAATGCCCATTCTTCTATTCTTTCCCTGCCGGAGCCTTGATGTCAACAGATAATGTCCACTGCTCCAAAGCTTTCACGGCTCCGTCGAGGGAATCGGTTCCGACACCAATGTATGATTCGGCTAACAAGATGAGCGGGTAGATATTACCTGAAGCGATACCGCACCCTGAGGAAGCGTTACGACGTAGGCGCTTAATTATAATTAATACATGAGATAACATATAACACAAATTAGAAATGAGGTATATATCGCGAGTCCATCCTGGACTCCATATTACCTTGACGCACGAGGAGAGTGGAAACAAGATAGACCACGTCCGTCGTCAGTTGGTTCAAAATAAAGTCCAGACACTTCGCTATTTGAAATGGTTTCACAGTCCAAGATAAAACTTGAGAGGGAAAAAAAAAGGCCCGGGGTTGAGGGTTGGGTCGGGTAGGGTTTTGACCAAGCAAGATAGCATCCCCCATGTACGAGCCGGTGCCGATGGAAAGAAACATGTCACATACTCTTTCTTGCACCCGTGTCCGTGCAATTTCACACATCTGAAGCTCTCTTCCTTGCCCACCAGGCTCCGACCTCGAGACACTCCCCCCAGCTCGTGCCGCTGTCGCTCATTAAATCACTCATCATCTTCCCCAGCCACACATCCCACTCGTCTTGGCTCTTCCCACTCACCTCCCTCAAAATTGGTTCAAGTGCCTGCACTTGTTGGGCAACAGTTAACAGTGCTATTTTTCGTAAAGCAATTTGACTGGCCGTGAGCGTGCGTTCCGGCTTCTGGCCCTTTACTCTCCCCTCTCCTGTTTGCTTGCCATCTCGCGTAACGACGCCACCGACGCCCTCACGTTCCCAGCGCACTTCACTCAAGGGGATTGCCAGTCGCCTGGACTTGACATCTGTTACGGTTTCGGATTCTTGCAGGAGTATCGGTTGTATCAACGTACAAGGTACTGCGCTGAGGTCCCGGTTCTCAAGAGCCCGCGTCAGCCAGGTGTTGTACTCGACAAGGAAATGATTTAGAGGTGCGGATAGCGGTGTGTTGGAGGATATGACGTATGCGCCAAGACTCGAAGCGGCTTCTTGTTCATCCGCATCGTCGGCGGTAGTTGCGGATCCAGGCACGTGCGGTCTGAGCATGCGGATGAGGTGATCAGACTCCCAAATCTCTAGAGTGCCTCCCGGTCGTAGTAATCGCAAATATTCATCGATAAACTGCTGATGTTGTACGTTGGTCGTCGCAAGACTCATATCTTTCACCATGACCAAATCGTACTCTCCTGACGGTACTGGCCAAGGCAACTGGCGAAGATCATGATTGACAAATTTCCACCTCATATCTCGGTCAGGTTGCGTGGCATCCGCGGTTAGGTCGGTGCTTCCTGGCGAAAGGGGGGCAACGTCAATGCCAGTGAAATGGATACTGCCGTAGCCCTCTTCCTTGAAGTATCTGTGGCACATCATACTCCAAAACCCAGAGCCGCACCCGACCTCAAGCACCCGTTGCGGAGGATTTTTGGTTAGCGAAGGTGAGCAAACCGGAGCCCCGAAAAGCTGGATGAGGAGAAGTGTTCGCAGCGACTGGCGGTGCAGCTCGGTCAGGTCTGACGGCAATGGGTACGGCAAAGAAGTGTCGTTCAGATATGTCCGCCCATTCCGCTGGGTAAAAGGCCTCGACAACAACAGATTATCTCCCAGGCCTTGGTTATCCGAAGTCATGGCGGTGCGAGACGAGAGAGACGTCGTGCCGCTGGCGGATGAGACCGACTCGGCACTGTGGGCGAGGAGGTTCATCTGTGGGCAGTTGTTAGCAGAAAGTGCATGAGGAGGAAACTTGAAGTACCAGGGTAAGAAGGCAGGCTGGGACGAAGAAGCATTGCTTACGTCAACTCCAAGCGGCCCATCTGCCGGGGGCCAATGGCGATGTTGGTGCGGGCTGAGAGAAGTTGACTTGCTGGAAGCACCGATTGAAGATGTCGGACAAGGAGTGAGGGTGCGGAGGGTTGGAGAGTTGGCGGCTGAGTAGTTGTGCTGGTGCCCCGCGGCAACAGCGGGGCGGTCCGCTACCAGGGCGGTTTCGTGAGAAGAGCGGCTCGCCTGGCTTCCGGTCGACGTCCGCGAGTGGTCTGGGCGGCGATGGGCATTGGAGTTGTGATCAAACGGCGGCGATGCTGAGCTCGAGCGACGGAGTGTTTGGCCTGACGTTGTGTGTCGCTGTTGTCTTTTGGGCCGTTGGGAAGTCTGATGCTGGCCATGCATGGGCACAGGCATCATGGCAGCCGCGCTGAGAAATGCAACATTGAAACTCACGGCTTCTGCCGAGATTGGCTGCCCCCGTGGAGTCCTCATGGTGAACGTGCGGCAAGTGTCTCGGCACAGGGGTCTTCTTGCCTGCTGAGTCGTGGAATCAAAAATGTCTCTCCAGAGGTCACAGATTCCTCAGTCCAAGCGCAACTGATGGATGTTGGACGTGTCTCGTACCACCTTCCAAGGTGGCGGATCAAAAACGTTGGTAAGCTTGCAAGAAAGCTGCGCTGGCCAACAGAGTGCGATATGTGATTATCTTCCCGCTTCCTTTACTCCCCAACGCCTCTATGTCATGGCCTTCGGGATAGTCTGCGGTGGCGGTGGCGGCTCGTTCTGCCATGCCGATTTGGGGGGAATCTCCGGCCGACCAACAAGCCTGTGCTTGTATTCTAAAGAAGCACTTGAGGACCTATTCAAGCTGCAGAGTCCCTGCAGCTGATGTGGCAGTGTGCCAGTCTGCGTTTCCGGTGCGCATCTAACAGTGCAGTACTAGGATTTCCAGTTCCCGCATCCACGACTATCCATCAACAGCGTTGGAGTCCAACGGCGAAACGACTTACAAAAGCTTGTTTTCCCAAAGAAAAATCTGACTTGGCAATACGCTCCGATGCGTAAAGCTGAGCATGCCTCACTTTGAGACCCAAATTGGTTTTTGTTTTGTTCATTCCTCTGTTTTTCGTTTTGTCAGGGACCTGCTTGACTTCAAGAACATTCGGATGAGTCAACAAGCTAACTGGGGTGTGGTGGCTTCGTGTTTTCGCCTGAAAGCTCAAGTCGCTAAGCTGCGCCGCTCATGCCTTGAAGCACCTGCGAGGCTGTTAGTTGAGGGTACCGGGGAAGGATGCGACAAGATACCTGCAATGATACGTAACATCAGATCTGCCCAACGTAGACCAAGCCAATAGCACGGGGTCCCATAGCATAGGACGTCGTCGACAGCGTCCAATCGGGTCAAGTCCAAAACCGGCGTTGGAAGTAGATACGGAAAACAGGGAAAGAGAAAGAAAAAGGGACATAAATTCAAAAAGATCTGCTGTGCTTGATCCTGGGAAGAGAAGCAGGGCCGCCGGCGTCAGGTGCAACCATGTCCCCTTCCACGGTAAAAGCAGGCCAACCACAGCTCTGCCAGTTATTTGAGGCAAATGGTGATGGTGATAGGTTGTGCATGGACCAGTTGACGTCAAAGAAGGTTGATCATGAAACGTGGAGTTGGACGAGGTACGACGGGAAGAACTCGACATGCATGTCCACTTCCGAGGTATTGACACAAGTGCAACAGGCAATTGAATGGCTTTATGTAGCAGTTGCTCCTTCCTGCTCTATTATTCCGCTTCTGCTGCTTCCGTGGCTCCAGCCTCGAACTGGAGCGACGGCTCTTAAACGTCATTTGCTCATCATCAAACCTGTCTAGTGCTTTTTTTTTTCACCTTGGGTGTGTGCGTTTTCCTCGATAGTCTCACACCCGATTTTGTTGACATAGCTGCCAATTCACAATTAAAAAAAATTACCCACACATATCAAAAGCCAGGTTCAGTGAATGATATATTGGCCTCGATTCGACCTGGTGTTAAGTAAGGTTGTCGTAAAAAAAGAGTGGATTGCCCGCGGCCTGGATCGAACAGACGACCTTGTCATTACGAGTGACACGCTGTGAGGGATTAGATCCTGATACTGATGGATGTCTCGTGATTGGAAACTTACCACTACCACTGTGCTACGAGGGCCAAGCACTAGTACTTATTGAGGGGTTGCGCTATCGGCCAACTATTATAGTTTATATACTTCTTTGCACGCGGTCGCAGTTTCCAAGGAAAGCACAGCCATCACAACAAACGTGTCAAAAATGTCATAAGCTGGTCAAAGGTCTGATAAGCTGTCTCATATTAAGTAGCTGATGAAGCCGAGGACAGTCCTTCGAATACCCTTCAGGGAGCTTTTAGGTACCTAGGTAGGCAGTGGCGTGCATCGGAACGTCTCCCTGCGCACATTGTCCAGGCCCTAGCTAGTTCTCAGAGCCAAGGAGAGACAATTTTAGATTCATAATTGTGATTGCAGTTCGAGTGGCCGCCATCCTAGAATTGTCGTGGGTGATATGAGCCAAGGTCTCATCTCTTCTCCCCGCTCATCTCGAGCGGTTGCCAAGACTTGAAGCTTGACACAATCTGCCGAAGACCAAGCCGGTCTGCTGGCTTTGGACCTGTTTGCCTGTTATTATTAGCCAGGCATATTACTGCCTCGCTATCGCGTCTGACCACCGACCGCTGTCCTTTTGAATGGAGCTTTCGTTCGGCGGGACCCGGAGCACAGGGACGTCATGCCAATTCGTTCATGCTAACTGCTGTGAAATTCTATGCAGCTTATTGGGTGAAGACCTCATGCGGCTGTATCACTCGCAATATTGTTGCGATTTTATCAATCCGGCATCCGCTGCACCCCTTTTTCCTGAAGAAGATTTCTGGCATAGCCGCGCACGCATCATCACGCCTCAAGAACAGACGTCAAACTGGCGTCCCCTTTTACCCTTTTAGGCGTGATCGCTAATTCACACGTGACCTTGGCGAACTCGACGCACGGCCCCTGCGGTTCCTGATGCTGCACGTGACTAACCAACGGCTGCTCCAACACAGATTGTCGCCGATGCCATCTCCAACATCGACGACAACGACGATCTTGGGTTATCGCTTCGATATTGACCACTATTATTCTGCCAAAGTATCTGTTGGTTTATTTAATGATTATAGCACGTCATCCCGTCCAATCTTTATTGTATGTGCCTTCCTACATCATGTTGCAGGGGTTTGTTGAGCTGCCGAATCCCAAACCTGGCTTCGTGTCTTGACCCTCAAGGGCAGATCAAGCTAACTGTTCCTCCCCCCTTGCAACAGCATACACTTCCAAACTGAGCGAACAGCTGAGGCTTAGAGCTTCTCGCCACTCATCGCAACAGCGACTCGACGTTGCCATCTGGAAAACATCTCGACCTCTCTCGACCTAGGCATCCATCCCATTGCGACTCCACCAACCTCCTCCTCCTCCACCTCCGATGTGGCATTGAGCGCCAGCGCGCGACATACACAACAGTTCTGGGCTCTCACAGCGGCATATGCAGAAGTCTTGGATTACCCGAGCCCATGCGCAAACGCGAGCCTCATATTCCACCCTCCCCTCCCATCAACACAAGATCAGCTACCGAACAACCCTCCCGCTCGACAATTCCCCAGTAGCTTCAGAACCGCACGCCAACAGCTCTCCGTCAGAACACCGATGCTGTCACCGCTGAGCTTCGGTGAATCGACAAACATATTCTTTCACTAACAAGGGCTGGCACTGCTAAGCAGACCAGTCAGTTCTCGCTGCCGCGTGGTGTACCGGCAAGCTTTCGTCAATTCGGTTGCACTTGTCTGCTGGGAACCTCCCTCGACGGCATGTACTCCCAAAACCATCAGCAGGGCCACAATACCCGGCTGAATGGGGCGGGTCGAGGATTGCCGAATATGCTTTACAACTTTCAACAGCATACTCAGCATCAACATCAAACTCAGCCCCAGCATCAGCAAGGCCTTCAGCATGATCATGGCATACCCTCGGTGAACGGTCTCGCCCACCACACGTCCTTCGGGTCCAGCGGTCTCTCGACTCCTAACGCGTTCAACTCGAATGTCTTGTCAAACGGCCACGCAGCTAACCCACGAAGTGGCCAAGCACCCCAGAACGAGATGTGGCAGGAGCAGTTGCGTATGCAGAAGGAGGCGGAACGAGCTCATTCAGCCATGACCGACCAACAACAGCCTCATTACTACGCGAGACTCAAGGCATCTGAGAATAGAGGCATCGGGGGCCCACCGCCCACGAGCGGACGGACCCAAGCGGACGGAGAGAACGATCCCGAAGACCGGAGACGACCGTATGCGGTCGATAGAGAATCAAACAGACAAGACTGGCACAACATGGATATGTCCGGTCAAGGCCTTCGCAACCTGGCACCTGAGCTGTTTCAGTACAAGTTCTTGAACGAGCTCTTCATTGCCTCGAACAAGCTTCTCCGGCTCCCCAAGCTCATCGGTGAGCTAAGGCAGTTGCGTCATCTCGACGCTTCGTACAACCAAATATCCGAGCTGCCGGCTGAACTTGGCATGTGTACATACCTGAAGACCCTGCTGCTTTTCAATAATGAGATCCGAGATCTTCCGTTCGAACTCGGCTCGCTGCATCAGTTGGAAATGCTGGGAATCGAAGGAAATCCGCTGGACCCTGGCTGGAAGCAGGAGATTATGGAAAAGGGCACAAAAAGTGTGATCAATACGCTGAAAGAGGGAGCACCAGGTATGATGCTGCCGTCATTTTTGCGGATGAGATGTCAATGACGCCGACCATTTTGCTAACGAGCCTAATCCATCCAACTAGTTCCCAATCCCCCCTCCCCTCGAAAGGAAATCGTTATACAAGAGGATGTCTCTCCAAACTTGGAAAGAATCAAAGTATTCTCCTGGAATGTTCTATGCGATAAATATGCGACGCCGCAAACCTACGGCTACACGCCAACGAATGCGTTGAACTGGGAATATCGCAAGGGCTGTATTTTGGATGAACTGCGATTGCGAGATGCCGATTTCTTGAGCTTGCAGGAGGTGTCAACAGATGCGTTCAAGGAGGATCTGAGCCCTGAGCTGGCGCAGATGGATTACAAGGGCGTGCACTGGCCCAAGTCCCGTGCCAAGACCATGTCGGAGAAAGATGCCCAGACGGTGGACGGATGCGCAGTGTTCTACAAGCAAAGCAAGTTTATCCTGCTGGACAAGCAACTCATCGAGTTTGCCACCATCGCCATCAACCGGCCTGATATGAAGAACCAACACGACGTGTTCAACAGAGTAATGCCGAAAGACAATATTGCCGTTATTTGCTTCTTTGAATCCCGCCTCACTGGGGCTCGTATCATCCTGGTCAATGTACATCTTACATGGGACTCTGCTCTAGCAGATGTCAAGGTTATCCAGACCGGTATCCTTATGGAGCACGTCACGAAGCTGGCCGAGAAGTATGCCCGGTGGCCGGCAGTCAAGGACAAAAAGATGATCACAGTGCCCCTGCCCGACGATGCCGAGGCTCCGGCGCCACAAGCAGAACCCGGCCCAAGCCAGGAGTACCGGACCAACACAGACATACCGCTCCTGGTGTGTGGCGACTTCAACTCGACCGAGGGCTCATCTGTGTACGACCTGATGTCCATGGGGAGAGTGCCTCCGGACCACCTGGAGCTAAACAGCTACCAGTACGGCAGTTTCACTCGAGACGGTATCGAGCATCCCTTCAGCCTGAGGGATGCCTATGCACACACAAAGAAAACAGCAGACGAGATGCCGTTCACAAACTACACGCCCGGGTTTGCCGACGTCATTGACTACATTTGGTATTCGACAAACACGCTGGAGGTTGTGGAATTGCTTGGTCCCCCGGACGCCGAGTATCTGAAAAGAATGCCTGCCTTCCCCAACTGGCACTTCCCGGCCGATCACATCCAGATCATGGCCGACCTTGTCATCAAGGCTCGGAAGGACAGGAAGCAAAACCAAGACCGCGAGCAGCAAGCGGACTCGGGCGGCCCCTCCGGACGAGGCTGATGACTGCGACGGGCTGGGCCAGCTTGACATTGTTTTCATGGTGCTTCGAGTAGTCAGTGCGCGAAGACACCTTAAATCTGGATGTAGTTTTCTTCTTCTTCTTCTTTTTTTTTCGGGTTCTTTTTGCAAATGGAGTTGAAGGATCTTTTGCACGGTTGGGGCGGGATGGGGGGGGAGGGGGACTGGAGAACCTGTGGCATGTATACAGAGGGGCCGAGGGTGCTGAGGGAGGAAGCAGGAAGGTTCGTAGGACTTGATTGACGACATTTTTCTGTTACTACTCGTCTTGTTCGTGTGGCCCTGACGTGACTGTGACGACGGCGTCGATGGACGACCCCGTGGAGTGGTTTACATTCTCCTGACTTGGCTATACTGGGCCTGCACCGGTGCTCCGTCCGGAGGTACCGCTTGGTCGGCGGCACAGGGGCCCAAGAGTGTTTACCCGTGTGATGCACTCCAGTGGCGCGTTCGTCTCTTTGTCTGGGCCTACATGTGCTGGCTGACACAGGAGTTGGAAGCTGTCCCCATACGCGGACTTGATCTTGGTGAGAGGCAAACTGGGGGGGGGCGGGAAGGCTGTGCTTGTGCAGCAGTCTTGTCACAGAGGCTTTACGCCCAGCCGTCCATTCATCTTGGAGCGGCCATGTTCATCATGGGGCCATGCATGGCCTTGGGGACGGGCACGGATAGTGGGAGATGCCAGGTCATATATACATGTACAAATCGGAGCTCGTGGTCGCTCCTCGCCGATATATACTGCATGGACGATGCCGAAGCCTACACGGCACGCTGGCACATACATGCACGGCCGCGTTCCAAGCACCCAGCACCCAGCACCCAGCGCCTCTAGCTGAGCAGGATGTCGTACCCGTCCTTTGTGATGCGGACTTGGTCCGCGCCGTATCCGTACTTGCGCCGTATCAGTTCGAAGATGATCAAGCCCGCGCTGGTGCTGGGGACCTGCCTGACGGTGTTCCACCAGAAGCCGCGGTACAACCAGCTCGCCAGGCGCTGCCCCTCGGCGGCCGCTTCGGCCGTGCACCCAGCCCACGTCTCCCGGTAGGCGTGATAGTAGGCCCGGAGCATCCTCCACCGCCGCGGGGGCCTGTCTCGGTCTCGGTCTCGGTCTCGGCTCGCGGCCCTCGACGCCCTGTACCTGGCCGCCTTGTCGTCCAGGTCCTCCAGGTGGTCCCAGTGCTTGACCTGGAGGTGCGTCAGGGGGTGCAGGAGGAGCTGCTGGGAAAAGGAGGCGCCGGAGCCGGCGACGAGCAGGAACATGGGCTCGAGTGCGTAGTGTGGCCGGATGACGGCGACTTGGCCGTCCTCGTCCTGCTGGGTCGGTCGCTTCACGGCCATCAGGTCGACGGTGTCTTGGCCCAGGCCGCCGTAGTACCACGTCACGAAGCGGTAGTAGCCCTGGGCCTTGACGTACTCGAAGGTGCTGAAGAAGACGGCGCTGCCCAGGCTGTCCTTTGCAAACGACAGCCCCCAGCCGGCAAAGATGCCCCGGAGCCCAATCTCTCGCAGCTTCTCCGCGCCGAAGCTCCACATACTCCGGGGCCGGTTGCCGCCGTCGCTGGGCATCATGTCGTGGTGGTCGTAGCGCGCCTGGAGCGCGTCCAGGGGCGCCGCGAGGACGCTCTGGAGGCCGCCGGCGAGGAGGCCCGCCGCGAACGTGTGCGCCGGCGACGGCGGGGGGTAGACGCGCGCGGTGGCCTTGGCGCTCTCCTCGTGCAGGCGGCCGAGGATGTGTAAATAGCTGGTGTACAGGACGGCGCCGACGCCGACGTTGGCGACGAGAGGCGGCAGGATCTGGTGCGGGATGACGCCCCATCCCTGCTGCTTGACGGCCGACGTCAGGACCCCCGGGGTGGTGCTTCTCATCCAGATCCAGGCGTGGCGCAGCAACAGCGTCGTCTTGGAGGCCGGCTGGTCTCTGGCGACGGCGTCCAACATGCTCCTGAGCTGCTCGTGGTGGACGGTCCGCGCGTACGCCAGGTAGTCGACGCGGGTCCGGAAGAAGGCCTTTGCCGGGGCACGGAAGTAGAAGGCAACGACCTGGGCGCTCAGCGCGCGGACGCCGGCTGCCGAGGCCGCCGTCGCAGCGTTGCTCCTGGGCGCGCGGTCGGGATAGTCTTCTGGGTTGGTGATGACCGGCAACACGCCCATGGACGGCTCGGGGGACCAGGTCGGCGGCGCCCACGGGGGAGCTGCATCATTGCGGCCTGGCATGGCGTTGGCAGCTCATGCTGATGGTGTGAGAGGCGCTTTTCGACCTTTCCCCGGCCGGCGGCTGGGCTTGTCGCGGTTGATGTGGTGTTGACGTGAGTTTGCGCCAAGCTGAGGTGAAGTTGACGAGATGGGCGGTGGGAGATTGATGACTAAGAACTCGGGGTTTGGGGCTTTTTCTGCCATGGGCCGCACGGGGAAGCTTGGGGCAAGGACAAGGACCGAATAGGGGACGAAACAGTCTCTCTGCACATGACGAGAGCAAGTCACGCCGACGCAAGCGATATTATTATATAATATGTACGGAGTAGCAGAATAAAAAAATAACATGCGTCTCGCTTCCCGCTTGATTGTGGCCGTCCCCGTTGTCCACGGCACGTGCTTGTGCAACCTCCCCCTGATCCATCAATCTGGAGCCCTGTCGACAAATCACACCTGCATGAGCAACTAGATGCCCCCTAGATACCCTCATTCTTCACACTCTCCTGGTCCCTACGACTCCAAGCAGCAAGTCGACGGCTAATGTCCTCGGGCAGGGGACCGTCTTGTCCGTCCACATCCCTTAGCTGCAACGGTAAACTGCCGCACGAAGCCGTGCTGCCAAAGTAGTACAGATGCGCGTACATGTCGGTGACATCGCGGCCCGCGTTACACCCAATGCTGGCAGCGCCCTCGCAGACCCTGACGTCGGAGACGGTATAGTCCGTCTTGTACGTGTTTCCGCCATTTCCTCCAGTAAGCCAGTACTCCGGGCTAATGTGGCGGTAGCCGGCAAGGATGGGGGGAAGACGGGGGACAGGATCATCTTCGTGCGTGACGCGCCACTGGCGGCCCTGTATACCGTTGGAGAACCAGCTTGCGAACCGCTCGTTGCCGACACGGGGCGCTCCGTATGTATACAGGTTCACCGGCAGACCACCGCTGCGGAGGTAGGCTGCGCCAATGGTCGCCACGGCTCCTCCAAGGGAGTGCCCGGTAAACACAACGGTGAACCTCGGGTTCCCTCTCCGGGAGACGGCTATAGCCCTGCCGACGGACGCCTTGATCTCGTTCCAGCCCTGTGCGAAGCCGATGTGAAGCTTGCATTGCGACGTAAAGGGGCAATCGCTCCAGGGGAAGACCAGGTCGGTGATGTAGTTGCGGATGTTATTGCTGCCGCGGATGGACACGACGATTTCCATACGGACATAGTCAATGGCTACATAGGCACCGACTCCAGTAAGAGCGCCACTGGCGGTGCGTCAGAGGCCGAGTTGTATGTCGGGACTGAAAATGGACTCACACCACAGTTGCTACTACTGTAGGCCTGTTACGCGCAACAAGGGGACAGGCCATGTTTCCGCATGTGATTACATGGCCGTTGGGGACACGAATGTTGCAGTATGCGGCAGCTGAGTGCTGCGAGTAAAACTTGAGGTTGTCAAAGTCCGTGTCAGATATGGGAGCGCCGCCCCCTGACGGCAGTTAGTTGAGACCGAGCATTATGAAGTGCCAGCGGCGTTGACGAACATCTGATCTCAAGGGCCTTGGCATAACCGTCTGCAGCAATGGAAGCACTGGCTGCAGCGAGGGCCGCAAAACCAAAAGCAGTCCTGCAAAACATCCTGCAAGGCGGGCTTAAGAGACAACGAACGGTACGCCGATATTTCGCTACCCAAGGAGGGTGCTGCGATGGAGTAAGCACTGGAAAAAGCGGCGGTCTGGTCTGTTGCTGTGGCGCCCAGGTTTCTCGTGGGAAATATGCTGATTTTATAGTCTTCATTGTCCGCTGGTTGTTTGTCAGTCATGTATACCGCTTACGATCCAGCATGATGTATCCCTACATTACTTGCGCCAAAAAACATGGCCGAGACAGTAATCCATGCGCAAACTGCATCAGACTTTCCACGGGGCGCTTGGCGTTCAGGGATCAGGAGCGCTGCACGGCAACGGCAAATCCAAGCGTCGTATTCCTTGATCGAGCCGCATGCGTCCTATGTCCAGAGGCAGCCTTTGCCTTGAACATACAACTCGAGCGAGCGGTTGACATGGCCAATGTCGGCTAATCTACTCACAATTGTTGTACGAATTCCCAACCTGCAATGTACGACGTCGAATTAGGTAGCATTGAATGCACGCCACTACTTGTGGTGTCAGTGATGGACCTAGGATGAATATAACCTTGAATCCTTCCCATCTTGTGAATCCCCGCAGCCTGCCAAGCCACGTATGCTCCTATGGCTCTCATCCAAGGCTAAAGGCGGTCGAATTACGCGAGGAAGCAAAAGTGCCCATAGGCAAGAGATGGCGTAACAAAAATACTGCGCCAAAGCATGGCAGGGAAGATGGTAGTCGACGGGGGTGAGAGAGCAACGTAGCCCAGCATTGCTCCGACCCCATGCGGCATCTGCTCGGCTTTCAATAAGCCCCCGCCGGGTGCGTCATTTAATATGCGATACTCTCCATCAGGATCATGCAATCATGACTTGTCAATTCCCTGGGGTCCTACCGACCGAAAAGACGTCTTGTGGGACTGCTGGACGTATGCATAGTATATGCCGCAGAGTTGGCTGGATAATAACAACACATATACTATTATAAAGACGTCCGAATTACAGCCCATTGAGCGGTGAACGGCGCTACTCGATCAAACTCTGGGTCGACGCAATGACATCCTTGGGCAACCTCCCCCATCGGCTGGCATACACGCGCCCATTCTTCATGACGGCCAAAATCGTCTTCTCGGGCTCGTCCAGTATTGACACATCCTGGAGTGGATTGCCGTTTAAAATGAGCAAGTCAGCCGCAAACCCCTTCTTAATCTGACCCAGAAACTTGTCCTGTCGCAAAAGCTTGGCTGCGTCGACGGTGGCACCCTGCAAGACTGTCTTGCTGCTCAACGCCTGGGCTCGGATGCCAAACTCCCTGCTCTGCTCCTCGTGAAGCGGACCCAGGAGGTCGGAGCCGTGACAGATGGTGACGCCCGCCTGTTCAGCGATGCGCAGGGACTCGAGACCCTTGCCGAGGACAGCCTTGTTTTTGGCGCGGTTCGCGGGGGGCAGGAAGCCGGCGTACTTGTCCGATCCCATGGCGTCGTAGGTGACGAGCGTAGGTGTGAGCCAGATGCCCCTCTGGGCCATGTACCGCGCCGTGTCTGCATCAAGCAAGTTGCCATGCTCGATTCCTTTGACGCCATTGTCCACGGCGTGGCGGATGGCTCTAGGCGTGTATGCGTGAGCAGTGACATATGTGCCGTACGTGTCGGCGACTTCGGCAATGGCCCTGATTTCGGCCGCTGTGAATTGGATGTTCTCCAACTTGTCTGTTGGCGATGCAACGCCGCCTCCCGTCATGATCTTAATAAAGTCGGCGCCGGTGCGAAGCTGTTCTCTGGCGGACCGGATACAGCCAGGCACACCGTCGACGACGTCGGTCAGCGCGCCATGACCATCGCAGCATTTCTGCTTGTCGTGAACACCTCGCATGTCGCCGTGGCCTCCGGTCTGGGACAGGGCCTTGTTGGCAATGAAGAGTCTGGGGCCGGGAAATACATCGTCCTCGATGGCTTCCTTGAGCGCCAGAGTCGCGCCGCCCGTGTCTCGGACTGAAGTAAACCCCCGGCTGAGCATTTGGTTGCAAAGAAACGGCTGGCGAAAATACGAAACGGCCGGTTCTGAGGCCGAAATGCCTGCGCTTAGGCTGCCATCGCCGGCGACTGACGTGAGGTGAACGTGGCAGTCGATGAGTCCTGGGCAGATGAACTTGCCCGAGACGTCGACAAGCACGTCCCCGGAACTTGGCGGGACATCTTGACCAACTGCTGTAATCACTCCCTGATCAAGTTTGATTGTCTGGCCTTTGTGTATAGAGCCGCTGGCTGAGTCAACAATGTTGGCGTTCTGGAGAATATACGTTTTCTGGGGAGGCAGTTTCCAAGGCTTGATCAAGATATCGGGGATGCTGTTGTTGTTGGCTGAGGGATCAGTTTCTGCTGCAGCGGAAGTCATGATCGTGACGTGTGCTTTTCGAAGAGTCATGGTGAACGGTGAACCGGTAAGCCATGATGTAAGTCCGGTCTTTGGAAGCGGGGAAGCTTTGATGCCGCGTTGGTCAATCAATCGCTTGCTGTAGTTAATTGGCAACCCCAGAGCCAATAGCTCATCATTGATGACTCAGAATGTCACCACGGGATTGGCACCTCCCTGCAGCCGTCCCAACACTCGGTGAGGACTCGTTTCAGATCAAGTACGTGGTTACGTATATTGATTGAGCCCGAGTGCTTCTAATGCCTTTGATTGAGCTTGATGCCGGCTTGCGGAGACATGGCATGTCCCCGGGACGTGTCTGCCACCAGAACAGACCCAGTTCTTGACGGTTTCCAACTCCTATGCGCCATCGCGTTCCATGCTGGAAGCCCACACAGCGTACGCCAGTCATGTACGAAATCAGCCATTGCAACCAGGTCCATGCATCAGTCAGCCTGCAATTGTTGATTGCCGTCCTCATCCCGGCCATCCAGCCATTTGCTCATATAGGGACCGTCCAGCCAGTAGCCTAGTTTCTTGTAGTAGCTTCGGACACCAACACCAGAGATGATGCTGATCTTCTCGCTGCCATGCTCCTCGCGAGCAATTCTCTCGGCTTCCTCCATGAGCAAGGTACCGAAACCCTGGTGCTGGAACTTTCTGGGATCACGGGCGTGGACTGGCACCGCAGTTCCGTAGACGTGGAGTTCCCGTACCATGCTGGTGGGCTGACTTGTCAACTCTTCGCGGTACGTGTACCTCTCCGTGCACTTTCTCAGGCGCAGCAAAGCCACCAAAATGTCCTGCTTGGGGTCTTCGTAGGCAAGGAATGTTTCCCAGCCACCATTGGCTGTATAATCTCTGCGAACCAACTCAATCTGGTTTGGTCGAATCTTGTTCTTCACCTCATTAATGCCCACTTCTCGGGTCCGCACGTCTCGGCAGGTGGTTCCAAAGTCCTTCATTCTGGCAAGCGCCAGCTCCCGCAAGTTGCCGTTCTCCACACCAGAAGTGACAAGAGGCATGGGAATATCTCTCTGGACGCGGTAGATTCTGGTCCACGGGGGGATGAGGGCAAGTATTCTAGCAACAAGGTCGATCAGGCCGTTTGGTGTGTAGTTTTGGTACCTGCCGGTACGCCACAGCTCGTACAAGCCAGTTCCTCGAATGACCAGGGTAGGGTAGATTTTCAGGCCGTCAGTTCTAAAGGCAGGGTTTTCAAAATATTCACGGAATTGATCAATATCCCGCTCCATGCCCACATTGGGCAAGTCCGGCATCATGTGGCTGACGACTTTGAATCCAGCATCCTTGGCGAGGCAGAAAGTCTCTGCCACGGCCGCGACAGTGTGCCCCCGGTTTGTGTCTCGTGCAACGTCCTCATAAAGAGACTGGACGCCGACCTCCAATCTGGTACAACCATACCGCAACATGTCCGAAAGGTGCGGCTGAAGGCAGTAGTCTGGTCGTGTTTCAATGGTAATTCCAACGCACTTCACGTTGCTCATCTCGCCAGCCTCAACGGCTTCATCCACTTTCGACGTCTGGTATCCGCTCAGGGCATTGTGAAGTTGCGAAATAAAGTCCTCTCGGTATGACTCGGGCAGCGACATAAACGTTCCTCCCATGATGATGTATTCGACCTTGTCAACCGAGTGACCTAGCGACTTGAGTTGATCCACACGTCCTCTAGCTTGCTCAAAGGGATCGTATCGGGCGCGAATGGCTCGCATCGAGGTAGGTTCGTATCCGGTATAAGACTGGGTGCTGTATTCAAAGTCGGAGTCGGGCCCACCAGGGCAGTAGACGCAAATGTTACCTGTGTACGCGATATGGGGACATCTGTGAGGCTTGCACATGACAGCAACGACGGCGATACCAGAAGAGGTTCCTGTGGCGCGTGTCAGCACAGCGTGTCATATTGTTGAAGGAACGGACCAGTCGTACGGATGGGCTTCGCGATCAACTTGGGTAAAATGTATTTCTTATAATGTTCCGGGATGGCGGCAATGATAGCAGTCAAAGGAGGGATGTTGGCAAGCTTGTGCTTCTTGGCCAGCTTGGATCGCAGCGAGTTGAGGTTGATATCCCGGCCGGCCTTGCCATCCTTGGTTGACTCGTGGTCTTCGATCAAGGCATTGGCAACATCAGCACAGCAGCGCAGGAAGCGCTCGCTCTCTGGCGCGAGGTCAGCACCCTTCTTCTTTGGCATGGGGACCGCCGTGGCGATCACGGTAGTAGCTGTAGCCATGGTTGTACTGCACTCGATGGTGTCCGTGAATACAAAGTTGACGACAGAAGTTCGTGTTCCCGCGCCTGGTTCGACAACGGCCGTAAAGCTGGCGGAGAGTGAGAGTAAGCGATCGGTTGAACTACTCTGTACGTAGCTTTTTATTTTTCATGTCGATGGTGGGGCGAAGTCGTACAAACGTTTAGTTATTAGTCCAGCAAAAATAGGAAGGCATGTGCGATGTGCGGGATGCTACTACCCTAGGCAGTCTAACCAGGGACCGGGGTACTCCTCCGGTAATTGAGCATTGATGGCCAACATCGAAGGGGTCACTAAGAAAATCCACCCTCAAGGCTTTTCCCGGAAAAAGACACCTGCCGGAATCCGGGAGCACCCGGAAGGGTTCCAAGCTCTGCTTCTTGTTCAGGCATCTTTTCGTCTTGCAAGCTGCGGCTCAACCAAACTCGAGCTCCTCAATCCATTGTCCCCGGCCAAGCGTTGCAGGTGCAGTGTGTCCGACCTGTTCGTTCTCTCCCCTCCAGTCTCATCATGCAGGCCATTCCCCGGGCTGCGCTGCGCTCTGCTGCGCTCCGCCACGTCGCCAACCGCACCTACAGCAGCTCGTCGTCTCCATACTCCAAGACCATCGAGAACCTGCGCATCAATAGCGACACCAAGGTCATCTTCCAGGGCTTCACCGGGAAGCAGGGAACGTACGTCCTAGCCGGGCCAATTTTTCCCCTGCCATGTAAAATTGCAAGCTGACAAGCCATGGCACAGCTTCCACGCCCGGCAGGCCATCGAATACGGTGCGAAACGAAACCTCGATATATGCCTTCAAGAGCCACCCGCTGACTTTGATATCGCCTAGGCACCAAGGTCGTTGGCGGCACCAACCCCAAGAAAGCCGGCAGCACTCACCTTGACCTCCCCGTCTTCAAGAATGTCGGCGAGGCCGTCAAGGAGACGGGCGCTACTGCCACTGCTCTATTCGTTCCGTACGTACACGTTCTGACTGGACAAGCTCATGTCCTCATGCCAAATTCCACCTCTTACTAATACTCAGCACTTAGCCCCCCCCTTGCTGCTGCTGGTATAGAGGAGGCTCTGCAGGCTGAGATTCCCCTCGTCGTCTGCATTACTGAGGGTATTCCTCAACACGGTGTGTTGGCCCTTTGTCGAGGACCCACAATGCCCTGACACCTGTACTGACTGTGACTCGTGACAGACATGGTTCGCATCACCTCCATGCTCAAATCTCAGTCCAAGACCCGCCTCGTCGGCCCCAATTGCCCCGGTATCATCGCACCTGGCCAGTGCAAGATCGGTATCATGCCAGGCTTCATCCACAAGCGCGGCCGCATCGGCATTGTCTCTCGATCCGGGACCTTGACCTACGAGGCCGTCAACCAGACTACTCAGGCCGGTCTTGGCCAGTCTCTCGTGGTTGGTATCGGCGGTGATCCTTTCAGTGGGACCAGCTTCGTCGACTGCCTCAAGGTCTTCACCGAGGACGAGGACACCGACGGTATCATCATGATCGGTGAGATTGGTGGGTCTGCCGAAGAGGAAGCCGCCGAATTCCTGAAGCAGGCAAACACCGTCGGTGGCGGCAAGCCTGTCGTCAGTTTCATCGCCGGCATCTCTGCTCCTCCTGGCCGTCGCATGGGACACGCTGGCGCCATTGTCGCTGGTGGTAAGGGTGGTGCTGACTCGAAAATCAAAGCCCTCGAGGCCGCCGGCGTGATTGTCGAGCGTTCACCTGCTGGTCTTGGTAAGGCGCTGTATGACGAGTTTGTCCGACGAGACCTGTTGTAAGGCTGTAATATTTTGTATACAATGACTTTGCTGGGCGGGAATTGGGTGTGGCTGTCCAAGACCGAATCTATGAGGCGCGGACGCCAGCCAGCAGTTTTCAAGGAGGTCTACTTGCAATTTTCTCTATTATCGTAGCTATCAAATAGAATATGGCGGGTTGGCGATTCATAGCGAAAAAAAGAAAGACGAAAAAGAACTCGCCAGTCCCCAACTGCAAAAGCTAAAATTTGCTCTTGCGGATGCGTAAAGACTATCCAATACACACTTCTCTGATTTGCTAGCAGCACACGGACGACGATATTACCCCATGTGTTAATGCAACATCTGGATCTGGTGTCCTGGATCCGGTGTCAGTGTTCTGACTACAGATCTACCGTCGGAGCGTTCCGCGAGCGGACGCAAGACTCCAAGTCTCCTTCTCGCATGCTCGACAACCGCTTCGCTCTGTTGCAGAAAGAAGCTCACTCACCCCAAAGTACACGCTCCCCCCCAAAAGGCAGGCGAAACAAAAAAGAGTTCCCGTTCAATAGTGAAAAAGACAAACCGAGAAACAAAACTCCCCTTCCCATGCAGCAGTTCGCTTCCAGAGTTGCTTAATGCTATAAATTTGTGATTTCGTCCTCAGGGTGGATTCATGTCCACCACCGTCTTCCGGTCTTGATGCACGCTCCAGTGATCACTGCTCGCCGAGGAGCCGCGCAGTGATGTCGCCCATGTACGCCTCCTCCAGTTCATAGTCTTGTCCACTGTTACGATCGATGCCGACAAAAATGAAGGCGTCGACAACAGCATCAACATCGAAGCCCATGCTCACGAAGCGATCAACAAGATCCTTGCTAAATCCTTTGTATCTGTGGTTTGCAAAATTACCGAATTAGTTCCTTGCCATTTCATGGGTGGTTTCGAGACTATTGAGCAAGGGGAAAACAGCCAATGACATTTCCTCACCTGCTTGCGTCGTCACCTTTTGGCGCGTCGTTGCTCTTATACTGGCTCAGATTGAGCTCTTGTTTCGGTGCGCCGGCATGCTTGATGGCCCATTCTTGGGCGACGCGGGCAAACTGCTCGGGCTGCTGCATGAGCATGCACGCGACTTCGGCATCTTGCGGATCTTTTGGGTTGGGAACTTCGAGGAGCATGCGGATCGATAGCAGGGCGGTCTTGATGGTCTGGACGGGTGACCAGCCTGAACCAAGAGTGTCTAGGCAGATGGCTCCCTGGTGTCGCATTAGTTCGACCCCTCGAACGAGCACGCATCAAGAGTACCAAGTCAACATGACGACGATGCTTGGGCGTAATGGTAGCTGGGGTGGTGACGTACAGTCTGACTGCTGACGTTGGGGTGCCAAATCTTGGTGTTGAAGCTCATGGAGGGCGACTTGAACGGGTAGTTGTCTGGTATTCGAATATCGATCATGAAAGTGCCTCCATAGTACGGCGTATCGGGAGGCCCAGAGATGGTGCCTTTCAGGTGCTTCAGGTTGACGCCGTCGATGGGCGCAGCGTAGACTCCAGAAGTATCCCTGTCTGCCTGAATGTCTTGAAGCTCTTTGGCCACGCGACGATCTCTGCTGCTCGTCATTGCGGCGATGACTATTTGACTGTCTGGTCGATGAGGCAGGCCGCAAAATTTGGTAGCGGGTTGGTCACGAGGCACGTCGATATTATATACTCGAAATGTATGAAGAGAATAGGGCACGGCATGCGAAGCCAAGGAAAGGGAAAAAAGTAGAGAGGGGAGGAGGAGTGTCGCCGTTTGGAAAGTGGGATTAGTAGGACATTGATCAAAGATACTGTACGAGTACGGTACGGTCAGGTCTGTTGAATGGACCTCGGTGCTTAGTACTGGTACTTGGCTGCTGGTGGGTTCGTATCATTACTTAAGTACCTACCTTAAGTAGGTAAGTACTGAAGTCGAGTCGTCCGTGGCTAAAAGGAGGGGACCCCGAAGCTATTACTATTACCTGCAGGCTGCAGCGACATGAGGTCAGTACTTACTTGGAGTCCCGAGGTACTCAGCACCTCGGTGCCCAAGTACCTACAGTACCTACTTGAGTGCCCAGGCACTTGTGAGTAACGACTCCATGTTTGCCCTGCCTGAGGGTACTTTCACAGGCAAATATAATTGCAAAAACAGGCTACGGCTTCTTGTATTTGAGCGACGACACGCTATTCGGAGTGAATCCCCAGCGCCGCACGCCACGACATCTGAAATGTCATGGCTTACTCGAACGTGGAAACACGTGCATTGGCGTAGATACATCAGGCTCTGATGCTGGCTTTTTTCAACAAACATTTCGCCTTGACGCTTGACATTGTAATCCTGTTCCACGACTGGCTGATTCTCCGTTCCAAATCAACATTTTGCTCCGATCTCAATTTTCTGGCAAATGTAGCACGAAACGAATTGCGAAACGGATGCGGTGTGCCGAGGCCAGGAACGCGAGAAAACTACAAGCTGATGGGCGCACGTGACATCTCCTAGCGACGGCACGTGACTAGCTCGGAGCTGTCGTGTTTCTCTGGCGCCTGATCGCGGCAACCTACCCTCAAGCTCGTCATCACCCGCCTCGACCAGCCCGTACTCATTGTCAGTTGTACCACATATTTCACAACCAGAAAGAGTTGTTGAACCTGCATATAATCGATTCAAAAGCTCTACGAGCTTGATCCGCGAAGATGGTAAGCTGAAGTGGCATCATCTCCGTACCGTTGCTGACATTTGATGAAACAGGGTCAAGGTCAATCCGGCATGGGAGGTGGTGACGGCCGTGACGAAAAAGACAAGAAGGTACGTTGTATTTGCGTCTTGTGCACGTTTCTCCTTTTAACAACATATGTATAGAAGGACAAGCCCAAGTACGAGCCTCCCCCAAGGCCCACGACTCGAGTTGGTCGCAAGAAGAGAAAGGCCGGTGGTACTAGCGCCGCCGCCAAGCTGCCAGCCATCTACCCTACCAGCAGATGCAAGCTCCGACTACTGCGAATGCAAAGGATCCATGACCACCTCCTTTTGGAGGAGGAGTACGTCGAAAACCAAGAGCGACTGCGAAAGGCCAAGGCGGCCAAGGAGGGAGCCGCTGTCGGACCAGATGCCGACGTAGACAGACTAGCCGACGAGCGGGGGCGAGTAGACGATATGCGAGGAAGTCCAATGGGCGTTGGAACACTGGAAGAGCTTATTGATGACGATCATGCGATCGTTAGCAGCACCACCGGCCCAGAATATTATGTCAGCATCATGAGCTTCGTCGACAAGGACCTCCTCGAGCCGGGTGCAAGTGTCTTGCTGCACCATAAGACTGTCAGCATCGTCGGTGTCCTCACAGATGACACCGATCCCATTGTCAGCGTCATGAAACTCGACAAGGCTCCAACAGAATCGTACGCAGATATCGGTGGTTTGGAGTCCCAGATCCAGGAAGTCAGAGAATCAGTTGAGTTGCCACTGCTCCACCCCGAGCTGTATGAAGAGATGGGCATCAAGCCGCCAAAGGGCGTCATTCTCTATGGTGCTCCTGGAACGGGAAAGACGTTACTCGCCAAGGCCGTCGCCAATCAGACGTCCGCCACCTTCCTTCGCATTGTTGGCAGTGAGCTGATCCAGAAATACTTGGGTGATGGTCCTCGCTTGGTTAGACAGCTCTTCCAGGTATGTTGCTTGGAATGACAGGGGGTTCCCCCCGTACTTGTTTTCTTGTTTTTTTCTTTTTCTTTTTTTTAGCATCGACTAACAACAGCAGGTTGCGGGTGAAAATGCACCTTCAATTGTATTCATTGACGAAATCGATGCTATTGGCACAAAGCGTTACGAATCAACGTCTGGAGGTGAACGAGAAGTGCAGCGAACCATGTTGGAGCTTCTCAACCAGCTCGATGGTTTCGACGACCGTGGCGATGTCAAGGTCATCATGGCAACCAACAAGATCGATACGTTGGATCCTGCCCTGATCCGACCAGGACGTATTGACCGCAAGATTTTGTTTGAGAACCCCGACCAAAACACCAAGAGAAAGATCTTCACCCTGCACACATCCAAGATGAACTTGAACGATGACGTCGACCTGGAAGAGTTCATCTCGCAAAAGGACGATCTCTCCGGCGCAGACATCAAGGCAATTTGCTCGGAAGCTGGTATGATGGCTCTACGAGAGCGGCGCATGCGCGTACAAATGGCGGATTTCCGTTCTGCCAGGGAGCGTGTGTTGCGTACTAAGCAGGAGGGCGAGCCTGAGGGTCTGTACTTGTAATGTAATATTGTGTATAGGTTCGGGAGTTTCCACAGTTGAGGAAGACAATAGAGTCCGTTGGCACTTCCTGGACCTGCCGTTTGCTCGGAATGACGACGGTGGACAATGACGCCAAGTGATGCTCCCGTGACGCGTCGATATACCAGCGCGGAGCTTATTCTTCTCTGCATTCATTCAATCTTTACTAATGAGTGACTGTGCTTTCCCGACACCGCGAGCGCCCCTTGCTCTCGGGGAGACCAAGTACACGCTCGACGACGTCGACGGACCACGGCACTCTCGACCAAGTCAAAGCCTTTTCGGCATCTATAATACAAATCATGTCCAGCCCCCCCACGATCAGGTCGTTCCACTCCCTGGCCCGGCCGCTCCCTAATCCTCCGCCTTGACGTCCTCGGGCCCGACAAGGCCCCCCTGCTTCCCGTTGCCCTGCAGCCGCTGCGCGGGTTCGCGTTCGCCAGACACCGCCCGCCGGTAGAGCCACCTCGCGACGAGGAAACCGCCCACGGCCCAGGCGCACACCAGGACGGCAACAGACGACGTCAGCAGCAGCGTGGGAACGAGGACGAGCAGCGCAACGCCGATCCAGAACAGCGCAAAGACGACGGCGGCGCTGAGGCCGAACGCGACGGTGCAGAGGCAGACGGTGGCGAACAGGAGGAGCGGGAAGAAAGATAGCAGCGCTTGCGCGACGAGAAATGACTTGCCGGCAGGGACGAGGTGTTAGCTGTTTTTCTTTTTCTTTTTCGTTTCATCATCATCATCATCATCACAGGGCTGGCGACGAGACTGGTACTCACCAGGAGAATGGGTCGTGTTGACGCAAACGCCGAGACGGTCTCGTACGCACGCTGGCGCGACGACGGGGGGATGGCCCTGTCCACGGAGCGCCGGAGGCACGAGGACGCGCCTGCGGCCGGTTTTGCCACGGCGGTCGAGACGGCCCCGTTGTTGGGGGTGGTGTTGGTTTCCACTGCGGCGGGCATGACGGTTTGTTGCCGGGTTTGGCGGGCTGGTTCTTGGCTTCCTGGCCTCTTGGGCGTGGACTGTTTACGAAGAAACGTCGAGGTGGGAGGCAGGGCTATGGCGACGCGATGCGGTGATGGCAGTGAGAGCTGGGAGGTTGAAGTCTGGACTCTGGCGCTCCTTGTCACTCAGGCGAGAGCTGAGCTTTTGGTTGGAGCTCGCCATTGCCATCCCCGCAAGGAAGGTGTGATGACGCATGAGACATGTTTGGATGAACATTGCATGGAGGGTCGAGTCTACAGAGTACACAGGTAGAGAGTGGAATTTTCGATGACTGTCTGCGTACTGCTTGCTATTTGTCAGGGAATGAAAGTTTATTTGCCCGTGCTGCAAGGTACTAGATAAGTAGCGTGTACCTGGGCATGCACGGTGAGGGTACGGTATCGGGTACTCAAGTACTCCGCGGGCCTCGAGGTTGGCCAGGTACGTACCCAAGCACGCAGTAAACATGCGTCGGGTCTGATATCGAGCGTCGAGACCCGGGTTCACCATCATAACTTACCTTGCCCAGCGACCTACACCTGGCTGGAGACATCCGCAATGAGCGTCCCCCACGACCCTCCATAGCCGTCCTTGCCGCCGTTTCCAAACTCGTCGCCACTCGGCAGCCTCATGGCCTCGGCGGTATTGGGCCCCGAAGTGTACCCGTGCAGGTTCCCGTTGCTCACCGTGTTCTGAATATAGTTCATCAGGCCCTGGTCCACGCCCGTCAACGACCTAAAGTTCCAGCTGCCCGCAGCATAGTGGTATATGCCGCTGTTGCGGCCGACGTAGTACTGCGCGAGGCCCATCCGGCACACGTCATCGCCGCCGCCGCACCATGAGAAGTCGGGATCCGAAGCAGTGGCGTTGAAGGGCCGTCCTGGCAGCGGCGCTCCGTGGGAGCCCTGGTTGTAGTTGGTCTCGCTTTGGAAGAGCGAGACGAAGACGTTGGCGGCGTTGTGCAGGCTCAGCTGGTACAGCCAGTTGTGCTCTGATCCAAGGCCCGTGATCCACGTTCCTGCGGTGGCCTCGATGAGAACTCCTCCCTTGACCGCCGTGCGGATGCCCTTGTTGCTGTCGTCGCTGGCGTGATCCGCTACCCAGGACCAGAAGTTGTCCACGTACGCCGATGACCCGGCCGCGAGGTGTAGCCCGAGGTAGGCGGCGCGGCAGTTGGCTTCGCTGCTGCAGCTGACCGATGTGTCGCAGGTGCCGCCAATGGTGTTGAGTGAGTTGAGCACGGCTACGTCGCCCGGTCTGTCGCCCGCCATGTTGATTCGCAGGAGAATGGCCCCGGGCAGCGCTTCGTTGACGGTGAAGCGAACGTCTTGGATGCGCGCCGTGCCCCTTTGGCCCGGTGAGCTGCCGACTTGCACGACCGGTCTGGGGCTCGACTCGGACGAGAAGGCGCTGCCTGATGCAGAAATCGTGGACCAAGCTTCCCCGTACAACTCGGTGCCGGGGGGTACGGTGACGGTCGACGTGACTCTGTAGATGCCGAACGGCAGGTATGCAATCTTTCCCTGACTGGCTGCCGTGTTGAGAGCGCCCTGCAGCGCCGCCGTATCATCGGCGGAACCATCTCCGTGCAGATTGAAGCCTCCGTTCTGCTTCATGTCTTTGAGGTTCACAACATCCGAGGCCGTCCTTTCCGCATACTGCGGCGCATTGATTACAGGATACCTACCACCTGGAGCAAGGGCCGCCGGTCTCGAGACTGGCTTCGGAGTCGGGTCTGATTGGTAAATTGGGTTGGCGCCTCGAGTGTTGCCGTAAATGTACGTCCCCAAGCTCGTCACTCCGCCGACTTTGACGCTACCCCCGACAGTGACCATGTTGGAGTTGGTGGTGTCCTTGGAGATGTTCTCAAGCATGAAGTTGGGGAAGTCGACCCGGCTGGTGAAGAAGTCGCCCGAGTTGATGCTCTGCCCGTCGACGACGGCGACCCAGGCGTTGCCCGAGTTGACGACGATGCAGTTGCCGACGGTGTTACACACCGGCGCAAATATACTGATTGTGAAGCCGCTGTCGATCAGAATGCCGGTTGTGCATTTGTTAAATGTCATGCCCTTGATTTGTCCCTGTTGGTGGCCTGTCGATACTGCATCAGCCGGCACAGATCAGAATCTTGCCGCTATCATCACCACGCTTACCTCTCCAATGCAAGCCAACGTTGCCAAAGTTGAACTGCACACCAGAAACCGAGATTGTCGAACCTCCGCCCATAACAATGCCTATATACATAAATATATGTATGAAAACTGCATTAGCAGACGGTCGCGCTGTGGAATTCTAGCTAGGGGTTGAGGTCCGTTACCAGTATGGGCACCCTGAGGCATGTTGATCTTCACATTTACCTGGGCATCAGAGTTAGCTGATAGAGCCGTACATTAGTTGATACTAGGTCATCCATGTACAAACACACCAGCGCGCAGTTCTGAGCAACAGCCCAGCTCAAAGCTGTGAAACTTGCACTGCCCGAGTTTGCCGTAGTATCCAGGATAACGTTCTTGACTGCGAGTTTGTCAGCGGCTCTCTTCCCTTCGTAACGGGACATGAAGGATAGTTCGTCTCACTCATCACTGAGAAATGCGTCTCTCCGCCGGATCCGCCACACGGACGATCCGTACCGTCTCCCTGACCACCCACGATGAGGTAGTTGCCGTTGAATCCAGCGCTAGGTTTGATAACGGGCGGCCTGGAGGCATCGCCGATGATCACGGTGTCGGTGTCTAGAAATAGCGTGGAGGAAAGCGTATATGTTCCTGCAGAAGCTTGTCAGAACTCGCCCCGCTCTCTGGTAGGTGGTGAAACAGCATCACCAGGCTCTCTAGAGGTTATTTACCCGGCGCCAAGTAAATCACTCGTGGTTGGCCGGCAAGCCAACAGTTGTCTCGCTGACCGCCACTCGGTCCATCCGAGTAGAGTGCGTCAATGAGGCCCTGAGAGTCGCCAGAGTTGACAGCCTTGTAGACGGGGTAGGTGTAATTAGGCTGTCCGGCACCGTTGACCAGATTCGGCACATATCCTCTCACAGGACCTGAAGTATGGTCCAGATTCGGCAGAAACCATGATGAACCGGCTTGTCTCGTGCCAAGCTCGGCAGACGGGAGACGTGACGACGAGCAGGGAAACGACAGGGCTGCAAAGCCCAGCAATGACGAGGACTTCATATTGTGGTATATAGCTATGACCACGACTTCGACATACAGTTGCCCATGGTCTTGCCTTGCTTCCCCAGGTCGGGCGGCTTGCTTGTGTTTTTGTAACTCTGTTGCCAACTGAGCTGCCTCCACAGGTCAACCCGCCCTGCCTGCCTGGGTCGCGGAAACTCAAATCAGAGTTCCGAGGTTGTTACTCGTGGCGCGCTCACAGAGTAGCAGCGTTTTTGCCCTACCGAGTGTGCGTCTGACCACCAAAATTGCCAGACATCTGCATCTATCCAGGGCGCAAATCCCATGCTTGTGCTTGAACAACTATGCGCCAAAGCACTTGTCAACCGAAGCGGTTCGTGGAAAAACCGGTTTCATACATAATTGACGCATCCGCAATAATAATACGTGCCCCTTATTTTAGAGTCCTTGTTTATTCACATCGGGCCGAGCATCGAGAGCGATGGAGACGTCACCTTCCTGATTGAGCCAGGCGAGTTCCGCCAGCCAACCACATCGTTTGGGGAAACAGTAAAGATGTTGCTAAGCATATGATCGTGTCATCCGAATTTCTTTGCAGGCTGAATGTTGGAGTCGTCCCGGTTGGCTAGACCCCCAAGGACCAGGCTGGTGACGTGCAGCATCTCACCATGCTGTGGTATTGCTGGTGGCCAAACTGATAAGCCGTCGTTGAGCTGGAGCATCACAGCGGCCGGTGGTAGCTGGGCGTATCCGACCATGTTCTAACAAACACTTGCTCGATAATACTGATTATGATCAAGAGCGCTTTCAGTAATTCGAATCTGACATCATGGCTTCTCCGCCACTGCTCCGAGCTTGAGTATTCGTCCTCGGAGTGTGAAGCCAACTCCAAATGAACTGTCGTCAAGGACCCGCGACGTCTGCTTCCAGGACATGCTGCTGGATTTGGTGACCAAACTCGAGACATGAGGCACTTTGCGTGTTTGTAATGAAGTAATGCGAAGGAATCTGGCAAGATGGCGATGATCCCACGCACCTCAAGTGTCCTCCCTTCCGTCAATTAGTACTGGTATGGTTGTCCGATGTGCCAAGCCGCAAGTGTCACGAGAGAATGTGTTGCAAGGCGTCGTGTCTCCTGTTCTCCAAGGTGTGCGATGGCGAGTTTGAGAAGCGATAGCCACGAGACACATGGAAAAGTAAGCCAGTACCTTCCCCACCTTGGACACCTAAACTGTCGAGGCAGGCGACAGTTGGCTGCTTCGCTCCTGCCTGTTCGCAACTCGGGCGCGTTCGTCCTCGGCCTTCGCGCCATGCCTCGCGGCCACGGAAGACGAGGCGGCCTTTCACCTCGTCGTCCACGCGTCACACTCGCCTCAAGGTCTCAAAGGTCAGACACGGCCAGGGATACATCCGTACCACGCTGTCTAAAAGCCAATGAGCTCAGCCACTAGACACCCACGAAGACGCCCCGGGACCCATAGCTCCGTCGCGGTATGGAAGTCGACGGGGGTTGACGGGGATTGTCGCTGTTTGGCATCCGCGTTGCGACGACATCGCGGCTTAGGGCCGAGTGAGCGAGGACGCCGCACCACTGCAGCGAGGGACTGAGATATAAAATGCTGGTGCAGTCGTCGGTTGGAAGATCAGGACAGAAGTTAGTTATACCGCAGAGATAAGTAGCGCCTGCATCGCCAACCAGCCAACACCACATCACCATATAACTACTACACACCCGGATTTCACGACTTCCATACACCGCCAGCTACAGTTACACAATGACTGCCTACAGCATCAAGAGTGACAATGGCGGCAACGCCACCCACAACGACCGAGCCGGTCAACAGCAACAGCCTCCTGCCTACACACCTTCTCCCACTGGTCTCACGCCCAGCTCAACCTTCGACGCCAACATGCATGCCCATGCCCCCGACTACAACACTTCGTCTGCTCCTACTCCTCGAAAGCCCAGCGCTTTTGGACAGAAATTCCACTCCATCACCAGCAAGGCTGGCTGGCCGTTGAACAAGGCCGCCAATGTCATTGGCGCCGAGGGCTGGTGGCCTACCAGCATGCAGAAGGAGTGCGGCAAGGCTGCTCGTATTCTTCACTCTTTCACCAGTATGTCACATCCCTTTTCAGACGAGTATACCACCGGGACGTCCCTGATTCCTGATTCCGCAGGCCTCGGTGTTCCTCAGCCCCCCAAGGCAAACGGCCCCATTCACCCTACTGGCATCACCAAGAAGTCCATGGTCAAGATCCCGGATGCCGTCTTGAGAAGCTGTGCCGGTCTCGCCATCTTCAACGTCATCCGTGCCGGTGCCTTCCATGGCTCTCTCGCCGCTGGTTCCGGTCTTGTTGTCGCCCGCCGCCCCGATGGCACCTGGTCGCCCCCCTCATCATTCGTCGTTTCCACTGTTGGTGCCGGCTTCATGCTCGGTCTCGACATTTACGACTGTGTCTGTGTCCTCAACACCCCGGCTCAGGTCAATGCTTTCACCAACCCGCGTGTATCCCTTGGCGGTGACGCCTCCATCGCCATTGGGCCCATCGGCACCGGTGCCAGCGTTGACGCCGCCCTCAGCAAGACCGTCCGACCCATGTGGAGCTACATGAAGAGCCGTGGTCTCTGGGCCGGCGTCCAGATCGACGGCACCATCATTGTCAGCCGTGCCGACGCCAACTCCGTCTTCTACAATGAGCGCGGCATCTCGGCCAAGAAAATCCTGCTCGGCGATGTTGCGTGGCCCTTGGGCGCCAAGCCCCTGTTTGAGGTCCTCAAGGCCATCGAGGGCCGCCCTGACTTTGACCACACTGTCGTCCAGGAAGTAGGCCGCCTGCCTTCTCCTGGAGACACTGTTTTCGATGAGAACCGCGCGCCTACTGCTGTTGAGCACGAGGACCGTGGGCCGCAGCCGGAGGCACTTCATGATGACGAGTCCATACTGGACGAGAAGGAGAGGCTTAAGCGAGCCGGCTACTAAAGTCTAAGATGCAGGCGAGAGACCCGCCTTTGTTTGCATATACCGGAGTAACGAGGATTTGTTTTCCCGCTGGTCCAAGTGTCAATGGTTTCTTTTGTTAATGGCAAGTTCTTGACGAGCCGACAGCCTGTACGATCTAGTCTGGGCGGGATTGAATTTTCTTGATGAGTTTTCGTATCAATTGCGAACATGACTTGAATTGTTTAGCGTTTGCCTTTGAGGGCTGTGAGTGAAGGCGAGGCAACTTGTGATGCGCTTCTAGGCCTGCTGACCTACACCCAAGTGAATGACCGAGTTGGCGGCAAGCCATGAAGCCATCCACGTCTTACTGACAGCCATTCTCGCCATGGGATCAATGTTTTATGTGCTCACTGGCGGATTGTTCTGACAATCTCCTACGCTCCCCAGATTCAGAAGCACCAATCTCCTTGGTGCCAACAGGTGACTCGACATGACACGCGTCAAGATTATCAGATAAAGCGCCGGGAACACACGAACACCCACGAGAGACGGTCCGGCGACTGTCACTCCAGGACGCCGACAGCGGGTCCCGTTCTTCCTTCTTGGTGACGCCCTCACACAAGCCTGCCAAACTTCCGATTCCCTCACGTCGCAGCCATTACCGCCAAAAACGCATGGACTGGCGCGTGGAGGCACATTCTGACACTTGATCCCCCCCCTTGTTAACTGCCTTCAATTCCAGGGGTGCATATATGTCCGGGTCGGCTGGCAGATGCGACACGGGAGCGTCCAGGCCACCATCATGTGTATATCCGCCGCAATCTCGTCCTAATGACGTACAGCTTTGCGCAATTGGCTCGGATACATCGCATTTGGCACGGCGCGCGCTGCAAAAGACGCACCCAGTTAACATGAGTCCTGAGCCGTGAGTATATGGGTGTTGGCCGCACGATGGAGAACGCACCGACAGGTAAGGCAAACAGCCTTTACCTTCAGTGGCCCATTTCCTTGTCTTTGGCCTTTTCGGTCAACATGTTTGAGTGCTGCCGGTCGGTGCGACACTGACCGTCTCCGATCGAGCCGCAGGGACGACTAGGTGACTGCGCGACTGCGCGACAGCCTCAAAGATCTGATGTAAGCCGTCAGCTGACTTCCACTTGAAGGTAGCAGTGACAGGATAGCCCATGGCCTCAAGTTGAGCTCGTCGGATCCATTTTGTGAGAGAAGAAAAAGCTGATGCTGCTACCAGCACGATGTTTCTATCGAATTGTTTGCGCCCAGAGATGTTGGAGGTGGAGTGTCAGTAAGCGGTTAAACACCGGTTTGCCGTTTGATTACTCCGTGTCGGGTCATTTCTTCCGGTATTCCGTCGACACGGGCTACATTTTCTTCAAGTCCATGCCTCGCCGACTATCAAATCACTCGGCAGAAGAGGGTCAAACAGGGACGTGACTCAGTGGCCATCCGATTCTGGCGCCACTCAGCATCAGGCCGCCGGGCAAGCCAGAACCAAGGCGGCCGGGATGCTGGCATCCAATTCAAAGACCCTCGCCAGGGTTCAGGCGAATCGAAATGGGGTCTCAAAATACTACAGGTGTCAAACTGATCCGTTGGGATCGTAAAGCATCACATGATGGTAGGATTTCTAAGGATCTCAAGTGGGAATCCGAAAGGTAGTAAGCCACTCGATGCTCATATTTAGACACTGGACCAGAGAAAGACTGACCTGTGTTTGAGGCGCCAATGGTGACAATGCAAGTCTAGCCCGAAAATTGCCCCATAGAGTTCACAATAGGCAGGGCTGAAGTCGTGGCGGCCCGCGGCATTGTCTGACTGCCGTAGCAAACAGCAATAAAACGAGCTCGAAGAAGCAATGCTTCCAAGTTTGTGCATCTCAGCCTCAGCTACCCCGTGGAATAGGGCTGCGCTAAGCTTGCCACGCTGTGCTGGCAAGCTGTCAAACGTCGCCGCGTCGGCGCCTCATGCTACAGCTTCTGCTGGGTCAACATCAAATGGTCGAATGAGGTTGAAGCTGACAATCATCACCAAGGCTGAAGTGCGTGCCGGTTTCCCGCTGCCCTCCCGGAACAACACGCAGCCCGAAATTACGGATTCAGCTGTCGAGCATCTCAACGGAGTAGGTTGGCAAATTTGGAGGAATCATCTCGGAGGTCGCAGGTCTTTTTATACGTCCCGGCCCCGAGACGGGCTTCTCCTTGGCCATTTGCTCATCTGGCCATCGTCTTCATCACCAAAATGGCGTACGAAATGACCAGCCCGCAGGACCAAACGATTGTGCAGCAGCAATGTGTTCCCGCGAGACAAGGCATGTCGCGCTGGTGGCCAATCTCCTTCTTCATTGCGGCCATCATCTTCTTCATCATTGGGGGAGGTCTCATGGGCGCATGGGTTTCTAGCTACGACGGCTTGGGCTACTACACCGATGGCAATTGGTACGGGGCCATCGCCTGTTTCGTGATTGCCAGTCTGCTCAAGTTGACCGCCTGGGTTCTTCTCATCATTTGGTGCGTGAAGGGGAGGAACCGCGCCCAGTCGTCGACAACGGTCACCTACGTCAACCCGCCGCCCGTGAACAACGTGTATGCCGCCGTACCGACACAGACGGCAGCGCAGAATTATTTCCAGCAACCTCATAATGCAGATCCGATGAAATCACAGACGGCTGCTCCGGTGTATCAGAATATCGAGCCTGGTGCGATGCAGCATGGGGAGACGGCGCGGTATTGAGGTAGTTGTGGCAACGCTTCCACAACGCCATTCTGTGCTCAGTGCGGTGGCAAGGTTTTCTGAGCCGGTCGGTAACGGCTGCACTTTCAAACGTTCTGAGCGCATGATATGAAGGGGACGTTGTGATGTTGGGGAATTAGGTCGGATATCAATGACCCTTTCGTACGGGGCATTAGTCGGAGAGACTTGGCAACGGTGACTCGACAATCTGTTAAGCGGTGTCGAACATGACGGAGGTTACGCATGCCAATCCGTATTGGACTTGGAACGGTTGGACACGGAGATCAGTCTGGTTTTGGATGAATGACGACGAGGACAGCCTAGCATTATCTGCGAGTTATGGCATCAAGTCAATTATACCGCCTACCATTTGTCATAACGACTTAATGTCACAAGTAGTGAGGGGGGAAAGGCCTCGCATTGATTTCATAGCCAAGGTTGTGGCTGTGAAAATGAATATTGCTATTCACGGCTCCAATCCTCGGTGCCTCTTGTCGTTTTGACTCTTATTCTCCGTGCTCCGTTTAGACGTCGCGAGTAGAGTCGGGTTTCGACTTTCGACAAGCTAACATGATCCGACCGACTTCCGCCTCCCGAGCTCTAGGCCGAAGATGAGAGACAAAAGCAAGCGCCCGTCTCGATTCCCGCTTGGAGCGGTTGTTTCAGCCATGCATGGGGAAATGAAGCACCAGACTTTATTCCTTTGCCGCGAGCAACAACACAATAAACACTACGGCCTAGAAAAGACGCAACTGCATCCACGGCGAGACACTAATGATACATGAATAAAGTATAACTTGCAATCTAGCGCCATCACGACTACCACTCCCCAGCATTTGCCGGGATCATGTATCCACGACTAGGCGGATGACGACAAACGGACCAACGCAATTAGGATGAATAGGGGTGACGATTTATCCGGCCGCCCCATGGCATACTTGACTACACGTCTTGTTAGCTGCTTGTGCCGGAACCACCCAAGACCTGCAGCAGCACACGTATCTCCCGCCTAACCCTAACCCTGTCTGGCTATCATCGGCGAGCGACTCGCGGCGACACGAAAACGGCGAGACCAAGCGATGAGGACCAAATGGACCCTACCTTTCCCAATTGTGGTGGTTCGTTGCTGTGTCTGCGCGGCCCGAGCGCGACCTTGAAACCTTGTAGCCGTCGTCATCTCCATCTCCCCCCTCCGCCGTGGCATCATGAACCCCGCAACACGAGATGGCTAGAGCCAGCCATCGGCAACTTCTCGTGCCGAGCTGGCGTTGAATTTATAATCAGCACCGCGGCCGATCGGAAAGCTACTCGGCTTGGTCCACAGGCCATGGCTAGATGCCCTCTTCGCTGGCTGGCTCCAAGCCCGCCCTCGGAGCTTCCGTGGACAGGACAGGACCCAATCGAGACCGGTTAGCTCTGCTATCCGCCCTCTCGTACAGTTCAACCGCAACCGTCCAAGCGCAAAAGAGAAGGAGGGAAATACATATACGCACGTGTGCCTCCCGGCTCTGGAACCCAAATCCGCCGGCTCTCGATCCCACAACCTCGCCAACCTCAAACACAAGCTCAAACCCCGAAAAGCTCACCGAGTAAAGCATCCATCACCGGTGCCAGTGCCCCCCCAGAAAGAGATGGCCGACCTCAAGCCCATGACCCTCCACTCCCACGCGGCCGGCCCCAACCCGTGGAAAGTCGCCCTCATCCTCGAGGAGCTCGGCCTCCCCTACAAGAACGAGTTCCTCGACTTCAAGCAAGTCAAGCAGGAGCCCTTCATCTCGCTCAACCCCAACGGCCGCGTCCCCGCCCTCGAGGACCCCAACACGGACATTACCCTCTGGGAGGTGAGGAGAAGAAGAAGACGAAGAAGACGACCCCTCATCCCGTGCTCGTGCTAAGAAATGACCTCGCAGTCCGGCGCCATCATCGACTACCTCGTCGACACGTACGACACGGCCAACAAGCTGCAGTACGCGAGCACGCGGGAAAAGTACCAGACCCGCGTGTGGGCGCACTTCCAGATGTCGGGCCAGGGCCCGTACTTCGGCCAGCTCATCTGGTTCTCGCGGTACCACCCGGAGAAGATCCAGTCCGCCGTGGACCGGTACGCCAGCGAGGTCCGCCGCGTGACGGGCGTCATCGACGCGCACCTCAAGAAGCACAAGACGGCGTACCTGGTCGGCGACAAGGTGACGTACGCCGACCTCATGTTCGTCCCGTGGGCCGTGGCCGTGTCCAGCATCGCCGGCGACCTGCTGGACCTGTCGGGCTTTGACGCCTACGACGCCTGGATGGACAAGTTGAAGGGCCGGCCGTCGACGGCAAAGATCCTCAAGGAGCGGGAGGCGGCCATGGCTGCTGGCCACTAGGGGCGGGGGACATGGGCATCCGAGACATGGAGGTGCCGCGTGGTCAGTGGTTGGGTTCAACATAAGAGAAGGCTACGAAAGAAGTCGGATTGATACACCGAGATATACCGGGACGGTGAGGGCCTTGTTCTTGACCAGACGAGCGAAGAGAAAGAAGGTACATGAAAAGAAAGGGCAAGGCTCCAACTAGGGGTACAAACATGCAGTGTCCTCCATCCATAGTAATCAGGGTACGCACTCAGAATGCCCTCGACGAAGCTCTCATACACCAAGCCCATCGACCCTGTTATACAACGCCCGCCTTTTCGGCCTGCCCTCGACAGCCGTCTCCCCTGCATAGGTGCTTGCTCCCATAGGGTAGCGTGTCCAAAATCCACGCCGCTCACCCTCACCCGGCTCACTTGAGCCGTCCATGCCGACTCCCCACCCGACGCTACGCGTGACTGTCTGCGTGACGATATCGCAGTCGTACGCGAAAGGCTCAGTCTCTCGCAGCGGCAAATGGTTAAACCGCCAGTCCAGCACGGCAGCATACGTACACCGGTACGAGGCGACGGCCGTCACGGTGCCGATCATCGATCCGCCAACGATGTCGTACCAGTTGTGCGCCGCGTCAATAGTGAGCGAGCACGCCATCGTCACCGCCACAAGCAGCGGCGCCATGACGAGACCCAGCTTCCAAAACGCCGGCTTGTGGTCCGCCCAGACCTTCAGCTTCGCGTTCAACCACAGCAGCAAAAACACAAAGCCGGCAAAGGCAGCAGTCGAATGGCCACTCGGAAATGACGTCACGGCGTCTTTGAGTCGCGAGGCGTTGGTCTGCGTGCATATGTCCGTCGTGTACATGACTTGCTGGAACCCAACCGCGTTCAGTCCCGACCTGTTGTGTGTCTCTGCCAGGGAAACGTCCGGCCGGCACACGTCCAGAAAGTACGGCCGGAATCCGCCGATGAGCTGCTTGATGACCACGTGGAAGAAGGTGCCGAGCGTCACGGCCCACAGCGTGCCCATGATGGCATTGCTAGCGTCCCAGGCCGACTTGACTTGGATCTGGGCGACGAGGTAGACGAGCACGGGGCCCAGGATGGAGGCCGCCCCCAAGACCCATGCCGGCACAATCCAGCCGCGGTAAGGGTAGGCCCATTCGGGGTACACGATGTCCCCTGAGCCGTCGAACGTGATGGGAAAGGTTCGCACTCCCCTGTTCGGGGCGTGATATATCTGCAAGAGTCTCGTGTCAGCCAGGCACGGGATAAGTTGGAGCGAGGGCTCGTGGCGGCACGTACGCCGAAACTCAGGCCACCCACAGCTAGCATAACAAGAACATCAAGACCATTTAGTCGAATCCACTCTCTTGAGAATGCTCTCAAGTCATGGAGGAATGAGGGCCGATCAAGTGACACCGAGTCTGCCCCGTCAGTCTGCGGCACGGACGGCATAGCTGGCCGCTCGTCGTGTAGGGACGTTTTAAGCGATGACGACGTGCGTGTAGGGGATACTCGGCAGTACAGCAGCTTCTGACGTGAAAGTTAAGTTAGTACTTGGAAAAGATGTTGGCGATGAATATTCGAGTTTGTCGGTTGCCGTGTGACGTCAAGTCGGGGATGAACGCCATGCAAACGTCATGTGACAATGGCAACAACAAGGCGCCGCTCGTGAGAAGAAAAAAATTAAGATAAAAATAAAAAATAAAAATAAAAATAAAAAGACACGTTCAATCGATTGCTTCCCCCGCATCAAGTCAAAGCTTCCGACATTGCATACAGCATTTATCAGAACTACGTACGTTCTATCTAGGTTGTCACCTCAGCACCTGCGAGCCCTGGACTGCCGCATTGCATTCCATTACCTTGATTCCTCCTGCTTCTTTATCCCGTATGTCCAACAATTCCTATACTTGAGTGCACATTTATCCCCGTGCCCCTGGGCCCGGCCACAGTTTGAGCAAGGTTTCTGCAACGTCATCAGCTCGCAGCCCGGCGGCGCTCCGACCCTAGTTCGAGTCACGGCCTCTTCTTGCGTACCGCGGTTTCCTTTGCGACGTCAGCAGTCGCGGGTGCCAGCTTCTCCTCCGAACTTGTGCTTCGTTTGGATGAGTCTGCCATGGTCGATACACTGCCTTGGGCGAAGGTGCAACGGTGCTGGAGTCCAAGACGTCTTGCTCCGTACCGAGTACGTTGATGTTGATGAAACGTCGGTGGCTGAGGGTACGTCGCTGGTGACTATGCCGTGTAACAAGCATCTGCAGATGATCTCCCGGTCTGTACGGAGTACGTCTGTCTGTGCGGGGCGCGCGGCTGTCGGACAATGTGTCAAGAGTGGCGTCACCCCAAGGCATTGGACGTGGACCACGTGCGCACGTCTTTGAAGAAATGGTTCAATTTATTTCTATTGTGCTGCCAACAGCAGGCAGCATTCAACGATGCTTGGTACAAAATGGTCCAAAGACGACAGCTTAACGAGTACCAGAATCACACACCATCCACGCCCACGCCCTGGTGACAACCTCCGCCAAGGCGTGCATGTACATGACACGAGTTACAGAGCAACCATGCCAGCACCAACGCAGAGGGCCACCAACATGTAGAGGCCAATGGAAAAGTCACCAATAGCCAAGACGTGGGCAACCGGAGCGCCATGAACGGCGAAACTGTCGTCAGTGTCCATGGCTGTAGCGCCCTTCTTGTCGGCGTCGCTGCTGGCCTTGGCCAAGGCGGCGGTGCAGGAACGCTCCGACTTGGCACTCTGGATGTGGACAGAGCCACCAAAGTTGCAAGCATCCTTTGCCTTCTTTTGCTTGTTGTAATGACCATCGACAACAACGGCAAGCTTCTCCCTGGCGCTGCACATGCTGAAGATGCCGTATCTGCCAGTGGTGGCATTGCCGTCGATAGAAGCGCAAATTTCAGGAGATTCTCCGCAGATGTACCCAAAGATGTCACTGGTTCGCTTGGCGGAGATGTCCGAGTTGCCGACACAACCTCTGGTGTCAAACGCGCAATAGCAGAGACTCTTGTCGGGGGTACGAGGGAGACGCTTGTTAGCCCGCCAGTTGTCGGCCAACTCGGGGCACTCGTTCGCCTTGCCCCCAGGCGTGTAGTCGGAAATTTCCATCGTCTTGGGCTTGGCCTCGTTGAGCTTCTTCTTCAGGGCGTAAAAGGCCTTGAGCTTGGTGGCCTTGCCGTTGGAGACCTCGACCAGGCCATAGTCGTTGGCTTCCTGGTGGTACATGTAGACGAAACCGCCACTGAAGACTCTGGTCATGTCCTCGGAGTAGAGAGCCGTGGTTTCGTGGAAAAAACGGTTGGCGCCGCCGCCGACGGTGTTGCAACCGTACTCGGCAAACATGACGGGGACAGTGTAGTTCTCGAATAACTTGGATAGCTGATCGTAGCCAGACTGCCGTATGGAGCTCTTTCCGCACCAAGAGTAGACATTGATGCCAAAAAAGTCCGTGCCGTCGTCGCAAGCGAAGTATTGAACCAGAGGTTCGAGGATATCTGGATCATGGTTGGCAGCGACGCCGACAAACAGCTGTCTCGTAATCTTCTTGTTGTTCTTGATGTAGGCCCTCATGTCTCGGATAGCGGCTTTGACGTAGGCAGAAGCTTCAGTGTTGTTCTTGGAGTTGGAGACCTCGTTGCCGGCAATGAAGCCGATCACATTGTCGTACTGGGACATGGTATCAATGACGGCAGTGAAATGTTCATACAGGTCTATGTCCCAGTGAGGATCATCACGGTTGATTGATTTGCCAGGCACACCGATATCGATGATGACATAAAGGCCAAGGTCCCGGAACACCCTCATGCATGCATCGTGGTTTGCCGCGGGATCGCTGCCGTAGAATCGGAGAGTACTGGCGCCGGCCTCCTTGAGAATAGGGCCGTCGCGCTTGCAAGCCAGCTCATCAGCACCGGAGTCGATAAAATTCCCTGAAGCGGTGGTAGAAGCTCCGGGACTGAATTCCTGCTGGTAAGCGATGCCCTTTATGTAGAACTGGGTTCCGTTTTGGTAGAAAAACTTGGAACCCTGTACGGAAGCAACTGCCATTGTCAGGAACCCAGTGCTTTCGTATCAGAGGAAAAGCAACAAGAGATGCTGTGAACGGACCTTGGCAATGATGGGCTGAAATTCGGCGGCCACGGCGCTCCCTGCGATGGCAAGGAGGCCCCAAGAAAGGTTAGCAAGACCCATGGGGATGTGATTCAGATGCTGCTAATGCTAAGGCTTGTTCTCGACGTAGAAAGCAATTGCAAGTATATGATAAAACAAGAGAAAAGACTTCTTGGCAATTAAGTTCAAGGAGAGTCAAGAATGTGATTCGAATTTGAGTTGGCGCGCGATGCACGATAAAGCAGTGCCAGTAACAAACGAAGCGGCCAACCTCTATTGGTAAAAATTAGACACGTATCAATGAAAACAAGACTGTGATGATGACGATGATGGAGAAGACATCACAAAGCAAAAAAAAAACAAAAAAAAAACAATAAAGGGTAAAAGAGTGTGGTTTGAGCCGCAGCCATGGTGGAAGAAGAGACGAGAGGGCAACAGCCGGACGAGAAGAGGGACAGCCAGGGCCCAGGGGTCCGGCGACGAGCTTGATTGGCTCAGGCCTCCATGTTCAGCGGGCTGACTATTTTATTTTACCTTGTCCACCAAATAAAGATGAAGATTCGGCAACAGGCGGAAGGCGGAAGGCGGAAGGCGTCAACGAGACGGCATCACATTTCACACCGGCCACTTGCCGGTTCCATGGCCCCAGTGGAGACTGGAGACCGGCAACGGTCAGATCTGGGCCCAGCGCTGGACCCGCCCTGGACCACGCCCTGGACACACACATCTGCCCGTCCTGTCAGAGAGGACACGATCTCGACGACGGTTGAACCGAGGCCGCATCAATGTTGAATGCTGTTGCTGTTGCTACTTCCGCGCCCGACTCTCCTTCACACCTGGATTACGCGTCAACCAAAGTCATCGGCCTTGTCCCCGGGCTCCTCGAGCGGCCAAGCCAGGATCGCAGCCAAGTCACTGGTCACTGGTCACTGGGCACTGGACGGCGAGCTTTTTAATAAGAAGAGAGGGACTGCCGGGGCAACTCTCCTTTCTTGGCTTCTTCCGCCAAGCAGCCCATGGCAAGGTCTTGAAATTTCGGCCAAGAGGCCAAGTACTCATCTTCATTCAAAATACCAAGTTAATTTCATCCCTCTAGCTGACTTGGCTTTGTCGGGCCTGTTGGCCAGCTCTGTCGATTCTTCCATGCCCATTGTCAAGCAACAAACTACCAGGCCGTGGTCCCAGACTCCCAGGCGCGTCATTTCCTCAAGCGCCGGACGGGCTGGACCATCACCGCCCCCGGATCTTGCAGTAAGCGGTCCCAACGCCGTACAAAACATAGTCCCACATACGGTGTGTTGTATGGATAACGCTGCTGGGGTGAGGCTGTCGAGGATGTTGAGGGTCGCGATAGTAGCGTCCGTCGTCATATACAAGTCGTCCCATTTTCGCGCCTGTGTGCGTGTTTGTGTTTGTAGAGGTGGCTGTACTCGTTCATCAGAATGCTGCTTCGATCCGCGACGTGTCCAAGTTGGACAATTGCGGGCATTGTCCAACTCTCCAGCCTTCGAGATGGTATCACATGTGATTTATATAATAGTTCCTTCCGGCATGCCTTTGCTCTTTCCAAGTAATGATATTGCTGGAACCGTCACGAGGTGGCCGCTTCAGGGCGTCACGCGCCGAGAACTGGTGGCGTGCCACAACATTGGAGACACCAGTAAGACAATATTGAAGACAACTGACCGCTGCACTCGGACCGTTGCGCGCTCCTTGGACGGTTCCACGTTTTCTTCGTCTTCGTCTTGTCAGTTGAGAATCACCAGCAGACCAACCTCGATAAACGTGACCGCCGTACTTGAGAATTTTCGGCCAGAGTCCGTCTGTCGTGGCAAATGGCTGTCACGGACCCTGGTCAAGTCGACGGCTCTTTCCTCACGTGCCGGCCGTTCTTCTTGCGCTTTGACGGCGGCGGCTGCTGCCATGTTCTCATTGCTAATCGTGCCAACATGTCGAGACGTCGAGCTCCGCTCCAATCAGCCACGAGCTTCATCATCGTCTTTGGCCGCCTTTCATCTCACCGTAGCGTTGGCCGGTCTTTTCCCCATAATTCTTTTCCCGGCTACAGCATCTGTTGCGCCTGCCCTCGTGCTGGAACATTTTGAACCACAATTCCATGACGTCGTCCGAACGCGGCCACGCCCACCACACCAAATCGAGTATTCGCCGCAATGAAATGGTTTCGGACACGGGCGGATTCGAGTTGTGTCGGACATTGTTGGAAATTGTACCACTAATGTTGCAGATTCGCCAGTTGCTGGCTCACACACATGTTCGACTATAAAGTGCGTCATGCCAGAGCCAGTCGCCGCCGGGAAGTTCGTCCGAGAAATTCCTCATCAAATATTTTAACAAGACGTTATCGGGTCGTCCAATCCCTTTTCGCATCTCTTCAAATGAATCATACTTCCTCCCTGTGGGGTACACATGCTCGCAGAGTCTGGCGATGATGTAATTAGGCGTTTTGGGGGCATCTTGACCAACAAGCAGCTTGGCCATGTGAGAATCTTCTCCGCCGGCGATGGTGATGATGCGCCATGATGTCATGCCAAAAGACTGCTCTAGTAGCCAGATAAATGGGGAGCTCCTGAATAAATCACGAGACGTATATCATCATGTGCAAACGCTCAACGAGGCACCATATCGACAAGTTCTAAACACACAGCATCACTGCATCTGGTCCTCGTTTTTTCCACCATGTCTTCGGCTCAAACTCGTCGCGGTGCGCCTAGTGCAGGAACCAAGGTAATTCATCATCGGCGAGACAAGTGGAATTCCGCAATTTGATTCACTCAGAGCTAAGCGGTCTCAGGTCAATCTAGGGAAAGACGCCCCCGTCACGCGCGAGGCTGCCGGCAGAGTCCCAGACGATTCCCTAGCAGCCGAATCATACAGAGCCGGCGGTGAATTCGCCAAGAACCGTGATGCCGAGCCCGGAAAGGCTCCCGCCGGGGTCGACCCTTACTTGGATGAGCGCAATTCCAACGCTGAACCTGCGCCGTCATACGTCAGCAGCCAATACGTCAAGTATAAAGGCGGCCCTCGGGGCAAGAATCTGAAGGAGGGCGGGTTTGACCACCAAAAGGTACAGGATGGCATTCAAAAGGCATTCAACTCGGAGCCCGGTTCGATCGACGACCCGGGCAGGCTTGCCGAAGTCACCTTTGAGCAATACGACGCAGCAACTCCGCGGATGGCGGGGACGAGGGATGTTGGTTTGAAGACGGGGACGGCATATGACGGCCTAGATCGAGACGTTGATGCCTAGTCTGATCATTGTAATTCGGTGCCTATTCACTATCGAACAATATAGTTAGTAATCTCTGTTTTTGAGCTTTTTTAAAAAAAAATTCCAGCATCTCCAGTGAAAAGTCAGTACGTTTCTTCCGTCCTCGGCTGAGCGATTGTAACAGGAGCACAAAGCCAGACTTGTTCACAACGCATTTTTAGTCTCATCTGCTGCCTGGCGCCATAGCAACACAACACGAATAAATTTATGCAAAAGATGCAGCGTCTAGATAGCGGCGTTGCCATGCAGCAAGTCTCCCCTAAACTGAGGATTCCACGAAAAGTAAAAGGAGCGCAGCACCCTCCCGCAATGCTCTGTGTGTGTCGGTGAGAGCATATTCATCTGCTTGTCGTGAGCCGGCAAATTGCGGCCCTCACGGCAAGGACCCTCTTGTCTGCGACAGCAATATAATTATTTTTTACCCTCTGCTGTCCTGACTTGAATGAATGATAGACAGACAGTTTGCTCACTGCTGAATTCTACGGTCCTGCAAAATACTGGCGGTCAAATTACAAACATGCCACCCGCGGGCAACGGTAGGCCAGCTATACCAATCGCTGTAGGGTAGGTAGGAAGCTTGGTACGTGGCAAAATTTTTTTTATCAGAATCTTATCAGGCAGAGAACGGAAGGCACAAAAATGACGTCAAGCCAGCATCTGCCCATCCACCAAAATCACAAAAAGATGCTGCAATGAATAAGTGCAACCAGAAGTACGGATCGTCGGAATGATGGCGATGATGGTTCCATCGGACCTCACGCTGCGATAGAGCCACATGGAGAGCAGCTCTTTTAGCCTTGCCTACCTCGAAACAAACTTCCGCCGCGGTGGCGACGGGTTCCGCCAGGGAAGGTATTTTGTGTGCCCTGTCTACCTGCCTTAGTCAGAGAGTCTTATCGAACCAAAAATTTCTGGCCGCGCCCCACCATGCAAAAACACACCCCGCCTCCATTTATCTTTTAGACGGCTCTTGCCAGCAAAGTCTACGTTCGGGCGTGCAACACTCTTGCCGCTTGGCTCATCATTTTTCTCTCCAGGACCAGATCACCCGTGTTTTCTGGTCGATTATTCGTGTTGCGGTAACCAAGTCACGCACGACGAACACAGCCATCGGATTCCTAACGTCCTTGAGCCCGACGACCTTCTCTTTGGCTGTTCTTTCTCTCTTTCTCTTTTTTCCCTTTTGAACCCACCGTTCCTCGTGGCTGTTTTCTATTTTTGACCGCCAATATGCCTTCTGCTTCCAAGGAAAAGAGACTCGCCAAGAAGGCTGCCGAGGGCAAAACCAAGGGCGCAAAGGGCGCCAAGGCAAAGGCCCAGGAACCCGAGCTCGATGCCAACGGCAATGTCATCCAAGACGATGTCCCCGCCACTTCTGGAGAGAAGTTGGACGAGGTGAAGCGTCTCGCTGAGCAGATGGACAAGCATGGCATCTCGGATCGAGTCACCACCGGCGTTTTGGCATCGACCCATGCTAGCAAGGATGTCAAGATTACCAGTACCAGCTTGGTGTTTCACGGCCGCGTCCTCATCACCGACTCGACTCTGGAATTGTCCTTCGGCCGCCGATACGGTCTCCTCGGTGAAAACGGTTGCGGAAAGAGCACACTTCTCAAAGCCATCGCTGCTCGGGAGTTCCCCATTCCCGAACACATTGATATATATCTTCTGAATGAGGGTGCTCCCCCCAGCGACCTCGGTGCTCTTGAATGGGTTGTCAAGGAAGCCGAAATGGAACTTGAGCGTCTTGACAAGCTTGCTGAGAAGCTACTTGAGGACGAGGGCCCCGAAAGCCCCGTTCTAATCGACCTTTACGACGTACGTGACCCCTCAAGACTATGCACCCTTGAACAATCTGCTAACCTACTCCGTCCCACAGCATATGGATAAGATGGATCCCTCGACCTTTGCCACTCGTGCCTCACTCATCCTGACTGGTCTGGGATTCAACAAGAAGACCATCCACAAGAAGACCAAGGACATGTCTGGTGGTTGGAGAATGCGTGTTGCTCTCGCCAAGGCCCTATTCGTGAAGCCTTCGCTGTTGCTGCTCGACGACCCAACCGCTCACTTGGATCTCGAGGCTTGCGTCTGGCTCGAAGAGTACCTCAAGAAGTGGGATCGTACCCTTGTTCTTGTTTCACACTCGATGGACTTCCTCAACGGCGTGTGCACCAATATGATTGATATGCGAGAAAGACTTCTCCAATACTATGGTGGTAACTACGACTCTTATCATAAGACCCGCGCCGAGAATGAGACGAACCAGATGAAAGCCTACACCAAGCAGCAAGAAGAAATTGCCCACATCAAAAAGTTTATTGCCAGCGCAGGTACCTACGCCAACTTGGTCAGACAGGCCAAGTCACGACAGAAGATTCTGGACAAGATGGAGGCTGACGGCTTCATTCAGCCCGTCACTCCCGACAAGGTCTTCACCTTTCGATTTGCTGACGTGGAAAAGTTGCCCCCTCCCGTTTTGTCGTTTGACAATGTCACCTTCTCTTATTCTGGAGACCCAGCTGATGACCTGTATCGCAACCTGGACCTTGGTTTCGACATGGACTCCCGGACCGCCCTTGTCGGCCCCAACGGCGTTGGCAAATCTACACTGCTGCGACTGATGACTGGCAAGCTATCACCCACCGGGGGCTCCGTCACCCGCCACACACATTTGAAGCTTGGCCTCTACTCGCAGCACAGTGCCGAGCAGCTGGATCTCACCAAGTCCGCTCTTGACTTTGTACGAGACAAGTACAAGGATAAGTCTCAGGATTACCAGTACTGGCGTCAGCAGCTTGGCCGATATGGGTTGACTGGTGATTCTCAGACTGCTCTGATGGGTACCCTCTCCGAGGGCCAGAAGAGCAGAATTGTCTTTGCCCTGCTGGCCATTGATGGTCCGAACATGCTTCTACTTGACGAGCCTACCAACGGTCTTGATATCCCTACTATTGACAGTCTGGCTGATGCCATCAACGCCTTTAGTGGCGGTGTTGTCGTCGTTTCCCACGACTTCCGGTATGTGCCAATTCTGCTTTGTTTCGAAAAAGGTTTGATTTGATGGCTGACTGCGCAACAGACTTTTGGATAAGATTGCCAAGCAGATTCTTGTTTGCGAGAACCAGACCATTCAGGCTTGGGACGGCACTATCGGCGACTACAAGAATTATCTGCGCAAGAAGATGATTTCAGCTGGTGCTGTGTAATTGACTTCCGTTTTGAGGATGGAAATAAGATTGAATATTTGGGCATAGACGGTACGATGAAAATGGCATGATGGGGTTTGCGACGACATGGGATAATAGCGGCGGGCGGCACTGTCATCAGGCATGACATGAACAGGAGTTGCCGCATAGACGCTGAGGCGTGGTCGCGATACCCTTTTAGATGCGAGTTGCATGCATTCATGACCAGATGTTTGTGTTATGGGATAGACTCGGCACATTTTCCAATTCTTTTCTTTTTTTTTTGGGTGGGGGGAGAGGAGGGGGCAGTCGAAGCTCCAACGCTCTGTTCAAGCAGCAGACATCGACACAAAAGAACTTGACTTTTTGCAACGTAATTGGTGGATACAGATTTGACGTGTACCAAAGAACCGAGTGACTTTTACACAATTTAGTCTGCGAGTAAGCGCTCTTGAAATTGTGGACTAGCCAACATTGAGACTGCATGGAGAGCCTGCTTGCTCTATTCGGAGTGCAGCCTCCCTGGCAGCGAGGATCAACCACATGGAGCCGTACTGCCTTTACCTTGGACACGAGACATCATCAACATGGGAGGAAGGAGGCTCTGGAGCCTTGGAAAGAAATCGGTGCGGCTGCGACCCACCCCGCCTTTCCTTCTCTTGTTTGAAGCCGCCGCCACCAACCACCACTGCATGGCTCAATCCTTGCGTGTTTGTTGGCGGGCTGGCGGGCATTGATGAGGATGGACGGACAGTCCAAGTGCGTCTCGAGCGAGCAAAGAGAGACTCTAGAGGGCCCCGTTGTCGGACGGATCCCGGACGGAGCACATGTTAGTTATTTTCTACCAATTGGAAAACAAAAAGATGACTGCAGCCCGCGCCGCTGCCACGTAGTAGTTACTAACTACTTACTCCGTACTGTGCCACGGCATGCGCGGGTGCTGTGTACGGGCCCCGGGGCTGTGCTGACAAAGTTTGAGTGTTGACATGCTCGGTACCCGGTACTCCCTAGCTACTCCGTACAGGTCCTTTCATCACGTCGTGGCGGACGTGGGCCCAGTGAGGCAGCCCTGTCTCTGGATGGCCTGTGGGCACTGGTCACGGTGCGGAGTGCCTGGCCGGGGAACTTGCATCCGCAGGACCGTACGGAGTACGGAGTAGCAAGTGGTAGCTGCCGCTGACAGATTCCGCATACCGCATACGTGCATGTCAGAGCCGAGGGCGACTGCTGATTGGCCGCAGGCTGGTTCCCGCGTCTGGTTCCCGCGTGGTCCTGGACAATGTCTCTGAAGACTGGTAGATACTGCGGCTGGGGTGCATGTTTGGTTTGATAAAGTCGGCGTGGCAGGGTGCGGGGAGGCATTTCACCGCGGGTCGCCGTGGCGGACGACAGTGTGTTCGTTGGCGTTGGCTTTTGAGGGGAGACGCCGGGTTCAAATGGGGGAAATTCCTGTCGGGCGTGCGAGTAGGAGTTTGCGTGGTTGTGGTTCCAGGACAAGGACAGGTCGAGGTTTTGGCTGATTGGAGGGAGGCGGGTCCCCCTTTCCGTCGGGGCTTTTTTTACTTTGGCAGTGTCCTGGCTCGTCCTGACTCCCGACTGCTGAGTCCTGAGGCCCCGAGGGACCAGGGTTGACTGTTTGCTGAGCGATGGGTCAACAATGCATATTTCAAGTCAAGTACGCAGTCCGCAGCGATTATTACTCTCGTAGCTTGCCGCCGCTTGCCGCCGCTTTCTGACGAACCTGGCGATTGTTATGCCGTGCATAACAGCCCGTCTTGGGTCTGGGTCCTGGGGTCCATAGGTCCCAGGTACGTACATCATCATCATCATCATCATCATCGTCATCGTCATCCTCAGCCTCATCTTCACTGCTCAGCCTGTACTGTGCATGCACTCCACGCTCCATCATCCCGTGCTGAGAGTACATCTGCGTAGTCCAGCAATGGTTCAAGGCCAACACGCCAGACTAGAATGCCCAGCTGGGCCCTGCTGCAGCATCATACGCCATCACGACTCGGCCTTGTGTGTAGTTTCTCTCTTGCGCTTGTCCCCCCTCACGTCTCCCGTCATTCCGTGGTCTCTCCCGCTCATCTCTACCGTGGGCCGTCAACGCCGTCATCGCCGCTTGCCCTGGTCCTTGCTGGGAAATCACATCTCAGGGAACTTTGCAGCATAGGACTCCGAACCTGAACATGCATTGAACACATTCCCGTCACCGGAACACCACGTCTGCCCTGTCAACCCGCCCTTGGCGCTCAAAAAAAAAAAAAAAAAAAAAGAAAAGTCAAATTTTGCTCCCCACCCCCCGTCTTTTGGCAATTGGCGAGGCCCATCCAGACACGACTTCTTGTGCGTGAGCACAAGGAATTTGCATCCTGCATTCGACCTGGGGTACTCCGTACTCGCTGCAGTCTGTATCCTGGGCCGAGACCGGGCTTGCGCCTCCACGCCGGGGGAGAAGAGCAGGCATCGTCGAATTCTCTGACCTGGCCAGATACCGACATAGATCCCTCACGCGCGACAACATCTGCCTTCTTTTTTGGCCCGTTCTCGCACGTGTGGGGTCGGCGCGCGAGACCAAACTTTTTTTTTTCCTTCAAGGAAACAAGGGGGGGGGAAAAGAGAAACAAGAAAGTTTCCACGGATCGTAGCTGGACAAGTCTTGATCGGTTACAGACCACGAGGCAAGATCCAAGGCGCCGCCTGCTTGTTGATCTGCCGTGCGTTGCGTGCATCTCTCTCGGCCAGTCAGGCTGTGCCACAGCCATAGAAGCCCTCGTGCGCGTCGGGAGCCTGGAGAGCATCGCAGCCGCTGGCATGAACAGCTTCCGGTCGACGGTGCCGCACCGGGCGCATGGCCATGGCAGAGGCGACGAGGCACTTGGCCACGAGCGCGACGAGGCCCAGGACGGCCGCGACGTGGCGGATGCAGGGAGCGCCGCGCACCGACACCTTGATTCAACCACGGCCAGCTTCCGCCTGCGCTCACCAGCCGTACCGATGGGCTCCGCCCACGTCCTCGCCCACGCCCACGCCCACGCCAACGCCAACGCCCACGCCAACTCGGCCTCTGCCTCTGCCTCTGCCTCTGCCTCTGCCTCGACCTTCCAGGCTCCTCCTCCCTTTTCATCTCCTGGCCGCAACACCACCGCCGGCATCAGCAACACGGGCAGCGGCCTTCATCACCGCAATCGCAACCACGACGCCGCCGCCAGCCCGCCCGTCCCCTCGCCCCCGAGGCTGTCGCCGCTGCTGCTCAACTCGGTCGCCCACCACCGCGGCAGACATCGTCACCGCGGCCACGCTGGCCACGCTCACGCCCGCTCCCACGGCCACGGCCACGGCTCTGCAGCCGCCGCTGCCGCCGGTATAGCATCGTCGCCCTGATGGCGTCCTCATCCTCGACATCCGCCGGCGCCGGGGCTCCTCCGCCGTTGCCTCCCCCGTCGACGTCGAATCCGTCCATGTCTAATACCCGCGATCATCGTCACCAGCACGGAGCACCCCCCATGTCGCCTCGACGCCCCCCGGCCTCGTCGGCATCCAGTTACTACCCGCCGGCAGCTTCGTCACCTGATTCTCATCATCAGTCCCATCATCACACTCGCGAGAAGCCGGCATCAGGTCGAGTCTATGACCCCACGACGGACACCACCAAGGAGCGCAGGGTATCCGACTCCTGGCACAACGCGCCCCAGAACTCCACGCCAAAGGTAAGCCGCTGCCCGAGCTCAATCCACTTCTTTTTTTTTCATTTGACTCGTGCACGGCACTTGTTGCCTCTTTCCTTTCAAAATTGCAACACCTGGCCAAACCAACCGATAATTCCACTTTCTTCTCTCTGCTCCGTGCTCTGTCCTCCTCCCGGCTGCCTTTTGCCCTTCTGCTCTCCTCCCTCAACATCACCAACGCGGAACCTGCCAATAAAAAGAAAAACAAATTTAATGAAAAGAGCACTCCCTTCATCAAAGCCGTGCTTGGCGGAGCTATCTGCAATGCCGCTTTGAAACTTTGCCATCTTGGAGCTTGCGTCACAGAATCGGCGGAAAAAAAACCCATCACTCGTGTTAATGACGACCATGACTGCGGCTTGTTCGCATTGCCCGTTTTCTGACTTGCACTAATCTGAACCGACCGCCACAGGCTCCCCGCGACCCTTACCCCTACGATCTGAAACCTGCCGACCAACACCCTTCATCTTCATACTACAGCAACAACAACGGCCATTACACGCCGCCTAGGCAGTCATACACCAGGCCGCGAAGCCCGCTCTCCCACCCCCACCCGAGCTTGCCTGCTGGCTCTCACAGCCCACCGAGCCGCACAGCCCAACTCGCTTCGCCTTCACAAAGACATGTACCCGCGGTCACTTTGAACTCAACCACCAACGGCTCCCCAGCCATGTCAACCATCATCAAGTCAGAGCCTCGGGCGGCCTCCCCATCAAAACCGGCGCCTGCATCATCGACGAATGTAAGCCGCCTTTGACACTTTGTCCGCCCTGTTCGTATCATTTGTCATCTCGAGCAGCCGCAGAACTTGTTGGTGGAGGCATTCCTGCTAATCTGATGCAAATACAGACCCCTGGTCGATCGGCTGATCCCATGTCCTTTTCCAATATTTTGTCCAGTGCTGAACCTGCTCCGAAGACTGCACCCGAGCCGCGAGCTCACACTCCAGGGGCCCCTGAGCCGGAGCAAGATGGTGACACTGAAATCGAGCCAGAGAGGGATGTCGAGGCTGAGCCCGAACCTGCCCGGGTCAGAAAAACCGAATCAGTTGTGAGGAAGAAGCCCGGTCGACGCCCAACAAAAGGTCGAGCATCGGATATCCGGGAAGCCGAAGCCCCCAAGGGTAAGCGCCGTTCTTCAATCAAGAGAGAGTCGCCCCAACCTCGATCAGCCTCGAAACGCCTAGCAAATGGCCAGCCCAAGGCTACCAAGACCTGGTCCAGTGAGATGGAGAAGAAGATATCAAACTCTGAAATTCAGATTGAGAATGACGTATCGAGCCTCGACCCGACTGAATTTGACGAGCAAGAATACAAGGAGCGTGCTCAAAAGCGCAGACGCGTCATGATCGATTTCGACGCCGAACAGGGACGTCTTCGGCGCAATGAATACACCAAACAAGCGGCAAAAAAACTGGCTCTCCACTCGGAACTCGGCAAGCGGCGATACGACGATGTCTTCTATGACCAGGCGCTTCATGAGGTTCGCGAGCAGGAGCTCTTTGCCGAGAAGGAGCGCAAAAAGGATATGCAGCGAAAGCGGCGTCGTGAGAAGTCCATGGCTGTCACCATTGAACTCAAAGAAGCGGCCTTGGCCAGAGCAAACGCCGCCGAGGACGAAAACGAGCGCCAGAAGCACTTGCGCGATGCCGAGCGTGCAAACAAAAAGGCACAGCAGACCAAACTTATTCTTCAAAAGGGCATCAAAGGGCCGGCGCGCAATCTGGAGCTCAACTTGGAGGGCGGCACCATGTCTAGTTTTCTAGCTTCAGATGCCGAGACTCCTAAAAAGGGCCGAGGCAAAGGAGGTCGCCTCAAGAAATCCAAGGAGCAGAAGAAGGCCGAAAAGGACTCTGCCGAGGCCGCCCAAGCCCTGCTTGATGCGGGCAAGGAACTTCCTCCCAAGGAGGAGAGTAAGGTCCGAATCAAGATCAAGGGCCGCCCCAAGGAAAAGGACAAGGAAAAGGAAAAGGACACTGAGAAGGCTAAAGAGAGCAAGGAGCCTGTCAAGGAGAAGAAGGACGAGGTTTCCGAACAGGAGAAGAAGTTCACGTCCAAGGGCTACAATCAGATCTACGAGCAGATTTGGCGCGACATGGCTCGTAAGGATGTCAACAAGACGTTCAAGATGGCCGTCGATTCCTACGCGACAAAGGCTTCCAACCTCAAGAAGACGGCCATTCTGGCATCGAAAGAAGCTAAGCGATGGCAGCTGCGGACCAACAAGGGCACCAAGGATCTCCAGGCACGTGCCAAGCGAGTCATGCGTGACATGATGGGCTTCTGGAAACGCAACGAACGTGAAGAGCGTGACTTGCGCAAGGCCGCCGAGAAGCAAGAGATTGAAAACGCGCGACGAGAGGAAGCAGACCGTGAAGCAGCTCGCCAGAAGAGAAAGCTCAACTTCCTCATCTCTCAAACCGAACTGTACTCTCACTTTATTGGGAAGAAGATCAAGACTGATGAAGTAGAGCGAAGCACTGATAACCCTGACATTGCCAAGCCCAGCGGCGAAGTACCCCAAAACAAGCTCGACATTGCGGAACCAACTGGCCCTGTCGGAGACAGAGTTACCGACTTCGAGAACCTAGACTTTGACAATGAGGACGAGACCCAGTTGCAGGCCGCTGCCATGGCGAATGCTCAGAATGCCATTGCAGAGGCGCAAAAGAAAGCACGCGCCTTCAACAATGAAGGTGGCCTGGACATGGATGAAGAAGGCGAGATGAACTTCCAGAATCCTACAGGTCTGGGAGAAATGGAAGTCGAGCAGCCCAAGCTTATCAACGCGCAGCTCAAGGAGTATCAGCTCAAGGGTCTCAACTGGCTGGTCAACCTATACGAACAGGGCATCAACGGCATCCTGGCTGATGAGATGGGTCTCGGAAAGACGGTGCAGTCAATCTCGGTCATGGCGTACCTTGCTGAGAAACACGACATCTGGGGACCGTTTCTGGTTGTTGCACCCGCCTCAACGTTGCACAATTGGCAACAGGAAATCGCCAAGTTTGTTCCCGAATTCAAGATTCTCCCATACTGGGGTAGTGCGCCGGACCGCAAAGTCCTTCGCAAGTTCTGGGACAGGAAGCACTCGACATATCGCAAGGACGCCGCCTTCCACGTCTGTGTGACGTCGTACCAACTAGTTGTTTCTGATGTGGCATATTTTCAAAAGATGCGATGGCAGTACATGATTCTTGACGAAGCTCAGGCCATCAAGAGCTCGCAGAGCTCCCGATGGAAGTCGCTGCTGGGCTTTCATTGCCGCAACAGGCTCTTGCTTACTGGTACTCCTATTCAGAACAACATGCAGGAATTGTGGGCGCTGCTTCACTTCATCATGCCGTCTCTTTTCGACTCCCACGACGAATTCAGCGAATGGTTTTCCAAGGACATCGAGTCTCATGCGCAGAGTAACACAAAGCTCAACGAAGACCAGCTCAAGCGTTTGCACATGATTTTGAAGCCTTTTATGCTCCGCCGTGTCAAGAAACATGTGCAAAAGGAGCTTGGTGATAAGATTGAATTGGATGTGTTCTGCAATCTTACACATAGACAGCGGGCGTACTACACCAACCTCCGGAACCAGATCAACATCATGGACCTCGTTGAAAAAGCCACACTCGGGGACGACCAGGATTCGGGCACCCTCATGAACTTGGTCATGCAGTTCCGGAAAGTGTGCAATCACCCGGATCTGTTTGAGCGTGCCGAAGTGACAGCCCCGTATTCGTTTGGCTACTTTGCCGAAACTGCCTCGTTTGTGCGAGAAGGAAGTACCGTTACCGCAGGCTACTCTACCCGAAGTCTCGTCAATTTTGAGCTCCCAGCACTGATCTGGACGGACGGTGGCCGTCTCAGTAAGGCCTCGAGCGACAATGCCAAGGCTGGATGGCGCAACAAGGCTCTGAACCACATGATGAACATTTATTCCCCTGATCATGTGCACGAGAATGCGCAAGAGTCAAGGGCATTCTCTTGGCTTCGTTTCGCAGATGCCTCCCCCGGAGACGTCTACAGGGCCACGCACGACAGCCTCTTCACGCGGGCAGCAAATGAGCTGCAAAAGAGTGATGGAATCGACCAAATGTCAATCGTCTACGACGAAGACGGGGATGAGACTTTTCCCCCTGCGCACGCCCTGTTCCAAATTTGCGCCAGGGGAAATCGTCGTCCCCTTGCTGAAATTACGAACGAAGGGATTCTCAACAATCTGATGAATGTTGCTCGCAGCAGTTACAATGACTCTGGCCTGACCAGGCTGGAGACTGCCGGTCGATCCCGTGTGTCGGCCCCTCCCGTTGAGGTCTCATGCAACAGCATTAGCGCCGTCAGAGAACGGCAAGAGATGATGTTCAACCCTGCAATCCGCAGGGTACTCTACGGTCCTAATTTTGCGGAGGAGAAATCACTCATCGAACAAAAGGTGCCTCTCGAGTTATACCCTTCGCGCAGCCTTCTCCCCAAGCCCGACAGCGAGAGGAAGCGCTTCACGGAATTCGTGGTTCCCTCCATGCGTAAATTTGTCACGGACAGTGGCAAGCTGGCCAAGCTTGATGAGTTGTTGTTCAAGCTCAAGAACGATGGTCACCGAGTCCTGTTGTACTTCCAGATGACTCGTATGATTGACATGATGGAGGAGTATCTTACGTACCGCAACTACAAGTATTGCCGTCTCGATGGGTCGACCAAATTGGAGGATCGACGTGACACTGTTCACGATTTCCAGACTCGACCCGAAATCTTCATCTTCTTGCTATCCACACGTGCGGGTGGTTTAGGAATCAATCTCACTTCTGCCGACACTGTCATCTTTTACGACTCGGATTGGAACCCGACCATTGACTCGCAGGCCATGGACCGAGCCCACAGATTGGGCCAAACGAAACAAGTCACTGTCTATCGTCTCATTACCCGTGGTACCATTGAAGAGAGGATCCGCAAAAGAGCTCTTCAAAAGGAAGAAGTCCAACGTGTCGTTATTCAGGGAGGCGGTGCCAGTGTTGACTTCTCTGGTCGCCGCGCGCCCGAGAACCGCAACCGTGACATCGCCATGTGGCTGGCTGATGACGAGCAGGCTGAGATGATTGAACGCCGTGAGAAGGAGCTCCTGGAGTCGGGAGAGTACGACAAACAGAAAAAGAGAGGCGGAAAGCGCAAGAAGGCGGAAGCTCCGGCGAGCTTGGATGACATGTATCACGAAGGTAGGGTTGCCGTCTACGTTTTGATTGTGAATGGCTCTGACGGCATGATGCTGACCACTGCTCAGGCGAAGGACATTTTGATGACGGCAGCAGAGCTGGAGCGTCTGGCACAGCAACGCCTGCTGAGAGCGATACGAAGGGCAAGAGGGGACGGGGGAAGACGACGGGGAAACGAGCCAAGACGGCCAAACAACGCCTAGCAATCGCGGACGGCATGGTTGATGCATGAGATGAGTGATGGGACGGCACACTATTATGCCACCTTGAAAGTTTTTGTTCTTCTTGGACGACGATGCTGTTTGCGCCGGTGCCCGCAGTTGTATCAACAGAATAAAGGGGAAATTTCACAGGACGACTAGGAGTGCTGGGCGCGTGGAACCATTGCTGAATGCTTTTTTTTTTTTTTTTTTGGCTTTTTCTCTCTGTTGTGGATGAACTTGAACAGCTAGGCGGCGACTAACAAGCTCAAGCTTTTCATCGGTGGTTGGCTGTTGCTAGACGAGCTTGCATGTTTGAGATGGATGGGACGGGACTGGACGGCCCCTCGGAGGAGGAGGAGGAAGGGGGTTAAGGGGGGGGGATGAGGACTGCCAGGCAAAAGAAAGATGAAAAAGCGCGAGTTGTACTACTATGGCTAGACGGGATTTCTAAATATGTACATCTCTATACAAGGACTACACGTCTGGGTTTCGATTCTGTCGTGATCAGGCCTGCATGAGCTTGTGGTCATGACTCATGCACGGGCTGCGAGGCTGCCGGCCTTTTGTCACGGGACTTTGGAGTCGTGGACGGCCGGGCCCCAGTTCCTTCCTCTTGGCCGTCGGGGCTTCCTTCCCTGCGGGCTGCATGCAGTTCACGCCCCCGAATGAGCAGATTGTGAGCCGACTTCTGCTCTCTGCACGTTCCCGGCGGTCGTTCGCGCCGCACCGCATCGTCACCACGCAGGGCGGCGTTCACGTCTCCGGGCCGCAGGAAGGCCAAGGCGAAGGCGAAGGGGGGGCAGACGGGAAGGGTTGCATGCAGGCCCGTCCTGTCTTGTGGCGAACCGACGATGCTGTACGGAGACCTTGGGGCGTCCCCTGTGGGCCTCGCCGCGCTTGACCGACGGAATCGATGGGCTGCCGTTGCCGTGTCTGGGTGCTTGTGGCCCAGGGGACAGATGCCTCCCGATGCCCGAGCATCTTGGATGGCTGGTTACTCTGGGACCCGCGGTTCGACGGCACGCATCCTTGGCGGATCGCTCTTGATGGGTGAGCGAGGGACGGTGACACTGGGTGTGCACACGTGGGCGGTTGAGAATCGAGATGCGCCGGCTGGATGGAGGCTGGGACAGGCCGACTACGATGATGATGATGATGATGATGATGATGATCGGGCGAAACCATGACTTGGGCGGTACGAATCTACAACGTGGCGGCGAGGACGATGGACCCAGATGAACGGCGGCAGCGTCTTGTCGAGACCCCGGATCTCTCTATGTGGGACGCCTGCGACATGAGACGGAAGCCGCACTTTGCGATGGGAACTCCTCAGGGCTCTCCTGACGACGCAAAGAGACGAATTCGGCGCAGCATCGTCGATCTTGCGTCGTATGCTACGCCGGCACCGATTCGGAGCCCGACCATGGCATCGCAGCCTTGGCCAGCTTCTCCGATCTACGAAGCGTAGGATGGAGAGCAGGCCCGGCTGGGCTCATCTGCTTGGGACCGACTCGGCAGCATGGACATGACGTCGAGTGAGACGGGAGTCTTTACAGAGGTCTCCTGCTTTCTCCGTGCTGCATTGCATGTCTCGAATATCCACACATGTATGCGAGGCCCCACGAAACCGGATATCCCTTGATGGACCGGGAGGCCGGGACGAAGTTGTATCCCATTCCACATGCGTGCTGGCAGCCTGTATGTCGGCGTAGATATCTTGTTTTTTTTTTTGCTGGTGGTGGCGAGGACGCCGTCATGCTGTGTCCCTGCGAAAACCCGGAGTCTGCTGGCACAGCCTGGCCTTTTCTGTGTCTTTTGCTGGACGGGCATGTCTGGGCCGTGAGGGTGTCTGTGTCTGCTTTGCACGAGACGGATGGCCTGGTTGATATGCGACTTTGATCAAGACAAGCGGCTGAGAGGCGCCGGCGAAGCTGGATGGATTCTGTCTGGTCAGGCCTCCAGGGCGAGCAGGGCCAGCAGCACACGCAAGAAGACAAGCAGGAGAAGCATGGCAAGCAAGTCGACTCTACCCGGAGATGCTGGCTGCATACAAGTGTGGCAGCGGGTGTCTTCATTCCTGCTACCTCACCTACTCTGCTTAGTTGTCTCGTCGTGCTCTTACGTCTCGACAGATTACACGCCCGCGGTTACTTGTTGACAAGTGACACTCATGCCTGCCTCATCATCACATACCATCACACTGCGAAGCCTGCGGCCTGATTTACCATGTGGTGTCCGTCCCTTAACTACATCACTTTGCATTGTACGTTGGCGGCTCCCCGAGCATCTCCGAGTAGAGCTGCGTAGCAGACCGTTTTTTTGCTGCGCCCAAACGTAGACATGGCTAACTGTTGGCAGATGCCTACATCTTTGTCATGGGACTGCTGTCCCTCCCCTTCCTGTACTTGCACGGCAACATGTCCGCCATGGACGCCTACTTCATGGGCGTCAGTGCATCGACAGAGTCTGGACTCAACGTGTATGTGCGATTCGAGGCCGCGTCTCAGGCAGGGCGGTCCCTGCCGGGCCCTTGTTAACCATGTTTCCGTTGTCCACAGTCTTGACCTGAATGAGCTGAGGCTGTATCAGCAAATATACCTGTACTGCACGACTGTATTCACGCAGATGGGCTTCACCAACATCTTGGTCGTCGTCGTCCGACTCTACTGGTTCAACAAGCACCTAAGTGACTTTGGTAGGACTTTTCGAAGGCAGCCGAGATGCGTGATGATTTGCGGCAGTAGTGCTGACGCTGTGTTTTCTTCTTCATTTTTCGGGGGGGGGAAAAGGCCCAGCTCTCCTCCACGCCCGAAGAAGACGAGCCGCAGACCCTCGGGAAGAGTCTGACTTGGAATTCGGAGAACCCAAAGCACCCTCGCCAGGCATAGATGATGTAGGCGATGGCAGAGACGCTGGCAACGGAACAGCAGGTACGAGGACAGGCGGTCGGTTGGATGCCGTCAACGACGAGTTTATCGGGGATTCGCCCGACACTGCGTGCTGCAACACGACAGCTATCTGACCAGGGCTCGCAGGACATCCTTTGACGGAGCTGGCTGGTCCGACATCGAAAAGCAAGGAAGGCACGTAAGACGTGTGACGACTTGGGTCTTCACCCTCAGCACGACACGCTTACTGACCGCGGCGGCGCAGAAATCGCGAGCCATGGGGCGGCCGACATGCGTCAACACGACCCTCAGACGTTGAGGCCCCTCGGAGAATCGAGATCCCTGGACAGAGCCGCCGCTCTGGCATCGTCCGTGTTTGTCATTGGCAGGGAGCCGACGTCGTCTCCCATGTCCAGAGAGCCCGCAAGGCGTCGTCGAGTATCCGACGACATGCCGTACCTGTCCTCTGGCGCAACTGTCGGGAGGAACTCGCAGTTTTACAATCTAACCAGGCAAGATCGCAACGAGCTGGGGGGCATCGAATACCGCAGTCTGAAGCTGTTGCTCAAGGTCGTCGTCGGTAAGCGTCGTTTCTTGTCCACCTTGTCAACCAACTCTGTCCGTCGACCGACCTGACCCATGATGCACAACGGCAGTCTACTACTTCGGCGTCCATCTTGTCGGGGCCATTGGCCTGGTAGGCTGGATCCTGCAAGGGAGCCCAAAGTATGCGGCGCACCTCGCCGAGTTCGCCCAGGACAAGATCTGGTGGTATGTTGCGGCCTGCAGATTGGGCGGCTTGGGAAAACCTCCCCCCCCCAGCCGTGAGAGCGCCCGTGAATCGTGACCTGTACAAGTAACGCCGTCGTCTAGGGCCTTCTACACGTCTCAGACGGCCGTCTGCAACCTAGGATTCACCCTCACGCCCGACTCGATGCTGTTCTTCCGAGACGCCCCCTGGGTCATGTTCTGGCTGAGTCTCCTCACGTTTGCCGGCAACACGCTGTACCCCGTCTTCCTGCGGTGCATCCTGTGGACAATGTCCAAGATGACGCCTCGCCGCTCGTCGATCCAGGAACCCCTTCAGTTCCTGCTGGCTCACCCGCGCCGATGCTACGCGCTCCTGTTCCCCTGCGGCACCACGTGGGCGCTGTTTGGCATCATCATGGGTCTCAACCTCCTCGGCACTCTGATCCTCCTTGTGCTGGACCTGCACAACCCCGAGTTCACGCGGCTGACGGCAGCCCAGCGAGTGGCCGCGGCCTTTTTCCAGTCCGCCGCCGCGAGACACACCGGCGCCGCCTCGTTTACGCTGTCGAGCCTGAGCCCCGGTGCGCAGTTCACCCTCCTCGTCATGATGTACATCTCTGCGTTCCCCGTCGCCATGAGCATTCGCTCGTCCAACATATACGAGGAGAAGTCGCTCGGGTACTATGCGCCAGACCCGACGTACGACGAAGACCGAGGGGCGACGTATCTACTCCAGCACATGCAGAAGCAGCTCGGCTTCGACCTGTGGTACATCTTTCTGGGGCTGTTCTGCTTGAGTGTTTCCGAGGCCAGTAAACTCGCGGATCCCAATCAACCTGTACGTCCTTTTTTTTTTCTTTTTTTTTTTCCCGCCCCCTTTGGTCGCCACGCCGAGGGGCGAGGGGGACAACAATTTGCTGATTTGGTGAGGCGTTTTCATTCTTTGCCCTCTTCTTTGAGGTGGTTTCGGCCTAGTAAGTCCCGTCTTCCCCGTTGGCGTCGTGTCAAGTCGCTGTGCTGTGCTGTGCATGGCAGAAGAGGAGGTTCCCGGTTGCCGAGTGCTGATTGTCCCAACTTCCCAGCGGCGGTGTTGGCTTGACCATGGGCTACCCGGGCATCACTTCGGCGCTGTCGACGAGATTCACCACGTTCGGAAAGGTGGTCATGTGTGCCATGATGATTCGTGGCCGGCACCGGGGGATGCCGCACGGGCTGGACAGGGCCATTATGCTTCCGGGCGAGTGGCTCGAGGAGGAGCGTTCAGGGTGAGGCGAGGCAAGGCGAGGCAAGGCGAGGCAAGGCGAGGCATGGCGTCGGGCTTGTCTGCCCCCCTGCGACGAGGGGGGGCTCTGCACGCTGGCGGACACGTGTATTCTACGCGGGCGTGTAGCTGCTGCCGCTGGGTGGCGAAATACAACCTGACGAGACTTGGATGCGTATTGACTACTATCTAGACGGCTCGTGTTGTTTGTAGTTACCTACCCGTCGGCCCGTGGGTCGAGGGGAGACGAGCATGGGAGAGTGGAAGGCCGGTCTTGTTGTTCATTCGGCCTGGCTGGGTGGGAATTTGACCCCTTCTTTTGTCGTGGCACGGGCATCCAGGTCTGTTGGACTGACGACCGACGACCGACTGACACGTAAAAGGATGCAAGGACACGGCAGCTTCTGGCGTAGACTGCCCGGGGCGTGGCGTGGCCGTCTCTGCCGCAGATCGTTCGTATGGACGTCCGGCGACGTCAGAGGCCGTTGGAAGAAGCACGCTCCCGGGAATACTCGATGGCCGTGGACGCTGTCAGTCGTCGTCGCCCTCGGTGTTTCGGTCCCACGGCTTGTCGGCATCGGTGGCCAGGTAGCGCAGCTGCGGACGGGCTTGCACCCAGTCTCTGATGTCGGCCTCGTCCACGCCCAGCCAGACGAGGCCGATGTGCCTGCCGCCGCCGCGGCACCTGACATCCGTGGACGTGTCCGGGAGAAGGGGGGACGAAACGAGCCAAGCTGGCAGATGGCACATACGGTTCCCCTCGGGCAATAATCTTCTACTATTCGTCTACGCGGGCCCCGTGATCCCGGGCAATCCAGTTCCCGAGGCGTCTCTAGGTCTTCAAGTCCAGTCGGTATTCAAGTATTCAACGCGTGCGCGGGGCAAACCCCAGCACTCATCACCGACGCCATCCAGTCTCGTCTCGTGGGTCCGCAACGGACGCTTGACATCCACCAGGCGATGTCTCTCCTCCTCCTTGCCCGGCCGTGAAGCCTTGCGCTGGGGCGAAACGGCTCCCCTTGAAGAAGCCTACTCCTCCTCACTCGGTACCTCCGAGTCGGGCAAGCTGTCGGCGACGGCGGGTTCGGAAACGTCCGTGGCGCTTTCGCCCGCGATTCCGTCTCCTTCGTCGTAGCTGTGATGACGTAGCTCCATGGGATGGCGTGGCCCCGACCCCGGAGCGCGCTTGTGCGCGTCCTTGCCGTCGTCGTCGTATTCCTCGACCGTGTCGAAGCAAAATATTTCCGTGTCGGGGATGTGAACATCGACGGCGTCCTGGTCGCCGAAACTCAGCTCAAAGGCGTCCCTGTCAATGGCTAGTTCTACCGCTGGCAGGTGTTCCAGGTCTTCGTCGTCAAAGGCCACGTATACCGCCAGATCGACGTCGTTTTGGCCGTCGCCACCGACTATTTCTACGCCGTGGACAACGTGGCCGTGGCCGTGGCCGTGTTCATCGTAGACTGGCCGCGCGTCGACGTGGTTGTTCATGTAGATGTCCCCGGGGTCGTCGTCGTCGCTGTCGTCGCTGTCGCTGTCGCCACCGCCAAAAACGCCGTAGATCAGGTCCCGCAGCAGAACCGAATCCTCGGCATCAGGGGGCCGCCGAGCATTCGTGTCCAACGAGCCTACGGCAGGAGTGGCTCCCACGCACGTAGAGTCGCTCGGCGTACTGCCGGCCACGGAAACAGGAGACCCCCGGCGGCGGCTGTCGTCTTCACCGGCAGTCCACTCCGGCAGCAGGGACTCGCCGATGACGATGTCGTCGAGCTGGATGCCCAGTGACAGGGCCTGGCGCAGCCTGCGAGCGCTCTTGTCCCGGATCTGCCGCTGCAGCACCTCGCCCATCTCCTGGGCGAGCTGGAGGTCGACGAGGCTCCTTTGTACGGCGCTGTGGAGGGACTCGTCCTCGGGGTCCCAGTAGAGCGTGCGCCAGGTGGGGAGGCCGTCTGCGGCGATGTAGATCTCTTCGAGGCCGACGCCTCGTTCCCGGGCGAGCTGGAGGCGCTGGTTGGAGTTTTGGCGAAACGCCTCGGCCAAGCCATCTGGGAGCAGACTTGTGGGCAGGGAGTTGCGGAGCGATTCGGACAGGGCCTTGATTCTGGCTGGTAGGTCTTGCGCTTCGTCCGAGGCTGCAGGTCACGCCGCGTGTTAGTTTTGACTCGGCGAGATGTTGATGGTCAAGTGTACCGCTGCTCGGTGCCGCCCGTGTTGCACCTCTGCTGCTCTGGTGGCTGCCGCTCTCGGGGCTTTTGTTGGTCGTGTTTCCCATTGCGAAGATGTTTGTTTGATCGTTGGCTTTTTACAAAAAGGGACGTTGTGCCCCGAGAGCTGATGTTGGGAAACGAAGATGGCGAATTAATAGACCGCTTGGTTGAGATGTAGACGTGGAAAGTGTACCGAGTGGATTTCATCTCTGGCAAGAAGAAGAAAGGGGGAATGGGCGGGAAAAAGAAGAAGAAGAAGAAGAAGAAGAAGAAGACCCGAGACGGCAGCAAAAAGGGCGTTTGTACCAAAGCGTCGCGACAATAGCACGAGGTATGTAGACGCAGCCACCAGCTATTCATTAGCACAATCGACGACGGCCCGGAATCAGAATCAGACAAGACAATAGGACGAGATCCAAACGAAACCTCGGCTCAATGCATTTACCCTTCTGCCCTCCCTCAGCGTCGAACCATCTCATCTCTTCGCAATCAACAAACACCACTCGTTGCATTTCCGTCGTCAGAAAAAGGAACCAAACCAACCAACAGAAGGAGCACTACTCCTCCTGCTTCAATCCCCAACGCCTGTTCATGACCTTGTCGCTCGCAATAGTCGTCGTGCCAAATGCCCCCCCACCATGGATGGCATCGCGTATCGTGGAAGCCTCAAGCGGCAGAGAGAGCCCATCCATCACTGGACATCCATTTCGTTCTCCTCGTTCAGCTGCCTCTCAATCTCGGCATCCACGTCGGGCGCATCTACAACCGGCGTGTCAGTGACTCAGTGCTGCCCTGCTACCCTTCAAGACGAGCCCGAGAAAAACAAAATTCACGCGCAAGTCTAAGCTCACCTCGCATCTGCGCCTCCCCCTCGGCTTCCACCCTCCTCTTCAGCGCATATCCCATCTTCCTCTCCAACTTCCTCGCCTTCTTGGCGCTGACTTTTGCTCGCGGACCGCTCGTCGGCAGGATTCCGGGCCTTGCGCCACGAGCGACGTCCTGCTTTGAAATCTTGTTCTTGCCCAACTCGCTGCGCTTTCTTCGGACCTTTTTGGCGGCGGCAGCGCGCGCGGCGAGTCGGTTCTTGGACGGGCCGTTGGGGTTTTTGACGGACGGCATGGCTGGTTCTTGAGGCTTCTTTTGGTTTTGGCTCTGCTCTTCTTGACTTGAAAATTGCGGTGGCAGGCATGCATGCCTTCTCTGGAGCAGCTTTTGGGGACGGAAAGAGAAAAAGTTGCCCCGCTGCAGAACAGAGGTACGTACCCGTCGCTCTACCCCCCACAGCATCGTCGCTCGGACTCACGGCTCGGGAACCCCAGACAGACAACTTAACTTGCCAGTTGCATTTGTGGTGGCGCATTGTTCAGGGGCCGTGCACTTTGTCTTGACTCTTGATACCCCTTCCTGGCGGGAGAAATCATGATTTGCCGTGCTCGAAACTAAGTAATACCCAACCAAGCGTTAAACCCAACTGAAGACATCACCCATCGCCAGTGCGCCTGTTGTATGATTTTCCCAAACACTCAACACACTAGAAATAGCCCCTCTCGAGCCATCTCTACTGAAATCTCCAAATTCTTACACCCGTCTGTGATTGTTCTTGCCGAGAGTGCTCGGTGTGTCTACGCTCTGCCGGTCCAAGCTTCTTCTAAGCATCGCCCGGCCCTCCTCAGCATCGTCATCGCTCATGAGGCCGTCCAGCTCAAACTCCTCAGCATCTCTGAGCTGGCCCTCCTCGGCAGCATGTCCGTTGGCACGAGAATTCCTGTTGCCAAAGTCCTTTCTGTTCATGTCAGGGTTGGCGAGACAGTCGTAAAGGTGAATGAGCATGTTTGTGAACAAGAACACGAGAAAGGCCAGCGAGTACATGATGAGAATATATGATACGCCGTCCATGCTAGATTGCGCAACGAGGTTCATCTGTTCCTCGGTCGCACCCATAAATAGGAAGCCAGCAGCATACAAAAGCTAATGCTAGTCAGCAAGGGAGAGCAATAAATCGACGTCCAGTGATGCACGTACAAAGACGGGAATGTATTGGAAGCTGTTCCAAGACCGTCCACTTTCTGACAGAGATTGCCTGTCCTTCAAAACGAAAGCGATTTCGATGATTCTGGTGGTTCCTGCAGCCATCAAGGTTTTCCCAAATGTGCTGTGTGTCATGGCACTGACCATCAAGTCTTGGGGATGTGCCGACATGGCCCAGCCCGTCAGCAAAATGACGAAGCCGGGGATAAAGTTGCGCTTCGGATTGCCATCCCGATCTCTGCTGAGCCACATACCCGCCAGGCCTGCGCACCACCAGATGACGCCCATGGTTGTGTGCTGCCAGTCGTTCCTGATCCAAGCAGTCCCCCAGCGGTGTTCAGTAAAGGTGTTGACGCAGCCCCAGGCCGCGATGACGGCGCTGTCAAAGAATTCCTGCGAACGCCCGGTCCGCTGCATCCAGACCTGGCCAAGGACAAGTATAATGGTCAATATAACACCATACGCGATAAAGGCACCACCCATGATGAAGTGAGCGGCACACTGGCCAACATGATCGCCCTGACAAAACCCGAGAGCCGTGATTCCACCGAAAATCATCTGTGCCCACGACAACAGAGGCATCGTCTTTCCAATAATGGAATGGCATGGCCGGATCAGCTTTCTGATCCTGCCATTAACGCCCGTCTCCCAGTGACCTTTCAAGTAGAGACCAAGAACCACCTGACCAATCAAGAGGAGCTGTAGGATGTTGGCAAAGATGGAATGAATGTTGTTGCTGACGAACTCTCGGCCGCCGTGGGCGTGGCCCAAGAAGAAACCTAGCAGGGCAAGGGCCGAGCCGAGAACCTGGGTAGGGACGTGCCATCGCGACTTGGTAATCTGGATGGCAGAGTCAGAAGGTTGGCGGCCACAGACATGTTGGACAGGCAAAGCGCTGCAGTCGGGGCTTGCCACTCACTCCCAGCACCATCCCAATAGGGAAGATGACACCATAGGCAAACATGTTGATAAAAATGTGAATCCATAATGTCGTATCCTGGGTCACACGTGTTAGACCTCCCTCGGGTTCGTCCATTTTGCTGTCATCTTTGTCCTCGTGGTCGAAGATGGAGTTGTACTGAACTAACTAACCAGCGGCTCCAAGGAGACTGTCTGTCCCTCGGGAATATTGCTGTCGCCATGATGATCGTGCCCGTCGGCCACTTTACCCAAAGCCGTCACAAGGAGGAAGACGGACAAGACTGTCCCCCTCGCCAAGGGAACACCCATGGCTGTGTTTCGAGATGCAGGGCCCGGACCCCTCGGGTGACGACCAGAAATGCGTCGTCGCAGCCGGCTGAGACGGTCGCGGCGTGAAGCTCAGAAGTTGAGACGAAGGGGCGAATGAGGAAACGGCGGCGTGTTGTAAGGTTTCGCGCCCGGGTGCAAGCAGGACAAGTGAATGTCTGTGCAGCTTGATGTGTCCTCTGTCAACGGGCGGAGAAGTCAAGCGAAGAATGGATGGCAGCAACTTTGATTGAGATGGAGGGGGGCAAGAGGAAGCATTGACGGCAGACGGAGACGACGCGTCTGGTTGGTCCGCAGCAGGCGAGGTACCAGAGTCTATAGTGAATTACGGGGCAACTACGCGCCTCTACGCCTCGCGCCAACCCCTGAAAGTAATGGCTGACAGGTAATAGGGTGCGAGAGTCAGTTGGGAGGGGCCGAGTAGGAATACGTTGAGTGACCATGACAAACAAAAATCCAAGCCCAGGAGTCGAACTGAGTCAGTCCGGCTTGGGTATCGCAACGTACCGAGAACCTCTCATCTCATCTTTGCGACGGTCGACATTTTTGCGTCCCTCACGGCGCTTAACAGCAGGAATCAGGCCCCACAACGTGAATGGCCATTGAAGCAAGTCAATGTCAATGCCAGAGAAAAAAGGGTAACGTGTCAACACAGCCAACTGCACAACACCGAAATGTTCCAGCACGACATGAGTTATCCAGCACGGCTACGGGACCACCAGGACTCGCCGTGGAGTCCGCAGAAGCACTGGTATAGGGACGTGATCTGCTGCTGCCATCAGTTCCAGAAGGAAAAGCATTGACGAGCGCCTCGGCCTGGCTCACAAGATGTTGTGACTGCACGAGCCTGTCACAGCCGTGATGCTCCAAGATGCCTTGAAGAAATCGCATTGTCGCAACGCCGAATGGCTTCGTTCAACTCCAAAAGCCTATGAAGTAGTCTGGCCGAGCACTTACCAAGGCCATGAGAAGACGGCCGGTCTACTATGCAGACCGGCAGCAACAACAACATACAAACCACTCTGCGAAGCATTGGTTGTCTGACAACTCCCGAGCCCTGGGTTCAAGACCTTGTTTGATTGCAGCGCTTACTAAAAGTTCACTCGCTTCTTTCGTCTTGTCGAGACCTCCTCCCAAGTTGTGAGAACTACATGTCACCAGTGAACCTGCAAAGCTTGTTGTGTGATGCATTGCCAACGAGGGGAGCAAATCACAGCTCATAAAAATAATGGCAGCCAGTGCCGTTTGAATCGTATCAAAGGTGCTCAGTGCCACACGCTGTGATCTGATTGCTTTACAAACTCGTCAAAACAGCCTCGCACCAAGTCTTCTGTCCAACTCAAGATGCTGCAGTCAGTTTCCCCAGCCAAACAACCCTCGTTTCTTTTCATATTTCTTGAAAACTTTCTCCAAAGAAGAGAGCCTCGCCTCGCCCCAGGCCTGATGCATGCTTCATCCACCAAGCACACGCTTCAAAAAGACACAGTCATCGACAGGTACACCAGTCTCGTCGGGAGACTTGAAACCAACCCGCAACCCTTGAAAAAAAGCAAGAAAAATAGGCATGTACATACTCAACCGCTCTGGAATCATCAACGCGCTCGTCATGCCATCTCTCGCAGCGACCAACCACCGGATATATACCCGCGAGCCAGAGCTTAACCCCGAGGCGCGATATGGCATCATGATAGCACTCGCCATCTCCAGCGGCGCCTTCTTCGTGGCGTGTATAGGCCTCACTATCTCAATGTGTGACTGGCGAATGAGATATCTGCAGTTGCGAAGGGAGCTTGACGAGCGTGGATATGGTATGGCAGCAACCTCTTCAACGCAACCAGACAACCAGGTTGGAGAGACGCAAGGCGGAGAGGCTCAGGCTCAGGCAACAGATGAAGGGGCACCCAGAGCATCTGGGGCCTTGTAGGTTGCCGACAGATGGTATCAAACGGAATATGGACGTGACAGTTTGGAAGATATCGACAAGATTGAGGTTGCAGAACAAATCGAAATTCGGTTTATTAGTATGAGCCCCAAACACCTTTCGCTGATCGCCGTGAGGTATTGCCAAAAAATGAAAGAAAAAATCAAATCGTCTACTCCTTCAGGCTCTTGCGTCATCATACAGTCCCATTCTGCTCCTTTTGCAAAAACTCCTTGGCATCCTGCCATAGCTCTGCCTCCATATCGCGCTCCACTCTCGTGCTTCGACTGTTCAACCAGCCGACGTCTAGGTTTCCCACCGTTCCTACGCCATTCGGTTTCAGAGATGCCTTGGTAGCTCCATTAGGATCTTGACGCGGCGTATTCGACAGCCGCACGATGCCGGCTTCTTCTAGCGCCATGATCTGCCGCTTCATTCTCACGTCTATACTATGTAATGTCGTGAGGAATGAGTCTGTGGCAGACTTGAATGCTTCTTTTTGGGCTGGCGGATCCAAGACTGAGGCTGAAGCTTCACCGTTGGATGGTGTGTTGCTTGATGCTTGTGTGGTCAGGGCATTAAGAGCTGTGGCGGTTTGACTCATGAGTTGGGCGATGGACTTGTCGATGGCGTTGAGTTGGTGAATGTTTTCTTCAACGGTAAAAGGCTCCGAAATTTGGCTTTGTTGGGGGTCGCCATCCTGACTCATGATGATATCGTGTTGTGACTCCATGTCATTCGCGGGACTGAGGCCTGTAAACTTGCTTCTCGTGGAGATGGCGTATGGCAATATTGTCGATTGAGTTGTGTATTCTCAATAAGAGGCTAACATTCTGTAACATGAGTTTCTACATGTCAGCTGAACATCAGGCTCTTTTTCTGGTCAAATGTCGAGACAGGCGATTGTGGGTGATAGAAGTTGCGATGTCGTCCGAGACTCGAGTTGAATTCTCCCGCAAGCGTCAGTGGGGCTGGCGATTCAGTTCGGCAGTGCAAGGTATGGGGTACTCTTAGGTAAGCTGGTCATCATCAAACGAATAGCAAAGTGCTCCGTATATTAGAAGGTATGCCATAAAAGCTCCAAGCTTTATTACTAGAAGCAACTCTGTGTCATCGAAATAGCAGAATTAGCTTGCTCTTTCTGCCCAATAGCACAAAGCGGTTCCATGTCACTTCCATTACCAAATACTTGACCCAAGTACAGGGTATGTACTCTATCCGTGTAAACACCGGCAAAACTCAACAGTACAGTTTAAAACACATCTGATACGCACTGTGCACGGCAACTCAAAATGCTGGGGAATATCAAATCGAAGCTCCAACTCATCAAAGCACCTGGTAACAACCATATACGTTTGAGGCCGGCGGTCACGATTCCGGAACACCCTCTCGTACGTCGGGGGCGAGGCACGCGTATGCTTGCTGCAAGTTTCGATGAGAGAGCATACGTCTGCCTTTCCCAACGTTGCAGACCACAGTGCTCTCGCCATTTCCGGGACACAACTGCCATCAAACGACGACATCCATCACTGATCAGTTCCCATTCCCCGTCAAAAAACCATCTCGCGTACTCTTGGCGTTGGTAAATTGGTTTCATCCGGTTGGAATCCTGACACGGCCTCGATTTCCATTCCACAATGAGCGGGCAACCACCAGCTGCCGCGCCAGCTGCAAATTATGCCGCGCAGCCGGCAACCTCACCAACTGTTCCAGCAGCGGCGGCGGCGGCGGCGGCAGCAGCAGCAGCTGGCAATGCTGGCACCACTGGTGGTGCCATGTCAAACCAGAATCTCAACCAGATCGTAAGCAAAATATTTATTTCAACCATCCCGTCGTCTTCAGCTGTTTTAACTGTTTTCACCCGACTTTTGGCTGCTTCATTTCTTCGCCTCGTCTTATCCCGCTTCACGCGACCTCATTGGTCTCGCTACCTGGCATTCTGCTGCAAACTGCTCCCTTCTCACGATCGCATGACTATTCTCTTGGCAATCTGCCTTTGCGATGAATAGCATCCACAATGACTGTCCATGCCCGCCGGTCTGACTTTGTTCTTGTGAGGATCGATTCCTGCTCATGTCTCTGTTGGATATTGGACGCCGATCTGGATTGTTTCTTTACATGCACTTCTCTTTTCAGCTACCAGATTTTGTCCTCCTGGAACTAAATGCTGACAATTCGTCTTCGCCAGGTAACCGATTATTTGCTCAAGAGAGGATTTAATCGCACTGAGGAGGTATTTCGACAAGAATCTAAACACTTGGGGCCAGATGGAAAGCCCATCCAGCAACTGGCAAACATCGGTCCCAAGAAATATCAGAAAGCTTTTCATCTTTTGAAGGAATGGGTAGACAACAATTTAGAACTGTACAAGGTAAGACTTGACTCGTCGGTGCTGCGATTTTGACCTCCGTTCATTGATATGGTGGAATAGTTTGAGCTGTCAAAGCTTCTCTGGCCCATTTTTGTATACTCCTTCCTTGAACTCGCTGGACATGGCTACACAGATGACGCCAAAACATTTCTCAAAGAATTGAGCAATTATTTCCAACCTGTACATGCGGATGACCTCAGGACATTCTCCACAATAACATTACCTCAGCATGTCGCTGAGAACCCTACCGCGAAGCTGTACAAGGAGAACAAGTACCGAATACCACTTAACCAACACGCCACCGGCGATTTATTCAACTTTCTGGAGAGAGAGTCCGAGCAAGGGGGCTCCGTCATTCGTCAGCTTCTTGTTAGCTTTTGTCAAATTGACTCAACTGCCCGCGGGCCCATTACTCCTTTCAGCTTCGAAGCCGTCTTCAGACGTTCTAAGAATGCTGACATTGAAGAAGTTGATGCCAAGGAGGGTATCCCTGGAGTCAACATCGGTCTTTCGAACAAAGATATACTCGACCCTGCTCAGCCGCTTAAACTGGGACCTCTGCCAATGGATTCTGATTTGCGGGATGATGTACGCGCTGAGATTGAGGATGAGGAAAAGCGAAACCCACCTGCCGAGGGCGCCAGTAGCATCCTTGCAGACTTTGACCTGAAGATCAAGCGCGAGGAAGATGCAGATGCCCCGAGCAGAGCCGATCTGCCATTGCCACCTTCCAGACCACGGGATATTATGCTCGAAATGCAAAAGGTCCGAGAGAACCGTGACCGGTTCAGGATTGACGGCCGCACGGGCGGCATTGGAACATCCGTCAGTGCCTGCATGTTTACGTTTCATAATACGTTTGGCACGTGAGTTGATATCGTTTCGCACAAAATTAATCTCTGCATCTCTAACCTTCCCCAGTGTGTCCTGCATGGACTTTTCTGATGACGGGCAGCTAGTTGCGGTCGGCACAAGCGAGTCTTATATTCGCGTTTGGTCGCTAGATGGCAAGGGCCTTCCTACAATGAACGCTCATGAAAAAGATGCCAAGTTCAACAGTCGCAAGTTGATTGGTCATGCTGCATCAATATACGATGTTTCCTTCTCCGAGTCGGCATCTGGCCCCGCCCAGAGGCTCTTTGGTGACGAAGGCCGACATAACCCTTTGATGGATGGAAGGCCGAAACTCCTGCTGTCCTGTTCAGCTGACGGCCATGTGCGACTGTGGTCGTTGGAGTCCTGGGCATGTCTCTGTCTCTACAAGTCTCATGATGGTCCTATATACCGGACGCTCTGGGGCCCACACGGACACTACTTCATAAGTGGCGGTTACGACAAGGTGCTGCGTGTGTGGATGCAAGACCACGCCTCACCACAACGCCTCTTGGTGGGACATGATACTGCCATATCAGCCATTGCTTGGCACCCAAACGGCATGTACGTATTCTCTGCCTCTGACGAGACGGACAAGTCCATTCGAATGTGGTCTGTGGTAACCGGAGCCTGTGTGCGAGTCTTTGCCGGCCACACTGATCACATCACGGCTCTTGAGTGCGCTCCAAGTGGAAAGATCTTGGCCAGTGCAGATCTGGCGGGTAACATCTTCTTCTGGGACCTTGCCAAAGGCACTCGTGTCAAGCGTTCCCGTGGCCATGGGCGCGGCGGGATTTGGTCGCTAAGCTTTAGTGTGGAATCCAACGTCCTTGCTTCAGGCGGACAGGACGGTACAGTCCGGCTGTGGGACGTGGAAGAGCCAGTTGACCCTCAGAAGGCTGCCGCTCAGGCTGGTTTGGAGGCTGGGACCGCTTCGGCAGCCGCAGATGGCTCTACTACGACCGGTGCAGCCACAGATGCTTCTCGTTCCAATGCCGCTGCCGGTCAATCCTCGGCTGTTCCGACTTCCACTGGAACGCAAAAGAAGAAGGGCAAAGAAGTCATGGTGACACATGATCAAATCAGTGCCTTTCCCACCAAGAAGACTCCTGTTATGAGGGTCAAGTTTACGCGAATGAATCTTGTCATGGTTGGTGGCTGTTACGACCCCGAACGATAGGGCTGTTCGGTCGTCGACTCGCCAAGGCTGACGAGTCAACCATGGTTGCGCGACGGCATGCTCCCATCCCGGATTCGGTCATTGGCGGCACGACGAGTAGCTAAGCGCAATAGGAGGAAGCTTGATGGAAAAAATGGACAATGCGGTGCAAATGGCAGGGTGGCATGCAAGGCGTAGGAGGTCTGGGACTGGAAGCGGCGTTCTCGGCTGGCAACTTGCACCATGGATACGGATTCAGGGGGGGGATTTGCTTGGGGTGGAACCGAGCGTCAGCTCACTTCATTTCATACCTCATTGTCGTTGTATATTTAGATAGATATATACCTTGGTAGTTGAACCGTACTGGGAATCAAACCAATCGGCCATGAATTTTCCAACTGTCCTTGAACGAAGTGCGTGCCCAGGCATCGGAGACGGCGTTAAGTGGGGCCCAGGGTCAGGCATGAATTGACAGTCGCAGATGTGAACCATTGGCAATGCAATGCGGACGGACAAGTGATGTGCCCGCTGACACTGACGTTTGCTCTGAGCATCGCCTCCCGCCACACATCGTCATCCTACATCGCGTTCTCTTCACCTCGTGCCAACCCAGTGCCCTCCTCCCACCGGCCAAATATACCCAACCATCCATGGATGTCGAGGAGTCGCCATGGGCCGACTCGGGCCACAGCCCGAGGGAGACTTCCCAGGCCGAGCCTGTCAGCTCTCAGCCCTCAGGTTCGCAAGCTGCACCTGCGACACCTCGCCCATCGCGCGGGCCACGGCGCCTCGTCGCCCAGCCTACCCGCCTTGAAGCCGTGGAAGATCCTTTGGGTCCTCTTAGTGCTTCAGCTGATGAAAATGACGGAACGTCAGACGCGCCGCCAGTGCCGCCGCAGAAGGAGCAGATGGTGATCCGAACTACGATGCCTCAACAGCAGCAGTCTCGACGACCGATTGACCCTCACCAAGTGAGTGATGATGATTTCAGAAGCCCTGGAAGTCCGAGGGCGCCGCCTCCAGTCGAACCTGCAAGACCGAGCAGTGTCCGAAGCGGCACACAACCCAGTGTCAGCATCGAGCAGGCTTCGAAGCCTTCCTTCCATATTACCGTTGGCGACCCGGTCAAAATTGGTGACTTGACAAGCTCACACATTGTTTATTCTGTCAGGACCAAGGTCAGTCAGCATTGGCCCAGCTCCGGACAGTTCAAGGTCTGAGCATCTACGCTGACTCGCAGTACTAATCGGCTTTTGCAGACCACTTCTCGAGCCTACAAGCAGCCCGAATTCGAGGTCAAGCGACGATATCGTGACTTTCTCTGGCTATACAACACCCTGCACACGAACAATCCCGGCTGCATTGTCCCTCCACCTCCTGAAAAACAGGCAGTCGGTCGATTCGATAGCAATTTTGTCGAGGCTCGACGAGCAGCTTTGGAGAAAATGCTCAACAAGACGGCTGCTCACCCTACCCTGCAACACGATGCTGACCTCAAGCTGTTCCTGGAGAGCGAGGCTTTCAATGTTGACATTAAACATCGGGAGCACAAGGAACCTATTCCTGCCGAGAGCAAAGGTGTTTTCGGCTCTTTGGGTATTAGTGTGGGACGCGGAGATAAGTTTGTTGAGCAAGATGACTGGTTCCACGACCGCAAGGTCTACCTCGATGCTTTGGAGAACCAGCTCAAGGGGCTTTTGAAGGCCATGGAGACCATGGTTGGGCAGCGCAAGATGATGGCTGAGGCGGCCGGCGACTTTTCAGCTTCCCTTCATGCTCTTTCTACCGTCGAACTATCGCCAACTCTGTCTGGTCCTCTGGAAGCTTTGTCCGAACTTCAACTCACGATTCGGGATGTGTATGACCGACAGGCTCAGCAAGATGTGCTCACTTTCGGAATCATCATTGAGGAATACATCCGCCTTATTGGGTCCGTGAAGCAAGCTTTCAGTCAACGCCAGAAGGGTTTCTACGCCTGGCACTCTGCGGAGTCGGAGCTTCAAAAGAAGAAGAGCACACAGGATAAATTACTTCGACAGGGAAAGAGTCAGCAGGATCGCCTGAACCAGATGAATGCCGAGGTTGGCGAGGCGGAGAAACGAGTACATCAAGCAAGATTACTCTTTGAGGAGATGGGTCGGTCACTGAAGACTGAAATCGATCGGTTTGAAAAGGAGAAGGTGGAGGATTTTAAGAGCGGAGTGGAAACATTCCTCGAGAGCGCAGTCGAAGCGCAGAAGGAGGTAAGATGCGTGGACATTCAATATTGACCTTTTGGATCCATGACCATTTTCTAACTCGTCGGCAGCTAATTGAGAAATGGGAAACGTTCCTGATGCAATTGGACGCAGAGGATGATGAGTCAGTCTTTTATCGACCGCCGGTATACAAACAGCAGTCGAAGCCACCTGGTGACACGGCCATCGACAGGGCCAGGGCAAGGATGGATGAGGATTCTGACTAGGATATTAATAGTATTCCAGTGGCGGCTTGTTCTTGTCAACAATAGTTTTTGTCACATTGACAATTCCCAGGGAACCATGTGGAGTAGGGTCGGAGCTATGCTTTGGTCGCATAATCAAGAGACCTCTTTGACTATTCCTATCATACAAGCTCGGCGAGCTGATTATTGTACATTTTGAGAACACCTGCATTGTATCAACGCCATTGCTGAAGCTCACTACGTATTCCGAGCCCTCTGCTCTTGCTTTGCTCATTTAATGGTAGATCCCCATATATATGTAAGTTTAGTGGTCATTTTGATGCTGGCCCCTCTGCATTCCATCACTGCTCGATATATTCCGAAATTATTTTCTCCTAGTAGGTGCCCTCTTCGGCCCCGAATCCTTCATGGTGCTCGTATCCTGTGCGGCATATCCCGTAATTAAATCTGCAAACACATCGTCGCTGGCCTCGCTGGCTGCAGCAGGGGCCTCGCCCTCCTCCGACTGAGCGGCGGCATCAAACGCGCGGCCAAACCGCTCACGAAAAGCAGCGAGTTTTCCGGCCTCATCTAGTTCGACATTTCGGAGGGACTTCTCGCTCGGTTGCCACAGGAGCGTGTTGCGGGTATCCTTTGATGCGCGGTAAATGGGGTTAGGGGACGTCGTGCGCATGGTGTAGGTCGAGCCGTCGGAGAGGGTGACAAGCTGGGTGAATGAATACGGTCGACGGGGACGAGGGATGAATGTTGCATGGCGGACTTGAATGGCAAAGCTTGTCGGCGGCGTTCTGGGGCTCTTGGCGCGTGAGACGGCCGCTCTCAAGGGCGCGAGGACCGTCGTGGAAGGAAATTTCCCCATTGCGAGAGGCTCTCCCGCGAAGCTGTGACCCTTGTTGTGCCTTGCGAGTCCGTTGGGGGGATGGACAGAGGATGTAGTTGCAAATCGAGGTGGTGATCCCTTGCGCTTGGTGGTTGTCGCAAAAATTCCCGGGCCGCTGCCCACGGCGGCGACATCCACCCACATGCATGGTCCTATCGATAACGATTTTCAGGTATTTCCCCATGAGTGCATCAATTCATTCAAACTTGCCCAACCCACCCTTCCTTTCCAGCGAACACGATTGTGCGGCTTTGTAGGGACGAAACCGCACCCAAGCAGCACCATGAGCTGCGTGACGCAATGAGGAATACGTGCAGAAGTTTGCGCAGTATTCAAGTGGGGCGGCTGGGTGGAGGGTCATCATCGTGCAGAGGGAGCTGCTGTGCTCGGCGGACAGCGGTTGTGGAGGGTAGGAGGAGTTATCTCCTGATGCCGTTGTTCAAGGGTATGTACGATACATTGATGGGAGCAATTGAGATAGGGGGTTGGATGAGTGGTCGGCAACCGCTGCCGCTACGCTCGCGAGCAGGGGAGCCCGAGGGAGGTTCGAGGACGGCTCCACGCAGTCGTGAGTTTGTCTGCACCGCTGATCCTGCATTGGCACTGACTGATGGCCGGGTGCGCAGGCTCAACACCAAGACGCTTCCAAACAGTAGCCTCACATCAGACATGGAAGGTCTCGTCGCCAAAGGCGCCAACCACGAACCCGGATGTCGAAACCAGCCTGACCGATCAACTACGCTCCGTCTTCCGCCTACTCACGAACCCGATCGTCGTGTGCACGGCGGCTCACAACGGCACGCCCCGGGCCATGACCATGTCGTCGTTTACGTCGTTGACGCTCTCCCCGACGCCTCTTGTTTCGTTCAACATTGCCACGCCGAGCCGGACCCTCGACGCAATCACCTCCAGCGGAGAGTTTAACATCCACGTTCTGGCGAGTGACGAAAGCGGCGCGGCGCTCGCTGATCATTTCATCCGGGGTAACACGGACGACGTGTTTGACACCATTGCCGGGGCGACATATACGATGGACAGAGGAGAGCCCGGAAGGAACTCGGCGCCGCTGCTGAAGGGAGAGGGAGTCTTGAGGGTCCTCCGATGCAAGCTGTTGCGGGATGGGGCGACGAGAGGCCTGGTGCGTGTGCGAGACCACGTCATCGTTGTGGGGGAGGTGGTTGAGATGATACCCGGGAACAAGACGAAGGAATTTGGGTTGGCATACGCGGATAGAAGGTATAGACAGGTTGGGGGCGTCATTGAGAATGAGCATTGACCGTCCGACTGTATGCTGCGTTTGCGGCTTGTTTCTCGAGGAGCCGCGTCTCGTCTGTGTGGGGACGGTGGGCAGAGAGGGTAATTCACGTGGAAATGAATGACACATGCAGACTTTGCCGTCCGTCAGCTGTAGCAAACGCAGGTGTGCAAAAGCTCTGTTGACTCGTCCTCCTTCCAACTCGATGAGTAGCGGTGTAGTATAGATAGCTAGCTTAGCTTAATTATATCTGTTGGAAACTGCAGGGGAGAATACATAAAATTCCCAAGTGGAGTATAGTTGTAGTGATTTTATAATATAGCAGCGTTATGGCTCATGTGCTACTGTAGGCTGTAGCGTAGGTCGCAGGTGGGGCCGAGTGCAGGCACGACGGCCAACGGATCAATAGTCGGAGCGCTACGGTGACATGGGGTGTTGACGAACAGTAACGTATAAGCAGGCTGGTTTCATGACAATGTAACTACTACTCCGTAACAGCAGTTCACCCAAGGTTCGCGTGAACCTAAGGTGAACAGCGTAATATAGGGACCCCAGATTCGCTTCGTAGATAGACTCTAGCTCCTTAGTGTTCAATACGATCATTACATTGACCTACCTAGGCAAGCTTTGCTTACAACTCTTTGACTCTAATCACTCGGTTACGGTCTACGACCTATCACCAGCCTAACACCAAACCGCTCAGATTGACCCCAGTGGCTCTGCCAACGTAGACTCTGACTTGTTTATCCCTTGGGAACCGAGCCGTTACAACTGGCTTATTCCGTTTTGGTGAAGGCAGTGGTGGTTTGATATCCAGTGAGTAAATGTAAATATAGAAATGCACACGACCAATGTTGAACGTCGGGGAACGTTGAACGCCATGGAAATTGTAATTGCACCAAGCCTGTTTATGACGATGATGTTGCAGGCAACCACTTGGCAGGGTCGGTGGCCGTCCACATGACGCTCGGCTTCGGCGAGACGTTCGTCTACCTCAATCTCCTGTACTACGTGAGGTAAGAATCCCCTTCCCACAGCGGTAGCGGTCGACGGGGCTCCCAACTTGCCGCCGCCGCCCCTGCTTACGCCTTGTCAGCACCCTCATGCTTCACCGCGAGTACTTCCCCTTCCTGCCGACCCCGGAGTCGGAGCCACGGGGTCCAGTCGACCAGCCCATGCTGGGGGCGCCCGCCCCCGAGGGCTGGTGGGACGACAGCTCCCGACTCCTCTTCGGCGCGGCAGAGCACATCGCCGCCATTCTACACGAGGCCTCCGAGTGTGGCGTGCATCTCATGACGCCCTTTGCCGGGTTCTGCGCATTCTCAGCCGGCTACCTCAACCTCTACGTGGCGAAATACCCCCGAATGAACCTGGGCCGCAGCCCGCGAGCAAGCGACTGTCTCAAAATGTGTCTCGACTACCTGGAAAAGTTTCGACTTGTCTGGAAAATCGCCGACGGATGGGTAAGCCGCCCGCAAGCATGACACGACCGTGGCCACCGTTGCGCTAACATTGAGAGGGCGGCACGCGCAAGATCAAAACGATACACCATGCATCCGTGCTCTACGAGCGAGCAACCGAGGACCGGACACGATACCAGGGGCGCACACGAGCAGACTTTGATACTCTACACCAGTCTGTCCACGAGTTCCGTGTCGTGGATAGATCCGACGCGCATACTCGGGAGATTCGGGGCGCGGAGCGGCCCTCGGCGCAGGCGACTTGGCCGGTTCAAGGGCACGAGCACGAGCACGAGCACGAGCACGAGCTCGACACTAATACCTTGTTGAACCAGCTTTTCGCGGAAGTCAGCAATAACCTCGACGAGCAGGGGGCCTGGTCTCAATGGTGGCCGGCGATTGATCAGGTGGATCTTTAATGAGCTGCGTAATTACATCCGGGGTTTTTTTTTTCGTTGAAGCTTCCAATGAATGAGTGACGACCTTTGATTTTTTTGATTTTTTTTTTAAAAAGGGCTGTAATATCTGGTTTTCTATACATGTCCTATTTTTATTTCCCGGTCTAGAAAAACAGTCAACAGATAATGCACCTCTTCATATGGCTCCCCTCCCGTCACCGCCAACAAATGCATACCTGTCGCGTCAACCATTCGCCGTTTCTCCTTCCAATCACGCCTTTGCAAAGACCTTTCTCGAGTTCATCAGGCGAACAGCAAGCATAAAGAGCATGCCGACAAAAGGCGCCACAACCACGCCAAGAGGACGTTTTTTGAAGCAGCTAAAAAGGCACGTAAATGGCGTCTGGATTCTGTACTAGATCTACTAGAAATTTGGGACGAGAAGGGTGTACATTATAGGCGAAGAGGTTAATAGCGTTATTAGGTTGAAAATTGGCCCGCCTTGGTGTCCGGCCCGCCTTGCTGTCGAGCACCACCTTTGGTGGTGAGGGCTTTTGCTAGCCGAACCACATAAAGTGGGGCGGGCACGATTAATAGATCCGGAGGCGAGCATCTTGATCCCGCGATCAAAGGAAGGCCACGGCCAGTATTCCGCAAGAAGTGGATCATGATTCTGCCCATGGTGTATTCGGAGGCATCACGGGGCAATACAGGAAAAGAAAAGAAATGTAAAGAAAATAATTACTTGACATGTGTGAACATGTACAGTTTGCCCTGCACGGGCCTCTTGGCCGCCAGAAGGCACCCAGTGAAGCGTCACAGGTTGATTGAAGGTGGTTTGACAAGCCTGGAATAGCATGCTTGTACGGAGTAATGGACGTTTGCTTCGCCACCGGTTTCTTTAAGCCCATCTCACCGTTGCATTGACGCGCCGGCGACTCGCTTCTCCGTGGCAGGGCTTCTTTGTAGGGAACGTAAATGAAACTTGTTGCTGATGGGCCATGGCGGTCTCGGAGATTGAATATCCCACCGACCCGACAAATAGAATGGCACTTGCTTAGTCCAAGTTCGCCTGTAGGTTGATTGACCCCCAGCCACCCGGGTTTACATGCCGCTAAAGTGCGGCGGCGTGTCGGTGCGAAATAGCTTCATCCTCATTACACATGTGCCAATGGCCATGGGCACGTCTTCGGATTTCGTCAGCGAATCGCCAAGGGGTGTTGAAGGTTTGGCAGGGCGGGTGCCTTGGTGCGATACCGACAAGAACAGCGCGTGGAGGCAGGCGGCGGCCCCAAGCCTGGTGAGGCAAATCAGACTCGAGAGGATGGGCGCCTCGGTGTGACGACATGAGCTCAGGTCCTGTGATGGCAGGGCTGAGGCGATGGCTGTGAGACAGCGGCCGGTAGCTTCAGCCAAAAAATCGCGATGAGTGCGAGTGCGACCAGGCATTAGCGGTACGACGTCGAGGTGGGCGTTTGAAGCACATGGTCGAGTTCGGTAGCATCAAGTGCCATGCGGCTCAAGCAGAGTCGCCCGTGCATACATGCGTAGGCCCAAGGACTCCGGGCCACCATTTACCATCGGCAGGTGAGATGTGCCACCGGTCCAGATGTCGTTCCTAAGAGAGGCGCAGGGCTTTGGGGATTTTGGCCTTGATGCTTGGCCGACGTCGAGAAGATGGCACAAGCGTCCGTCCGAGCTTTCCTTCCTATGTGGCAAGCCGGAACCTGCAAGTGAGGCGCAAGGGTTCAAATCAAGGGTTGACAAGACCGAGACGGGCAGCCAAACATTTCAGCTTGAACGCCTTGGGCGGATGACTCTGAATGCCGTCGAAGACCAAGATTCGATCAAGAATCTTGCCCCAAGCCCCAAATCCCAAGGCCCCGGACGAGACAGACTCATGCTTTTCGCTTGGATGCCTAGATGCCTAGCAAGAAGTGAGTGAGGCGAGCTGGTCGTTTGGCATTGCGTCATATCGTCGACCCAAGATCAAATGGCAGCACTGGAATGCTGGGTTCGGTCCAAGGGGCTGGATGTGATTCCCGTGCAGAGGCTTCCTGTTGCACCAGAGAGACGGCTTGTGGCCCTGCAATGACCCATTTGCTCATAGACCCAGAGGTCAAGGGACTCAACAGTCCATCTCGATGTCGCCTCGAGCCGACATGGTGGACATGGTGGTGCGCGCGTGCATCTTTGTCGTGCGGGTGTGCTCTCGTGTCTTGTGTCGCTTCGAACCGTTATTGTATCCATTCATCATTGATCCTGCAGGGCCGGGCCACCCCTTGCATATTTGAAGGAACCCTTGTCCGCCTCTGCGTGGGAATATCACACCAGACTTGACTTGGACATCTCAAAACATCGTCAGTCAATATTTGTCGCTCGCAACCGGCCTTGGCCCCCAACCATTTGAGACTCGGTCCAGCAAGACAAAGCAGATACCCACCCGTCCACCCGTCCACCCTCCCGACCAACCAACCAACCAACCAACCAATCAACCACCTCACACCTGCCCGCGTTTTGCGTTGCGCCTGCAGCGCCTCGTGCGTGCGAATCCACAGCTTCCCGGCGCTCATCTTGATCGCTCCTTCTCAAGCTTTCTTCAGCCCCTCCCCCCCTCGGCTTGGCGCACGCTTCCCGCCAGCTTCCCGCCAGTCAACTGCGCCACCCGCCATATTCAGCCAGTGGACGCCCTGTGCCTGGACCTCCTGTACGCTGGAGCCAGTGCGGCCCGCACTCTATCGAGTACTCCAGACTCCAGACTGCAGACTCCTGTCACCGTTGGCAGCGGCCGCAGACCGCGCCCACATTCAAGTCCACTACACGCTTGTCCAACGTCTCCAAGCCGCGGGCCTCCAAAACTGTCTCGCAGGTTGGTAGCCTTGGACTACGATACAGGCTGAAATAGTCGAGCTATCTGAGCAGACTGCCTGGGCAGATTGACCGTCGCCGATATCCGGGAGCAGATCATTAAGTTATTCTTGACTCTGCGTCGCACCTTCCGTCCAGACTAGGTTGTTCCCGTTCGCCCGGTTGAACGGCCGCGAAACATTGGCACTAAGCGGCACTGAAGCTTCAGCTGTAAGCACCTGGGCCCCGACCTCGACGTCGACAAGCTTGATCTGCCGGCACCTGTTCAGACACCTGAGAGTTCTCACAGACAGCACCGTCAATTTCCTCTGCCTCTGCCTGCCCCCCGGCCAAGTCGTCACTTGGTCCAGTCGCATTTGGCTCCCCTCTCCTCACTCAGACTGGCGCAGACAAAACTTGAGACTCTCTCACGTAATAGTACGTTTATCTCACTCGTTTTTGCCGCCTTGTTTCCTTCTTCTCCCCCCCCCACTTCTCTTCCTCAATCCCAATTTCTCCTCCGTGCCAAAGAAAGCTGCCTGGTTTTCTATGCATCTCTGACATGGCTACTGAACCCCAACCAAACAGCTCACCAACTGGCCTGTAGAAATCTTCAAAAAACGACCAAATCGACTGGCTGACCTCGGAGCTGGCCAGCCAAGTCGCACCAGACCAGTTACCACCCAGGTAAGCCCCTCCTTTTGAACGCCCTTCGGCAAACCTTTGTTGCATCTGCACCTCCTTTCACTTCAGCCTCAGGCAACGCGCGCGTGCCCATCATGGCGAGTGCGCCGAAGCGGTGCGATGTCGTATGCTTCCGACGTGTGCTACACTGCGCATGCTGGCTTGCTTCATGCTGACATGCTCTGATCTCAGGACCTACTTGTATGGACCAATACTTCTTCTCCCCTCAGGTACTCCAGAAGCGCAAGTTGAGCACGCCACAGCTGCCGAATCTATCAGAATATGCAGTCAATCTACGCCGCAAGAGACCACATACCCTCGACAATAACTCACAGGCCCAGGAGATGAATGTGATTTACATACGCTCCTATCCCTCGCCCCCCCATGACCCGGAACCCACATCTGCCACCGCCTCATCCCACGGCAAAGATGTCCCCGCTACCAGGAAGCGCCAATGGAGAGTTTCGATTCGTGTCAACAATAATGCCCCGACCTTGGCAAATATTGAAGACCCTTTTCCCGAAGTTGATTACTCCGGAGTCTTTGAGAAGTATTTGCAAAGCTCCGGCCGACCTCGTTGGAGCTCTCAGAATCTGGCCCCTGACCAGGACGGCTTGGATGATATAGCACTTGCGGAGAAGCGGATTGAAGAATATGGCAAAGCGCTGTTTGACCAGCTGGACAAAAATACCAATTTCTTCGAGACTGGCGATTCAGAAGCCCAGATTTATGTGGTGGAGCATCACGGCAACGACAACATGAGCACGACGGAGGGCGGCATTCACTGCCTGGCATGGGAGCTACTAGAGTCTGTGGAAGTGGCACGTCTACCCAACCTACGCTTGCGCGTGACCCGTGTCAGCGACTTTCCATCTCGTCGATCAATTCAACCCCCACGACCCGAAGGCCCGCGGCTGGCAGAAATTCAAGCAGATACCAACGCCACTTTCAAAATTCTCCTGGTTATTGCCCGCGACTTTTCCCGCGCCGGTGCCCAACGAGACCCGGAGCCGGACTTGGCACAGTGGCCACTTATGAATCTCCAAAAGAAGCTCCGAAGCCGCCTTACTCTCGAAATTGTGCGCCCAGGTAGCCTCGAAGAACTAGACCGTCATCTGTCTAAACGAGCCAAGCAGAAGGTCGAGTTCAATTTGGTTCACTTTGACCTCCACGGGCGACTTATGCGCAATGAGTACGTGGCTATATCCCTTGTTCACTTCATCCCCCCCACCCCTCTCCTGTTTTTTGGTCTCCTTCTCCTCCTTGCCCCTGACATCCAACTGATCAACCTTTGCTGACCGGCATGGCCCAGGACTGGTGAGCTGAGTCCCTGGTTGATGTTCGCAAAGCAATACAGACCCAGTGCTTCAGAATCTTCCATCCCTCAAACGCAACTTGCCAAAGCTGATGCCGTCGCGGAAGTTCTTGCCCAGCATCAAGTCGAGAACGTTGTGCTCAATGCTTGTCTATCGGCATACAACCGATCTGGCCCCGCAACCAACTTGACACACATTTTTTTGCGACACGGCATTTCAAATGTCTCAGCCATGTGGTATTATGTTCACTGGAAGACAGTTCAAACCTACGTGGAAGCCTTTTACGACAAGTTACTCATCGAGTGCCTCGACTTCCATGCGGCAGCCCAGCGGGCGAGGGAGTCTCTGCGGCAGCAGCCCACCTGCCTCACAGGACGGGCATACCAAGACTTCTTCCTCTGTGTCAACTATGCGCGCAACTCGCATAGGAGTGATAGCATGTTGCGCGAAGCCAGCCCGTCGCCTTCGGTAAAGTCACACGATTCGACCTTGACCACGTCCAATGCATCGATCAAGAGTTCGCGCAGCGGGAGCTGGATGAAACCATCCTCGAGGATTACAGGTGGTTTTGGCTGGATGAACGGGCCTATTTTGCGGCTTCAGTTGCACCTTCTGGAGCTCGAGTACAAACTCATGACATTCAGAATCGTATACGCCAGCGACTTGGACCAGGCCGGCTCCGACCTCGATGGGACACTGGACAGGATGGTCAATATGTGGCTCAACACCAATCTCATTGATGAGGTGCTTTACTACAAGGCCAAAGACTTTGGGAAGCGCAGCCTCATTTCTGGGGGTGTCTCGGTAACCCGGCGTGACAGACGCAGACGAGGGAGTTACAGCGGGCCGTTGCAGCGCTTGTTTCCTCGGGCTGTAGACCCGGTGCGACAGACGTTGCACATTGTGAGGGAGGTTGACAGCGTGGTGGATCCAGGGATGCAGGCCGACGAGCTTGAAAACCAGCGGCAAGAAGAGCGGCGGTTCTTGGCTCAAGAGGGTCTAAAACACTTTGCCAACAAGGTGCATGAGGAGGGCTGCGACTACATGATCTTCCTAGGGAGCCAAAATGCCCAATGGTGGCGAACATATCTCCAAGCTCTGGACGGCGAGTGGTGGTTAGGCATGCCATGGAGCTTCACCGTACACACCAGATTCAGCAAGGCTACGGAGACAGGTTCAAAGATGGATCAACACAGACCGTGTGCACCGACAGGACTAGCCGTTGGCTAATAAGTCGACGCCGAGGGTTTCCAGTCGGAATCTATTTTTAGTTGAGGATATTTTCATCCTGAAACATATCTCTTGCGTTTAGCACGAGTAAGAAATGCGGTGGCACGATATAGACAAAAGGGATCACATGTGTATACTAACTGATTGGCATTTCTACGGAGACTGGGTTTACGTTTGTTTATTTATTTGCAGGCATGATTTGAAGGCGACATGCATGGACTCGGCGCGATGGCGACTTTGCTTAGCTTGGCTTTGGGCGTGTTGTTTGCGTGGGAGCCGGGATTTGCGGCTTCATGTACCAACTAGTAGTAGAATTTGATACAAGTAATATGAATAAGCTAGTTGTTGTTTGCAAAGCGAGCGAGCGGGCGAGACACGCAAGCCTACTTAGTTGGAAGTTGGCGCACAAATCGTCATGTTTCGCCCAGTCGCCGCGCGCCTTCGGAAGCTGACCTTGCTCCGTCGGAGAACAGACGTTCCTCCAACGGGCCAGCGGGTGGCAACTGGCGGCATTTGGCGTGAGTGGCCCCTTCCTTGGCAGCTTGGGACGAGGACGAGATTGAAGGCACGCCGGCGGCCTAGCAGCTCATGCTCACATTCACATTCATGCCCACGACGCGGGGCGTCTCCGAGGCCATCCATCGACTGATCAGTCAATGATCATCCATCCAGTCCACCATCCCCCGGAAGAAGCTGGGTGACGTGCGCTGGGGTCTCTGTGGCGGCGGCAAGCGCCGAGCTGGCTTCTTTGTTCGATTGGCGTGGAGACGCTTATTCGTCCGTCCTTTTTTTTTTCCCCTTTTTCTACCTGTAGCTTCTGCGGAGCTGAGCGGCATATACAGAGTATTGGGTTTGCCATTGCGCAGGCGCTTTGGTACGGAGCGTTGTTACTTGGACAATAGTCGCTCAGGCCCAGCCTGCGGCTCTCTGCAGTGCAAGAAGCCAGAAGCCTCCGAGGTCGACGAAGGTGAAAGACACCAGGCCAGGAGCATGATGAGCACGTCGGCGCCCGTGACGGCCAATGGCCTCGACCGCGACCGCGACCACGGCCACATTTTGCGGCCGCGGAAGCGAAAAGGCATCCGTACCCGAGCGGTGCGGACTGTGTCCAGCGAGAGCGACAGTCACATTGGCGTGGTGAGCGAGAGCGCGCCAGCGAGCGGGTTGACGAGGTGAGTCCTGCTTCCTCCACACAGCAAAGCCAAAAACACCATCACCAGGTCCTTTTGCCTTTGCTTCCCATCTCTACAAGCACCCAAGTACTCACCATGACAGCGGCCGCGCCACGCCCATCCCGGAAAACGCACCGCCGTCCGCCAAGTCGCTGTCCTCGGCGCGCAAGCTCGTCCGCGCGGAGCAAAAGCGTCGCCTCTTCCCGACCATCGAGTACGCCTCGCGTGTGTCGCACTTTGACCCCGAGAGTGACTACCGCGACTTCCACGGCTTCTTCAATCTGTTTTGGATCGGGCTGGCCATCATGGGCATCACCACGATGCTGCGCAATATGCGAGACACGGGCTACCCGCTCCGCATCCAGATCTGGAGCCTGTTCACCGTGAAGCTGTGGCACCTGGCCGTCGCCGACCTCCTCATGGTGGCCACGTCGCTCGTCGGCCTGCCGCTGCACAGGGTCTTCAGGAGGGCGCCCATGAGGGCGGCACTGACCTGGGCAAAGGCCGGCATGGCCATCCAGAGCGCATACCAGGCTCTCTGGCTGACCCTGTGGATCGCCGTGCCCTTCGTGCTCGAGTGGACGTGGACGGCCCAGGTCTTCCTGCTGCTGCACACCATGGTGATGCTCATGAAGATGCACTCGTACGCCTTCTACAACGGCCACTTGTCCGAGACCGAGAAGCGCCTGCGCTCCCTGGACTCGCCCGGCGACAGCGCCGACACCAGACCGGCCTACGTCTATCCCCCGGCCAACCTCCGCCGCGGCAGCATCTCCGGCATCCCGACGACCAAGACCCCGTCCTCCCCCGACACGGAGCGCCCGCCCCAACCCGCCGACAAACACGCGCCGCCCTCGCCGGCCACCTCCCCCGACTCGTCGCTCGACATCGGAACCCTTCGCGAAGCCCTCGCCCGCGAACTCACGTCCCCCATGGGCAACACCACGTACCCGCACAACCTCACCTGGGCCAACTACATCGACTACCTCTTCTGCCCGACGCTCTGCTACGAGCTCGAGTACCCGCGCACGCCGAGCGTAAACTGGACCTCCCTCATTGCCAAAACCGTCGCCACCTTCGGCTGCATCTTCCTCCTCACCGTCACGTCAGAAGAGTTCATCCTCCCCGTGCTCGTCGACGCCCAGCGCCGCCTCAACGCCTCCTCGCCGCCGTCCACCCCCGAGGCCCTGCTCATCCTCGCCGAGTCCATATCCTGGCTCCTCTTCCCCTTCATGCTCACCTTCCTGCTCGTCTTCCTCGTCATCTTCGAGTACGTCCTCGGCGCCTTTGCCGAAATCACCCGCTTCGCAGACCGCCACTTCTACGCCGACTGGTGGAACTCGACCGACTGGATGGAGTTCTCGCGCGAGTGGAACGTCCCCGTCTACTCCTTCCTGCGCCGCCACGTCTACAGCGCCTCGAGGCCGCACACGGGCAAGATGCTCGCCACCCTCATCACCTTCCTCATCTCCGCCGCCATGCACGAGGTCGTCATGGCCTGCATCTCCAAGAAGATCCGCGGCTACGGCTTCATCTGCCAGATGCTGCAGCTGCCCATCGTCATGCTGCAGCGCACGCGCCTCATCAGGGGCCGCCAGACCCTCAACAACGTCTGCTTCTGGTGCTCCATGATCTTGGGCCTGAGCCTGGTGCGTCCCCCGTCTCCTCTCCCTGCCGTGCGAGCACGGTGCCCGCGTTCGCGTTTCACGGCTAACAGCAGCCTCTCCTCTGGCAGATTTGTGCCCTCTACGTCCTTGTATAATCTTGATCTTGTCTTCAGCTCACGCAAACGTCCCGCTCACCTGCCCGCAACTGTAGTCTGCACGGCCATGCGCGCCGTTTCCGCTATTTAAACATGGATGTCGCTTGACAAGATAGATGGCCTTGCGAAATCGCATTGTCCCGGGTCCGTCATTCCGACCCGGCATTTGAGCTTGTTCCTTATTCTTTTGAGTAGTGCTGTTTGGAGGGTCCAACCAAGATTGAAATCGTCGACATGTGCAGCGACATGCAGCTCGTGTCCCCGAACGATACCCCTTGCCGTGTAGCCAAAATCGTAACAAGCCACGTCTACCACGCTCCGTCAAGAGGGAAATTTCTCTACAGTTTGGCAACGTGACGCGTCACATGCCTTGTCCTTGGGATGCCCAACTTCTTGTCACTTATACACGCCACACACTAATCAGCATCTGTGCTCTTGTGGAGCAGCATGCACCGCGGTTGATGGGATTCGGGTGTCATGGACCGCTCAGTCACATCTTCACCAGCCAGCCAAAGATACTATTTATGCCTTTTCATTGATCCGTCTACCTCATAATCATAGCTAGCTGGTAAAGTACACCCTGATCCATCCTTGATGAGGCCAATGCCAGGGAATTATGGCCAAGCAAAGCATAAATCCATTGAGAGAAATAAAAAGACTCAAAAACAACCAGCGCGTTCAGAGACCTTGTGATCTAAAACACCGTCCAACTCCGTGAAAGCTTTTTCTAACCTCTGTGCCAAGTATACGCTGAGAAGGCGCCTAATCGACCTCCTCCATAGCGCTGTCGCCAGTCTCGGCGGCAGGGGCGGCTTCAGCTTCAGCGGGAGCCTCGGCAGGGGCAGCAGAGTCATCTTCTTCAATGTTGAGACCGAGCTGAACGAGCTTGTGGATGCGCTCGGCAAAGCCTGCAGGCTCCTCAATGGTGAAACCGGACACGAGCAGGGAGGTCTCGAACAGAAGCTGGACGATGGACTTGACAGTCCGATCTTTTTCGCCGTCGGCCTCGACCTTCTTCTTGAGCTCCTGGATGATAACGGACTTGGGGGAGATCTCAAAGGTCTTCTTGGAAGACATATAGCTGGACATGGAGGTGTCACGGAGGGCCTGGGCCTTCATAATACGCTCCATGTTGGCAGACCAGCCAAATTGGCCCGTTCGGATAGCGCAGGGGGAGAGACCGAGCTTGTGGCTGACAACGACCTTTTCGACCTTTTCGCCGAGGACGTTCTTGAGGCTCTTGGCCAGGCTCTCGTACTCCTTCTCCTCCTGCTCGCGGGCCTTCTTCTCCTCATCAGTTTCCTCGAGTTCGAAGTCCTTGGTAATATCAACGAGCTTCTTCTCCTCGAACTCCTTGAGCTGGGTCATGGCGTACTCATCAATGGGGTCAACCAGGAACAGAACTTCGAAGCCCTTCTCTTTGAGAGTGTCAAGGAAAGGAGACTTGGAGACGGCCTTGATAGACTCGCCAGTGATGTAGTACATATTCTTCTGGTGCTCAGGCATGCGAGTGACGTAATCGGACAGAGAGGTCATCTCATCCCCAGACTTGGTAGAGTTGAAGCGCAAAAGCTTGGCGAGCTGCTGGCGGTTCTGAGAGTCCTCGTGGATGCCGAGCTTCAAGTTCTTGGAAAAGGCACTGTAGAACTTGTCAAACTGCTCCTTGTCCTCGGCAATCTCCTGGAAGAGCTCCAAGGACTTCTTGACAATATTCTTCTTGATGACCTTCATGATCTTGTTCTGCTGGAGGGTCTCACGAGACAAGTTGAGGGGAAGATCTTCAGAGTCGACGACACCCTTGACGAAGCTGAGCCACTCGGGGATAAGCTCGGTAGCGTCGTCAGTGATGAAGACACGGCGAACATAAAGCTTGATGTTGTTCTTAGTCTTCTTGGTCTCGAAAAGATCAAAGGGAGCACGCTTAGGAACGAAGAGGATGGCACGGAACTCGAGCTGACCCTCGACGGAGAAGTGCTTGACGGCAAGGTGGTCCTCCCAGTCGTTGGACAGAGACTTGTAGAACGAAGCGTATTCCTCCTGGGTGATGTCCTGGGGATTGCGAGTCCAGATGGGCTTTTGCTTGTTGAGTTCTTCCTCTTCGATAGTGGTCTCCTTGATTTTCTTGGTCTTTTTCTTCTTCTCCTTCTCCTTCTCCTCGTCTTCGTCATCGACCTCCTCAATACGAGGCTTCTTGTCGTCGCCCTCCTCCTCCTTGACCTCCTCGACATCGGCGTCCTCGTCGGGGACCTCCTTCTCAGTCTCCTTCTGGACGTGGAGGTAGATGGGGTACGAGATGAACTCGGAGTGCTTCTTGATGACCTCCTTGATCTTGCTCTCATTCAAATACTCAGCCTGCTCATCCTTGAGGTGGAGGATAATAGAGGTACCGCGACCGAGCTGCTGACCATCAGTGTCGGCGGTGATGTTGAAGGTACCACCCGCACTAGACTCCCAGATGTACTGCTCGTCATCGTTGTTCTTTGAAACGACAGTGACCTTGTCGGCTACAAGGTAGGCAGAGTAGAAACCGACACCAAACTGACCAATCATGGAGACATCGGCGCCAGCAGTCAAAGCCTCCATAAACTGCTTGGTACCAGAGCGGGCAATGGTACCCAGGTTGTTGACAAGGTCCTTTTCATAAACGTCAGTCTTCAAGACTATTTCCGGGTACAGCAAAGCGTTTGGTTTAAACTTACGGCCTTGGTCATGCCAATACCAGTATCCCTGATGGTCAAGGTCTTGGCCTCCTTGTTGGGGATAATATCAATGCGCAAGTCCTTCCCAGAGTCAAGCTGGCTGGGGTCGGACAAGGCCTTGTAGCGGATCTTGTCCAAGGCATCAGAGGCGTTAGAGACGAGTTCTCTCAAGAAGATTTCCTTGTTGGAGTAGACGGTGTTGATGATGAGCGAGAGAAGCTGAGAGATCTCAGCCTGGAACTCGAAAGTCTCAGACATTGTGATGGGTATCTAAAGGAGGAATTGTCTGGCGGTGTCGAGTTAGCTTGGGGTTTCATCAAGGATTGCAACGGCTAGTCAAGTGTGCCGTCAAGGTGCTCCGTAAGGGTAGGTAGGGTATGGTAGGAAAATGACGGAAGCTCGAGAGATGTTGCAATTGATCCCGTGCATTGACTAAGTTGTGGCAGATTGAGTCTCTTCCGTCGACCAGGCTCTGTGCAAAGCCCAGTCGATGGGGTAGGGTCAAGCAAAAAGGAAAAAACCAAACGAAGAAATCGAGGTGGCGGAGGAGGACCATGGTCAAGCTTACCTAGACGCTTGGTATAAAGAAAGAGGAAGTTGTTTGGAGCTCCAAGGGAGAATGCAAAGTCTCGATGGGCTAATTACGACTTGACAACGTTGCAGAGATGTGGAAGTACGGGGAGAGATGAAGAGACAATAAAAGTTGAGGGGAGGAAGAGATTGAAGAATTAAAAAAGGGCTGCTCAAGGCGGTGCTGGTGCTTGCTCCGAACAGAAAGTCGAGATTCCATGAGATTCTACGCTGTGCCTTTCCACAGCAACGACTTTTCCGCACGCTGATTGGCTGCCGGGCGACGCTGCCGGGCTTGCAGGGGTCTGCGGCTGCAATTGCTGTTGCTGTTACTGGAGCCTTCCAGCACCACCGCCAGGTGGACACAAAGGCCCATCCAGCTCCAGCGCATGGGCAGGCCAGCCTTTGACACTTTCCACCAAGAACATCGACTGAGCCCCGCAATGTCTCTTGACCGCTGTCGGGATTCCAGAGCTTTCGCAAGGTGTATCATGGTGCCTGTGCCGTGGGTGCTGCTATTGTGTGGGATTTTTTCCTCTTTCTAATGAGTCAAGTTGGCCGCCGTCTTCGTTGGTTGACGCAATCGTTACGCCTTCACTTTTCCCCAGCGCTGAAGGGTCCCCAGTGGCGAGGCTGCGAGAGCTGTGGCTCCTCTTTTTGCCTGATCCACAGCCAATTGGTGGGTGAGTTTGATTCTGAATTCCCAAAGGCCCAAGTAATCGTGCCCGCCCCACTTTATGTGGTTCGGCTGGCCAGCATCGGAAGCTCCATTACCCCAGCAACTCGGTGGCCGTCCACATGACGCTCGGCTTCGGCGAGACGTTCGTCTACCTCAATCTCCTGTACTACGTGAGGTAAGAATCCCCTTCCCACAGCGGTAGCGGTCGACGGGGCTCCCAACTTGCCGCCGCCGCCCCTGCTTACGCCTTGTCAGCACCCTCATGCTTCACCGCGAGTACTTCCCCTTCCTGCCGACCCCGGAGTCGGAGCCACGGGGTCCAGTCGACCAGCCCATGCTGGGGGCGCCCGCCCCCGAGGGCTGGTGGGACGACAGCTCCCGACTCCTCTTCGGCGCGGCAGAGCACATCGCCGCCATTCTACACGAGGCCTCCGAGTGTGGCGTGCATCTCATGACGCCCTTTGCCGGGTTCTGCGCATTCTCAGCCGGCTACCTCAACCTCTACGTGGCGAAATACCCCCGAATGAACCTGGGCCGCAGCCCGCGAGCAAGCGACTGTCTCAAAATGTGTCTCGACTACCTGGAAAAGTTTCGACTTGTCTGGAAAATCGCCGACGGATGGGTAAGCCGCCCGCAAGCATGACACGACCGTGGCCACCGTTGCGCTAACATTGAGAGGGCGGCACGCGCAAGATCAAAACGATACACCATGCATCCGTGCTCTACGAGCGAGCAACCGAGGACCGGACACGATACCAGGGGCGCACACGAGCAGACTTTGATACTCTACACCAGTCTGTCCACGAGTTCCGTGTCGTGGATAGATCCGACGCGCATACTCGGGAGATTCGGGGCGCGGAGCGGCCCTCGGCGCAGGCGACTTGGCCGGTTCAAGGGCACGAGCACGAGCACGAGCACGAGCACGAGCTCGACACTAATACCTTGTTGAACCAGCTTTTCGCGGAAGTCAGCAATAACCTCGACGAGCAGGGGGCCTGGTCTCAATGGTGGCCGGCGATTGATCAGGTGGATCTTTAATGAGCTGCGTAATTACATCCGGGGTTTTTTTTTTCGTTGAAGCTTCCAATGAATGAGTGACGACCTTTGATTTTTTTGATTTTTTTTTTAAAAAGGGCTGTAATATCTGGTTTTCTATACATGTCCTATTTTTATTTCCCGGTCTAGAAAAACAGTCAACAGATAATGCACCTCTTCATATGGCTCCCCTCCCGTCACCGCCAACAAATGCATACCTGTCGCGTCAACCATTCGCCGTTTCTCCTTCCAATCACGCCTTTGCAAAGACCTTTCTCGAGTTCATCAGGCGAACAGCAAGCATAAAGAGCATGCCGACAAAAGGCGCCACAACCACGCCAAGAGGACGTTTTTTGAAGCAGCTAAAAAGGCACGTAAATGGCGTCTGGATTCTGTACTAGATCTACTAGAAATTTGGGACGAGAAGGGTGTACATTATAGGCGAAGAGGTTAATAGCGTTATTAGGTTGAAAATTGGCCCGCCTTGGTGTCCGGCCCGCCTTGCTGTCGAGCACCACCTTTGGTGGTGAGGGCTTTTGCTAGCCGAACCACATAAAGTGGGGCGGGCACGATTAGCCCAATAACCCAACCACCATTACCCATGTCGAGCAACTCGCAAACCACAGCTAGCGACAAAACACATCGACGATGCCTTCAGTCTCATCCCAGCCCATCGTCAATCGCCCACTGCCAGTATATCGGACGATTACATACCTCCTAGTCACAACACCACCTACAGATGGCTCAAATGCCAGTCACTAGCCCGATGAACATTCATTCATCCCTGTCAAATAGCGACAGCATCATAACCCAGCTTGGCCTGCATAGTGACACAACGCCCGCCACTCTCTCTCACGCATCGTCTGTCCCCACAAGACAAAATGCACCACCCATTGCCATCAGGCAGTCATTTGCTCTCAACGGCAGCGCACGGCACTGCTTCGGTTTCCACTTGTTATGCTTCCTCCCCCGCCCTGTGCGCCCTGTGCGCCATGTGCCCTGCTGGGAACCAACAGCGCCCTTTCAGAGTTGCCTCATGACTTGCTTCTCCATATTCCTGGCCAGCTTTGGACGAATATTTTTCAGTGAAGCTACAATTCTCCTTTCTTCTACTCTTTCTTGCTTTGCAATTTTTTTAAATAATCCTCAGTACTATTTATAAATGGGCCAAGTGGTGATGTTCCTCCCCGGCCACCAGTCCTCACGTCCATGCGATAGACAGCAGCCAAGCCGCCCCTGAATCTGTGGCAGCGTCGCGGCGACTTACACACCGTCGGAGGAATCGGGAGCGCTCGGTGTGGCTTTCGGGCCAAGACGCTACGCAGGGAGAAGGAAGGCGGCGCAGACAAAAGTCCCAGCTCGAGCTTGTTGTGCCTGGCGACGAGACGGACAACTCGCGCATTCGCAAAGGGACGAGAGGCGGAGGAATCCTTCCCCGACCATCGGGGCATGAGAGAGTGGTGATGTGATGGATGAGATGAGAGCCGCCCCAACGGCTCTACAGGACACGCAAGCCGAGTATACGTACGGGCCACGAGCCACGCGGTACAGGCAACTCGCCGGCAGCCTCGCACCAAGCATTGGCCCAGAGGTTGCAATCGGGGGGGGGGGGGTTCCCCAGGCTAGAGGTCGGCAACTCGGGCAGCTGGCATGGTATATTTTACGCTATGCATCTATGTAAGGGCGGGTTACGTTCCATTGCGCACGCGCGGCGACTACTTTATCCCTGTGGCCACTTTGTTGGGCTGGTTGTGCGCGCCGAAGGGGACGTTTGCCTCGTCGTCGGTGGCTGTGGTCTTGGAGACGGTCCAGACGGTCGGTAGCACGGCGATGAGGGAACCGATACACAAGCCCCAGTTCATTCCGAACTGGCTCATGGGAGCTGCCTTCTGGGCATTGACACGCCATGCCATGGCGCCGCCGGCGGCCTGCAGGGACTTGTACGCTCCGACGAGGACGGCGGCGCGGGCTGAGCTGTTAGACTCGGTGCCAATGAGCCAGTAGGCGTAGCCTTGCCACAGGGCGTCGTAGGCTCCGTAGAAGATGTAGAGGAGGATGGGGCCGGCAGAGAGGCTCCCCCGCTTGAAGTCAAGGTCCTGGTGGTGGCCGGCGGCATGTCGAGCGTCTTGCCACTGCTGGAAGCGATAGCCGCCTCCCCAGATGGCCATGCCGGATGCGAAGACGACGGCCCAGCCGAGCTTGGCGCGCGCGGGGCGGTCGAGGCAGGGGACGTCGAGGAGCAATCCCATCAAGAGGCCGCCGAGCATCTGCGCGATCCAGTACAGGGCGCCGTTGAGCGATCGAGTGCGGATGTTGAAGGTCTGGCCATTGACCTGGTTCTGCTGGTAGCTGTAGAAGACGTTGGCGGTGAAGAAGAGCGGCAGCATGCAAAGGACGCGCCATCTGGCAATGGTCCTGATGGCCGTCAGGGCGCTTCCGCCGAGGGTATGCTCCTCCGTCTCGACCGCCTTGTCCAGCTGGGCCAGGCGGATGCGGGAGGGCGAGCAGATGAAGACGCCGAGGGTCCAGCCGAGCAGCATGATGGCCATGAGGGCAACGTATGTCGAGTTGGAGACCCTGCCGGACTGGGAGTCGTAGTTGAGGCCGAACGAGGCCAGGGAGCCGATGCCGCCGCCGAGGTTGAAGATGATCCAGAAGACGGCGATTGCGCGGCCCCTTTGCGACTCGTCCACGTACGTCGTCATGATGGCGCCCTGGACGATCCAGATGAAGGCCGCGCCGACACCGAGGACGGCGCCGGATCCAATGACAAAGGCCCCGCAGCCGGTGTGGTTGAAGTTGAGAAGCGAGCCGCTGTACAGGGCATACGTCCAGCCGGCCATGAGAAAGCTGATGCGCGGTCCGAGGATGGAGAAGACGGGACCGGCGACGGCCAAGGCCGTGACTGCCGTGGCCGAGAGGAGGGCGACGGTGGCGTTCGCGGCGACGGTCGAGTCGACTTGTCCTGAGCCGCCGAGTCCAGTAAGCGCATTGTACATCTGAAGACGACCGGCCCGACTTGTCAGTATAGTTCGGAGTCGGGGTACAATTGGCTTGCTTGGCTTACCCCAGGAAGGCAGAAGCATATAAACGAGATCAGCAGGATCTGCGTCCAGGGATGGGAGTAGCAGCGGACAATCTTGGACGGATGAGGCTGGAAGTTGGTAACCTCGGGATCCCCGCGATTGAGAGACCAGCTTCTTTTTGTGGCTTCGGCATACGGCTCGTCGTGGCCAGTCCGAGTTGTCATGTTGTACACGTCGTGAGGAGCCAAAGGCTTGTGGTTCTCGGCTGAGCCGACTCGGTCCATCCCGTGAGACTGCGTCTTTGTATATCTGTGAAGGATGGAAAGAGTAAGTTGTAAACGCTGCACACGATCCTGGGGAAATAGGCTCAAGGCCTCCGAATCTTGGGGTTACAATGGATCATATGTTTATCAAAGCTTCGACAAGTCGAGCAGGGGACCTGGACCTTGCATACCGGGGCTTCGGGGTCCTGGCTGGCATAGACAACATCGAACACAGCCCGGACTACGCAGTAGTACGCACAGAGTACACCCGCCGCAGCTTTGCAAATCAGCATAGTACAACCAGTATACGGGGCGCGGAGTCCTGTGGGTTGTAATGGGCAACTATCAAAAGTCAATCCGAGGCAGGTTGCGAATCCTCACACGTTACATCACGGTGCTCAACTCCGCAACCAGCCAACAGGAAAGGGCCGGCGTCTGGTTATACGCATATACTACTACCAAGTGCGTTGTACATGCAAGCAGGTACAAGCAAAGCGGAGCGACGGGGCAAGAGATTTGATCTTGACTCGTGAGCCGGCAGAGTCTAGGACATGGTGGCCTCGATGGGGTCACTTTGGGGGAATTGGTTATGCTCGAACGACGCGCGAGTGGTTACTCGTGAGACAAGTTGACCGGGCTATGAGTTGAGAAAAGCTTCATTCGGCAAACAGACCAATGATGCCTGTGACAGTAAAAGGGAGTATGCCGACCGCCAGAGCGCGCCCTGGCCGAGCCGGGCTAATGAATGTAAACAGACTCGCCAAGTCGTCGGCGCTGTGGATTCGCATGGGAACAGCGCGGCCTGACCCTGGCCGGCGAGCGGCAAGATGAGGGAGAGAGGAAGAGGCCTTGTTGATTATTGTTGGGGCTTGCCGGGATTTGGGTGGTGTTGATTGTCCATCCAGTCGCATCTCGAGTCGCCAGACTGTTTGGTGGTTTGTTTCTACTCATGGTTTGTCCTCTCCCCGTTCCTCAATTGCTGTTCCCGGCCCTCATTCCGACCAAAGAGCGCCAAAGGTTGCTCTTTTCAGTGGTCGGTAAGAATCGTCGTTCTTGTCAGGTCTGGATATGGTCCCAGGCCCCGACGGCCTCGGACCTGGCCTCATCAACAGGCCGGCCGGGATACCGCCCACATACTCGGCTCCTCCGCACCACGGGGGCGACGATGCCCTCCGACACGCAAAGGAGGGTGCGGAAACGGCCGGTCTGCTGCCGGGGACGATCTGAGCGCACGCAATTTCGACCCACGGGTGGATTCGCTCATCGGAATCGCCTCTTCTAGACGGACACCGTACGTCCTGGGCGGACTCGAATACACCCGCATGCCGGCGGTGTCCCGGTGAGTGTTGTTTGCGTCGAGCCGTCGGCGGCAGCACAACTGTTGTTTAGCCGGGCAAGTTGACTAGATGGTCGACCTGCAAGCAACCAACGTCAAGCTACAGCGCGCAAGGAGCATACCGAGATGTATTGGAGACCCAATTGCACGCAGTCTGACGAAGACCTTGGGCAGATCCTGCACGAGTGTCATGGCAGTGTCAAACTCGCTGCTGCTGCCGTCGTATTGGATGTGCCGGTGGCCGGCGCCGAAGCTCGTCTCCAGCGACACCAGGGCGTCCTCACAAAGGTGGTTGAAGAGCATGGAGCAGAGGCTGGACGACTTCCCCTCTGTGTAGATGCTGGCGGTACGAGCCGCAAGGGGCCGTCATCGTGGCCCGGGATGGCGTTTGCGGGCTCGGCGTAGCAGGGCCGTGTAACGTGTAAAGGCAATGCTCAGCATCGTAGTGGTGTTTGGCATTGCCGTGTATGAGAGGCCAGCTCTTACTCAGACACTCAAAGACTCGATCGGTATACGTACTACCAGCTTGTCAAGACCCTGCTTGGGATGCAGCCAAGAGTCACCACTGATATTGACCTGCTACCCACCTCCTTGTCAGTGAGGCGGCACGTCGACTCCATCATTGCCCTCGCTTCTGGTGTACCGGCTCGATCCGCGTGAGCTTCAGACGAACTGGGCTGCGCTTCCAGCGCACGGCACACAATGGCGGATGGCGCCATCATCTGGGCGACGACGGCTCCGGCTACAGCGTTAAACGAGCAGCCCTTCGCGGGGCCCTGCGGGAAAAGAACATTTTCCGGACAGCCCATGCACATGAAGCGAACGCATCGCCAGCTCCATGTCTGTCTCCGCTGTCGCAGGCCATCTACAAACACCTAGAGGACCATTCTCCCTCCACTGCTAGCCCGGATGATCTCCTCGGTTCCATCGTCACGCCTTGCTTCAGGCTCGGCCCGGCAGAAGATGCCGCACCGGGTACGACAAACCGTGAGCCGCAGTTGCCCAGATCGTTTTTCATGGCCGCCACAGATGCCGAGGCAAAGAGCATCGTGAGTGGCGGAACTGCGAGTTGAGCTGAAAGGGTGGAGAGCCTTGACGAGTCAAGATGTGGACTCGTCTTGGCGGGAGGCTTTGTGCGGCATGAGCCGTATATAAATGCTAGAATTGATGCCATGTAGAAGGAAGCAGCTTGGAGCGTCTGGGCAGAGTGTTACTGTTGGCCAGCCCGCCTTTGTTGGCGCCAAGTTCCTTGCAGATGAGTTAGTTAGATGCAGTTATACCAGATGCCAACTCAAAAGATACCTATTCAAGTACCTAGGTATGTACATGCCCTACATTCCTCCAGATAGGGCCAGTATACACTGTTTGTGTACTCTCACACGTGGAAGACGCCGGTCAAGGGGGGAAACCAATCCTATCATATGCCATGCAACTCGTGACGACGTACGAAGTACCAAACGCTACAAGATGGCCACCAACTCGGGCCAACCAGCAGAGATCTGTATCATTACGTACTTTGTACTCCGTAATACGATGGCGATTTCTGCGTGTCGCTAAGCCGCAAAGCCCACGCGACTTCAAGAATGCCGGTGCAACATTCGCCCAGGGACCAAGGTGGACTAGGACTAGGTTTAAGCCGCCACCCCTGTCCTGTATTTGGTCTATTGTTGTTTCCAGAGATGTCTGAGACTCCATCGTCTCGTCTCCACTGTCATCCCATTGTTAGTCGAGACTCGAGCGTAATCCCGTTGACCAGATTAGCGAATGCTGCCTAGCTTTTCCCGAGGTGGGCATCAATGAAGCGGTGCCCCCGGCATCTTTTCCATCAGTCATTACCCTTACCCTCACTCCAAAACTGACAGGATTGGTGAAAGGCGACAAGATACTGCGGGTGAGTCCTGAGTCTTTCGTGGTCTCTTAGCTAGCGTGTCCAAGTATGCAGAGATCCGTTCTCGACTTTGCTCATCAAAAGTCTTAATAGATCGTGTGTATCAGATCCGAGACGGTGATTTCCGAGAAAGACAAGACACCCCTGGAATTAAATCGACGCTGCCATCCTTCAATATAACGGCTTGCGTTGCATTGCGCATGGTCCAACGAGATCCGTCGCGAGATCCAACTGTGTCATCCCGGCGCTGCTTGCAACCAGGTTTTCGAAGCATAGTACTTGGTACTATGCTGTGAGCAGATGCGGCACGATGTCAGATTCAGTCATTGATATCTTTCTTCTTTTCTTTTGACACTGCAAAGGTGATCCGGAAATGATTCGCTTGACTGACTCTCACACACCCAACGCGGACAATTTGTTCCCATCTTGGCATCTACAAACAGTTAAGAAGGGGGAAGGGATGGATTTATTGCCAGCATCGTAAATGCACAAATGCAGCAATTGACTGCTCTTCCGACGCCGTCGCCATGCAAGCAAACGTCTCATCATGTACAATATGACAGCCACCTAGTCCGTCTGGCCATCGGTCCCTCCTCTAATTCCTTCCAGAATGGCAGCCCACGGCCCGCTGAGGCGGACTTTGGCCACATCAGAAAATCGATCACAGGCAATCTTTCGGATCAACAGTGTGTCCTTGGCTTTCTTCAGAATCCTTCCCTCGCGCACAGTGAGGTATTCTTCGAACCAAGTTTCTTCCAGAGAATCAAAAGGCATAAATGCCAGCTCACTGGTGCGACCGGACGAGTCTTCGCCGCCGCCGCCGCCACTATTTATCACACATGAAATCCACCGGCGGAACAACTGTTCTCTGGTGTGTGGCGGGTGCGTGCGCGAATATAGAAGAGCCTGCGTGACATTGGTGCGAGCCATGGCGTCAAATAGCAGTTCAAGAGCAACTGGAGACTTCAATATCGGATGCACGGAGTAGAAGTACGACAAAGCGAGAGTGTAATCCTGGTCTGTTGATTGCTTGACGAGGGCGATGATGATGTCGTCTGCGAAGTCAGCATCCAACGACGGATGCGCGACGTACTCAATGGCGCTCTGCACCATCAAGTTAGCCAACCTTTACAAATTAAAACTGGACGGCGTTCACGTAGTCTTACAGAATACTCGCCTCTGTCCATGTGCCAGAGGCCCTTCATGAAGAGCTGGTAATTAGCCGGCATGCCGGACAAGCTGGCAAAGCTCTCCGATGCAAAAATGTCTTTGCTCGCGTCGTCAAAATCGAGCAGGACGTAATACAGAAGGGAAAACTTGTGATGCAACGACATCCCCGCTTCGCAGATTTGCTGATGCAGTTGTCGGAGTGCGTTCTCCGTCTTCGGGGGATACACCTTTGCTGCAGTGGGCAATGGCGTCAGCCAAGTCATTTCTCGAACAGAGCTTCTCAGGCTTCGAGTCCAATCCAATCCCACGTGACTAACCCTTGGAAATTCCGAGCGCTCGCATTACACGGTCGATGAATAAGAGGCCGTCGGCTGTCTTGCGATGCGCTTCAATGTCGTGTTGCAGCCTGCGATCGTACGGAAGCTTAGTTTCCGGGGGGAAGACATGTTCAAAGTTGCTATAGTTGAACATGGCTATAGCTTCGCTGGCGCCCAAGAGCCTCGTGACTGCTTCTTTGCAAATCAACTGCTGTCTGACTACCTGAGCTTGCCTCGCTGCGCAGATGGCATCGTATCGTTCGAGCATTGGCTCAGCAAAGCTCCATCAAGTCGCGCTGTCACGTGAGATGCTTGAGCTACCACGCCACGCAACGGATGTGGCGCTGCGGTTGTGGGGTAGAAATGCAGAAACGTGGCTGAGCTTTCATTGTTTACATACAACCATTCGGGACCTTTCCAAACAAATAGCCAGCGACGCGGGGCGACGACATGTGAACCTCACAATCACTACCATTTGCAACGTGCCTACGCGACCCGTTGCTGTGCCCTCGTATTCCACACAAGGACACTTTGGCCTTGCCTTTCTTTACTGCCTCTAGTCTTCCTACTCATCACGTCCTAGATATCGAATTCACCGTCGCCTGGGAGCGGCACCCGAACAGAATGTCGCCCCCAGCTCCGAGGCCGTCAAGACGCGCCGCGACGAGACGGGCGGCCATTATCGACTCGGACGACGAGGACGAAATTGGCAACATGTCCAAGTTGCGCGCTGACGAGGAGGCCGAATACACTCCTGAAGCTTCGAGGACAAGTCGACGCCAGACGCGCAGTGGCCGGTCATCTCTTGCGCCAGCTCCTGCATCTGCACCACGACGGTCCCTTGCCAAGAAACCATCCATCGCAGTTGCGTTCAATGAGCCAGACGAGCTTGGAGGACAGCTGGAACCAAGTCAGGTCTTGGATGCCGATACTGTCGTCCAGCAAACACCTCCCAGAAAGCCATCACCGAGGAAGAGAAGGAGTGCCGCGATTAGAGCCTCGACTGCTCCCGCGGAAAACTTGGCGCTCCCGTTGCCACAGCAGACGGAGACTTCGGAGATATCCCAGGTTCGTGCATCACCGCTGGCAGATATCACGGCTGTCAGCGTGAATACGACGCCAAATGTGGAGGAGACGCAAGCAAACGTCAAACCCATCAAACCGTTTGACTCTATTATGGATAGACCTATGGACATCATGCTCAAGTCTCGAACGACAACAGTTCCATCTCTCGAGGAATCATCCTCCCCCCCAAAGTCACGGATTGTGTTGACTCATTTGATTTTGAACAACTTCAAGAGTTATGCTGGTCGTCAGGAGGTCGGCCCGTTCCATGCGTCCTTCTCATCTGTTGTTGGACCAAACGGGTCTGGCAAGTCAAATGTTATCGACTCTTTACTTTTTGTCTTTGGTTTCAGAGCCAGCAAAATGCGCCAAGGTAAAATCTCGGCTCTGATTCACAATTCTGCTCAGCACCCGAACTTGGAGTATTGCGAGGTTGAAGTCCACTTTCACGAGGTCATTGACAAGCCGACTGGCCCCGAGGTCAATCTCGACTCGAAGCTCATCATCTCTCGAAAGGCTTTCCGCAACAATACGAGCAAATACTACATCAATGGCAAGGAGTCCAACTTCACCACTGTTACAACGCTACTCAAGGAACATGGTGTCGATTTGGATCACAAGAGATTCTTGATCCTGCAAGGAGAAGTGGAGTCGATCGCTCAGATGAAATCAAAGGCCGCCAACGAGCACGAAGATGGGTTGCTCGAGTACCTCGAGGATATCATTGGCACCTCCAAATACAAAACTCCCATCGAGGAGTCGGCGGCGGAGGTGGAATCTTTGAATGATGTCTGCATGGAGAAGAGCGGGCGTGTGCAACATGTTGAAAAGGAGAAGAACAGCCTCGAAGACAAAAAAGACAAGGCCCTTGCGTACATACGCGACGAAAACGAGCTTACCATGAAACAATCCGCGTTGTACCAACTGTTCATTCACGAATGTAATGGAAATATCGTTGTCACCGAGGAAGCTATCAACCAGATGCAGGCCCAGCTCGACGCTGAACTTGAGAAGCACCAAGGCAGTGAGCAGTTCATCAAGGACCTCGAGAAACAGTACACCAAGGGAACAAGGGAAGTTGAAGCCCAAGACAAGCAGACCCAAAGTTTTGTCAAAGAAGTAGCAAAATTCGAGCAGGAGCGCGTCAAGTTCGATGAGAAGCGCAAGTTCCTTGTCGAAAAGCAGAAGAAACTCGAAAGGACCATCAACAATGCGCAAAACGCAACCAGCGGAGCGGACGAAGCCGTTGAGGAAAGCAAGCGAGACATTGAGACGCGAACACAAGAGGTCACTGAGCTCGAGGCACGAGTCAAGACGGAAGAGGCCGAGCTGGCCAACATCCGAGACAGCCTAAAGGGTAAAACTCAGGCCTTCTCCGACAAGATTGCAGCCAAGCAAAGGACCCTCGAGCCTTGGATGGAGAAGATCAATCAGAAGCAGTCTGCTATTGCTGTGGCAGAGAGCGAAATGGGCATCCTCAAAGAAAAGGCAAACGCTGGCACTGTCGCAATTCAAGAGCTCGAAGGCAAGATTGCAGCTATCGAAACGGACAAAGCAGCCAAGGCCAAGGAACTCAGAGCTTGCGAGGAAGAGAAATGTGCGCTTCAGAAGGAGGCCGAAAAAATGGACTCTGAGCTCGCGATTTTGGCTCAGCAAGAGCCCAAGATCCAAGCCAAAATTTCCAATTCACGACAAAAGGCTGACGAAGCCCGCTCGAGCCTCGCAAGCACGCAGGCTCGCGGCAACGTTTTGACAGCTTTGATGCGCATGAAGGAGTCTGGTCGAATCGACGGCTTCCACGGACGCCTCGGCAATCTAGGAACAATTGACGAAAAGTACGACGTTGCGGTTTCCACAGCCTGCTCAGCGCTTGACAACTTCGTCACTGAGTCAGTCGAGTCTGGTCAGCAGTGCATTGAGTACCTCAGGAAGAATAACTTGGGTCGTGGCAACTTCATCTGCTTGGACAGGCTCAGATCTCGAGACATGTCTCCTATCCAGACACCCGAAAACGCACCACGCCTGTTTGATTTGGTCAAAGCCAAAGACAAGTTCCGGCCGGCTTTCTACCACGCAATGCAGGACACCTTGGTGGCCAACGATTTGGCCCAAGCCAATCGTATTGCATATGGGGCCAAGAGATGGCGGGTGGTGACCTTGGCTGGTGAGCTAATCGACAAGTCCGGCACCATGTCTGGCGGTGGTACTGCTGTGAAGAAGGGGCTGATGTCTTCCAAGATTGTCGCGGACATCAGCAAGGAGCACGTTGCAAAGCTTGAGGAGGATCGAGATCAATGGGAAGTCAAGTTCCAAGAGTTCCAAGAGTACCAACGTGAATGCGAAGGTAAACGCAAGGATCTCGACGAAAAAATCCCTCAGCTCGAGACAAAGATTCAGAAGCTCGGCCTCGAGATCGAGAGTGCGACGCGCAATCTCTCGGACGTAAAGAAACGCATCAAGGAAGTAAGCCAAGTGCATCAGCCATCCGCATCAGACTCATCTCGTGTCGCCGCTTTGGAGAGGGAGATTGCGAAGCTAAACGAGGAAATTGAGCAGCTCCACGGGGAGACTGCCAGTGTGGAGGAAGAGATCAAGGCCCTGCAGGAGAAAATCATGGAAGCCGGCGGAGAGAAATTGCGAAGCCAGCGTGCCAAGGTCGACGAGCTCAAGGAGCAAATCAACTCCCATAATGAGGAGATGTCGAATGCCGAAGTCCGCCGAGTCAAGGCGGAGAAGCAAGTAGTCAAGTTTGCAAAGGACATTGCCAAGGCCAATAAAGAGCTGGAAAACGCTGTGCTAGAGCTAGAAAAACTCGAAGCCGACGTCAACAACCAGGGAGAGAAATCTGACGAGCTGAAGGCCCGGGTCAAGGACGCAGAGGCAGATTTGGCGTCAAGAAGGGAAGAGCTCCGAGCGTTCAAGAAGGAGCTTGATGCCAAGACCGCAGAGCTCAACAAAAGTCGCGCCGTGGAGATTGAAATGCGGAACAAACTGGAGGAAAACCAAAAGACTTTGGCTGAGAATGAAAAGAGACATCACTATTGGGAAGACAAGCTGTCGAAACTAGTCTTGCAAAACGTCGAGGACCTCATTTGTGCTCCCGGCCCTTCCGAACAGGCTGTTGAGGCTGGGCAGCCCGGAAAGCGAGAAAGCTCCTCGGCCTCGGACGAGGACGTGGAAATGGCTGAATCTGAAGCGGACGCCCAAGACGCCAGCATGGCCGATGGCTCTGTGGCAGAAAAGTCCACGGACGGGGACCCAAACAAGCCGGTTTACGAACTGCCCAGATACACCCCGGATGAACTGGCAGACATGAGCAAGGAGACTCTGAAGGGCGAGATAGCTGCACTGGAGGAGAAGACGCAGAACGCCAGCGTCGACCTTGGCGTTTTGGCCGAGTACCGCCGCAGAGTGGAGGAGCACGCTGCCCGATCCTCAGATCTACAAGCAGCAATCAATCGGCGAGACGCGGCAAAGAAGCGTTGTGACGACCTCCGAAGACGACGACTGGAGGGTTTCATGGAGGGTTTCAGCGCCATCTCGCTCCGCTTAAAAGAGATGTACCAGATGATCACGATGGGGGGTAACGCAGAGCTGGAGCTCGTGGACAGCCTGGATCCGTTCAGCGAAGGTATCCTCTTCAGCGTGATGCCTCCGAAGAAGAGCTGGAAGAACATCGGCAACTTGTCTGGAGGTGAGAAGACGTTGAGTAGCTTGGCTCTAGTCTTCGCCCTGCATCACTACAAACCCACGCCACTGTATGTCATGGACGAGATTGACGCCGCGTTGGATTTCAGAAACGTAAGTCGATTCCTGGACGGGAGTAGATGGATGCCCATGTTCTAACGATGCGTGGCAGGTCTCCATTGTTGCCAATTACATCAAGGAGCGAACAAAGAATGCTCAGTTCATCGTCATATCCTTGAGAAACAACATGTTCGAACTGGCCGCCCGCTTGGTTGGAGTCTACAAAGTCAACCACATGACCAAGAGCGTTACTATCGAGAACAAGGACTACATCGACCGACCGCAGCCACAACAGCGGCCGCCGCAGACGGGCACTGGGTTCACTACAACACTGGCCCTCAGATGATGACAACATGGTGGCCGGCGACGAGAAGGAGGTTTGCATGTTCTTTGTACATGGTGGCGCTTGGGAACTGAACTGGGTAAATCTTTCGATGATGGGTTATGATTGCATTGCCGTGGTATTTTATGTGCCTTGTTGGATGACTGGAACGAAGCAATCATCATATCGAGGGTAGAGAGAGCGAGAATCGATGTCATGAAGTCCTTTTTTTCATCTCACCAAGACTGGTGCAATGCCATGCAGCTCCATTTCCGCTTTCAATACGTGCTCGCCCACCGCAAGGCCAAGGCCACAAGACCGGAAGTCTATCTCTTGAGTCGGAAACGGCAAGCCCGGATCTGAGAGTTACACTAAAGGTCGAGAGGCACCCGTGGCGTTCATAACCGTGTCCATGTCTCAAAACATCGAGGCGGTTGAGTGGTTGGCTTGTCGCTTTTCTTGAATCCAGCGTCGTACGTGATTCAGCTGAACAACGGCAGTATGCATGACCGACAAGCAGCGCAGGGGCTCTCGGCTCTCTCCCGACACTCAATCGCCAAGCACACTCCGGCAAGCGAGTTGCAATATAACTCGGACCCGGTTCTTCGTCTACGGGTGTCGAAGAAGGCGCTTGCAACCAGGCGACGGCGTGAAAGAAGCGAGATGAGATGCCTCGTTCTCAAGACTTCTCACGTCTTCCCTCCACAAATGCGAAGAGGATGTAGGGATATATAATGGCGCCACGAGCATCGGTTCGACCGTGCCATGGGCCCAACCACGCAAGTCGGTCGTGAGTCTGGCTCAAAATCGTGTAGAACCCGTCTCCCCAGCTTCCCCCCGACGACACGTATCCGACTCGACCATGCTTGTCATTTTCAGTCTGTCTCTTCTCCACACGGTTTCTGCCTCTTCGAGCAGCAGCAACGTTGTTCTCGTCTGCACGAAGGACGCTCTGTACAGCTCGCTGTATCAGAATGGCCGGCAGTTTTGTTCGTCGGTCCTCGGCAAGCCGCCCTGTGAGGTTGTGACGCCAACGGCGTACGCGACCTATGATCCGGCCGTGGTTTCTTCTCGCGTGCGTACTTGTCACCTGGCGTCTCCTCCGCTTTGAAGAGTTTCTAAGTTCAGGGCAGTGCAGCTGTGTGTTGACGGACAAATGTCATGCTCGACCGGCGAGCAGCTCCTCCGTGACCAGTCCGGGCCATGATGTTTCGACCGTGTCCTCCGCGTCAAGCTCGTATCTCGGTTCTAAAACGAGTCGCCCGGACTCTGCTACATCGACTGTCGCACGTAGTGCGGGCCTGACAAGCCTGACGTCTTTGGATACCGTATCATCGGGCTCGAACTGGACTACGGTGGACTTGGGCTCGACGACGCGTTACGCCTCCTCGTCCGCGTCGACCTCGTACGGGTATACCAACAATTCTTGGAGCAGCCGGCTCTCGAACACAGCGGGCTCGTCGTCGCCGACGGCTCCGGTCTCAAGCATTCCGTCTGGCACGACGTCTTCCCTGCAAAGCACCCGACACTCCTTGCCAAGCGGTTCAGGTCCACCACATTCGAGCAACTCGTCTACTGGCGGTTTTGCGAATTCGACGGAAACCCGAAGAAGCCTTGGGCCGTCTTCGTCGTCTCGGCTGAGCTCCGTGGACGGGACCTCGAGCGAGGCCTCGATGTCGCCGTCTTCGAGTAGCGTTACTGATTTGTGGCCGCTTCCAACCATCACCCTCACTCCAGTCCCCAGTGTCAACGTGACGACGGTGGGTTTGACGATTCCGGGACCGGGTTCCTCGTCCTCTTCTCCAAATTCGACTTCTTCCATCCACGATACGGCTCCCGCGGCTCCATCAACGCACCATCTCACGTCTGGCAGCACCGGCTCCGAGACGTCGTCCTGGCCTGCGTCGACAGCCACTGCGACTACGACACATGCTGAATCTGCTCCCAGTATCAGCACATCCATCTACGTCTCGGCATCGCCGTCCACCACTACTCCATTGGCCTCCCTCTCGGTTGCCAACTTGACGCAGGTCACTCGTACTGCGGCAGTCGCGGAAGAAACCTGCTACCGGTTTCCTCAGGATCCAGATGCCGAAGACAAACGTCGCAGTGTGTTTCTGCATAATCGTGACGTCGAGGCACACAATGATACGCTGCCCTCCCCATACATGGAGTCTGTGTTCTTTGACGCGGATGGAGTCCACCCCGTCTTTCTCACCTTGCTCGACCCGCGCGGCGACCGCTACTACATGGACGTGTCCAACAGAAGCCACTTGTCGGTCATGGACTCTGAGAGAAATTCGATACTCATCGACGCCAGTGGAGTTCACTTCTCCACCGAGACCTGCGCGTACGACGTTTCCATCACCATCAAGGACATGTATGAGCAGTTGGAGAGTCTTTCGGGCGAACTGTGCTCCAAGCTCATTCCCGACGAGCGCCTCACGGAAGATTCCAGCTTTGAACAGGTCCTCTTTCTCAGGGACCAGTGCGGAAACGCCATACAACGGTCCGTCCGGAAGTACCCTGCCCTCCGGGTTGGCGAATCCGATTGCGTCGACACAGAGGTAGATTCCTCCACGGGCAAGTGGACATTTCTGTGTACATTCCCTGGCTCAGACTCGGCCACCAGCAGATGTCGCGCGTCGGTGAACAAGGACATTGTTCGGTTCCTGCTCACGGATCCATTCGGCGGAGCTTGTCCCGACCTGTCCACGGTGGCGACGACTCTGGCGGCCACGGCTCAGGATCTCCTCGGCGAGACTTCTCTCAAGGAAGAGCTGTATAAGCTGTCCCTCGATGCTGCACAGCGGAGGGAAGCGGACAGCGCCGTCGAGAAGTACGCCCAGCTGTGGAGCGTCTTCAAGCAAGCCTTGTCCAGGGACGGGGAGAGGAGACCGCGTCGGGGGAGCGCACTGGAACAATACATCAGGGTGTATAACAAGTATCGAAGCTTCGAGGGCGACATCTGCGGCGACCTGCACGATGACGATCTGCCTCTCAACATGAGCCTCCGAGCTGGCGTCACCGCCATAGACTCGATTACATCGCTCAAGGCGGTGCCGGGAAAGGCGAGCCCGTTCAACGTCACGGTTCAGGACGCGACCCAGGTAGCTTGTTGTCAGAACGGCGGCAATTCCTCGTTCGGTAGGCTGAAGGGGTCGTGCTCGTATCCGGCGAATGCTACGGTTGGGAATTCGGATTGCATCTGTGGACAAACCTCGGCCGGCGACAGCGTCGCGTTCGAGTACATGGAGTGTGCTGACTTTGTGGGCCGGTGCACGTCCGACCATGACTGTGCAGACGCAGGCTACAAGACGTACAAGTGTCTCACTGGAAGTTGCTGCGGAAGTGGTGTTTGTTTTGATCCTCATGCCTGTTCGCAGAGGGGGGTGAAGTTGGTTTGAGTTGAATGTTGAATCTACGGGGAGGATAGGCCCATCTGCGCGGTGTAGCCGACAGGTTGTTCGCTCGTCCGTCGGTCAGCGTCTTCCGAAAAATAAGCATGTATTCGATCATGCTGACTCGGGCGTGGACTTTATATGCGGAGTTTTAGTATCCAGCGTGCAGAGTCGAGCCCCTTGACTGCCATACCCGTGTAGACTCCGCCCACGACAATCCCCGGAAATCGTCCCTGTTCCATGTCATGATGTAGTCGAGCTTGAAGACCGCTCGCCTCCGATCAGGGTCTGTTTGGAGGTGTGGACGTGTCTGCCCGGACGGCATCAGCCCCTTGCGTGACCCCGTAACACGTCTCGATCTGCCAAGACTTCGAATCAACCAGCAGCTCTACTTGCAACCTCAAGACATACGAAAAGACAGCAGTGCATGTCCCGGCACACAAATCACAATGGAACGATTGCACTTCCCCCGCTGGCATCAATCAAACATACCCGTCGCAGCTGAAATTTGGAACAGACCAGGACAATTCACATAAACGACGAGAAACGTAGTCCGATTTGGTATTTTTGGAATCGCCATAGATTCCCAACCCCAGTTATTCATCTAATCCTTTTTACCGAATGCAGACGTTAAACAGAACCAGACTCCATCCCAATCATGAAACCCACTCAAGCCTTGGGGGTAGTGGGAGTGATTTTCTTGCCGTCCTTGTTGTAGCGGACACGCGGGGGAGGAGCGCGGTTGCGGCGGCCCACGCGAGATCGAACACTGCCACATCATAAAGTCATGTCAGTCATTGCATCATGAGCAACGTACCAGGTCATTTTGCATCACGACAGAAAAAAAAGAGGCTGAGCATGTCCAATTTGCTCGTGTACGGCCAAGGCTCATCTAAAGCACATACGCCGAGGCGCAGTTGTCACACTCCCAGGAAAGACAACGTACCGGACAATCTTGCCATGGATAGCGCAAGAGACGCAGTACTGCAGCTTCAGGTACATCTTGGGTACGGTGTACTCGGCGAAGACGGAGGCATCCGAGATGTCACCTGCCGAAAAGTGGTTAGCCACCATTTTGTCTCTCTGGAAAGCCAAAGTTCTCCAGTCTCCCCGTGACTTGTTTGGTCCCTATCAATTGACCAGAGACAAACGTCGGACATTGGGAAATATGCGGTGTGCATCAAACGTACGGATAGCGGCGGACTCAACCATGTTGCGGATGGTGAATCTCTTGATTGCCTTATCCTTGGGGGTGCAGCGAGAGCAGTTGCTGCATCGGATGGGCTTGACGTGGCCGCGGCCCTTCTTGTTGCGGCCGCTAAAAGATGGTTAGCGAATTGCCAGAATGGAAATTGCCCATGGAGAGTCTCGTGTGTTTTGGCCGAAGCAGCGTCGTTTTCCATCGGGAGTACTCCCGGTTGACAGCGACGAGGTGGATGAAATTGAGGCGGGGAGGGTGAGGGGAGAAGTCGTACTTGTTCTTTCTCTTCTTTACCATTTTGACGGCGTCTGTTGCGAGTCTGTCAATACCAAGAAACGCAACGAGTTGTCGACAGATGCTGCGGGTTGAACGTGCTGGAATCAGTGTGGCAGTCAAAAAGATTGAGGAGGATGTGCAAAAAGTGGGGTTGCTCTCGCTTGCCCGGCCAGAAAAGCCCCCGAAGCTCCACGCAACTGGGTGAATTCGGCCGATGATGAAGGGCAAGTGGTTGGCGAAAACCCTAGATCATGTGACACCAACTCGCCTCTCACTCTCCTGGTGGGAAATTTCTCGGCACGCCGCCACTCCACCTGCGAGAGCGTTTTTCTCACAATCGCAACATCTGAGGATTGCTTAGGACGGCAATAGATCTATTGTCGAGGTACGTCTGAAAGATGCCGCATTGCCCATCGGTCTCGACGACGGAAGCATTCACGATGCATCCCTCTTGAGAGCCGAATTCCCCATCTACACTATTCTGATTCCCTGCCGCTTCCTTCCGTCACGGCCGCCGGGTTCAATCATCATGTCATTTTTTTTCTTTGATATTGACTGGCTGCTCGCGACGAGAAATGCACCACATCACGACCTCGCTTTACTCAGCCTCGGAAATGTTTTCCATCTCTAACCCGTTCAGTTAGGCAAGATGCAGATTTTTGTCAAGACCCTCACGGGGAAGACTATCACCCTCGAGGTGGAGTCTTCTGACACCATCGACAACGTCAAGTCCAAGATCCAGGACAAGGAGGGCATCCCCCCTGACCAACAGCGACTCATCTTCGCTGGTAAGCAGCTTGAGGATGGCCGCACCCTGAGCGACTACAACATCCAGAAGGAGAGCACCCTGCACTTGGTGCTGCGTTTGCGTGGTGGTGGCAAGAAGCGCAAGAAGAAGGTCTACACCACCCCCAAGAAGATCAAGCACAAGCGCAAGAAGACCAAGTTGGCCGTTCTCAAGTACTACAAGGTCGACAAGGATGGAAACATTGAGCGTCTCCGACGAGAGTGCCCCAGCGACACCGTAAGTTTTTCCATTTTTTTTCCCCGCCAACCTTGATGTCAGGTCGGCAACCAGATCACTAACAGTTCGATGTAGTGCGGCGCTGGTGTTTTCATGGCCTCTATGCCTGATCGTCAGTACTGTGGCCGATGCCATTTGACTTACGTCTTCGACAAGCAGTAAGCGCACGATCATGGCTTGGCATGGGCCGTTACGGGAGGGGAAAACATGTAATGCGACACAAAACCAGGCGTTGATGTAGCGTAGAGCACATCCGGGCTTTGATTACGAATGCTTGACTGAGACTACGGTTAGCTCATGTTGTTTTTTGTCCATATACTACGGTGCTGTCGTGATGTGATGTGCTGAAAACTGGTCGCGAATCTGTGTGAGCTTTTGGCTTCTCCAGTCTCCAAAGCGGGCTCTGTTCTGTGGCTGCAGCGTGACATCTGTATTTGTTTCCTTTAGAAGGGCAGCACTGGCTTGCTGAAGGTGTGCTCGTTGACAGCGCGTACACCGAAGTCTTGTCAGCTATGCGTATGTCCTGTAGCATCAGTAGTCCATGACCAGGGAGCGCCATCTTAATATGAAGATCTCATACACAATTTAACTTGGTACTTCACCAATATTTGTCAAGTTGCTTCGTCGAAGCCAAAGCTACAGAGTTCATGGAATCTGTGATATATCTGCTCAAACCAATACCTTGCATCAGAAATACAAGTTGCCACATTTATACACCACGAGATGACAAATTTAGAAAACTCTTTAAAATACAAAGCCATAGGATGCCCTCAAACGCCACGACCTCAAATTCTGCATAAACTCCTTCACAACCAAAATCGCAACAAGCCGCTTGGAGGAAAAGTCAAAGACTTCGCCCATCATGAACAGACCACGTCCATTCGTCTCCGGAAAAGTCAGCCGGATCTTCGGGTATTTGATATTCCTCTTTAACCGGCTTCCAACGACAGTTTTCCTCTCTCGGCTCTTCGTTTGACAATCCATGCCTGATTGAAAGTTACGTAGAAGATTTAAGAGAAGATTTGGCTTTCGTACCGATGCGAGATTTCTACTCCCCGTCAGCACCCTTTGACTTTCTCTTCTTCTTTTTCTTCTTGTCAGCACCGTCATCCGCTGGAGCAGCTTCTTCCTCGTCACGCTTGCGCTTCTTTTCTTTCTTTTCTTTCTTCTCTTTTTTATCCTTCTTTTCTTTTTTGTCCTTCTTCTCCTTCTTCGCAGAAGCAGGAGCATCGACCATCTCGTCGTCGCTGTCCTTGCCAGCGTCGTTGTCGAGAACAGACATGACGGATTTCTGGTAACTTGATTAGCATTACATCCGCATAGAACTTTCATCCATGTGCATCCACGTACCATGACATCGGCGTTCTTGGCGGGTTTCTTGCCGCTGGCGTAGAACTCCAGGCGATCCTCGACCTGTTGTCTGAGAGCCTCACCAAATCTCGTTGAGGGCTCCTCGGAAAAGTTGTCGATCCTGCTAGCCATGCTGCATTTGTTGGCGAGATATCGTGAGATTCTCCCCTTGTGGCGTGCGCCGGCCTTGCCAATGAAGCTGCTATGGTAGATCAAGCCATACTTGGGGGTGTTGCTCTTGGTCTTGAGGGCACGGAAGAGGGCCTTCTCGGCACCAAGGATCTGAAGAGTAGAAGCAGGGTATTTGGACAAGTTGGTGAGGGAACCAGCGTGAGAGATCAGACGAGCAGCAACGGGCGTGCCGATCAGAGCCTGCAGGTTGGGAGCGACATGACCCATCTTCTTCTCCAGGTAAGCGGACGTAGTCTTGCGATTATCGGCCTGCTTGACAACAGCCTCAGCGAAACCGGATATAATATCTAAATCGGCATCGGAGATGTCCAGACCCATAGAAACCTTGGCGGCATCAATGATAGCCTGGGCCTTCTCCCCATCCTCGCCGAGAATGGCAGCGAGATCGTGCAGCTTCTCATCGCTGAGAGTCTTCTTGTCTCCAATGGCGAGAACGAGCTTGGAGTAAGTCAGATTGTCAGAGACGATCTTGATCAGCTCCGGGAAGTGCCAGCCGTACCACTCCCTGATACGCATGAAAAACTGGTTCACACCTTTGTCCTGAAAGTCGATTGTGGCGCTGGCTTGGATAATGTGGTTGTCGTTCCTGGTGACGTTGAACTTGACCTTGGCACGTGAGTACGCGTGTCCCATACCCAGTCCGGCCTTCTCAATATCGCCAGGCTTCAGGTCCTTCAGAAGTTTGTCGGCGTGCAGGCGAAGGCCGCGGATGATATCGCCCACAACATCCGAGGTATCGGCGGTCTCGCACTCTAGTCCGGGAAACTCGCCCTTGATGGCGCCAGCCAGGTTCTTCTCTGAGACACCCAATACAATCTTGGTCTTTTTGCCGGCCTTGGGGAGGCTGAGTTCGAGGACAGATTTGAGGTATTCGGAAACAATGCCTTCCGAGACGAGATTGATGTTCTCCAGGGCTTCGACATGACCGCTGTCCTCAAGATACAGTAAGAAAAATATTCGTCCATCGGCCATAAAGTTTCCAGCTGAACCTACCGGAAAGGGCTGAAGTTGGTCAATTTAACCATCTTACCAAACTTGGCGAGGTCATTGACGGCGGCCTGGGTCTCCTTCAATTTCAATCCCACAGCATCAGACTGATGCACCACTTGGAAGAGGGCATAGCCCACAGGAGACTCGTATAGAGCGTAATCAATGTGCGACATCTTGGACTCGTCCCGATTTTCACCAGTGCCCCGGCTGGTTGAATTGGAGCAGTTGCGACGAGTTATGTTCAATGATACGCAGACTCTTGAGATACTTTTTTTCTGTGGGAATTTTTCTGGCGCAGCTCCAAGCTGGTGCACGGGCCACTGGCCAAAGTTTGCCGCTGTGGCCGCGTTCACGTGACGATACGTGATAATGGCGGGGGGTTAATAAGGGCCAAATGCGAAGAGGCCAAGGACACTGACTGGCATGCGCTCCCGCACTCTTCTCTTCTCTTATTATGGGCAAGTACTCACGTAATAGGCTGTGCGATGAATTGAAATGGTCAATGTATTCATTCTAGAAGAACGCGGAGTCATGATTCAAGTTGCTAATCCCGCATAATTTCTACACTTTGCTTCTTCCCTCTACTTATTCGGGAATCCATTTCGAAGGTTGTCGTATTTGGTCTCAGGGTACGTGATGCAGTTGTCCAGCTTTTGAAGAGAACTTGATCCACCAAAAGTCTTAACAACGGTCGAGATCAAGCTGTCCGATCCCGACTTGTCACCGCTGCTTTCCCACCACATGGTCCCGCCTAGCGCTCTCTTCTTGACATAGTCGGCCTTGGTCTTGGCCATTGGTGCGGTGTCGTAGCTCACAAACTTGCGTTTGGCGGCACTGTAGCAGTAACTAGCTTGCGCTCGGTCGTCATACAACTCCTGTGAGCCTTCGAGAGGCAATTTCTTATAGTCAAAGACGCCGTTTTCCCAAGTGCCCTCTCCTGTCCCCTGGAAGGGTTTTCCAGGACCGTCAGTATTTTCAAAAGCTCGCCCGTATAAAGGCATGCCAAGCACAATCTTGTTGGGAGCAACGCCATGACTCGTGTAGTAGTCGACCGCTGCATTTGTAGAAAACGGCGTGGAAGCGTCGTTGCCGGGGTAAATATTAGCCTGGTGTCCACAGATGGTATCCCATGAACCAGCGTAGTCGTATGCCATCAAGTTCCAAAAGTCCAAGTACTTGTCCATGGCGGCGAGTTCCATCTTTTCGTAATTTTGGGGTCCAGCAGGGCAAGCTACTGTCAACTCAAAGTGGTGGTTGCCGACACACTTTGCGGCGTAGGCATCAAGCTCTTGGCGTACGGCAGCAAGCAGCTCGACATAGTTGCGTGCTTCCTCTGCATTTTGAGGATACTCCCAATCAATATCGATGCCGTCGAAGCCGAGGTTTTTGAGAAGTTCAACACTGGATTTGGCAAACGTCCCACGGCCCTGTGGCGTGCTGGCAGGGCCCTTGAAGTTGGCACTGTATGTCCAGCCGCCAACGGAAAGAAGAACCTTGAGGTTGCGGTTGCGCTTTTTCAAGAGGTTCAGTTGCTTGAGGCAGCCATAAAGGTTGTTACCGATATCATTCCACGAGTCACCCTCCCAATGGATATCTGTATCAGCCCATGTGTCCGTCAAGTGCCTGGTACTGATAAGCGTTCGCGTCCCTATACAACGTGGTGTGTTTGCAAGACTTACACTTCGCCAGTGTCAGCACGGATGTTGGCGAACGCATATAAAACATGGGTGAGATTCTCGACAGGAAGATCCTGAGGCCTGTATTTTCGGGCATAGATTGCCCTGGATTGCCCTGTCAATTCATGTAGTCTCTAATACAGGGGGACGAGTCGACTCACCAATTTACAAAGTAGGCTACCGTTCGGTATCCGTCGTTACTCATATTGCTCGGTGCGCGCGGAAAGATAGGAATGGGCTATGCTGAATACCAAGAAGATGAACCAGACAGGCTGTCACTGCAGTAAGACAAATGCTACTGAGAATTTGGCGGAAATGAGTTGTCGACCCAAAGGCAAACTGACGGGCTTTACTCCGTATACAGACGGTGATGCTGGCTAGCGGGTTGTGTCGGGTATCGACGAGAGATCAAGAGCTTGGCAATTTCAATAAAATGATAAGCAAATAAACAAGTGGCTCGAGGCCGAGAGCAGAATCAGAAGCAAAGACTGCGGCAGATCCTTGTCAGACAAAAAAAGAAAAAAGGCTTCAAACTTCTTGCGGGAAGAAAGGCGAAGGTTTAGCTTTGCTTGGACACGAGAGGGGGGAAGGAGGCTGGGTAGATGTTATAGGTTATAGGCCGTCACTGCCTCAGCTAAGCACACTAGATGCGTGAGGCTAGTGCGCGTCATCGCTGTTGCTGTTGCTGTTGCTGTTGCTGTTGCTGTTGCTGTTGCTGTTGGGTCAACTGCGACAGCCTTCAAATTTGAGAGGTCAGCTTCAAGCTCTCATCGGTTCGTCTTTGTTCAAAGGTTCCAATGTTTCAGCGTGCACATGTGGTCGAATCAACTCTCTGACGTCCTTTCTCAAGGTGCATGTGCGGGTGCATGGCGTGCAGCCACGGTCATGTTCAACAAGTCAGCAGCTGCTGTGGATCGATTTGATTGGCTTGCGACAAAACGATGTGCAGTCGCTCGACTTTGTCAAAACGCCAACGCCCGACGCCGTGACTTCTACCCGTCTGTTCTTCTACGCATCTGAGCACCTGACCCTTCAGCTCTGCGGTGGCTGCCCATGGCGATAATCAGCTATCTCTGGTCACTAGAGTTGAAAACACCAGTGACTCTGTCGCCACGCAGCTTCGCAAAGGAAACTTCTCATCGCGGGTGCCGACTGGAATCATGTCCATCCATTGCGTGACCCCGGGCCCGTGAACCTCTTGGTCGCGACAACTTTCAAGCATGGCAAAACCTCCCACAGAACTCGAGCTTTTCGACTTGGCCATCTGCGGCCTTCGTGCTCAAGTCAACCCCGAACCCGAGCTACCGATGGCCCTGACTCCTCGCAGAGCAGAATGGATGACCTACAGAACGCCGGCCAAGGTCACCAGGAACACGTCATCCCAGCCTTTTTGCGCCGCCGCAAAAGGTCATGGCCGACAACTACAGGATGCTTTGCCATACCCTGGACCACGAGGCCGCCCAGTGTGCAGTCCATGTTCAGAACGACAAACATGAGCTTGTTGAAGAGCGTGTCGATGACGCCACAGTCACCCACGAAGGGGCTCCATTACATTGCGCTGTCATGCCATGTGGCCAACATGTTTGCGTAGGGAAAAGCCTCGCTGCTTTCATCTCCGGCTTCGCTCCATCCTGCGTGTAGGTTACTTCATTTCTTCGTTATCTCGATTACTTGAAGGAAAGTGCCGTAGCACTCTCATCGCTTGAGATGGATCTTGGACCAACAAGCATCGAGCGACGGTAGGGCTGGCCGCTCTATTTGCGCAGAGGAACCCGCTTCCTCACTGTCTCTGAGCAGTGAACATCCCATATTGCTCGACTCAATCCGGAAGTATACAATTGTCGAAAGACCACTGAAAACCATTCACCCATCTGCAAAATCTCTCGTCATCTGTCTTGATGCAGACGGCTGCTATGTCGTCAAAACAGCCTCCCATGTCACCGTCGTAGTAAACAGAACCGCCATCTGTTTGCATCGACTTTATTACACGGCCATGATGTTTCTTACAGAAAAACGATAGCGACGGCTATTGATGTTTGTCGTTCGTGGTACAGGTTATACCACAGGAGCTGCGAGAGGCAAGTGATAGAGAAACACGCGCTTGTACCAGTTGAAGAATGGTGACCTCTGAATAACACCCCCAAACAATGTGTGAAGGGTACGTAGCTGTGCAACAGGGCTCTATTCACAGGCTTTTGCGTCACTTACCAAGTTGTGGGTGGCATTCATGATATCTTCTCCACCGTGGCAATATCGCAACGCATATCGAGCGTTTTTGAGTCGAGCAAGGGTGACCGTCGATGGCTCTTTGACACGTTCTAAGGCATCCAACTATGTCCTAGAGAAGTTCCAATTCGTGGAGCAACTCGTCACAAGGAAACGCCATCGCTAAGTATGCTGAAAAGCCCAGAGGTTATCCCGCGCAAGCCCCTCTGTAACAACGGGAGGCTGGGAGAAAAAAAGGCCATCTGGGCAATGATTCAATAAACTGCATCGTGGTATTAGACGACCGGAGAGTTTGCGGAAGGATGGAGATGCTCTAGCTTACCGCATAGAGAGATGGACAGCATGGTCTCTGCCACTTCCGGTATTATTTGGCCTGTCGAATACTCAGCCTGCTCGTCAGAAATGATTCAATTGGCCGTCATAGCAGGCCAATTGTCTGGTGCGCCCTTATTATACTCCCGACACTGCAAGCTGGGGCTATCACCAAGGTCCGAATGAGGCACAGGGAGTGATTGAACTCGGGCCCAAGGGACGTTTTGACTGTCAAAATATCCTTGCATACTATGGACCGAAATTTCTTGACCCAGGGGCTGCTGGGTCGACTTGATCTGGCACTCACACCGTCTCCTTTTTTGCCCGCCCAGTTTGGCTGGAATCAACGCCAGGGACGGTTGGTTGAATTGACATAAGGTATAGTTACTCCGTAATTAGCCAAGAGTCCTAACAGACGTAGGTTTGTGTGGGCTGCAAGGAAAATCCCTCAACCGACTACTCTGTACGACCCGGAAGCATATGCTTGAGAAGCCCGGAGAGGACAGCAGCCATGGCGAACCAACAGGGCACTCTGTACGTCCCTCTACTCGGTGTTTATTGTTAAAGGTGGCTTCACTGGGCTTCACTATTGTTATTGCCTTTAGATCCGGTGGAGGCGAATTGGACAACTCGATTGCATATGTCGATGCTCTTTTCTCAGTTTTAGAGTGGACTTCCTGCCAGAACAAGCGGACAATATCTTGAACCGGCCTTCACAAGTCTTTTATCTACATTCTCCTCTCGGTTTTGCGGACCGTTTGGGTTCCCAATTAAGGGCAACATGCCAAACCTGCTTCAACGAGCTCGACCACAACCTCTGCAATGGCATGACACGAAAATGAGACGCCCATTCCCCACGACGCCTATTGGCTGCAATTTGCATTCGATACGGATCTTCGGAGTAGACCGTGTTGGCTGGTTGTACACGGTCAAGCTGTGACCATCAGGTGACCTCATCTTTGCTCGAACCATTGTTTGCCATTGGCTGCCATACAGCCAGTCGGCGATACCTTCTGGTTGTCCGACCTCACCTGCCGTCGATGAGTATTTTTTTCTTGTACTCTGCGGTGGGGTCCGAATGAACATCCAGCTTAGGCAATGCTGTGTAAGGATACTGACCTTGGCACGTTGCGACTATCCACATGTTCAATGGATATTTCAGAACTATTCTTAGAGTCCCCAACAACTCGGAACTTCCCACCTCCAATCGAATAGGAACTGAAGCTGGGCTGAGATGCCTCGTCAAAGCCTAATTGCCCAGCATGCTCAGACCCGGAAAGCCAGCCAGCAAAGAGTACGAGTCTACGCCGTGTTTTGTCTCTGGATGGAGAAGTGGAATGTGGAGAGTAGTAGCGTGATCCGAACTATAGTTGTCCAGGTTGTCTCTATCAGTTGAATTCGGTCGACCACTGTCTGCTTACTGACTGGAGATGCGGCTCAAGGAGCGCGACCTAACGCCCCGTGCTTGTTGTTGTACCACCTCGTCTTGATAGCACGGACCGGACCGTCATGTACGAAGTTGCTCGTGCCACGTCACAGTTGGCATCTTTTCTTCCAGAATTGGCATCGTGGTTGGTGGCATCTACTGCGTCGATTCCCTGAGCTGGGCCCAAAAAATCACCGCCTCAGGGCGCACAACGACCAATGCTCTCGGGTTTGACATTCTGTGTTCCCATCCCCACGCAAACCCGATTGTATTATCTGTATCATGGTGTTACAGTACTACTCAAGAGGTAGCGATGGGTACCCATGGCCTAACTTCCGAAAAATCTCTCGCTCTGTGCCCTTACGCAAGTTGTGCTGACTGAGGGCCTAGAGTTTCCACCATGAAACTTGACATCGAGACGCTCACTAGACTTCTTAACACGGCCAACGTTGTCGGGATCGTTCTCACGACTCTCATCTTTTATCTGGGTTACTATACTCTTCGGCCACTTCCCATTCCAGGCATCCCATACAATGAGGATGCCGCCGCACGAGTGTTTGGAGACTTGAAATCCGTGAAGGCGGCTCAATATCGCCGTCAATGGATATGGAGTCAGCCTAGAGAGCATGGCACAGTCATATCTCAACTCTTTTTGTTTCCGTTCCGAAGACCTACCGTCATTGTATCGGATTACAGAGAGGCAGTAGACATCTGCTCTCGTCGAGTCAGGGACTTCGACCGAGGCACCCGCAACAAGGAATGTGTTGGCATAACTGCACCCAACTTTCACTTCACCTTGGAATCCAGAGACCCTCGTTTCAGACACCACAGGGAGCTAGTGAGAGATTTAATGACTCCATGGTTCCTGGAGACGGTGTGTTTTGTCGATACGCTCTGGGCTGAAACCGGAATCACGACAAGAGATGCTAACAACATTGTCAAGGTTGCAACTCCCCGTGTATACGAGAATGCCGCTGCCCTCGTCCGCCTCTGGGGCGTCAAGGAGCTCAAGGCACGAGGACGAGCATTTCCTGCCAACCATGATTTGTATCTGTCGACGCTAGACACGATGTGTGCCGTGGCATTCGGCATGGGCCAAGAATCGTCTGCTGTTGGACAACAAACCCGCCACATGGAGGAATTCGAGCCAACTCAACACTGGGCCGTAGGCGAGCCCGTACGGTTTCCAACCGTTCCCACTGATGCCCACTTGGAATCGATACTTGATATTCCTGAAATGGTCGCCATAGCACAAAGGAGTCCCTTCCCTGCGCTATCTCAGCGACTTGCCCTGCTGAGCCCAAGACACGCCAGGGCTCACTGGAATAGACGACGGATGATTCGGAAGCAAACCGAGCAGGCTCTAGGGAGGATATCCTCTCTTGGTGAGACATACACACCCAAAAGTGCCTTGGATCACCTATTACACAGAGAAAAGATGGCATCTTTCAGGGCCGGCAGAGAACCAGACTTCTTCTCCCCAGTCATTCGCGACGAAGTATGCAGTCCGAGACCTCTACTCAAGTGGTCACAAAGTGCTAACAGGCTACTAGGTTCTCGGATACTTACTAGGGGGCCATGACAGCACAGCCACCGTGCTTTCCTGGTGGACCAAACACATGCAGTGCTTCCAAAACGTGCAGTCACGACTTAGACAAGCCCTCCGCCATGCCTACCCCAAGGCGGTCGAAGAGGCCCGGTGGCCGACGTCGGAAGAAATCTCAGGCACGTCGGTGCCGTATTTGGATGCCGTCGTGGAAGAGTCACTCCGTGTAGCTTCCGTCGCCACTCTAATCTCCCGAACCGCGACATGCGACACTCACATCCTCGGCCACAGCATCCCGAGGGGAACTGATGTCCTGTTGTCATTGACCGGTCCTTCCTTGACGGAGCCTGCTGTTCCAGTTGCAGAGTCAAGGCGGACAGCTGCATGTCAGCAAGCCAAGGACGGCATGCCCGCCTGGGGAGAGGACATTGGCGAGTACAAGCCAGAGAGGTGGCTCAGGGTCGAGAGACAAGACGGCAGAGAAGATGTCCACGTGTTCAACCCGCATGCCGGACCGAGCCTTGCCTTTTCCACTGGGCCTCGACAGTGCTTCGGTAAAAAACTGGCCCTTCTTCAATTGAAAACCACAATGGCACTGCTGCTGTGGAACTTTGAGCTCAAGGAGGTGCACGAGTCCCTGAGTGGGTGGGACATTACCGAGAGACTGGTCAATCTGCCCAAGAGTTGTTATGTGAGCCTGGCGAGAACGGGACACGAAGAGGGCCGCTCAAACTAGCATGAGCGGAGTACTGCGACGTGAAATGAAAACAAGTCGCGACGTCTTCTGCAAAGCGCTTGTGTGAATCTATGCCCGGGATGGGTACAAAAGCAAAAGAATTACCGTTGGGCATGAGCTAGACCAGTTTCGTCTTAATCCAAGTCTATGTTCCCTTGACGCCTTCCTGAATCTAAGAAACCAGAAGACACAAAATTATACAAGACGCACCACCTCGCCGGGGCAGCCCGCTGATCGCGATGCTCTCGAGAAGCCGCTACAGCGCCGTCTCCGCATAGACTGTACCCTCGGCCAGCATCCTAGCCTCTTCCAGCAGCTCGGCTTGTCTATTCAGGTAGCTCAGGTAGGTCTGCCACCCGACGGCCACGACGCCCGAGAAGATGCTTCTGAACTCAAAGGGCAAGAAGGCCATGCTGAAGGCCACAGCCGCAGGCCACACCTTGAACGAGTTGAGCCAGCTGGTGGGGACGGTATCGCGAATGCGCTGCACGGTGGCCTCCAAGGTTTCACCCGAGAGGAGAGCCTGGGCACCGAAGAAGTACGTGCTGAAGGTGGGCGTGAAGAAGAGCTGGTTGACAACGACCTTGGCGGCTATAGAGAGCGTCTTGGACGCATAGTTGAAACTGCCACTGAGAAAGCGGAACCTGAGGCGAGACCCGGTAAGAATTTTGGAAACGAGCAAGCAGCACCATGGCGAGAGGATGGCAGGGGATAGCGGCACAAGGGCCTCACCAGTGAAAGTAGGGAATGGCAGCGACGAATCCTATGAGAAGCGTCCGCGCCGTCCTCTTGGGGTCATATTCTCTTCCGCCGATACCTTGAGCGCTCAGGTCGGCACAGAGATAGATGACCACAGCGCCTACGATTTGCGTGGCGTATGGCCGGTTTCGCTGCGATCGACTATATGCATTGGCTGCAGTGGTCAGAGGCCCTAAGCGCTGCCAAATAGGCGGCAGGAATGGAGACGACGCGGCCGAAGCGGTTGGCGACGTCGTCTTTGGCTTTGTGTTGTTTGGCCTCGTCTTTGTGTTTGGCAGTTGCCCTTTCTTGTTGGCACTTGAAGATGTGGAATGGGCTCGGGGTTTGATGCCATGCCGTAAGCTGAGGCCGCGGAATTGCATACGCGCTGCGGCAGTATGGAATCGCGGCAGTGACATGATCAATTTGGCTTTGGTTTGAATCATCGTATGCGTCATGTGAGATGTGGTGTGGTTTTTCGCGAGTTTGTGGGATGGAGCAGTTGACTTGCTGTTGAGGCTGAGCAGAATAGTATCAGCAAGTCATGTTGATACTACTTGGACTTCGCGTCTCGGCATTAAACCGGATATCCGGCCCGGTAAAAGCGGCACCGGGCGCATTGTTGAGTCGGACATGACGGCAGCCAGGACGAGTTGATTGATTAAAGAGGGCCGCCATCGGCTATTATGGCCCAATCGTGGCGTTGCGGATTTCCAAGTGCGTGTATAACACGACACGGGACGGGGCGCGTCTGGCCGCGGTACCTCTTCTGACAACGGGCGGGCGCAGGGTTAGGGTTGGTCCTTCGATATGCCGAGACACACGCAGTGCGCCTGATGGTGTATTTGATGAACCTTGGTCCGCTGAAGTCTGAGGTACTCTGGGAAAATTGAAAATCAAGCTGGCTAGATTCGTACTTGTTCATTACAACCCCCCAAGATGGCGGTTTTGCGTCGCAGGTACGGCGGAAGAGAGATATGTCGGCCACACGGACACGGAAGGGATCACTGTTGGCTGCTGTTGCTCTGCATTGGAATGATAACAGTGCAACTGTCCTTGTCTCTCTTGATGCACAACCATGGTAAGCGTCATCATGGCGGGATTCAGGACGGACGATGGTCCGCTTTCAACGGGGGGCTTGGAGAGCGGCGCACTGTGAGAAAAGATATTCGGATGTAAATATCGAGTGTTTTATTATCTTCCCATTCGAGAATCCCATTTGAGAACGATGGCAGAGTCGCGTGATTATCTTTCGAAACGGAGCGGATGCCCCACGATGATGGCACCAGGCTGATGGAGCGATTGGGAGGAGCTAGAAGAAAGACTACCAGCATATTTTTGTGGCTGACCAAGTAACTAACTACCTACAGTAGTGACACTGCTTGACACACGTTAGTCTCGCACAGTGTTGCAGCCACATTGTGGCTAGGGCCTCTTGGCGCACGACTTGTTTTCCGACTCGAAGTCAGGCAACTCGACTTGATACCTACGGCCATCAACAACAACAACAACAAGAACAACTCCTCATACAATCCCATCTGTTTTAATCGGGCAGGTTCCGTTCAGCTCGTCTTTCAAAAGTCGGATCTTAAATTAGGTTTAATCTCTGCGCAGAGTACGGTCTGTTCTTTAACACTCATTCGCCTAACACGTCCTTCTTCTCCGGCATGATGCATCCTCCATTTCAAGTAGTGTAAGGATGGAATCGGTCTGGGTCTCGCTCCCAAACTCAAGCAGCCACGTGTCTCAATCAATGGCAGATCTCATTCGCAGCGTTCAAGCAAATCTTGGCGAAATTTATACCTTTAACAGCATTTCCATGTCTTCTACGTGGCGGGACCGCCTGGATAGATTTTGCAACCATGAACTGGAGTCCCTTGGCCAAATTGGCTTTGTTGCGCTGAACCAACATAATAAAGTGGACTACATTCTATTGCATAACTTTCTGAGGCAGTGCAAAGCGCGATAAAACCTGGCCGCAGTGCAGATAAGAACACAGCTCCGTTGCTGCCATTGCGGCCATCATTGTGTCACTGTGCGAGCATCGAGAGCGTGTCAAGCCTATCCGTCCGGAATATATCTCGAGCAAACTTGACCACGGGACAAATTTGCGTCACCAGAGATATAGAGGCGTTGAGGATGGAAAGATAAAACCCAGCAAGACTGTCGCTTACAAGGGCGCCAAGGTCATCAGCGAGCTTCGTAGCCACCCTGCCGACATGTTCAAATTTACTCATCCTACGATGTTCGGTTTGGCTGGTGGATTACTTCGCCATGGCAGACGGCTGATGCTACGCTGGACAAGTACATTTTCCAAGTCCGGAGCAAGTTGGCAGGTATGCGTCCAGACGCCAATGGCAGCAGCGATATCATCGGCCAGCCTGTTGGACGTGAAGCGCTCCTCAACGAGCTTGAAGCAGACTTCATCGCCTACGCGCCAGGAGAGCTGGTGCAGATTGCCCACCAAGTAGCAGCAAGTGAAACTCGCCTCGACGCAACTCGGGTATGGTGACGATTGGGGAAAAGCTCTCAAGCACGCCAAGACACAAGTCGTGCCTCCGAGCGAACAGCCCCAGCTCGTCATGCAACTCGCCCGCCAAGGAGCCGACCTTGTCCGAGACAAAAACCTCGTAACCGTCCTGCCTTTGGCTGAGGAAGCGTACGGCACTGTCATGATGCCAGGCCAGCAGCAAAAGGCGTCACCCTTCTTCCCCGGCGGACCCATGATCCAAGTCGCATATCCGACCCACGACATGCCGTACCACCTCAAACAAATGGTCATGCGTGGGAACAACAGACACTTTTCCAAAGCCACCGTGTTTCATGAGCTCGTACACGGCCACCGCCTGCAGCTCTGCCAAGCCGCACGGCACCGAAGCCATCGCTTGCTGTTCTAGACCCCCTTGTTCGCACAAGGATGGGCCATGTACTGGGAATTTGTGCTCTGGTAGCGCAACGACTTCTTTGTCTCGCCCGAGGATCGGGATCGACGCCATGTTTCTGGCGCATGCACCGCTGCGCTCGCATCAAGATGGAACCCCAAGAGTGTATCGACATCCTGGTCAACGGGGTCGGGCGGGAGCGCCTCTTCATCACATTGCCTACATGACTGGTGCTCTGCAGCTCGTCAAGCTCAGAAGAGAGATGCTCAGGTTTCAAGAAGATTACCGAGAAGCAGTTCCATGACACCATTTTCACATATAGCGCTATTCTGAACAAACTCGCGAGATTCTTGGCATTAGATCTAGATATAAAGCCCGGATTATAAGGCAAGATGGAAATTCTACAGGCGATAGTATGCTGCTGCAATTGGGGGAACTTTGAGTTTGAGTGTTTCGAACACATGTTGACAACGCATAAGAGTACATGTGAGCCATTTTTCCTCGTTCTCTTTCGGTCTTTCTTTCTCTCTCGCGCTCGCTGTTCTAAAGGACCAAGTGTCCATTGTTGCAGCGAGACATAGCTTTCTACACAAGTTGGCTACCGTTATTCTTCTCTTTCTTCAGGATTTCTTACTCCCCGTCGTTGGCTTAAAGCTCCTCTGGACCAACGTCTCTTGTCCTGGTTTCGGCGGCACGCCCCATGTTTCGACGACTTCGCCCGTCGCGGTCACCTTGGTGACTAGCTGAGGTGATCCGCAGTAGACGCTGCCGCAGTATTGACTGCCGGGACCATGGACTGTAGATTCCGCCGACAGGTTAGTCCTCTCTTCGCAGACGTTGTGCAAGTCAGATGGAGGATGAAAATCCGCGCACCCTCTGTGCTTTGCTTCTTGGGCAGTGTGATGGGAACAGGGCTGCTCGGCATATTCACGTATTTGGACGAACAAAAAGAGTGGTTGTCTAGGGCGAGGGAACACATGGGATTGACGAGTCCGAACGGCCAGCTCACATATATATGCATACATGTAAGTTGCTGGCCGTGCCACCACCACCGCTGCTCACGCCCGAGGGCAATGAATGTTGTTGTCGGGCCAGCGTACGGACACCATGGAAGCAAGCAAGCACGGCATGCAGCGCGATGAGATACTCCGCATCGAGCCAGAGCAGAACGAGAATAGCCGTGTCCATGACGTGTGGTGTCCCAATGCAGCCAAATGTGCAGCATACAAGGGCTGGTAGCAAGGGAGCGAGACACCCATGACGCGGGCGGCGTCTCTTTTCCTTTGAAAGTGCCGCCATGGGCACCTACTCCGTGTGTGCGTGACACGTAGGTCGGCCTGGTTTCTTCCGTCACGGCAGAGGGATTTCCAGAGACACAGGAGCAGGGTGACACGGAGACAGACGACGTGCAGGAGTTGCTGGTGTGGCTGTCCAGTCAAGATGGAGGGATGCCTCACATTGCGCCGCGGGATGTGACGACAAGTCGTCTGCTGGTCTCATTTCTGCCAGGCGGCTTTGCTTTTGCAGCACTAGGTCAGGTCGGCTCGGTGCTGAGTTTCACAGAGCGGCCTATACGTGTCATGATTTCACTAGCATCTCAAAACGCGGACGAGGCTTTTGTCGGCCGGCCGGGCTGAGTCTTGACGCCGGTTTACGACAAACAACCTGCTGGGAAGGCTTCAGCTGCGCCCGGCCATTCAAGTTGAGTGGCGAAGCTCGTGCGTCCCATTTTCTTCTCCTTATTTTTGCTCACCTCTCCTCGGTCTTGGAGTCGTCTCCCTGGCGTTGTGCTGCTAACTCGGCGGCTCCCGGCTAGCAAGACTCTGCCGGTATGTATGTATGTATGCTGCTGGCGCATGTCGTGAACACGCCACGGACATTGAACCGAATACTCTGGCTCGGAGTTGCTTTGAAGTAGCCTCCGTTTCATAGTGTGCCGGCGACGAGGCCGGCCAGACACAGGAAGCATGTCGGCAGGCTCCCGATCCGTGACGTGATCAATGGCGAGTACACACATGTCCTCTCGTCGTTGGCATCGCCATGACCTTTCTCGCCCCAGCTCCAGAAAGTCGTTATCATGTAGCCCTCAGGCCATCAAGTACGATACGACGTAGACGAATGAAACACACACGCCGTCCAGGTCACACCAGCTCAACCACCACATCGTCCATGCACATGATGGCCCCCGGACTCGTCGACACCACAACGGCCTTGGTCCCGACTCCCAAGCAAAAGGCCACGCTGGCGCTACCAAAACTCGCAGGTATCACGAGCCATCAACGGCACTCGGGAGCAGACACATTTGCCAACGTCAAGTTTGCAATGTACAAAGAGAAATGCTTGCATCATGGTACAAACGAGTGCCTCTCCGGACGCAGATCCCGACGGCCAATAAATCCAACAAAACACACACGCATCCAAATGACTGGAGACATTTCCGGTTTTCAAAACATTTCCACGTCGTCTTCCTCCAGCAACCCCAAGCCGCTATCATACCGTCTCCGCCGCTTCTTCCCACTGCCGGACCGCACCAAGGGGTCCGAAGCAGCAGCAGCCTCGGCTTCGCCGTCCACACGAGCAGCGCAAGAAGCGACCTCATCCTTGTCTCCGCCACGCATACCAAGCGGCTCCCTCGAAAAGTCGGGACTCATCTGCAAAACACGCTGCAACTCAGCCTTGATCGAGTCCACGGCCGCCCTGGCCTTGTCGCGCTCCTCATCCACGCGCGCCAGCAAGCCGCCCTTGTCCACGCGCAAGACGCGAATCGTCTCATGAGCCGCCCGCAAAGACTCACTGACCCTGTCGATTTCCCCGCGCAGCTCCAAGACCCTCGCGTCCCGGAGCGCCAAAGCCGCGCCGTGGCGCTTGTTCAACGACACGACGTGCCGCGTGGTGCTGTCCTGGACGTCGCTCATCTCCTTCTGCAGGTTGGCAGATTGCCGCACCGCATCAGCAAGCCGGTCCTGCAGCTCGAGGACGGTCGCGTCTCTCCTCGAGACTTCTCGCCTGTCAAGCTCCCGCTGGGCGGAATGCGAGGCCGCCGCCTCGCCGTGTTCTCGCTCCATCCGCTCGACCAGCCTCTCCAGCTCAGACATGTCGCGGACATAGCCGTCGACGGCGCCCCGGAGACGCTCGTTTCCAGCCTCGAGCTGTCCGAGCCTGGCCTTGTGCTCGCCGAGCAGGCGCTCTGCCTGCGACAGCTGGCCCTTGAGGTGGTCCATGACACTGACTCTGGCGTCCAGTTGCTTGCGCAGCGACTGCTCGAGCTCGTGGTACTCGTCTATGGACGACTCGTCCTCCTTGGCCCTCCTGGCCAGCTCCCGCAGGCGCGTGAGCAGGAGGTCGAGCACCTCGGCGCCGTGGGACGTGAGCGGCAGCGCGATCTCCCCGGGCGTGAGGTACTCCAGCTCCAGCCGGGCAGCACGGAACCCAGACGACAGCGCCGCAATCATCTCGCCGGCATTTGCGCCGGGGAATCCCAGCTCCGCGATGGACGCGCTGAGCTGCCTCACGGCCTCTGTCCCGTCAGACACGTTTTGCAGCAGGGCCGCAACCTTGCCCTCCAGAAGGTCGCCGTCGCCGTCGCCGCCGTCGCCCAGAGGCGCGATGGACTCCACCGAGGCGAGCTTCTCTCTCAGCTTCGACTCAAGGCTCCTGTATGAATCCAGCGTGGCGGTCAATTTACCCACCTCGCGCAGCAGCGACGCAAGCTCCTCTTCCGCCTGCCGCCTCTCGACGTCCGGAAAGGAAACCTGAACGCCCACATGGGACGGGGCCACAGGCAAGCAGGGCGTCGGGGAGCACGGCGTGGCAGGCACCACGGGACTCGTAGCAGGGGGCGTGGGAAACGACAATCTCGCCCGGGACGGCGTGCTCGCCGCGAACTCGGCGGCGGTCGCGTCGCCAAAGCAGTCCCCGTCCTCCGGTCCGTCGGCATATTCGTCTGCAAACGGGTCGCGCGCCGCCAGCGTCCAGTCGTAGCTCCTCGCGTGGCCGCGCGGCGTCTCGGGCCGCCTGGCCAGCTCGCCCCTGAGGAGCTCAATCTGCTGCTCTAGGTCCCAGAGCCTCTCGTTGTCGACGACCACGGTGGCGTTTTGTAGCTCGTAGATCTCCCTGTCTTTGGACCTGATTTCCGACCTGAGATGGCTGATTTCCGTCCGGGACTGCTGCGCCGCGCGTTTCTTCTGCCGCTCGAGCTTGTTGAGCAAGTCTCGGAGATGGCTGCGGCGGAGGCGTCTCTCCACGCGGCCGTCGACGGTGTGGTGCAGCGAGCGTGATGGCTGGAGAGGGTCACGGCGGCGGGATGGCAAGGCCGGCGGCGTGTGAGGAACAGTTGCTCCTCTTCTGGAGGGGGCGGCTGGTGCTGACGCACGACGCCGCCGCCGAGGCGTGCCGATGGACGTGCGGTGAATCATGGGCGTCAGTCCGCTGGACAGCGACGAGGTGGGATCCGAGAACCGAACGGCCCTTCTTGCCCGTCGGGGGGTTCTGGGCGGCCGAGCTGGAGACTCGGGTTCTTCTTCTGCCTTTACGCTTCCGATGTTACTTCGACGTGTTCGCCGAACGGCAATGGGGACATTGAGATCCGCCATGTCGTACGAGGGCATCGGCACGGGAGGGGGGGGGGGAGGGAAAAGCGCCAATGGTTCAAACTCCAGGGTGCAAAGATATGCTGCTAAGCGTGGATAGAGAGCCCAAGATGGTCAAGGCAGCAGAGCAAGTCGAAAGTTGAAGAGCAAAGGCTCGACGGGAGCTGAAGGAAACGAGCAACCCGTGTCAGAGGGGCCCGTCTTCTTGTCCGACGTGTCTGCCAGAGAGGCATTGCATGGCCTATGTATGACTCTGTGACCTTTGGTGGGGGTGGTTTGTTTACTTACTTCCATTTGCGGTTAGACGCCGATCGCGCCCGAGGTTCGGCCCCGCTGCGTCGGCAGCCGTTGACCAACCGTTTCTGCCAGGGCAGGGGTTCGTTTTTGCGGGTGTAGCGGCGTCGACGACGTGCAAAATGAACGCCCGGCCATCAGGAGTCAAGACCACGTTGCTCACGGTTGGCTTGTCATGTTGTGTTTTGATTGCATTTATCTCTGCGTCTGTCTTGTGCGAACCTGCGTGAACAAAAGTGGCCGTGGGCGTGTACTACGGCACGAGAAAAAAAAGAAAAAAAAAACCAAAGTGTTTCTATGCATTTACACGGTTGCCCATGCAACGGCCTCCATCGTCGTCGTGAATCAAGTGAGCTTCAGTACGAGCTGGTATTCACCGCCGCGTTCAGTCATCCGTTGAGGCCGTCATGCAATCCTTGCAGCCGGGTATTTTCCCACCTGGAGCCTGACTTTTTATACAGCTGCAGTTCCCGCCCCAAAGATAAAAACACCAATCCGTCCGATGTCGCGGACATGGCGGTGATTGGAGACGCTGCTGCAAAGCCTGAACTTGTATCCCGTGCGTTGCCGCTCCCGATCAAGTTTTCGCGAACGAGATTCGAGCCGTCGGCAGACAAGAGAATGAAGTCGTGTTCATCCGCCGAGTCGTCCTGCCCGTCGTGTCGTCGCGAGTTACGGAGCCACAAGAGTTGCCTGGGCACCGGGCTCAGAGCAAGTCCGTCGCCTTTTGTGTCTTGGCAAAAGTCTCGGGGGTAAGTTCGAGTGAATCCGCGTGGCAAGCAGTTGGCGTGACTCACCGGCAAAGGCCCTCTCGGTCTTGCCACACCGAACCTGAACGTCCGGCGGTGGCCAAAAGTCAATCGTGCAGTCCCAGGGCACCACCTCGTTTTCCTCCACGACCCCAATCAGAATACGGGGCGACGCCTCGCCCTTGGTCACCGGCCTCTTGTCATACCAGTCGCCCGCGAGTGCGTAGCAGGGCATGTTGGACTGACCGGGCACCGAGTCCATCAAGACAGACGTGACATTGGCCGTGAACCAAGCGCCTCGGTCCGCCGGGCTCTCTGCTACGGCGAGCTGCAGCTCCTGCGAGGGATTGTCAAAGGCCAAAACAAGCAAATCCGGTCCCGTCTTCCCTCTGTGCCATGTCGTCGACAGACCCGAACATGAGGATGTTCGAATGCTGCCGCGCTCGTCCGTCACTTCCGCTGCTTTCCATCTTCCCGCTTCCGTCTCGGACACCTGAGAGATGAGATTGGTCTGGCTCAGGTAAAACAAGTGCACCAGCCCTGTTTGGTCGGTCTCCATGGCGAGAGGCGTGCCTGGCTTGGGCTCCGGGGCCGATGTTCCAAGTTTCTCGTGTATTCTAAAGTGGTTGACTGTCCTGCTTGTCCATTCGGTAATGTAAAGATGGCCAGTGTCTTCTTGCAGGACCAGCAGTCTGCGCTCCTGACCAGAGCCTCCCTCTCCGACGAGGAGCGACGCGAGCTGAGACTTGTCCGACATGGTGAATGGCGTAGCCGTCTCTCGGGCCTCTGCAGCAGTCGGCGTGGGAACGTGTCCCGTGCTGCGTGTTGATAGCGCAGCGGTCGATGCGAGCGCCGTCGAGCCACGGCTGGTAGCGGCCGACGCACCGAGAGATATCGGCCCTGTTCGACTAAGCGGCGCCATTGTCGATGAGATATCGTCGCCTTCCATCGTGTCGGATTTCCTGGCAGACTCCAACTTGAGCACCACCCCAACAACGACGGCGCAGGTGATTACGATGAGCACCAAGAGGCCTGCCGCGGGGTAAAAGACACGTTTTCGACGGTACCAAGGAAGTTCCCTGTCATGAGTATAGTAATGATTATGAATAGGCCCCATCACGCCCCTCTTGAGTCTGTTTTCATATTCCGGAGGAGGACCCAAGGCCTCGAGCGGAATGCTGCCAGTCGCCATGCTGCGATCCTCGTGGAAGACGAGCCGAGGGATGTGTAGAGGAGCATCAAAGAGCTGTGGGAAATGTTTCTGGAAGACAAGCTTTATTAGGTATATCCTTTCCGTGTCTTCTGTGTGTGTTTGTATAAAGCAAGCAACAAGGTGTCTAGACGGGTTTGCGTCACACACCAGATGCGCCTGTGCCCATGACAGCAGCAGCCAGCAGCCACTGCAGAGAAGATCTTGGGACAAAATACTATAGTCATAGTCGGAGCAGCTTATCAGCGACAGTATGGTCCGTACTGAATTGCAAACCTTCACTATTTCGTAGCGGTCAGGCTAGGATGCACCGACCAACTTTCAACTCACGCGCCCTTTCCAGCGAGCTGCTTGGCCACGCATGAAAGTGGAAGCCGAAGGCTTGCAAAGCTCCACGTCTCTCATGAGACACGATTCGACAAAGTATGGTCCCAGCCGCCTGCTGGCTGTCTCGTGCAGTTTGTCTGCCACCACCGCCGGGACCTACCCGTCTTCCCGCGGGAGCTGGGATTCACATCCAAGATTCCCCAAGACCCCCGGCACAGGATGAATTTGGCGTGCACGGTCATGGCCTCGCGGGATGTATCTGGCGAGCGTGGCGGGCTTCGGGCCCCTCGATGGTTTCTCGTCAGCTTGGCCGTGGCGGAAATCTGATTTCCGGCACAGGTCGTCTAGCTTGAGCCGATGTGTAGAACAACCCACGCTTCGAATCTTCCGAGTTTTCCTGTTCCCTTTCAACGTGTCTTCATCACTCGAGGAGAAAATGCGGCACGCTCGCTTATGCCGAGGCCATGGTGAATCATGTGCGTCCCGGCCAATGTTGTCAATCACCGCAAAACATGCGTAGTGACTAAAGGAAGGCGAGCTTCTTGAGAGTCTACCTGGCTTCACACGTTGCTGCCTTAGCACCCCCTTTATGTTTATGCATCACTCCTGCTACTTTTGTGCGCTTTCGATGAGGATCCTTGGTAGCGCCTCGACGTCTTGGGATTGGCACGCGGAATGCTTCTTGATTCGAACGTCATACATGACGTTTTCTTCTTGACGCACGAGGACACCACTCGGACCGTCGCTTTCGAACCTGGAAGAGCAAAGATGATGCCGGATCAACGACTGCAGACCACCTGCGTAAAACGTGGTTTAGGCCAAGACCCAGTCGGTAGTATACCAGCTGTATGCGTGATCATGTTTGTTGTAATGTTCCAACTTACGGTGATGTGTTTGCAGCGGCGATGAGTGCACGTGATCGGGTTGCTCTTATCGATAGACCGGGCGTCTATCCATGAATGTGCTCGCATTTCCCAGCCACAGCAACCACGCGGTGTGGCTGCGCCCTGCAACAGAGGCAAACTCTCATCAACCAAACATGGTCGAACTGCGTATTCCAGACGAACTGGTCGGTGACAGGGGGCTCTGCTCAGGACGGTCTCATCGGCTCGTCTCGTTACAACTGGCTGCCGTCGAGTGAGCCAAAGGCTGTACATGTCAAGCGCTGGCCGACGCGGCTTGCGCCATCATCGTCAAACTCGGCAGAATAGCAAGGACGAGTCACGACTGACTCGGCTGGTGTCGAAGCCGAGCTGAACTCTCCGCCCGCCGACTTCGCTCTCTCCCGGCGACACGATGAGATCGCATACCGGTCAAAGACGGATACGACGCTGAGAAAGGGGTCTCGCATGCCACCATGTCTGTGGCTCCAACAACCAACTCTGCGCCGCCCCCGGCGCGAAAAGTCAAGTTCGTGGCGTCGGATCCGAGCCGTGGAGGATTGCCCGTCAAGCGCAAGCAAGTCCAGCAGGCCTGTGCAGCATGTCGACGTAAGAAGGTTGGTCTTTTGGGTCCGGCTCTGACGACTTTGACCGCTGAGCCTTGGCTGACCACTCTCTCTCTGTCCGTTCCGTTGCGCGTGGCAGCGACGATGCATCCATGCCGACCACGCTCATATTCAAATCCATGCCCATGCTCGGGAGGAGTCCGCCTCGGAGGAGCACAGAGGGCAGGAGTCATCGCCGTCGCAGGCTTCGTATGTCGACTCCGATCGTCTTCGTCTCGTCGCGTCTCGTCTGGTCTATTTGCTGACTCGGGGCTTTCAGGCCGTCGACGATGGCGTCGGTCGCCACACCACGCACGAGAACGGCAGCCATGACCCAAGTCAACGGCATCGCAACTCCGTCACGTACTGCTCGTGCGCTCTCTTTGCATACTATCCAGCCTCCGTACCAGAACAATCATGTCTCTGTCACTACGCCGTCGCAAACTCATGACCTCGACCAGCGATCATCCCGTTTTGTCGGTGACCTCAACCCTGAGGGCATGTTTCTGGAAGCCACCGCGTCCACCTCCGCCAGGGCCTCGTCTCAAAAAGGAGACGTGGGTATCTGGCTATCGTCTGGTGCCTTTGGTGGCACCGGGCAATCCTCTCAGTTCATCACTTCTCGCCCCCCTCCGTTGATGGATCGCTTCCTGCTGCCCTTTGTTCGGGAGCATTGCCTGTCCTGCCTCCCACCGCCCGAGGATTTCGCACAATTAAAAAACGTCTATATCCAGAAGATCCATCCCATATTCCCGGTCATTCCCATCGCAGACATCGACAACAATGTCGACCACCCATGCAATATAGTACTCCGCCAGCTTGTTTGCCTCGCTGCCGCTGCCGATCCCGAAGTCACCGAGCATTACCGGTTACAGAATCGCGAGCCCGGCCTGCTGTCGCCTCAGGACTTTTCTCAGTCCTTGTCCTCGTCTGTGCGCGCCATACTGGAGACAAGTCTCATTACAGATCGAGTCTTGCATATCCAGGCTTTGATCATGCTCTCCCTGTATACGCAGCCAACCTGTGCCGAGGAGTCGGACCTGCCTGCACAACTGGGCGGCCGTGCCATTCACCATATACAAACGCTCGGCCTACACTTGCTCAGATACGACGCGCCGAATTGTGCCGATCTCGAGAACCTGTTCTGCTGTGTATGGGCCGTGGACCGCATCAATGCCGCCGAGTATGGCAGACCGTGCCTGATTCATGAGCGTGACATTGGCGCCGACTTGGAAGCTTGCATCAGAAAACGACCACCTTGTTTCCGGCTGTTTTTATTAGTCGTCCAGTGGCTCGACCAAGTCATTGAACTGTATCGTCCAGGACCCAGTGCAGAAGCGTCAGGGCTCGAAAAAATTGCTTATATTGATCTCCCCGTGCTGGAGGCAATGATTGTCGATGCGGACGCACTGAAGGTGCCGTCCTTCCTCATCGGTCGGTATCATCCTCGCCCCTGGAATGACTATTCCTGGCCCAACTAACACCGTGGTAGCCACCATTGAGACATTCTACCACGCCGTCATAATTTTGTCGTGCAGACTACCTCGCCCCGGAACAGTGCCCGCCGCCTCGACACTCCCGCCGCCGTCTGCGAACGCGCGGCGGTCCCTCGCAGCTGAGCGCATCGCCTGCGCCGTACCTCGAGATCACCTGAGCCCCATGCCCTTCATCCCCTACGCAGTGTCACTAGCTCTGAGCGTGGAGTACAGGAAGATGAGACACAGTCGGCTTCCCATGTTCCGAGCCCGGGCCATGAGCTCATTCAGGCGGAACTGCGAAATGTTGCGAAACTACGGGGACCATTTCTGGAGCGCAAACGTGGTTGCCGGCCTGGGCGAACGAGTCTTGAGGGAGATGGAGCGTGCTGCCACGAGCTTGACAACAAAAGAGGCCAGCCCTGCACCGCCAGATGTCAGGTCCAGGTCGGCATCGGCCGGTGTGCAGCCCCAAAGCATGAGGCAGACGGACGTGCTACCCTGTAATGCATCCGGTATCACATCCGCTGCCGGCATGGACAACGCCGTCGACTTTTCACTGATTGACGCCATCTCGGGCCAGGACGTCTTTGGGCACATTGACCCCAGTTTCAACTTGGATGCCGTGGAAGATGTTTTGGAGGCAAATCTCGACATTGGCTTGCCACTTAATTGGAGCGACTGGGGTCAGTTTGCATCTAATTAACGTGTTCTTTTGTATTTCCCTCATATTGTGTATAGCGCTGAAGATTGTGGGATTGCTTGATATCTTGGTAGTGTAGGGAATTGCTTGCATGTGGCGCTTGGTCATGCATTGGTTAGGTTAGGGGGAATACTGTTTTATCCGCACAACAAAGCCTGCCATGGCACCATGAAGAAGCGACGGTAGTCCCATGAGATCGTAATGAGCTCTGGCGACGTCATGCCCCCATCTCATCGCGTTGTGGTAAGGGCCGCTCGCCCGTCCCGCATGTTGCGCTGGCTATAAATTTCAAGTGAAAGAGTGTTACTCGCGACGAATGCAAACCGTGCCGTCACTGCAGCCGCTCGAATAAGACCACGATGATTGGCGCAGGATAACTACATGGAAGTTAGTTGATACAGGTCGGAACGATGGAGAGCGCCTCCAGCAATTCGCAGCGTACAATGTCGAGTTTCTGATGCCGCTGCAGGACAGGGGTGGTGAAAGCAGTTGACCGGACCAGTGCCGGGCCATCGCGGGCTGTATTTCCATGATACTTGGCATGTCAGTATACTCGACAACAGTGCAGCACGTCATGCCACGACATGCCAGCGTGCTCTGCGGCGCTCTTTAGAATTTCATCACTGCTCAATACCAAGACTGAGTCATGAGTCATGAGTCAGGGGCCGGACGTGGAGGCCGGCTCGTCGTAAACTTCCGCATTGGCAAGTCCACTGGCTCCGTCCCCGAAACGCCGCCGGCCCGCCGGTCGAGGACGTGGTCGAAGGAGCGCTGCAGGGACGAAATGACAGTTGCGGATAGACGATGCGTTGTGCAGTCGTGGAGAGCAACTCGGCGCTTGTCTGGTGCCAGGCAAGAAAGACGGTAGGCTCTCTGCTGTCACGATTTCTCAGGCAAGATTTACTGCTGGGCAGGGGTCACTCCCGCGCAAACTCGGTCGGTCGAGACAAAGGGTCGCGTCAATGAGACGGACATGCGTGTTCCGGGTGAACGAGTACTCGGCCCATGGAAATACAGCTGTCTTGTGTGTACCAAGTGTTGGCTTACGAATCTGTAATTACTAGGAACGCTGTCGCCCATCACGGAGCTATATGAGAGTGGTCCATCTGTCGAAATGAAAGACAAAGCCGTGCAGTGCAGCCACAAGGCCAAGCACTGGCGTTGCACAACACATCAACTCGACGCGTGGAGCTTGGGTAACCTTGTTGTTGGTTGGACAATTGCTCAGGGAACGTCTCATCCTGCGGGCACGTGTGCCGACATTGCTCCAGCGCACCATGGTCAGGAAGAACTGCGACTGACGGTAATCTGATCATCTCCTTGCCAGATTCACATTCTCCCTAGCTTGCCAGATTCACATTCTCCCTAGGAAGGGGCTAGGAAGGGGGTGCCAATACAAGATGCGCAGCATGCATGCGAAGCCTTGTGACGAGATGGAGCCTAGAGCCTGCCATGAAACGCATCGTGGGAGAAGGCGCAATCTAACGGTGCCAGGGTTTTGTCGTGTCCTATTTTTAAATTAATATACGTGTCTGTCCCATTTGTTGCCATCGGGTTCCGACACATGTTCCAGTGGCCAAGCAACATGGCAGGATGCGACGTTTGCCGTTGAGCAATCGCTCGCTGCGAGGGCTGCGGTGCCATCAGTGTACTGTGAGTTCTGTGCCGAGGGAGTTTCCATTGTCGAGGAAATACTCCAAGGGTGTCCCGCGGCGTGCTGCCGGTGTCTTGATCCTCTACTTCTCAAGTCTCGACGTGTCGATGCGTCTTGGTCCTCTGCTTCTCGAGTCTCGAGTTGGACTGCTCAAAGCACGGACAGGCTGCGGTATTTTGTATGAGCCCGGCTCGGCTTTCTGCCCGGCCCGTATTTGGCTCTGCTATGCGGTCTACCTAGGCGGCTTTTTGTTTGCCAAGTCGGTCGGCTTTCCTCGAAGCTGGTTCTTTATTTCGTCGAGGAAGTGCCTTAGGAAAGACTGCCTTCCTCGGCCGGCCGCGTTGGGGTCCGCTAATACCAAGTCAGACTGCGGCGCTAGAGGCACAACAGGGCGTCAAACCCGTACCTGTCGCTTCTCCCGGTGCTAGGGGTTCGTGCGGGTTACGACCGTGTCTTTGTTCGTGGATTGTTCGATGGATGCGACCGACGGCGCGGTGGAATCCGGGCTGGCGAAGGATCTGTCGAGGCACAGTTAGACCAAGCAAAGTTTCCACTCGTACTGGGCGGCATACAGCTTCGATGATTCGGTCCTATGTCGACGCAGTCAGTGTCCGCGCTGGACTTGTGTCGGGGTTTGGTCACACCTCGAAAGCCTGTATGAGGCGCAGGGTCCAAAGATACGGAGACATGGCCGCAGTCCTCCCTGTCTGCAAGACAGCCCTCGGTCTGCTGGGCTTGTATCTGCCGCCGCAAATCGACGAGCTTGACTGCTTTGGTTTGCTGTTTGTTGTGGTGGTGATGATGCCAGGTCCAGGTTTGTTGTCTGAGTGAATGCATCCGCAGAAATCGCCATTTGACACTAGGGGCTGGTGGATCGGTCATCAGAAACCCGCCGAGTTTCCGACAACATCAACACTGCCGGTGACTCTACAAACAAACACACTTCAACATGCTACTTGCCTCGCCTGCGAATTTTCGGCCGCATTCACCTCGGTCGGGCGTCATTGCGCTTATCTTCTTGAGCGAGCCGATTATATTTGCTTTTATTTTCTCAGCTGATCTCAACCTAGTCATTCCCCGGCCCTTGGAGTACAACAGATCCGTCATGTACACTGACGCATTCTGGGGGTATATATCGCTCCATCATTCGTTACCCATCCTCTCCGCAAACGAGAAGCCCAGTCTCCAGCTGCCTACTCGCTTACTCGGAGACGTGCTTTCCAATAAAAGGCAGGAGATAGTCCATCTTTCCCAAAGCGACGCCCTCCTTGCGCAAGATGTTGTAAGTGGTGGCGAGGTGGAAGAACAGATTAGGAACGGCATAACCAGTAACGTAGGCATGGCTGGGGATCTCGGCATTCTTGCCAGGTCCCAGTCCGATAGGGACGATGTCGCCAACTCGTTTGTTGACGACTTCTTTGTCCGTCTTGGTCAAAAGCCCCTCGACCAGTTCGATTCGCTTGTAGAAGTCGTCAAAGGTCTTTAGGTTATTCTCAAACTTCTGGGGCTCGACGCCAGTGCTGCGGGCAACCATCTTCTGAGCAATGTCGCAGACGACATGGACCTGAAAGCTCAGCGGGTTCATGTCGTCGTGGATGCGGGCATCGGGGAAGGTAGCAGAGTTGGGAGCCTCCTGGCCCTTTTTGAGGATTGCCTTCAGAGAGCCAAGAACATCCAGGGCAGTGGCGATGGAACCGTCGTAGAGGGTGTAAGACATGGTTGGAGACTGGAGTCTGAGCGGTGCTCTGTTGTTTAGTCTTGGTCTTGAAAACTTTTGGAAGCAGCTGGTTGAATTGCGAATGCGTTTGAATGCGTGATCATGACGGGGTGCCGGGCACAGGAGAGTGGCAAACGGACGTCTTATATATTTGTCTCCCCAGTGCCTCGTTCCTTCCGTCTCACGAGCAGTCCAGTCCAGTCCAGTCTGCCTTTGACTCTGGATTCCAAGTTTGACCGCCCCTCATTCCCCCACTTCGTCTCAACACCATGCTACTCCATACCCGACGCCGACGGGACGCTCCTAGCCACAATCCATCTCGGCCAGCACCCAGCACGGCCCAGGATCCATGATGCGCCGTATGGGGTCCTACGGGGCGCCCTGATGTTTCTTTCCCGTCAATTACTAATGTTCTTTATCAAGGGCTGCCAGTCAGCCGCAATCAGGAGTGCGTTTGCTGGCGAGCTGACTAAATGGAAGCTCGTCGAAGGTCGACCGAAACTCCCCCCGGCCAGACGTCCCGGGGTAAGCTATGCAGGTGCTCCGTGTCGATACGATTGGATCAGTACGGCGTAGCACGCGACAGATGACGGTCACGACGTCGCGCATCAGCAGGCATCACGATGATGACAAAAAGCAGAGGATTACTGCCAGTGGGCCTGAGTTTTTCGACCAACAAGTCGCGGGATTCTATTGGCGCAGGTGACACTGAGCTTCGGCCATGTTCCCCTTCTCTCTTTGTGGCGGAAAGCTTCAGTCATGTTACTACTGCACCATCATGCCAACCAGTTGACCCTTGGCTTACGGTGTAAGTTACACGCCATACTCCCGTACCGACCACAAGAGATGCCGCTCAACTGGGGCGGGTGGGCTGCTTGCACCTTTGGATATAGTACATCTCTCGCCGATGCCACGTCTTGGTTTTACAGCACGAGATGCCGCCGAGCTGCCGAGCTGCCCAACAGGGATCGGATTCGATCGGCCGTCTAAAAACGCCACATGTACTGGCTGACAAACCGACCGGATATGAACAAGTCGGGGGTGCGTTTCACGATTACTTTGGTTGAAACGGGCCGTCGCCCTCCCAGGCAATGTTCGTCTCGTGTTCAAATGCCGCTTGCGTTCGGCATCGGCAGCATGCACAGTACAGTGGCTGCAGGGCCCATGTCGAAAGAAATTTCAAACACTCTATCTCGGGGTCGATTTTGGTTAAAATCCCAAGGCCATGTTTGCCCGTTTCACGACTTCTCTTTCGCCAGGCAAAGCACTGTCTCGTACTTGGATCTTGTCAAGGCCAAATGCTTGGCGTCCAACATCATTTGTCCACCTGCGCAACATATCTTCGGTCGGTCGGCCGACGTGCCGAGATTCGCCCTCGCCTCCAGGGAAGTCTGGCCCTGGCGTTCCGTCACGAAAGGCCTGCCGCTGGCGTGCAATATATGTCGCGTTGATGTCTGTGACGGGGCAAACGGGAATGTACAAGACGCTGGAATCTCCGCATCCGCTGTGAACCTTGTCGACAGAATGGATGGCTGTGGAGTGGCATGTCAGCAACCGCCGGTGCACAATCACGCACAAGAGCAGGGGAAGTTGGTCCGGGTAGACTTACTGTCGCAATGCCACGCAACGAAATCGCCAGGTTTGATTTTTGGCACGTGAACCATGGTTCGTTGGAGCTCAAGGTGCGGGTGCAGCTCATTGGTGAGCTCTTGGCCATGACCAGGTGAGGCACCTTGCAGTTCGCTCTCCATGTCAGCTTCACCAATCAGCTTCCAGTTGTTCTCTTCGAGATATCCCCTCGAGGTCCTGCATTCATTCAACGGTTCAAAGAACGGGCGAAGGAGCACATAGGCCGTTGCCATGTGCATAAGAGGGTTGACCAGCAGAGTTCCCTCGTGAGGCCCGGATTTGCTCATGCTCAACCAGCCTTGCCACATCCTGAACATGCTGCAGGCCCCCAGACCATCGTACAAGTTGTTAACTGCTTGGACTCGGCCGCTGGCATCCCATGGGTCGTAGCTTTCCCACTCTCCTTGGAAGATCCTGTCATACACGCCGCCGAGTCCGTATCCGTCCCTCTCCCATCTTTCCACGCTGCCACCGTCAATGTGCGGGCCCAGCGCAAATGCAGCATCGCCCGGCTGTCGAATGCGCAACCGATCGGCGTATGAGAGCGGGTTCTGCAGAGATATCTGCGCTTGATCCGACGAGGTATGCCACAACAATGACATGAGACGGTGCTGTACGCGCAAGAGAGACGGATGCGAGCGAGCCTTGAGTTGCGGCGCAGACCAGTACAACTCGTATACTTGAGGGTTGTCCGCCGGGAACGCTTTCGAGCCGGTCAGCACATCATACAGAGTTTCTTGTGGCAACAGCAACGGGAATTTTCGCACAAGGGCCTCACCTCGAGTCCAAGGATTCCTCTTAACATATGCCTCTATCTCCTCCTTGTAAGCCCTCGCCTCGTCCTCGGGGATCACTCCCCTGACGACAATCGCACCACGTTTCCTAATCTCCTCCTTCAGCCCTCGGCATCCGGCATCCAAATCTGCAAAGTCCACCTGGGGAATAACGTCTGATCCCTTTTGGGCAATGATGTCATTCTCGACCCTCAACTGCCGCAGCAACCTCTTCCAGCTATCAGCAATTTGCTTCTCCCTATCCCTGACCAAGTCACACTTTAGTCTTCGAAAGCGGTCCGGCAAAGGAGGCCTCTTGCCGCCAGACAAGGACACAAACGCATCAGAGATATCGCCTTCCTTCTTGACGGCTCTCGCGGCCGCGGCCGTAGAGGCAGCTCGTGTAAGGCCCGGGGGACGCCGGGAGCTGTTGACCACGCCTCGTCGTAGCATGTTGGCAAATGCCCATACGGATGATCAGGGACAAGTGAGTCAAAATAAAAGGGAGCGGGGTACGGTTGGATAGGAAGGGAATAATCCAGCCGCTGTACGTGTGACAGACAGTCTCTTATATGGCCGTCTGAGTGGTGCGGTGTTTCCCGTTTGGGAAGTCCGCACCCCGCGCGGCGCCGAGAAAGAATCCCGGCCGGATATCGCGAAACACGACGCGACGTGTGCATCCATCGGCAAATTGTTGCGGGAAAAGGCCAAGCCGCAAAAAGCGTACCGTACAGATCAACAGGCCCAGCACCGAATGTGCAGCCCGGCAAGATATGGGCATCGACTGCGCGCATTTCGCCAAGGAGTACATGTAGCGAGCGGGAGGTTCGTACATGGAGCTCGCCGGCTCACCCGTCAAGGTATGCACCGTGGTGGGATTCCCGCACGGCTGCTCAACGGCGGCCGGGGGCGTGAGGACTCTAGATGACCTCTTGCACGTCATGAGCCTGGGCGTGGCGAGGGTCGGCGCGACGGCTACCGAGGCCATACTGCGCGAGGCGAGGACGAGGAGAATCGGAGACGACGAGGTCGAGGCCGAGCTTCAACAGAGCAATGGCAATGGCGCGAGCGCGAGCGCGCCCTCGTGCTAGTAGTAGCCAGCCACTTGCTTTTCTGTTGATATAAATTGCGGACAGCCACGGAACCCACCACGTCTCTGCTGGCTGCCATTACTATGCCTGGCCATCCATGTTGGGAATCACACCACGCAACGACATCTCATGCTACTTCGTCGCGACTCGCAAAACATCGAGTTACCCAAAAAAAGGATAATAATATAGCCGCCCGTGCTTAGCCCTCTCCCAACACCGTGAGACTCACAAATCATACTGCAAATATACAGACTCATCATCGCTGCCCGGCCAAGAAGGCGAAGAAGAAAAAAACCAATGAAGCATGTTGTACATTTTTGACAGACGTGCTGGAGAATCCCCCCAGCGTTGCCAAAGTCAACAGAGAAAAAAAAAATGTGTTGCAATCGTCAGTTTCCACGTCTCAGATTGTCATATATCCCAGTTCGGACAAAACATGCAGTACTACTCAGTGTCTGTGTTTGTGCGCCTCACTCTCTCTCTGAGATCTCTGTTCTCTAATTCTAATCCGCCGAGGCGCTGCCGTGCAGCTGCTCGATCTTGATTCCGGCCTTCTCGCTCCATCTTGAGTTTGTACTCCATGTCTCGGAGTCTCAGAAGCCAACGGTTGTCGTTGTTAGTTGGCTCGCCTTCGCTCGGCAAGGCAACCTCCATGCTAGTGAAATTTCCCGACGACGGCCGCGGTATGCCAGATGCAGTATTGGATCGAGAGGAGCCCCTTGAGTGGCTGATCCTGTCTTGACTCAGGTGGGAAGTTCGACTCCTATCACGATCTCCCGGCCCGCGTGGGATGCCTGGCGAGGGTGACCCTGTGCCCGTAGTCTTTCGGCTCAGAGGTATTACGCTGTCAGGGCCGGAGTGGGCAGCACGACTACGTACGTCGTTGGCCGTCCTCAGTGTTGCGTTCTCGACCTTGAGTTGGCGATAGGCATCCTCCAACCGAGCCATCCGGCTCTGCATGTCCTGGGGAGCTAGGCTTCCCGACGCCACCGAATTTCGGAACATGGTCTCGAGACGATCCAACTTCTTGGTCCTCACTTCGAGATTGTTCTCGAGGGACTGGTACTCTCGGTGTAAATCCCGTTCCACCGACTTGATCTTGGTATGCAGCCCCCCAAGCATACCCTCAATGGCCCTGACAGCGCCAAGGAGGTTCTTCGAGAAGCCATGAAGTCGGGTTGCAATGACTTCGACCGACGGGACAACTTGCCGATCGACAAGCGTGTTGTTGTTGAGCCATTCTCGGCCACAAAGCGCGCTCAGCTTGTGCCACAGCTTTAGAAGCAGCTCGTTCCGCTCTGTGAGCTGATCGCGAGCAGTCTGCTCAAGCTGGGCAAGTTTTCTGCGGTCCTGGCCCCTCGTGCTCTCCAACTCCGCAATTCTGACATCCTGTGTGCTGGCTGTCTGTGTGAGATGCTGGTGCGTCCTCTGAAATGTGTCGTATTGTGCCTTCGTGTTGCGGTGCGATAGGCGTTCCTTCTCCAACATCTCGGTAACCTTTCGTGACTCGAGAGCATGAGATTCCAAGAGGGCGTCTCGTTGTTTAATGATGCGGTCCTTCTCAACCAAAGACGCCTTTGTTGTATCGAGCTCGCGAATTGTGTTCTCGAGTTCTCGTTGCATCTTAGCAATCGACTGGATTCGGGTCGTTAGTAAACCTCTGTCTCAGAGCAAGAGTGCAAATGCAAACCTTGAGAAGAGAAGATCGTGTGCCATTGAGGTCGCCCAAAGCTTCTCGAAGATTATTCTCCAGCTCAATCAACCTCTCCTTCCACTCCGTAGCCTCGACTTCGCGAGACGACAGGCTCTTACGCAGTCGTCTTACTTCGTCCTTGGCGTTAGAGGCCTCCCTGTTGAGTTCGTCCACAACCTGTTGGACCTCTTCCTTTTCTCTGTCGGCAACGATCTCCCTGTGCATGCGCTCTTGCTGGAGGCGGTTATCCAAGTCTCTGGCTCTGTCCTTTTCGTCTCGCAGATTCTGCTCCGCGTTGGCAATGGCCGCTTCCAGATCCCCAATACGAATCTTGTCCGCCTCTTGCTCCTCGCGCAAGAAGGCGATCTCTCCCTGGCTTGACTCTTGCTGTATGGCGAAGCGCTGATTCTTCTCGTTTGCCTCCATCAGCTTCTGTTCCAATTCCTCGAGCTCCTTGTTTGACGAGTCTAATTCTTCCTCTAGTTGTTGAATACGACGCAATTTGCCAGTTTGATCATCTTCCAACCGCACAAGAGCCTCGCTCATCTTCCGCATCTCTTCCTGCAAGGCGTCGAAATTTTCTGAGCGATCTTTCAAGTCGGCGTGAGCGCGCTGAATCTCCTCATTACGGTGATCGGCCTCGGCTTCCAGTGCATCGATCTCTTCTTGCGCTTCATGGCGCAAGGCTTCAAACTCGTGCTCCATTTCACCCTGCTCACGGACAGCTTCATCTCGTTCGGCTTGCAAAGCAACGAGATCATTCATAGCAGTGTCAAGCTCCTCTTGCAGGGACATGGCATTATCCTCCGCTTGCCGCTTGCCCTCAACCGCAACCTCAAAGTCTACCATGCACGACTCGAGCTCTCGTTGCAATTCCTGATTCTGAAGCTTCACTTCGCTGATCTTGTCTCGCAGTTCGGCCAGTTTGTTTTCCAGTTCCTCGCGTTCAGATTCCTCCTCTGCTAAAGTCTGCCTAGTCCGTCCGCTTCCTCGGGATTGTGACCGTTCATGACCGCCTGCACGGGACGCCGAGCGCTCGAATATGCTGTCTACGGTGGAAGAAGCATGACCGCCACGGCGCTGAGCCATTTTGAGGTCTTCGATTTCCTGATAGAGCCTTTCCTTCTCGCGGTTCCTTGAGGTAAGCATCGAAGTCTGCGCACCAACTTCACGCCTCAGCTCGGCATTTTCATGGCGCAAATGTTCGCTTTCTCGTCGCAATTCATCCACCAAGACATTATTGGCTCCGCTGACGTTGGACTCGGGTACATCAGTCTCCCCAGACAAACCAGACATCGCTCGAACAGGTGAGAATGTGCCATCACGACGCTTCTTGGAGATATTGTAAATATTGGTCGTGTGTTGGGTGTTCCCTCGCGCAGAGAGCTCCTTTTTGAGTCGAAAAATTTCATCCCTTATTTTCCGGTTGTCTTCGTCTGCTTGTTCTCGACGAACAGTTTCTTGTTCCAACAAGTCGCTCCAAACAGCAGATTCGTCAGGCACACCGACGTTGTTGCCAGATCGCTCACCAAGCGTTTTAACCATTTCAACAAGCTGCAACTTCTCCGATTCTCGACTGAGACTCTCGTTGCGAAGCCTCTCAATCTCAGTAGCATACTCTTCAACTCGTTCGCGAAGATATATAAGCTCCTGCTCTCTCTCGTAGGCATCTGCATCGTTTAATCTGGACGTTTGGTCTGTTGACGAGGCTGTACCGGGTCTGTTGTCTTCATCTCGGGCTTGTTTTTCGAGCTCCTTAATTCGTTTCCGGAGAATTTTATTGTCACGTTGTAATACCGCAAGATTAGTTTTTAGCTCTACGTTTTCCGAAATCATTTCCTTGATTCCTTCTTCGGAGAGCCTGTCCAGGCGGTCGCTCAAAAACATGACCTTAAGCTTCAGATCAAAGTTCTCCTTTGACAGTCTCTCAATGGTGCTGCTCTGTTCTTTCAACGTGAGGTTCCTGCCAGTTTTTGTCATGGTGTCAGTGTTGGTACCTATATTGAGGTTAGACGGTCGATGAGGCGTTTGAAGATTGTTCTTAATTCGGTATTCTTTCGCCAAAGACTCGGGAACCTGTACGTTCTTGACGTGCTGAGCTATGACGGTATCTGTCGGTGCAGTGGCCTTCCAATTCTCTCGTGAGGCCTTTGGAGTCTTGAGCGGGTCGTCGTGGTTCGGCCTGTCGGGACTCGAGTCTTCTGGGAGAGTGTCGAGGTGGTGGTTAGGCAAGTCGTTCAAGTCTTCGCCTCCAAAGCCAGACAGCATACTACCAATGCTTATGGAACGCTGAAAAGGGTTGCTTGTCGACCGCTGTATGCCCAGAGCCGGAACAGCACCGCCTGATTGCAAAGCATAATCGGCACCGTGGCCAATGGTGGCCTCGCTACCGTCTTGTGATTCCGGATCCGTGACGAGTGAAGATGCCGATGATCGGTGGCTGGAGTACCGACTGCGCAAATACTTTGATCGTTTGCCAATTCTCAACGAGTTGCCGGATGTATTTGCCGTATCAAGCCTGTCAGCTATTTGAGATTGAAGGAACGGGTCGTCTGGGCCAGACGAGAATGCATTTTCGTTGTCGTCTTTGTATTCATCCTCGCCTGCCGGCGGCGCAGTATCACAGTCCATCGTCGCGTGACTAGCCATACTGACGGCCCTTGAAATCGTTCTCGCAGCAGCAGCAGTTGTAGGGGAGGAATCAAGGTTCTCGAGACTCGATGTGGTGTGTCCGACATCATTGGCATAGTCTTCGTCTTGCTTCTCCGTTTTCGGGTCCTCTCTCTTCCCATATGTATCAATCGTATCATATGCGCCCATAACATTCTCAGTTGCTGTCCTCGTAGCGATGGGAGACAGCGTGGGCAAGAAACTCGACTCGATGTCCTTGAGGTGTTCGCGTACAGCCTCCTCTGTAACAGCGTCATCGGGGGCCCTACTATGATTCATCGTTGCGGCTTCGACGTAGCTACTCTCCATGGCAGATGGGTCAGTGGTGCTTCCTGAGGTAGAGGCACCAACGACTGGCGGTGATATCTTCAAAATGGAATCGTCCGGGCGCGCATTCGCGTCATGTCCAACGCCTTGCGACGCGGTGTCGCTCTGCTTCGAGTCCGTCATGATATTTGACCTGTCGGGTCGCCAGACGGGCGCGTCGTCGTGTAAGGCAGTGGTTTGCTGGAGACCAGCAGGGGGACAAGTCAGCATCGGGTACGGGTGCAGCACATCTTGAAGCTTCAAGCCTGTGTTCTGCAGCGATGCCTAGGTGAACCGCGAGGCGAGGATGCGCCCCAGGCTCAAACGCGCCTTCCCGCAGTGGAGATCGAAAATAGAAGACAAGACTGGGATATAGTTAGTACGGAGTCTTGTAATATGAAACACTTTGCACGCAAAGACGGGCGTGTGTATGCAAGACCAGGTGTAGAAAAAGAAAAACAACGCAGCATTGGAATGCCCTTGGGCAATGGCGGCTCCTGGTTGGCAGCGGTTGGGTTGCTCCTGCTATGCCATCGTACTGGTAATACATAAACTTGCTTGCCTCTAGGTACCTCCCACTAGCGTACTTTCGCGTTGCCGGAGTCTCTTGTAGAGCAACAGCCTCGTGGGAGAGCTACTACTACCTTTCGAAGTACTGGGTACTTGGTACTTGAATTAATGACATCTGGAGCCTCAGGCCATATCGACCACGTCGACTTCAAGCCGACTTTTGCATGTCCATTTCGACGCACTCATCCTACAAGATTTTCCAGATTACATCTTGGTCTCCTGTCTTGAACTTTCTCATTCTCATCTCTAGCATCTGCATCTGCGGGCTAGGTACATGTAGTGGCTTACACCACCAGCGGCATCATCGCACCCGTCTCTGCGCTTTTCAACATGTCCGCCTCGCTGGCACCAGAATGCAACGAAGTAAAAGAGTACGACTAGACCGACAAGCATTGATGCTTGGCTCTGCTGACCACCTTTTCTCACAGACGATACGATACCTGCTTCTTAAAGTGGTACAGCGAAAGTAAGTTAGCACCACACGCCGCGCGAGCCGGTTCGCTCGTCGTGCATAGTTGTTCAGCGCTGAGCCCCGGAAAACTAGAGTACCTGCGAGGAGCGGAAACAGACAACAAGGAGTGCGCGGATCTCTTCAAGCAGTACCAAAAATGTCTCGGGGTAAGTGTCTCTGCCAGTGACATCTCCACGGTTCCAGCATGGTAAACAAAACCGTCCTGCCACAGGTTGCACTCAAAGACAGGGGCATTGACAAACTCCTCGACGACGCTCGCGAGGATAACAAGGAAAATGACGCAAGGTTGCTGACGCCCAAGAGTAAGATTTGACGACTTGAGAAACGAATCTCGCACATGGCGGGGCCGATTAGCTGACTACGAGGCAGAATAAATCATTTAGGCTTCTCAACCGCATTCACACTTCCATCGCTTCACCATCCCTGCTTCTGCATCCGCCTTGTGAACTTGTATTATATCTTCGAATTTCTCCAAAAATCATGTACATTCTTTACTCAATCAAGTCAAATCGCAATGCCGGCATAGCGTACACTGTCCCGTTTAGCGTAGCAGGGTTATCACGGACAACTCGTGAACTGCAACCGGCTTCAGCTTCGTCAAGCTCTTTTAGACATCCAATATTACCACTTGGAAGTATTTGGACACATCTGATACCAGTGCTGGTGCCCAACATGTCGTCAACTCGCCCCCTGAGCAGTCTTCACTGTTCGGCTGTTCGGGCGAGGCAGTCCTCTTGCCCAGAAATGGTATGAGACGCGTTTCTAGATGGATAAGCAGCCCGGCAGACTGGACAATCGCAAACGATGCTTTCGACTTGGTCCCACAATCGTATAGTACCAGCATAAGCCAAGGGGCAGGCAAGTATACACACCGGGGGAAGAACACATGTCGAGTCTTGAAAAGATGCAACGCGACGACAACCAAGCTCTCACCAGTGTGCGCCAACAAGGACATCCCACATGTGAAGGGGCCGCAGTCGATTCATTCATTCTCTTCATCTCTATTTTCATGTCTAGCAAACGAAATATACATCGACGTGGTATCTATGCTGCCAGAGCGCCGACGTCCGTTCTCACAGAAAGTTCTCGGAGAAAACATGTCCCCGAGAGCCACGCCACCCCCAATCCATCCGCTGTCCTCAACCGCAAACGTCGTTGTTGTTACTGCTGCTGCTGCTACCACCACCAGCCCCTGGGCAGAGTTGACGGCCTGCTTGAGAAAGTCCATTGTCCGAGCGAGGAAGAAGGCAAAGATCCAAATGATGAATTCAGTATGACTGCTTCAAACGGACCCCCAACTGCAGAGAGGCAGTAGTAGAAAGCTGTGGAGGAAAGCGGCGGCCGAGGGTTGGGCGGACCTGCCGCTGACTTATATATCTCTCGGTGTCGTCCAGCTCGCAACGCCTCGTTCGGACGTCCCGCGGCCCTCCCCTCGGCCCTTATCCATCACCCCTCTTGGCTTGATTTCCACCAGGCGCATTGGGCGTCCAGCATGGGAATGGCGGCAGGGAAGGCTTTGCAGCCGAGCCAAAGATGGCGGCATTGCACTGTGGTCCTCGGGCTACGGCAAAATCATTGCAGCTAGACAAGCTCAAGAAGCTTTGGACCAGAGGGAAATTGTTCAAGAGACAGAGAGCACGTCGCTGTCTTGCATCTGGAAGCGCGCAAGCCTGCCGACCAACGGCGCCGGCCACGCCGCGCAGGAGCGCTGGGATGCAAAGAGGTTCGCGATGAAGCCCTCTTGGCTGATTTTTCCGGGACAACTCAGAGTGCGCAAAAGAGGTCTCCAGATGGACATGGCCGCTGATCTGTTGCAGCGCCAGCCTCGTCACCACATCACACGTGACGACTTTTGCAAAGCTTCACGGACGCCGGACGCCCGGCACATGGACTGGCCCACGGCCCACGGAAGCTTGTACAAGAGGAACGTTTGAGTGAATCGAGTATAGCTGAGGGTCATAGGACAGGCGTCCAGAGCTCCCACAGCCGGCAGGTTCCCAATTCCCAGGGCAAGTAACGTACGCACGAAGTAGTAGTTGGTGTAGTCGGGTGTAACCTCGAAGATCAGGCCACCATTAGAACCAATAAGAGCAATAGGCTCCATTCTGCAACTACGAGCTCTTCAAGCGAGCAACTAGAAACAGGACGAGGAAAAAAACCACATGTCGCGTAAGCCGCCCAAATATCTGTTTCGAAATAAAGGGGAAAAAACAAAAAAAAAATCGTCGTTAGTCAGTCCCTTGCCCTTGGTCATCTTGCCATACACAGGAAATCTCCGCGTCGCCGTCGTCACTCATTATTCATACACACAAACAAATGGAAAATAAAAGAATGACTGCAATGTTTGACTTGCTCCCGCTGATGCTATGCCCCTTGTCGTCAATTTATACACGCCAAGCCAAAAAACGGAAATATATGCCAGCCCAAGACGCCAGCCAGCTGCCCGTGGGTGAAACCAAGAGGCAGACTCGCCGGACCCTGTCATGAATTGACAAACACCTGGTAGGCCATAATCATGACCCATACCAAGAAGACGATTCCTGTGAGCGCCATGGCGAACACAAAATGCCAGCATTGACCTATGGCGTGCGATTAGCGGCGTCGTCGGGGGGTGGAGTCGATGTACAAGTGCGTTGTGTGTACGCGTGTGTGTTGGGTGTTGGTGTGTTGGGTGTGTGGGTGTGTGTGTGTGCGTGTCCGGGCGTGTGTGTACAAAGAAACAAAACACCACAAACTCACATATATTCCTCTGCTGCATCCACGCCAACGTCTCCTGGCTCAGCCCATGCGGACTCCTACTAAACACCTGCAGGTTGCACGTGCTCTGGACGGAGCCGCTGGGCCCCCAAAGCTGGACCGACACGATGACCAGGCCGACGAGCCAGAGGACGAAGAGCATAAACGCCCCGATCATGACAATGGCAGGCAGCAGCCGCCGCGTCGCAATGAGCCAGAAGATGAAGCCCATGAAGAGGATGGCCACGGCCCCGACGGTTATGAAGTAGGGAAAGTACCTGCTTGCAGCGGTCGGCGATGAGTACTTGCCCGGGCACACGCGGAGGGCGAGCGTGTCTGGGGGGAATGCACACGTACCACGGTATGGGGAGGTCCAGCTGCGTCTGGATCTGGATAAAGGACGAGAACACGCCGACAATGCTGGACGCGGCCAGCAGCATGACGAAGATCCAGAAATTGAGCTGCAGCGGCGGCCAGTTGTAGGTGCGTATCTGGCTGACGGCCCTTCGCTCGTAGACGACGGAGCTGCCGCTCAGCGTCGACCCGAGGCCTCTCTTCATCGCGGCCGCTTGGCGAGATCTGGTCTTTGGGCTTTGTGTGTGCGCGCGCGCGCGCGTGTGTGTGCGTGCTTGGGGTTCGACGTGACGCCGTTTCCCAGAGTCGCGGCGGCTGGGAGAGGAGAGCTGGGCGTCCTGCCGGAGAGTCGCTCGCCCAACGAGGCCACCCGGGCGGTTTGGGCCACGTCCGGACAAGAGCTTCTTCCTAGTGCCCGGCTGGAAAAGAAAAAGGGAGCTTCGACGAGCGGCACGGCGTGCGTTTTGTCGTCGTCGTCGTGGCAGGCGAGGTGCCGAATATATATGGGTGGACGGGTATGGATGACGGATGCGGTTCCGAAGCCACGAAGAGGGCCGCAATGCCACGCAGGCAGGCAGGCAGGCAGGCAAGTCTCGCCGCAATCTGCAATCAATCGTCACAAGCTCGCAAACACAAGCGACGCTGTGGCCCAACGGCCCTCGGCTTGCTCGCTGCCACGTCGAAAAGGGCCAAGGCACTGAATGTCTAGCACTCGAGCAGACGGGTCGGCGGTCAAGTATTGAAACATGGGACGACTGATGGCAAACGGCCAGCAGCCGGCCTGCAAAGCCGGTAGCACTGATCGATCACTTGAGCACCCCACCCCCCAAAAAACATTGGTCCAGACTGCACCCCCGCCGGCCACAGCGAGCCGCACCACTGAACATTGACTGGCTGCTGAGCCCAAAACGGCCTGGCCCAGGGGAGAAGCGGCCAAGATGGGCCGGGCCATGCGCTGCTGGTTCGCTCCCATGCGGCCGATGGTCCCCCTGCCAGTCCCCTGTCTCGCTGCGTACGGAGTACGTACACTTGGCGGTGACGCCCTATCCAAGGAGGCAAGGACCAAGCGAGCGTCAAGTACGACCCGGACAGGCGGCCCGGCGTCTCCTCCTCCAAGCGAAAGAGCAGTCTCCGCCGGAACATGGCCGCGTCTCGAACTCGGATGCAAGCTCCAGCCAAACCCTTTGAATTTCGGCCAAACGACATAAAAAAATAAAATAAATAAATAAATAAATAAAAAAGAGGGGGGGAGGGGGAAAAGACAAAGGCGCCCGCCCTGTTTTCCGCCGTCAATCACGCCAATATCCCGTCGGCCTCACGTCCTGCGTGTGCCGTGTGGTGCCCGACAACCGCGCCCGGGAGACACGGAAAACTTGGGCCGCCAACAAAGAGCCCCCTCGTCAGGGACTGGGACTTGTCTCCCGGGAGGCTCAGGGCCCGCTGTTCCGCAACGCCAACGGGCCCACCCTGCCAGTACGGAGTCGTAGTGCCTAGTAAGTTACTCTTTACACCCGTCAGGCATCAAGGTTGACTCGTAGGAAAGCCGAACAAAAGTTACAACGACCACCGTACGGAGCGCCTACGCGCTGCCGCACCGTCAATGTCCAGGTTATCTGTAGAGATGGCCGTCTAGTTTCCACGAAAGCAGCCAGACAATTCATGTCTTGTCTGCAGAAACGTACCTAGGTACTCTTGAGTAGTTGGTAGCATCACCCTTCCCATTCCCCCATCGACGACCTTCCTTGTCATGTCAACTGGTGGTATTGATCGTTTGTCTCAAGTCACTATGCACAGCCCGCATACTGTCACGCGTCGCCTGCTTTTCACAGCCTGTGAGGACAAACGGCCAGACCATCTTCCGATTAGGGCTAGGGGCGATCAGCGTAAACCACAGGCACGCACGCATTGGGGTCCCCTCTGTCATCATGGACAGTGTCGCCCTCCAGGATCGTTTGGCGTTTTACACGCAACAACTGAAACGCGTATTTTCTGCTCCCATTCCAAAGAGATCAAAAGCGGCACCGCATCGGCACACTTCAGTCTTGAACCTCCCCAGTTCCGCCACCCATCGGCAAGCGGTGCCATGCCCCAAGCTCTAGCGTTGACCAAACAAATCCGTACAGCCCCTGTCGTCTCTCCCAGCAGTATTCATCGGCCAGACCCAGCCGACTTGAGTTCTCATGATACATCACCAATCCCTATGTACACTCCAAGGGTCCCATAACCGTCCTCGTTTGCAAATTTGCGCTGCGTCTCGCGTCGCATCTCTCAGAAGACGGCATGAATCTATGGTCTAGTCGGCTTCCTTTTGGCGCCCCCAGTAAAAGTAGTATATCGTCAAATCGTCAAATCATAAAAGCGTCTCGCCAAGGGCGCAGCGCACCAAGGAGCAGCCAGCTCGAATAGTCTCCTGGGCACCGGCGTCGGTGGCAGCTAGGCTGGGGTTGACTTCGACGAGATCAATGGCTACCAACGAGCCAGTCTGATGTACGGCCTCACAAATGTAGTCACCCTCGCGGAGGGTCAGGCCGCCGCGAACAGGAGTGCCGGTGCTGGGAGCCCACATTGGATCGAGGGCGTCGACGTCAAAGGACAGATGGATGGGGGTGTCGGCACCAATGTAGGCAAGAGCCATCTCAACAACGCGGCCAATACCGTAGCTGGCACACGTCGCACGTCAGTACTGTGCGGCAGTCGCGGCAACGGCAACAGCGTCATGGTGGAAATATTGTGAAGAGCAGTGCTTACCGGTCAACGTCGAACATGCTGAAAGCCTTGATTCCGTTTTCACGGAGAATCTTCTTCTCGGCGTTGTCAACATCGCGCAGGCCAATGTAGACGAGCTTCTTGACATTTAACAGCATGTCATCCTTGATCCAGCCAAAAAACTCTTCGTTGTCGTCCCTGGCCAAGCCAGAGGCAAAGGCGACAGGCATGCCGTGAATGTTACCGCTGTCGCTGACCTCGGGAGTGTTGATATCGGCGTGGGCATCAACCCAAATGAGGGCAATCTCGCGGTTCAGGCGCTCGCGAATACCCTTGGCGCTGCCAGTGACGGTGCCAATGGCAACGCTGTGGTCACCACCAAGAGTCAGCACGAGACGTCCCTCCCTGGCGTGCTCGTAGACCTGCTGCGAAATCTTGCGGTTGACGGCCGACGTCGTAAGAGGGTTCTTCATGCCACGATGGTCGGGGTCGACGGTAGCAATGAGCTCCTCATGCTTCTGGACCTTGGTGTCACCATGCAGCTTGTAGCCGAGCTCCTCGCTGATCTGGGTAAGAAGACCGGACGCGATGAGCGCTTCGGGACCAGCGTCGACACCAGCTTTGGGCTGTGCAAGACAAGGTGTGTTAGCTACTGACGATACACAAAGACACGAGTAGCTGGGGATGGATGGCGAGGGGTGTAGACGGCATGCATGTGCATGAAAGCCGGCGAAGCGATGGAGGGGCTGCTGGAGGGGCAGCGAATGGTGCAGCATCAACAGAGACACGAGGGTCGGCGGTTACTCGGTATTTCATTTTCGGCAGCTGCATGACAAGGACAGCAAAAATTCAGCAGTACGTACCTGGCCCTTGGAGAATCCAACCGCAACGACACCAAGGTCGTGCGGGTTAGGAAGGAAGCGGCTCTGAACGATATTGGTATTCATTGTAGGAATGCGGATGAAAAGTAGTTTTTTTTTTCCCTCTCTTTTTCCCCCCAGGATTTTTTATTTTTTTTCAGTCCTGCCCGTGGTTTCAATGTTGGGGACCGAGCGGCGACCAAGATGGTGACAAGGCCGGTGTCTGGAGGCGTGGGAGTATCGGAGTTGTCGAGAACCGAGGATGAGGATAGGAACCAAGGCTAACGAATGAACAAAGGGAAGAAGAGAAAAGGCAGGCGTGGGAGGGTTCACGTTAAATAATGGATTCCGCACAGCTCTCGTCCTCAGCTTACACGACACAAATGCGAGTGGGAAACTTTTTCGAGAAAGGGCAGAAAAAGGGGGTGGGGAAGTGCTGACGGAGACAGAATGCTGGAACGAACGCCAAGTCGAGTCTGTGGGCAGATGATGAAGCTAGAAATGGCAGGCTATACTCCTAAGTGCAGGTAAAGGAGAAGATGGTCGTGGCAGGCTGCCGGGATTGGCGTGCCGGGAATTAATTGAGGGTCAAAGTCAAAGGCGGAATGTCACTTACTAATAATTGACGGCAAAGCTTGGCGACATGTGGAACAAATAACCGAATGGATGAACTCAGTCGGCCCTCCGCCCTCCGCCCTCCGCAAGGCGCAGATACTGGTGGAAATGGTTTGATAAGAGGGCGGGATACCGCATACGGAAGTCTCTTGGGACCGACAGAAAAACAAAGGATCCCAGGCCTTCTCATGTCTTGTTACTCAAGTGTCTGCCTGTTCCTTGACGACGCGTCGTCCATCATGCATGTGTCGACGAGAGCAAATCGGGAGTTGCCTCAAGCAAGTACCCAAGTACTTAATGGAACAATATTAATCACGACACTGGGAACCTGCGTCGACGTCGATGAACATACTGTCGACTTGCATCTTGATCATCTGCCAAGACAGAGGGTACCCGAGCACCAAGTTCATCTCCTTGAGCGTTGCGTCACGTCAAGTGCTGAGGTGCAAGTGCCTGGTGCGCAGTCATTATCGATCGCTCTTTCCGCAACCAACAGCCTCGAGAATGGCCCATGATTTCTATTTTCTCTCCCTCTGTCTCTCTCTCTTTTTTGTGTCCCCTAATCCTGCTTGACTCACAAGTACGGATTCCCCGGAAGTTTATACGGTAAGTATGTCCTTAAGTAGCCAACTCGAGATCAAAAAACAAACCCCCCCCCCCCCCTGTAATGCTTATTAGTAGGCATTAAGTGTATTAATGCTTGTCTTCTCTAAGTTTTTATAATTAAGTCTACTCTATAATTATACTCCTCTTTTCCCTAAGTTATATAACTTAATCTACTTTTCTTCTTAACAACTTAGAGAGAGAGAGAAAGTAGTATTAACCTTAATACTTAATAACTTCTTTTAATAATACTAACTATACTAACTATTAACTATTACTAGCTTCTAATTATTCTAGATTTTAATTTACTATATTTTAATAATTAAGTCTAGGTAGCTTTAGTTGCTTTTATTAAGAGATATATTACTTTAAGTTATTAATATAAACTTTTTATATTACTCTACTTTTTATAGATTTAACTTTATATAATACTAATAATACTACTTTAATAATTATTAAAAGATTTCTCTATATTCTCTAGAATTTCTCTTTAAGTTTATTTTCTTTATTTAGTTTCTTTTATATAATATCTTCTATATAAAATAATTAAGAAGTCTTCTATAAATTATTAATATTTATAGCTTCTATCTTTCTAGTATAAATATATTCTCTTTCTTCTTCTTAGAAG